TCTTCAAAAATTAATTAATAATCATTTTCAACACAGCTCATGTGCCTCATAACAAAATCAATTCATATAGATAAATTCCACAAATTTCAAAATAACAATATCACACTATATATTATCATATAAAGTCGCTGTGATATTCTTAAAATTATTCAATATCGTAATATCACGTGAAAAAGAAAAATGAATTGAAAGAGTGAGACACCACTTCCATAAATTGATGATTCAGTGAGTACAACCAACATGGATGTGTCATACTCATCATGATGAACATGTTGATGTGTATTGTTCATGACAAACTCACTCTCGGAAGGACATGGTATCACACTACCACAACGTTCATCATGATACTCCACCAATAATGATCACATCCATCATCAATTGTCATAGAAATACTCTACACAATGTATTATACAACATAGAAATCACTGGTTTATCGAAAAACTGAATCAGTCAATCTCCAAAGAAACAGAAGAGTCGTATCGGATTATTTTCTCTGGTTTGTTTTGAGCATTTTTTTATTTTTTTGAATTGAAGAAATTTTAGCCCTCAAAATCGTCTGTCCTGATTTAACTCGACCATGATAAAAACTTACTTCATAGTTTCCTCAACAGAGATGTGGATTACGTTCTAAAGGTCAGACCCTATCAATACGTGAAAAAAGTAATCCTTAAATCGTAATGGTTACTTTGTTATAACAACTTTCGGACTGGTGAGAAGTATTAAAGTGTAATTCAATAACTACTTAGTAGCTACCAAAAATTCAACTCTCTCAATATTCTATGGATTAAAACCTAATATCTGTCCAAGAAATGGAATCGTTATTTTATATATTTTGGTCAAGAGGGACATTTGACGTGATCTGACCGGGAAAGCTCATTTTGATCCTTAATATCTCAACAACTACTTCACAAATATTAAAATTTTCAAAACGTACATCTAGATAACATCAATACCTAATTGTTGATATATAGTATGTAACCTAGAAATCAAAGATCATCATGAAAAAAGCCTCTGGAGTGAAACGTGCGCTTCCTCACAAATCAGTTTCTGTTTCTTCAATTTAAATCTAATAACAATATTTCACCCAGTGAGTTACATAACATATTCAAATAAGAGATGATATCAATCAGTATTTATCGAAATAGAGCCTCACTTCAAGTTTTGGCTTGACTTTTCTATCATTTTGAACTTTGACATTTTTTAAAAATATTCCACCTCCAGCGAAAAACCGACTCTCCAACACTGGAGCTGATTCATTCAACAGGTACATCACTGTTCATGTCACAAACAATACAAACACTCTACAAATCTCTCTCGCACACTACAATCTACGTTTAATTATCAGGAGAATATCATGTCAAGCAACATCACCCTCACGGACATATTCAGCGGCTAGGAGTACCACATTTCGGCGTCAGGAGTCAGTCATCAGCACACAACCATAATATTAGTGTTCTACATGGTGAGTAACACTTCATATATCAATTTGAGATACAGCTGATCAGTATTTATTGAAAAAGAGCTATATTTCATATTTTCGCTGGACCTCTCTATCATTTTGAACTTGGAATTTTTGAGTCCAAAATATTTTTAAAAAAAATTTACAAGTCCTCAAAAACCTTGTGTTCCAATTTCATTGCTTCTCTCTGGTTTTACAGTTTGAAACACCAGTCCGATAATAAATAATCATCCTCTCTTCATTTACAACATTAAATTTTTTTTTGGGCCAATTTACCTTCAAAATTCAGAGTGAAATAACTCAACAACCACTTCACACCTCTTAGAAATTTCAACACCATTAGAAAGCAAATGAAAATTAGCCTAGGATTTGAGTATATCTCGTCCTCAGCAGTTAACTTCGGACCGTGGACAGGACTTATTGAAAACAAAATTTTTTTTTGATAGTAAAGTCGTTAAAATGGCTCAAAAAAAAGAGTAGGTGGAGCCAAACCCCTGGGACTAATTGATATTAAAAACAAATTATATATTGTTATATTGAATCTTTCTAAAAATCCTACTGAGAGGAATCCAAACCCAAGCACAAACTTGTTCAGACATCTTACACAAAAAACTTGCTATTGTACCGATGTTGCTTTGTATTAATTCACTTTTAATCGTGTAAAACAATAAGAAAGCCTTTTGGTTTAATAATTAATAAATAAAACGAGATAGATTCAATAGAATTATCTACAATGCTTTCAATCATTCACTGTTGTTCGTTGTTGGTTGTTGTTGTTGTGTTATTTGTTAGTTGAGCCAATAGAAACATCAAAAAAATACAGCCACTGCCCTGTGTGAAGTTATTTGTTCTTTTTAGCAGAGGTATAGTTCTCTTTTCTCCATGGGTGGGTTACGTTTGTTCGTAGTATTCTGATGGCAATAATAATTATCATTCCAACGTTAATCAAACACTTACCGTAGAAGGCGTATTCATTGAAAATTCAAAACAATTTTGTTGGAATTGGCTTTGCACTCCGATTCGGTTTTGTTGTGGGTTCCTTGGATATGGTTCTACACGATTGTGAGTTGATGACAAACGGGATAGGCTTATGGCAATACGATTGATGTTACAACTCTTTGATGAATGTTGTGCATTTTCCGAAATTTCATGGCTTGAGTGTAATGTTGTTCTCGGATTACTGCCCATTAGCTGAGATGATGATTGATTTTCTCCTCTTTACATTTATCATAACCTCCCAACTCATTTACAATATTTGTAATGATAATTTTTAGAGAATTATTATTAAGATATTTTGGAACTTTGGAACATGTTATTTCATAATTTTCATCAACACCAACGCGGATCTTATTTTGAATGCAGTATTAATAGCGTCGATTTCTTGTAATAATGAACAATTCATTCTTAATTGGTTGAAAAATAATAGGTTGACTAATTTGTCATACGAATCAGCAGTCACCTTAGTGCCTGCTAGAAACACAGGTGCAACATTTGCAAAATGATTTACCATTTTGTCAAGGCCTTCTCGCACTCCACGTTTAAAGCTGTCATGATCCCTAGCTTCTATTTCCTTCTTAATTGGACCATATTTCATCAATATTGCTACAAATACTTTCACTGATGATTTTTCAGTTGCAATATACAAATACAGGACATCTAAACAATGGTGAAGCATTTTATCCCTCTCTGTAATATTATTGCCACCAAGCCAATCATTTTTCTTCCTACAATTCACTTGAGTTAATCCATTATTGCTTCCAATATATAGATAATCACCGCCTTTAGCATCAGCTTTATCATTAGAAAATTGGAACTCTTTCCTGCCCTTGCCTTTGATGTTCTTGTCACTACATTTATGACTTCTAATTGAATTCACATCAATAATTTCGCCACACCCACAGAGAAACTGATATCCACCTTGGCACCCTTGTTCTCTACAACTCAAAAACACTAACAGACTTGAGTAGATATCAGAGTTAACTTTATTTTGATATATAGTATGCAACCTAGAAATCAAAGATCATCATGAAAAAAGCCTCTGGAGAAGAGCGTGCACTTCCAAACCCCAGGAACAGAAATATTCTACTTTCGCTTTGTTTTTTGTTGTTTCCCAACACCGTTGGATCTTGTTGCATCTCTCTTTTTTTTGTTTGACGCCAACAAGGCGATTTGTGTTCATGATTTTCTGGTTTAGTGATTCCATTTTTAGAGTAATCAGTAGCGTCTACGGATCTTCTTAGGTACTCACTATTCCTTAGATTAGAACCCACTTGCTCCCCGGTATTAAGGGCCATTTCGCAATGTTTCTTAATATCGCTCAATGAGATACGATCAGCTCGTTTCAATAACATTCGTCGAACTACTTCTCTCATTGACAAAGAACACTCACAACGAAGAAGCATCTCCAAAGGATTACCTTCTGGATTACGCTTTTTTGCAAGCAACACTACCATAGTTACACCCAAGGCATAAATGTCAGACTCTTTAGCTACTCCACGAACTCGAGTTTCATCATCTATGAATCCACTTGTACCATTTTCAGCATATCTGTTCTCTCTCCCATGGTTTCTTCAGAACGCGTTAAACCAAAATCTGCCAGTACATAATGAATACTTTTTCCTTTTTTAGCGTATAAAATGTTGGTGGGTTTTACATCTCTGAATTTGATTTTCAATGAAAAAACTACAGCTGAAATAAAAACAACAATAACAATAACTTACCTATGGATGAAAGATAATTCATGTAAATACAACAACGCCTGTGACATTTGATACAAGATTCTCCAGCACTCATATTCACTTAGTACCAACGAAACAATGCTGCCTTGCATAAGATCAGACATGATATAGAGACGACCATCCACCATTTCCCAGTCATGGATCTTCAAAAGATGGGGGTGATCAAATGTACATGCCTCTCTTTCTATTATTTGATCACGATTATGGTTTGAAACGTCGCAAATTACTTTGACAGCAATACCTTTTCGTTGGATTCCATAAACTGTTCCAAATCCACCTTTGCCAAGATTTTCAACCTCGTAGTGATTCACATGAAATGTCTTGGCAATCCATTTCACCTCAGGTGGTGTCGCTTGGTGAGGTGACCTGATGGAATCGAATAACGGTTTAGTTGAGAGGAACATTTTTTCTGTGGTTGTCAACAACAGCAACAGTTTGACAGGTCGTCATTGTCCAAACGACGGAAGATTGAGCTTGAAGCTTCAATTTCAAGATTTTCATTGCCAAGTGATTTTGTAACAAACAGAAAGAGAATTCCTCGCAGTCAAGTAAAAACTAACAACCATAAAAATCTGCTGAAAGACGTTGAAAATAATGCAATTCTAGAATTTACCTATCAAAAGATCACATGGCTTGCTCAATACAACTTATTGTTTTGCTCATGGCAAGGCTATTGCCAAAAAGAAGAAGCTGACTATAACGAGCGGTAATTTACAAGCCTCTATGATGAAAATATTGAAAGAAAATACTGCGCTCTTTTGTTTGAAATCTTCAATCTGTGTACATTCTTTCAATAGTTTCAAATACAAGGAAGTGGAGGAATAACCATGAGAGAATGAAAAGAGCATGGTTGCGATTAAGGCAACCACTTCAACATGATCGTTGAAAAATTGAATCACTCCTCCGCACAATAGAAGGAATAGCGGAATTAGCAGTAATCGTGAAAGACTCAACAACACGCTCATCCATCGTCTTGGGAAGGCACAATTGCAAGATGTGAAGGAACCCATCATGGCAGTAAATGCAAAAACAGTCACGAGAACAATGGGAAAGATATTATTCTTGAAGAACGGAAGACTGCTTTTGAGAAAAACCAACAAGACTGGAAACACAAGACATGTGATGACGTTGGAGGGTATGGAAAGGATAAACACACATCTAGAAAAAAATTTTCTTTTTTCTTCGAGGTCTTGAGGATCTTGTTCTGAAACATGTTGCTGATGAAGGATTTCTTCTTCGCGAACTTGTTGTGACGAAACTAGCTCTGTTTGTATACCAGAGTTTGTCAAATCGGTCTGATAGAGATTAGAAGTAGCAGCAGTTGAGTATGTTTGCTCTTGCTTCCGTAAAAACTCTTGCTCAAATCTTTTCAATTCTTGTTCTTCTTTCGCTCGTTGTTTTTCAAATGCCATTTCCAATTCTTGTTGATAATGATTCCATTTGGAGGCGTAATACTCAGATTTCACAAGCATCCATAAAAAGGGAATGGTCACAACGAAGGCTATTGTGCAGCATATCGTCAAAAACACTATCAAAAAGATGAATTCGTTATTATTGGCTTGTTCATTGGCAGAAATCAATAGAGATACATATTTTGTTGCCAAACGTAAAACACCAAACAAAAATCCAGAGCATTCAATACCATAAACTACTGCACGCATGCAGTTCACAGGCAATACACGAACAGCAAGCCAGATCTGACTATTCCAGCAGGACATGCAGATACTCAATGCCAAGAAGAGAAGAGTCACCATGTAAACATCATTTGTTCTTAATAGAATTACCACCAACCATAATACACATGATACAACCAGGGAAAATCCAGTGAGAATGGCCATCGCCCATCGTTTATCTGCTTGTTTTCCTCTCCTAACCAAACCAACTGCAAAATAGACGATTAAAATGATTGGATGACCTATTCCAAGTCCAGAAAGCATCAACACAAGAGTCGTATAATCAACCTTGTTATTCCGATACATGAAATAGTCCCATGACAAGATCAAAATATTGTAAATCATGGGATAAATCAAACCTTGTAACAAACAAATGACTAGCATGAGGCGGGGCGGATTTTCATCTTGTTGTTGTTCTCCAGAGTTGAGTTGACCTGATGATAATTGCTCTTCCAACGAGGAGGATAAAGGGGTGGCTGTCAATGGACGAAGTTCTTCATCTCCGTTATTCAACAGTCCAGACTCGGATGGATATGGGGAAGAGCCATGTTGCATTTTTCTGGGTTTGATTTCGAACGGTTAGGCAAGTATGTGGAGGCACGACCACCGGTGCAGCTGGAGTTGGTTTCCAAATCCTGTCCAATAACGGCACGTTTGGGTTTTTTGACATCTAGGGCGGAGTTTGTTGTAAATCAACAGAAAGATGGTTGGTAAAACGGATTATTTATTCTTCGCCGCGTGTACGTGCGCATGACTAATAGTTGAATAAATAAGATTTACATTACCTTTTCTATCCTGTAATTCAGCAAGAGTACAACACAAATAGATGCAACAAACATATGCATCAGTCTCATACAGGATGACATTATTAAGCGTGCGCTGATTAAACATCCCATGGTAAACCATGAGGCATCCTTTGGACTGAAATCAGTTCAAAGAGCATCCCACTAAAGTGAGGCATCCTATTGCGATGCAATAAGGCATCCCATGATTAAAATCATAAGGCATCCCAATGTATTGAGGCATCCCAGCTCAAATGGCCAAGGCATCCTTTGGACTGAAATCAGTTCAAAGAGCATCCCACTAAAGTGAGGCATCCTATTGCAATGCAATAAGGCATCCCAAGTTGAGACATGAGGCATCCCACCCAAAGGTGAGGGAGTTGTGGAAAGCCACAACTATGTTTGTTTATTTCAGAGGTGGATTGGGAGGAGGGTGGGTACTTTTCAATTCTTTGAGAGAAAGTGATTCTATCACCTTTCTCGAAGTAATTGATAATAATTGTTCCATATCACAAGTAATGTAAATTTTTTGAAAGTGAAAATTCAAAAAATTAGTCAACCAACCACTTTTATTGATTACAACAAACCTCAGTAAAACTCCCTTTTACTACCGAATTTGTTGTAAATCAACAGAAAGATGGTTGGTAAAACGGATAGATACCGCTAAAAACCCATCTGGCGAGATACATTCTTGTCAGATGCGAATCCAGCTCTGAAATAGGCATCTATCGCATTGGAGGACCAATCACCTAGAGCTTGGATTGCTGTGTGAGAGAAACCAGCAAATGCTGCCTCTGACGCTCCTCCAATTCTTAAGGAATGACTAGAAAAAGAACCCGAAATCTTAAGGCTGGTTGCTACAAATCTAAGAATGTCCGAAATTTTAGCCGTGGATAAGGGAAGGTCATCACCAAACAAATACTTTTGAGGGTTACACACTTTCCATAACCTAAGCTAGACGACAGGACATCTCCTGGAGTTCGTTGCCTCAATTTCGATGACTCTTCCTTTCTTGCTTCGTTTAAAATCATTCTTCACTTTTTCCACAACAATTCTGATTCCGTTAATGTTGTTCTTGTTAATTTCTACCACGTTGGAGGTTAAAATACTACCCAACTCAGATCCTCGTAGCATGGACCTGATGCCGATGATCATAAGGGTCGTATAAAAAACATAAGTTCTCCTGTCGACAAAGTTACACCCTTCGAGAATCCACATATCAATGTACATAATACGCCACTCGTTTCGTTCAATCTCGTATGAAACTGGTGCCATGTTGATCATGCAATCAACTAGAGATGAAATATGTTCACCCACCACGTCAATCCATTTGAACTGATTACATCGCTTCTTAATAGCAAACATTGCCAGTTTACAATTTTTTCCGGACCTACATTTAAGAAAAAGACACACCAGAAAATTGTAAACATCCATCTCTGTGGGTGGTATTGCAATATTTCTCTCATCGCACCATCTAACAAATCGATTCCAATAACTGTCATACGTAGTGTTTGTGGACTCACGACCCGCACCGGCCTTTTCAATTAGTCCACCAACTGATGTTAGTTGGTCATCCGAAAGTCGATTAGGGTCGCCTCTAATAGCCAAGAGCTTTTCTTTTGCGGTTCGCATTTCCCTGACCGAGAGGGTCTGAAATCTATTCCAGACATTGGTACTGACCGAACCTTGCCTTCCAGCAGTAGTGGCCACCAGGGTTTTGCCTTCCATACTGGGTGAACGAGTATCATTTGAGATTGGTAAAGTTTGCAATGCTCTAGCACCTTCTGGATAATGCTGAACGGCACGCAGCACCAATTTAGCTCTTCCTTGGGCCAATAGCAACTGAATGCATCTGCGGGCTGTTCTCTCTTGGTCCTCTTCCACACCATGTATTGAGGAACCTTGAAGTTGTAATTGCTGGCGAAACGGTCGAACTGAACTTTCACCTGCAATTGATGTTGAACTCTTTCGAATGCCTCTGGGGTTACTTCCCAATCTCCGAAATCCATCTCTTCTGTGGTTTTCAACCTGCTCAATTGATCGGCGATCGAATTTTGGGACGACGGTAACCATTCCACAGCAACTAATTGAATGTCGTATTGGAATACTATTCTCCAAATACCTTCCACAATCCTTTGAATTAAGGAATTTTTGGAACGACCTTTTCGCAAAGAAAACACTATCACTTGAGAGTCTGAAAAAATTCTCAAACACTTTCCCTGAATAAGGGGAGCGACTTTTTCCATGGCAATAAAAATGGCTTTTGCTTCCAAAACATTGATATGCATATGATCCATGCCATAAGTAGACCAAGAGCCGTGTAAGGTAAAATTCAATAATGGCATTGTAGCACCAAAGCCGGATAAAGAGGCGTCCGAAAAAAGTTCGTGGATCAATGACGGAAACAAAAATAATCGACCGTTCCAATGGTGAATGTTGCAAAGAATCCATTGTAATGCGTTCGATAACTGGTGGTCTTTCACACGGTGTAGCGTATCCCATCCATCCTCTACCATCTTGAAAATTCTTGAATAAATGGGATTGAGAGCAATTAAGGCTGGTTGAAAACAGTGTACATATGACATAACAGAGCCAGCCAACTTGGCAAGGTCTCGGGCGGAAAAGGCCTCCTCTCTGTGCATTTTTGATAGGAGGTTTTTGCATCGAGCAACTATTTTCTCCACACCCTCTTCGGGAATAGAGAGAGTCATGCAATTCAGATCTACCAATGCTCCTAATAATAAAAAGACTAAGGAAGGTTTGAAACAACCTTTTGAAGGTTCTCTTACAAATCCATAAAAATCCAGCCTTAAGCTTAATCGAACAAGCTTGTTGTAGGAATCTAAGTAAGAGATACATAACACAGCCATAAAATCGTCCAAATAATTGGACAATGTATAGCCTTCTATTGTTAACAATCGAACACCTTCGTCTACTATCTGAGTGAAAAAGAATGGGCTTCCATTCCATCCAAATGTCAAAACTGTGAAGCAAAGAAGATGACCCATAAATTCGATCACAATCTTGTCTCGATCTTCTTCTCGCACCTTCACTTGGTGATATCCTGATAATAAATCGAACGTAGCACAAAACTTTTTCCCACCACTGCGAATGTGATCCAAACACTTGCTCAGAGTTTTGTACTTGAACTTTGGGATCTCCAAACAATACTTGTTTAGGGGACGAAGATCCACAATTAATCTGAATTTCTTCTTTCCTTTCTTCGGTACCAATCGATACTTGGCCACCACCTTCGGAGTTCCTTGGAAGAATTCCAATGCACCAATAGATAACATCATACATATCTCTTCCGTTAGAAATTCTCTTTCTTCCTTCGACCAAAGGGATATATCTACTCTTCCATAGTAAGGGATGAAATACTTGCTGACCATAATTGGAACCCCATCTTTCAAAAGACCCACAATCTCTTTTTTGGCACCCATCATTTCCCATTGTCTCCACTTGTTGGAAATCGAATGAATAGCCTTCTTCCTGAAGGCAATTTCTTCCATGTGAGTATCTTGGAAAAAACTGAAGGATTTCGTAGAGAGAACTGTGAGGGCCTCGTTGTTTATTGGCTTTCTCATCATCCCTCATCTTTTTGCGACACGTTTCTTTAGTGTGACCTGGTTTCTTACAATATAGACATACTATATTGCTAACATCTTTCTCTGGAGTAGGGATTTTCAATTGTTGTTTCAACACCTTTGCATCTTTGTCGCTCTTACCCACTGCTTTCAGCGCCCAAGAGAACAGGTCCGCTTTTTCTCTCAACAACGGGTTGAGTGTAGAGGAACTAATTATCTCTGCCGCTTGCTGGTGCTTCTGTCTCGCAAGGAGAACAAATGCACGATTCTCGACTGAGTCAATAGCCCGTTGCAACTCTTCATCTTCATCCTTATTCTTGAGCTGTTTCTTCAACAGAATCTTGTAAATAGCTCCAAGAGAACTAAACTCCTCCACTTCTTCCTTCCTGACTGAGTTACGGTCAAAAACAGTAGACACCCGTTCGTTGGCAAGAGATTCGGCCATACAATCTATTTGAAATAGATTCAAATCAATACTCTTCCCACTCTTGAGTAGCTCGAGAACCCTATTTCGTTGACCATTAGCTAGGGCCGCTGGTAGCTGGTCATCACAGACATCCCTTTGTGAAAACGCGCCTTGTTGAGTCAAATCAACCATGATTTGGTTGATGTCTCGTTCGGCCGATGACTTTGCTTTCTTAACCTCATCACGCATAAAGTCTAACTCTTCTTCTAATTCTCTAATCCTTTTTGACAGCACTTCACTTGAGACCTCTTCTTCCTCTACTTCCTCTTCTACCTCTTCCTCTTCTGTCCGTTCCGGAACTACTCTCAAATCCTTGATTCTTCTGAGTAATTCTTTCTTACTTGTAATTTCGTTGGACTGGTCAGAGGGGTAGCAAGATATTAAATCATTAACAACATCATTCTTCTTCCCTGCTGGGAAAGCCTTCTTGAGTTTGCTGTAGATACTTTTCAATTCTTTGAGAGAAAGTGATTCTATCACCTTTCTCGAAGTAATTGATAATAATTGTTCCATATCACAAGTAATGTAAATTTTTTGAAAGTGAAAATTCAAAAAATTAGTCAACCAACCACTTTTATTGATTACAACAAACCTCAGTAAAACTCCCTTTTACTACCGAATTTTGTCTCATTAACAAACACTGAACGACACAACATCAAAAAAACCTAAAACCCGATATGAAAACTTCGAGTTGAGTTGTTTGCTTCCAAGGAGTACTTGGCCAAGGTTATGAAGAAGGTTTGAAAGTGGGTCTTTTACCACTTCATGCATAGAGATGAAATTATCAAACGGATGAACGCTCCATGCTTCGTGAAAGGAACAGCGAGCTGTATACTTCTTAAGGTGGACATGAGAAGACCAGAGCTGAAGGGTAACGAAACCCTGTGGTGAACTGAATCAAACAACAGATATGGGAGCAAGTGCGAGTAGATCTGTTCCAGAAAAGGAAACCGAACCGGTCAGAACAAAACCTCCATTCGATTTAAAAAAGCTATGAGATCAGTCTTTGTCCGTCATCAAAAAACAAAAAACATCCAAACAAAGATGACTTCTATTACATCTACCAAGACAGTTTTGCTTCTCATGATGACTGTCATCACTTCCATGCTCATTATTTCTTCAAACATGCAAGTGTTTACAAATGTGATGGGAGCCAGCTCTTCTCCAGTAATTCTCTACACGGACGCTCTCTCTGGTCCAACCTCTGGAGGAGAAAATGGGTTGGGCTGTTACTTGTCAATCTTTGGACGAAACTTTGGCTCTCCTTCAGGAATGGGTTCAGTAACGAAGGTGCTGATTGGAGGTTATGAGGTGGCTAACTATCGCTATTTAGGAAATTCCACTGTGGCTGCCAAGCTAGGCATTCAACAAATCACGGTTCAGGTTGGTTCACTGGGAGGAAAATCCAATGTCAACGTTTCTCTTCCTGTGGTGGTCTCTGTGAATGGTGTTTCAAGCAATAATGATCACAAATTCATTCCAACGAATGGACGTGTCTTATTTGTGGCCCTTAACGGTTCAGACAGCACAGCTCAATACAATAATATGAACAAACCATGGCGTTACTTGCAAAATATGGCTGCCTATTCTGGCGTTTATTTTGCAATGAGTAAGGGAGATCATGTGGTAATTCGAGCAGGTACTTGGACTGATTGCAATGGTCTCAATACGAATTGGATTCAAGGCAGTCGTTAACCTTGCACACGTGCAGGAACTCCTTTCCAATGGATTCATTTCACAGCCTATCCAGGACCCATTAACGGACACGCCATTGAAGTAGTTCGTCATTCCGCTCCTGCGGGCAAGTCTGGCTCTATTCCAGGTCCAGAGAGCGCTGTACCAGATGGGTCAACACACAACCGAATATTGGTCAATTTCCAATCTTCATATGGATGTTCAGGGAGGTGCAGAAGGAGATGCTGCTCCATTTAATTTTCAATATATATTGAACCACTTTAGAACTTTTTCACTGTGATTAACGAAATTCTTCAAGACATTGGAACCTCTAAGAAGAAAAACCATGCGTGGGATAAGGATTTGTCAGGTCCTCAAGAAAACAGAAAGAGAATTCCTCGCAGCCAATTAAACTGTGATCAACAAACGGTCAACAAAACAGTTCGCTTACTTAGACATGTTAGCCATTTGTGAGTGCTTCGAAAGCTAGCTAGTATTCGAACATAACTCGTTACCAGCCACACAGGATAACCATCACAAGTCGTGTCCCAATTTTCATACGTTCTATTAAACTAACAACCTTAAAAATCTGCTAAAAGACGTTGAAAATAATTCAACTCTAGAATTTTCTGATCAAAAGAACGTATGGCTTCAATACAACTTATTGTTTTGCTCATGACATTCTTTCAATAGTTTCAAATACGAGGAAGTGGAAGAATAACCATGAGAGAATGAAAAGAGCATGGTTGCGATTAAGGCAACCACTTCAATATGATCATTGAAAAATTGAATCACTCCTCCACACAAAAGAAGGAACAGCGGAATTAGCGGTAATCGTGAAAGGCTCAACAACACGCTAATCCATCGTCTTGGGAAGGCACAATTGCAAGATGTGAAGGCACCCATCTCCTGAATGTTATTAAAAAACTCATATATTGTTATATTGGATCATCTCAAAACACAAGCTGGATGAATCCAATGTTGTTTACAATGTAGAAACATTTATAAAATTAAAAAACAGCAAACGATCAAAGTCAAAAAGGATCTAATACAACTTGAGGTGGATGCACTTCCAACTCTTACGGTACTTCTTTCAGTACTGTTTGCAGTATTATTACCGTTGTTTGTGTTATTGGAACTGTTTTTGGGACTTGCAACTAAGGATGGAATTTCAATACGATATGCGTCAACGTTTTCAGCACTATTAACATTCCAATTGGAAGTAAATGCAATCATGGTTAAATCACGGTTAACGCTAGCATGTGGTTCAGTCCAGTAACCTATATGAAGCATAATTGAAAAAGTCATGATAATCAGAATGAACCAGTAGTACTTCTTCAACTTACCGTTGGAAATGGAACGATGATGAGCAAGAGCGTAAATTGGCTTTGATACGTTCAAAGGAACTAAAAGAATCTTGTCATGCAACCATTGACGAGGGCCACTCATTGCATATGTTGAAATGACAACCCATCCAGGGACATTATAACCTTTTCCACTCACATGCAATGCAGTGGTTGATCCATCAATATAGGTTGGAAAGAGATTGGTTCTTTGTCCAGTTTTAAGATTTGTCATAAATACATCACCACCATTGGCTTGATAATCAATTGATACATAGATGTCCTCTCCCAGTTCATTAATAGCCAAATCTGAATGTTCTGATTTAGTGTGAACTTTTTTCTTTTGAGTAAAATCCAAAGAATGAGCAACTGTTCCACTCGCATCGTCACCCGACACCACACAATATTTACCACTTGGACTTGCACTCACATGATCTGGTCTTACTCCATTTGTATTTAAAAATCCAATGATTTGATCTTGAACCAAATCATAAGATATCACACCCACACTATTCCAGCTGGAATCATCAACCATGAAACACCAAAACCGAGCATCCTTGGAAGGACTTCCCTCTGACTTGGTCCATGCAGCATTGGCCGACGGCCATCTGGTCTTAATTCTTGACGCCAAATCAGCAACGGTGGTAATGATACCAGTGATAACGTTAATGGAATATATCTTCATTCCAACCCCATTCGTTGGTAAATAATACAATACTTCTGGATTTGTTGGATGCCATTGAGGTTCTGCATCTGCAGCAGGTCCAATCAACTTTTTCACATGGGCGTTCGTGTCAGTTCGAAACACATGCCAAAATCCATCCATGGCATAAACTAACTGTAGAGTGCTATTGGAATTGAACGATTGTCGACGCGAATAATCATTTCGACCAAAAGTTGACAACCCATCCGTAGCATGATTTGATACTCTCACAATACAGGTCTTGTAAGTGGGATCTGCCGAGGAATGATCTTCTGAGGTTGAGGCATGAAAGGAATTGACTCTTTGGTGTTTGCAATCATAAACGTGAAATTGGAAGTATAAAAGTTGGAGCATGGAGTTTGAAGAGATGCAACAATATTGGGTTGTATGTGACAAGCAACGTAGATTACCATTACACAGGCAAGCACAGCTTTCAGCGCAAATCTTTGCACAAGAAGGGTTTTGGAGACCATGATTTTTTTTTATGCTTTCAACAAACAATCAGAGAAGAGCATGAGATGAGCTCAAAACCGTGATGGACTTTTCACTCCTCTCACGTAATTCGAGATAACTCAGATAACAGTTGAAAAATCGAACACCAGATCTATCGAAACTGATTACATCGGAAAAATGGCTCAATTACTGATTGGTGGGAGATTAATTTGCGCGGGATATATTCAATGTATCGTGATCTTATTGTCATGAGTCGGTTTTTACTTGACTCTTAGCACAACGCCGTGGTGTGATTAAGCCAGATCTGACTGTTCCAGCAGGACGTGTCCAGTTCCAAGACAAGATCAAAATATTGTAAATCATAGGATAAATCAAATCTTGTTACAAATGACTTGCATGAGCCGAGGAGGATTATCTGGAACTGCAACAGATTTGGCTCTGGAAATGCGTATGTTCAAATGGAGCAATGTGTTTCGTCGGTATTACTGATACCAGTTACGATTTTATGAGTTTGTTATATTGTACCAATGGACTTTCTCCTACACCAAGTACTTTTGGATATTCATCCGTGCGAGTATAAAGAAAGAAACCAATTGAATGGCTTTTTCAAAAAATATATTCAACTCTAAACAAGCGTCCATTCAATTGTTTAAAGAATTGCATCAGTTATCGTCGAAGGTAAAAACCTATATCAACAATCCAAGTACTCTTTAATAGGATGGAAGTGAAAAACAACCAACAGCGAGAATCTTGTTTCGTTACTCATGAGAAGCCTCAAAACAACCAATAGCGACTGGATCATGCATGTGATGATTTTTAGCAAATTGAGAAGCGAGAAAGCAGGCACGACTCTCATTCGAAGGTCCCCAATGATGTTCTTTCAGATGCACCAATTTTCCAACATGATAAAACAATGAAAATACATATCGATGATATCCTGTTCCTTTGGGTGGTGCAGAGCCCATATAATCTGCAACATTGGAAACTTCTTTCATACTCACTGATCCGTCGTTATTAATTTTCATATTAGCCTTAATCCAATGCAGCCACTCACGGCATTTGGGATCTCTTCTAGAAGGAGCATCCGGATCACTCATAATCAAAGTAAAGAAATGTCCAGGCTGATACTTGTTGAGATCTTTGACTGTAATGTGAACGGTGGGTTCATGTTTCACCTGGGAAGGAGTCATTTTACTTCCATACGAAACTTTTTCATTATTGTAAAGAATTTCCATAGAAAAACCGTCTCCTTGATCAATGGAATCCACTGAGGGAAACATGTTTGGCACAATTTCCAAATCTTGTACTTGCTGAGGAGTGAGCATGGTTGAAACTTGAGAAGTGGAAGTTGTGAATGGATGAAATGGTTGTTGGTGCGGTTTTGAAAAAGCAAGCTGCTGAATAGTCCTGGTTATTGAATTCTTATGAAGAGCAGAGGAAGAACAGACTTTTTTTGAAAGCATTTCCATGTGACATAAACTTAACATGGCAAACAGAAGGATTGGTAGCAAACTAAATAGAGAGAATTTCCAATTCCTCATGGCGAATGTTTCCTTTTTTTGTCGCTCAGTAAAATTTCACATGCGTTCATTGGATGAAAACATTGCAATTTCTTGTTAAGGATAAACTCCATAAATAAAACTCGTTTAAATCAAATTTGACTAGTCAAAAATTGGCTGAAAGACGGATTTGAACCGCCGACCCACGGATTAAGAGTCCAGTGCTCTCCCTGCCTGAGCTATTCCAACCAAGAAGTTAGCAACGTGGCATTCTTTTTGAGATGGTGAACAAGGAAATCTCTCAGGAAGGGTCTTCCCTGAAACTGAATCATAATCCAACACGCACAAGTTGACAATTACCTCTAAGTTACACACAACGATTCCATTTATTGGAATGACGTAAATTCAAACCCTGCAAGCTTAATTGAGGGTTTCAGGAGCTGACGAAGTGCTGGTCATTGTATGCTGATCGGTATTACCGATGGAGGTTGCAAAAGGAATGGTTGGGCCATCTCGGTCAACTTTTCTAGTACATTCTCCGACCTTACAAAAGACAACGTGACTATATTTTCGTTGGACAGAGTTACTGCTGGTTTGGCCAGTTGCCATTCGAACGTAGAATTTGAACATGCTACTAATACAATCATTGATTGTGATTACCAACTGTTGATCTTCCAATGTGAACTGGGCAGACCTTCACATGCCTGAGATGAAAATCCAAAACATTTCGCCAAATCACAAGTCCAATAATTCATATCAATCAAATACAAGGCGAGCATAATTGAACATGAAGCAATGACCACTGGAGAATATTTCAATACTTGATAGTTTTGTAGTTGCATTTCACAAAGATAATATGAAAGGTATTTGACAATGTTATTGTCTACAACTCCACAATTTTCTAAAAACTTTTCAATAAAATCGTAAGGCTGAACGGAGCAAAGCTCAAACTCAAGCTCATTTAGAATACGTTTCTCGATTGCCAAAATTTCTTCTCTTCCAAATGCATGATCTGCAATGTAGATAAACTCCTTAATTGGAGGAGGGCTAATCTCACAAAATTTTGAAGAAATAAACAGTGCGGTCACTCCAACCGCTTGTAGCTTGTTTCTTCGAACAGCAATTTTGGAGAGAGCTCTATCCAAAATATTCACGCTCAAGAAAAGTGTTTCAGGAGTGAGACGATAGGTTGAAGCCACTTCGTTCATCCAGTCAATTAGAATACATCTCATTTGTTCATTGATGTCGGTTTGTACCTCCCCAATGTAGTTGGGATTTGGTTTGTTTTTAAATTGGTTCATTCTCATGTTGGAAAGAACATCACTCTCAACATCCTTTGCAAATATCACACTTCTCATGGAGTGTGCTTCGTCAAGTGTTTTCGGTGGTTTTTGTATTAAAACACAGTTCGTTGTATCAATTGTACCACTTCCAGAATTGTGTGCTCTATAGTAATAGAGTGGTTGCAAGGAGGGTAACAAGTTTACTGGTTCCTTATCTAGTTCGTCATCAGATTCTGAGATTTGCTGTTGTTGATTGTGTTCTGCATGGGTGTGTGGTTGTTGGTGATTTGTTACTTGAGGTCGTTGAGGAGGTCGTTCATCATTATTATGAGAAAAATATGACGAAGAGGTGTAACAAGGAATGCTAGTCGTTACAGCTGAGGGTTGTGGTGCAAAGAATGAGGTGGGAGGAATGAAACCACAAGCAGCAGAATTCGCAGAAGAGGTATAGAGTGGAAGACCTGCGAATGAGTTACTGTAATTGTGACCTGTGCTACCACTATAGCTATGCTCGGAGCAAGTTTCGTCAAATCCCATCGAGACATCATCATCGTATTCCTCAGAGTACATGGATTCATCACCATACTCAGAGTCAGAAAAGTCGTCGTCATCTTCAGCAATTGCAGCCTCAGCATTCTTAACAGCATTAAACTCTCTAAGGTTGTTCTTTGGTGTTGGGTTCTGATTTTCTAAAATTGAGGTTTGAGGATGATGGAAAGCACCAAAGCCATTAGAGGAGAGAGACATGTTAGAAGTTCTGTTCGTGAGATAATTCATGGTATGAGTGTGACCTTGATGAGTTGATGATAATGAGGATTGTGACGTAGATGAAGAATAACAGCTGTTTACTTCATCGTCGTCAGCCAATAGTTCTTCTTCTTTCAGTAAATGAAGCGCTGTATGAACGGCAGAGGATTCCCGCCTCGAAAAATTGTCTGATCTCCCGCCAAATTTACCGTTACTCAAATTTGAAAATGAGTTTTGTGGCAAAGATGCAAAAACGTTGTTAGCACTCACAGACGAGTACAAGGGTGGTCTGTTTGATGCATAAGTTTGGCTAGGTGGTGCCATAGATCCAGCACTGAATTGTCGTGATTGTTGTTGTTGGTGATGATTGATTTGTGGAAGAAGAGAAGGTTGTACTCTCGAACCTTGATTATTCTGTGTATGTTGGTGGTTAGGTTTTGTTGTGTATGAATGGGTATTTTAAAATGTTGTTGTTGTTGCTGTTGCTGTTGAGAGGATGTAAGTTTTGGCTTACCATTTGGAGGCAAATTTCTTTGGCTTCCAGAGTAGTTGGTTACATCTTTGAGTATTTCTCGTGTTGGGTGTGGTTGTTGTGGATGAGAGTAGTGTTGATATTGTTTGTTGTGATGATGAATATTTATGTTTTCATCATTTGTTAAGAGTGTTGGATACGAGTCCACTCGTTTCAAAGTGTTGCCCGTGTGGTGAGTGTTGTTGGATTTTCTGGGATTTTGCATCATGGAAATATGGAAGAGAGGTATTGTTGGCTTGCTTCATAGAGTTGTTAGAAGAAAAGAAATACGTTTCTACAACACCCGATTTCAAAATGAATATTAAAGAAAGAACGGCCCGATGATGAGAGAGAATACAGAATTCTTGAACGATAATGAGAAATGATGATCGTTCCAGCTCGCCAACACTGCTTTAGCTTTCCGTGCGTGAATGGTTATCTTTCTCAAGAAATGATTCAGCAAATGAATCCCAAACACAACTCCCGTAATTTGGATGAGAGGAGTGGTGGTAGGAGAGGACGTTCGGGTGGAAAGCAAGAGTGTGTTGAATTTGTTGTGTGAGTTGTTTTTTTGCGAAGGTATGATGGATGAAAAAAATTGGGCGAATGGAGGTTGTTGACCCAGCACGAAAACATGTGGGCGGCAATTCCAACCGTTAGACTTCTAGATATGCTCCAAGATGACATTAATTTGGAAATTTCTTGATTCACTTTATTTGAATCTTGAATGAGACATAAATATTGGCTGAGGGTCGAACGGTGTGAAGCAATGATAGGTTGAAACAAGCAAATGAAGGTCAAATGCTTTGAAAAGTGAATTGGTATCATGACTGATCCAAACGTCCAATGTAGAAATAGTCTCATCTCATTTCAAAGTAACGTTGGCTCATCCTGTTCCAAGTGGCATTTGCAACAGGGTCAGAGACAGGAACCACAGACAACCTCTTGTTGAATTACAGTTTTAAAAAAAAATTTGAAAGAGATAGTAAGGCTCTCAGCTGAAATTTCTCTCTCGGCTGTGGCTACAAATCCATCACAGTCGGTCCGAAAGAAAAATATTAGAAAATTTTCAAGAATTGTTTGAATGATTATTGAACAATTGAATGATTTTTATAGTCCGATAGCATTCGGTTCTTGCTTTCAATTTTTCTAATTTTTAATTGAAGCCAAAGTTCAAATCGGATTGATTATTATTGTACATTAATAACAAGTATTGAAAAAGAAACATATATTTAATTCAATCTCCGTTTTAAATATGAATACATCATCCCTTCAACAACACCCCTATCTCTTCCTTTGCAAGGCTGTAAACGACCATCATCATCATTAAAAAACAACGATGAAGCCTTTGAATACGATTTGAATAGCTCGAGAGGAGCCAAAAAAACTCCAAGATCCGAGAGTTTAAGCAATTTGTATTTGAGAGGAGTAGCTAAACCAAGGAGCTCACCAAACACCCTCACTGGTCATTTACATCATCACCACCCAGCCCGAACGAGATGTGTCTCAATACCGAGTACCCCTATTGTGTATCCTGCATTTGACCTCTCTCCCTCCATTAGTCCAAGCACTCCAACACTATTTAGTGACGATGATGTTTTTGCAACAGCAGGTAGCCCTCCAAAACGAGCACATAGCTCTGCATCCACCATTCTTCGAAAGCATCTTCATCAACAACAACGACCGAAATCTGTCTCAACAAATTATCCAAAGCAACGAGTAGTCAAGCAACCACTGAGTATGAAGGCATCCACAATTCAAATCCAATTCTTTCAAGACAACAGCCAACAACATTCTCAACACTCTGCCTCCATCACTAGTAATCGTCATAATTTGTCAACAGGTTCAGAGAGTCAACAACAACTGACCAATTATCCGGTATCAGACCAGCCATACCACTGCAACACATCCATAGTTACTTTCCATGACCATTCTGTAGAATCAAATTCCATTGCTTCCCACAGCAGTAGACCTGGAAGTGGAGCAAGCACAAAAACATCAAGCACCTTAAACAGTGGTAGAAGAGCCTCCTCAGCCGACTACCGAAGATCCTCAAGAGACAATTCCAGAATTTCAACAGATGTTGAGGATATGAGTAGGCCTTCGTCATGGAAGCCAGGAGGGACACGAAGTACTCCTCTTGAAAATCTGAACTCTCCCAAGCGAGTATTACTCACCAAAAGAAAATCCTTTTCACAATTGTCACCAGCCCTAAAAACTCAACTGGAACAAATTAAGTCTGTACCATTATTCGTTTCAGATGATATTGACACGAAGAAGAGTGTGAAAGAAAGCGTCAGCCCTCTTTTCCTAAATCAAATTATTGAATCTCTATTCATGAAGGAAGATAAGTTAATTGAAAAAGCACGACTGTACAAAGATTTTAAGGATGGAGAAGATAAACTGTCGAGAGCACCCTCCACCATTTCAAATTCATCTCCAAGAAGTTCCTCTCTTTCCTTAAGACAAAGCACCTACACAAGTGTGACCCACAAAGACATGCCCTCGTTCACAGGAGTGAAACAATCTCAATTGGCCTCAGAAAATCCGTTTTTTATTCCTTTATCGCATGATCACGATCAGACAACCAGTTTTCATTCTTCACCAAAGAAGCCATTAACAGCATCTCAGACAAAACGAAGAAGTAATTCAACAACAGGATTCAAAAAGAAATAATTTGGGGTGAGACACCTATGATTGCAGCTTGGTCAAAAAACGCTCAGGTCTACGAGGGTTAATAGTTGAAAGATTGAGGTTATTTTAGCAAATTTTTCATTCCACCTAAAGAAAGTATAGTTTCTGACCTCTCTTTCAAGAACGAAACATAGTTATCATTCTCCTCTGAGCAATACTCGACACTTTGAATCAGTGAATAAAAGTTTTGTGATGTGTTTTGAGAATCTTCCTCGCTGCCTGAATCATCGAGAGGAGATGCAGCAGAATAATATGTTTTCAATAATGTGGGCTTGGGAAGTAAGCTCGAATTCAGAGCTTTGATTGCCATTAAGAAATATGTCAAAGGTAACGAGGTTGAATACATGGATGGATCCAAATGTTCTTCACGTTGTCGTTTAAACTCTTCAAGAAATTGTAAATTATCTAATGGTGTCACTGTAATTCGTTGCTTGTTGTTCGTCACATTTGAAGCTTTCACAGAATTGTTGATATGTTCAACGAGAACTGCATGATAATAATTCAACAAAGTATTGTTGATCACTTCAGAGAAATGTTCAGAAGATACAACAGAAGAAAATGATGGATCTGTCTCCAACGCATACAACATCTTCTCATAATAATACACATCTCGAAAATCCTTGTCATGAAGTTTTTGAATGAGAGTTCGCATTAAATAAGACCACTCTTTGGAATTGTCATGTAAAGCGTTTCTACTGTTTTTCTGTTGTTGAGATTGTTTTTTGACAACTTCCGCCAATACTTGATCGGTAACAACGAACAGATCTCGAGTAATGTACTGAGATAGTGTGGAAAGTGGTAACAAGTGAACTCCAACGGTTGCAAAATGTTCTTGAAAACCAGTAGGTGACGGGAAATTAGTTTCTTCCAAACTCACATGCAATTTTTGTAATAAATTAAAATACCACATGGGATAAGGCTGTTCTAAAGTGTTGCTCTTTTCTAAATTAATTTCATTGTTCATTGATGAATGTAGTTGCAACATTTCCAATTTCCGTTTCTGATTGAACGTGTGTAAAATCTCCGTCACTGTCGTAAACAAGTGTTGTGAGAGGTGAAACAATGTAGTAGTATAGTCGAGGATTGTTTTCATTCTGGTCGCTTTTGTTGGTCCAGAAGATGTGTATTCTTGAAGCTCAACAGCTTGATATCTGGGATTATTGGCTAATAAAAAATAACTCAAAATATCAATAAAGTCAGTTTTTGATTTCTCTGAATAAAAATCAATCTTTTTAGAGAGTGGTGATTTCTTGGGAATTGTAAGTTGTGGTTCTTCTTCTTCCTCATCTTCTGGAAATGAGCTGCTGAAAGCATCTTCTGCACTGTCACTTCTTGAATGAAAGAAATTGTACCACTTTTTAGCATATGTTGAGTGTTTCTCGTCCAAATATTTCATTGGAGAAACGTTTCCGGATGGGTGTGACGGCGATGCAGATCCTTGAATGATATGATTTTTGTTATGAACAAGGTAGGCAGCGAGAGGAATGGATTTTGGATCATTACTAATGTTAGACTTGACTTGTTTGAAAAGATCCAAAGCACATGATGCCCCATCTCGTGGAAATGAAGACACTCGTACAATGTTATCATACTATTTCAAACCAAAAAGTTCCAATAAACAAGGATGACAAAGTCTATCAAAAATTCAAAATAGTTTGTGAAATACTTACAGAACGTGTGAAACTAGTGTTTCCCATGACATTGGCAATTTTAGTGCTAACAAATGGATTCTGCTCACAGTAGCAACTATCTACAAATACGCTTTCTCCTCCACATTCTAGCAGAGATATAGGAATGTGTCTTAAAAACTCCTTGTCAGGTACTGATGTGCTTGTAGTTGATCCCTGAGTAGTCGAAGAATGAATCATTCCTTGCAACTCCATATATCCTGCACCTATTAAATATTCCATAAACAGAACTTCATCGTCCACAAGTGTCAAAAATTCCTCACACAATCCACAATTAGTTTTAAACGGCTCGCAAAGGGTACGTATTATACGATCCGTAAAAATATTATTTCTAAAGTGTGTAATAGCCAAGTGTAAAAATTGTATCGTAATCTTTCTTATATTTACAGAGTCGTAATCGCAAAAATTTTGAGGAGTGAAAAATTGATGTTTCTTCAATCGTACAATCCAATTTAACATGTTATCCAAGTTAAAATCATAATTATACAAATATCCACGAGATAAATCTAGGATGTAATTAGTAGAATTCGAAAGCGAGTATAAACTAAGAGCTTGCTCAATTTTTTTGCCCTTACTTCTAGACTCGGCTATAGGGTGGGTCAAGTGAGGAACTGTATCGTGTCCTATAAAATTCATAAGAGGCCAAGGTTCATGATCCTTGGAACAATCAATGATTTGTAAATACCATCCTGGAAGATATACAATCACTGTGTCTCTACATGAGCCAAAAAATAATCGTGGATGTTTTCGGGAATAACGAGAAGGGACAGGTACTGAAAAATGCATCTTTTTCTTGTGATGTAAAATAAAAATGACGGCATCAATATAATTATCTGGAAGGTTGTTGGAGAATTTTGGTTGTTGTTGACACAAACAAATACCATTCTTTTAAAAAATTTGAAGCGGTTTCATGAGTAATAATGATTTTGTAGAATAATTCCAATATAACCATGATAAAATAATCTAAATTATGAAATACGTACATTTTCCAATCGAATAATTTGAAAATGGGAATTAAGGTCATGAGAACTTGGTCCTGATCGCCACGGAGTTCGAATAATGTCGCTCTTCATTTTTAGGTTGTCACTGAGCAGCGAGCGATGAATATTCACAGGAATTAAGCATTCAAATAATTGGTTAGGCTTTTTTTCCGATATTGAAATGCATCTTAGAGAACAGCATGTTTTCCTCAGCTCGTTGTTAAGCATCTCATGAGAATCGCGCGAATTATTCATGTCCTCTCGGACTAACATGTAATAAAGTAAACTTCGCACTGGATCGTATTGCCACCACACAAAGTGTTTCACAAATATTACAAGTTCTTCAATGTTAATGCTCGATTGTTGGTTCTTTTTGAAAATATTGATAAAAAAGTTGCTCGATGACTCTGTTATGGAAATGTTAAACATTCGTATGGACTGCTTTTCTGTGACGAGAAAAAATCTACAACTTTTGGTATCAAAACTGGAGTTGGAGTCTGCTGTCTGGGGAGGATGAATAAATTGTACACAATGGAAAATCATATCTGATGTCTGAGGTGGGCTAAAAACATATCTATTTTGTTGTTTTTGAAACTTGGAAATTGATTCTTCGCTTTTCAGGTCACTTGTACTCAACGTGGAGTTAATTTCAACTATAAAAATTTGAAAATGTACTTGGTTATTACTAACAAAAAAATGTGTAAAGGCCAGAATATTTCTCTGGTGACTGATGGAAGCATACAAGCACTTCATTTTCGTGTTGTGAATATAAATAATCTTTCGATCACCCACATTGTTTGTGATACTAGAGCTGTTCAATAAATTACTACTCGAATTGATAATATTGATATTTCCTTGAGACTTTGTTGATACAGGAAATTCCACAAGCTCAATACATGTTTTATCCTGAATATCATTTCAAATGAAAATGGAACGATTCAAAGTAAATTATTTCAATAATGGTTAAAATTAAATTGCCGTCTCCAACGAAATACGTACCGACAGTAAATCATCTCTAGCAACCAAGAATAGATTTGCTCGTTCTTGGCCAACCACATACACTGAAATTCTTTTCCGTTTGGAAGATTTCAATTGTTGTTGAAGGTCACCGGAAGAATTGAGAATATTGTTCCTGTTTTCATTGGGAATTTGAGTCTCATTGGATTTGGTAGTTTGGGAAAACACCTCCGAAGACATACTGGATTGTTGTTGTGATGAGGGTAATAGTTGTTGCTGTTGCTGGCCTTCCGAAAGTACTCCCACTTGAGATTCGGTACCATTATCAGTGGTAATGATACTACCATTATGCTCTTCTGGTTCTTGCATCAAAATTCTCTGGTTAATCGTATCAAAGTCATGTTGTTGTTGATCTTCGTCCATCATGGAGATGGTTGGGTCGATCAAATAATTATTATAATTATTATTGTTTGCAGCAGTCTGACCCAGATTTGAATCCGATAAAAGGCTATGGTCGTTGTTCATGTGGCTCTCACTCGATATATGATTGGCAACACTGGGCTCATCTAGAGTGAGTGATAAACTCGACTTGTTGTCATTATTTCTACTATCCGAAATCAGAACGTTATGATTATTTGATGATGATTGTTGTGGAGTCTGCTGATCCGACACAAGTGATGATGAAACATTTAAATTTTCTTCCGTGTTTAAAAGTATTCCTCCACTTGCCCGATCAAATCAAGCCCTTGCGAAGGTAGACTTGTTGTGCTGCTGTGTATGTGATTCAAAGCGGTGGTTGTTTGGCCAAACAATGCAAACACCTCTTGGAATTTCAGCATTTTTGTTGTGAGATGCGTCGGAAAATCTGTTTAATTCAACGTTTCTGTTACTTTATGCAATGCCTTTAGATTTTAATACATTAGAAGAATGACGTGAGCTTGGAATAGAACAATTCTGGATTGGCATACATGGACACTAAATGGTTAGCACAATTGAAACGAGAGAGTGTCACCCCAGGTGGATACTGTACAGTGTCCATGAAATGTTGAACCTTCAGGTCTGGGTTAAATCCTTGGTTTGCTGCAGAAGTTTTGGCTGCGCTGACGCAAAGGTCGAGATTGTAATCAGGAACAATAAAATCATGTTTGGTTTGGAAAAGAAACATCTTTCGTTCTCCTGACAAATCCACATTCCCCATCAAAGTCTCTGGATCTAAACTGAAAGGAGGGAATCCCATCTTTCCTTTCACATTCACGATGCTGACAGCTGTAGCCATTGCAATTGTAGCCAAAGCGTCAGAGCTCACAATCTCAACAGCATTGGTGAATAAGGTTTTGTAGACATTACATGCAGCTGAATCTGTAAAGACAGATCTGAATCTTTTTTCTTGTTGAAAGCTAATAAGCACGGTGCTTCCACCCATGCTGCTCCCGAACAAAGAGACATCAGGAGAAGAAGTATTGAGAAATTAAATCTCTCCATAAGGTAATCCAACGCTCCCAACACGTCACGATGTTCATATAAACCAAACGAACCATAAGGATTCTCTAGATACTTTTCAGAGTCACCATGATTTCTCAAGTCAATCATGAACACATTGTATCCCCTTTGATACAGCATACTTGCTGGTTCTACCGAGGCATATGAAAACCGGCAGGCTCGAATTCCATGCACAATAATGACAAATTTGCTTGTCTCGTTCACAACAGGTTGCAACACCAATGTACCTCGTAAGGTTCCTCCCCCTTTTGAAACCCATTGAGGATCTCTCGATTTAAAGCTGATCGTTTCATAAACAGCTGAGGTGTTGATGTAATAAGGCCCAAATCGCTCGCTTGCATTGAACAACGTGAAATTATTTCCAGTGCAATAAGGAATCATTTCGTTCGCTGTATAATTCCAAGGCATATTCGTTCTCATCGTAACATCACAATCCACATCGGGATTTACTGAAAAAGCAAAATCATATAAGAAGGCTCCGACACTGAACCAAGCAACAATAAAAACACCCACAATGATGGCCACTATAAGAAAAGACCCACCACGATTCCTATCAAGCAATATTTCAGAATACGGGAACAAGGCCACTTCTTTTGCTTTTTCGTGATTTTAGAAAGATCCGTTTTTAAATCCTTAACGGTCGGGGAAGGCTCCGTATGATGTTGTTGTTGCTTGTATTGAGCATCTTGAAGCTCGGCCTTGTAATCCTTGAGCTCAATTTCTTGTTCCTTCAACGACCTATTGGTATTAGCCATTCAAAATTCTACAATTAAGGAAAGATGAGATGCTTTCTGTAATTAATCATCAATGTACGCTCAAAGATGGAGCAACCAGAATGAAAGAGGTTTTTTTTTTGAGGCAGCCAACTTTTCCAAACTATAGCTTCACCGAGTTGTGTTTTCGTTCATGTCTGGCTCAGAGATTTTGGATTAAATGCTGGAGATGAGAAATAACTTCTAATTTACCTTCTAATTAATAATGCACTCGTAGTGTACAGGAGCAGATTTGTGAAGAGCAAGAGACCGAACGCAAGTCGAAGGTTCGACTCTCAGCGAAATCACGAAACGTTTGGTGGCAACGCCAAAACCATAGTTCAACCGTCACACTATGTGAATAAAGTGGGTGAAAACAAGAAAGTCGAAGGTTCGATACCTGAAAGATGCAGCAATTTTTACCGAAAACATTGGCGGGCTCGTTCATCCAAAAAATTCCCAGCCAAAATTTTTCGAAAAAGGGACGAAATTGTTGGCTCAGGCGTGGAAGGGGTATTCCAAACAGGTCAAGTCCAGCAGAGATGTTCATCATCATCATTGCTAGTACATCACTTGATGTGTGTTTAAGGAAAATAAAGAAAAAAAAATGCCATCTCTCATTCCAGCATTTTCATGTTCTTTTGATGTAACAAAAAATCTTCAAATCACTTTACAATTATTGGAATATCATTTGGAATTGAGAAGTGCCTTCGGAACGAGTCATTCTTCAACCACTCATCGCAAGAATGCACTCATTAAAATTTCTATACATTATGATCATGAAATAATCATTAATAATAATTATTCAGCAACATCACAACAATCATTGCCGCCATCATCATCATTATTATTATTTGAAGGATTTGGAGAGTGTGGATTGCCTCCGAAAAAACCCAATTGTTACTTGGCTGATTTTGATGATATCAAGTGTTATTTTGAACAATATTGCAAACATGTAGAACGAGATATTAAGAGTGATAAAATTCAAACACTCTTCAATTTAGACTCAAAATTCACTCAAGAGAAAGATCATTTGCTTTCACAAATGTTTGACGAGTGTTTTACGGAAACATGTGGCGGCAGTCAGGACCAGTATTTCTCAACTCTCAAACAAGAACTTTCCAAATTGTCAACAGCAACTCATTGTGAAGACGTTGCTTCTACCACGTGTGCTACACAACGGACGGAGGTGCTTGTGACACCTCTAGTATTACTACACGCATTGGATAAGAATGAATATGTGGATCAATACGGAAAACCACATCCAGAATTTGAACATTGTGCACAGTGTGTTATTGAAATGGCTATTTTGGACTTATGGTCGAAAATTGTTTCAAAACCACTCCATGCTGTCATTGGCATTCCTGCTCCTGTCGGCAAATTTTCATTCTACACTGCTGCACTCAATGAAGACATTCAAGAAATTGTTAAAACTGCCAAATTGGGTCTAAGCAAAACCAAACATCTCAAAATCAAGCTTGACTCCAACATTGACAAGGGAATTTTAATTGTTAAAACTCTTCTTGACACTTATGAAAAAGAATATGGTGTCAGCGGTGACATGACCGCCACGAAATGGTCCATTGATGCCAACGCAGCATGGACTCCTGAACTCTCCATCGAGTTCTTGCACAGAGTCAAAAAAGAAGTACCATGTTTTATTCCATATTTTTACATGTTGGAACAGCCATTCCCAATTTCGCTCGACTCTTACACTGATCATGACGAATTATCAATCATCAAGAACAAGTGGATTCAAGTCAAGCAAGAATATGAAAACGAAGGAATACTCATTTTCGCTGATGAAAGCGTCAACACGTTTGAAAACATTCCCGTCATTTGTCCTTTCATTCATGGCATTAACATCAAACTTGAAAAAGCAGGAGGTATTCGAGGAGCCTTAAAAACAGCTCGTATTGCTCAATCTCAGTATCATTTAAAGTTATGGTTTGGTTGCATGGTATCGAGTCGATTGAGTTGTACATGTTCCTCACATCTCATGGCTCTCTCAGAAATTGGAGGCGATTTGGATGGTGATTTACTTGTGACGGAATCAAGTCAAGCATTTGAAAATGGATTTACTTGGAGGAATGATATGACATTGAATACTGGATCCATGTACATTGGTCCGCAACATGGTGAAATTATTTTACAATCCAACCAAATGGGAATTGGAGTGGAAAGAAAATTTTAACTGAGACACATTGTCAATGATTGAATGATGTAATCTTCCTCCTTTTTTGTTGGATCAAGTATTTAATTCATTCATGTTCATAAAAAGTTGATTCACAAATCGACTAGGCAGCACGAAAATTTCTGCAGCTTGATCTACCGTATGATATTATTCATTAAACCTTAAATGTTGCAGCAAAATTGTTCAAAATTGTTTATTTGTTTATGGACATGTCTTCAATTGTCCATGATTTTGAAAGTGGTAATACGACCTGTTTGCAAAAATTGTCGTGGAATGGAAAGAGCAAGTTGTGAAGTTTTTGATTATCCTCCAAGAATAATCAAAAACCCTCACCATAAATAAATGGAAATATATAAATTGGCACTGAGGCATGAACACTTCTCTCAGACCTTACGTAAATGTGGAATAAGAAGAATAATTTTCTCAAAAACATGTTCAACAAGTAGTCACTCGTGTCTCTCTCTTCCAATTTGTAAACACTCTCAAAATTGACATTTGCATGAATCATTCACATTTCCAATTAAGAAATTCCTCAAGGGTAAGCATGAGGGCATTACCATTGGCGGCTTTCTCTTGTTGCTGCTGTTGACGTTGCCAATTGAAATACTTTTCAGCAATTTTCAAATGATGTTGACAAACAAAGTATGATTGTTCCTTCGATTTGGGAATTCCAACTCTCGAATTCGGACCTCTAAGAACTCTCATCGAGTAATCCTTCAAACGTTGTAAACAATCATTGAATGCATTTAAATTCTTTTCATAACTTTCTTCAGAGGAAGAAGGAGCCAATGAACAGGTCAAGGTGCCATATTGAAGTTGAGTGGAAATGAGAATTCTCAAAATTGTTAAATTTTTGTAATCAATTTCTAATTCATGCAAAGAGAGAACAAGAGCACAGAGAGCCAATAAGGAAGGTTTAAATTCGAGTAAATCATAGCAGAGCAATTGGACGTCTCCAATGTAGAACAAGAGTTGAGATAATTCTTCTTTCATGTCGCAAGTCATTGAGCTGCTGACACTTGTCAATTCATAATCTTCCATCAATTGCATAAAAAGGAACATGAAATCAACAGTAGTCACTGAACACAACTCAAATCCAAGCACATCCAACACCAATCGTTCCAAAAACACAATTTCCTTTTTCGCTCTCTCATCATTCTCACCTACCAAATGCATCAATCGAATGTCATCTCTTCCAAAATACTTGGCCGTAATGAAAAAACAACAACTTCCCAAAGCTTGCAAATTCCGAGTTGAAATCTCCAAGTCCTGAACTCCTGTTCCAAATTGTGCAAATTTGGAAAGTGCTCGGTCTAATACATTGACACAAAAATATTTTGCCTCGGGAGGAAGTGTGAAATGAGCAACAAGTTCACACAACCAATCGTTCAAAGTCAATCGATTTTTGGCACTGATATTCACGTGAGATTTGTGGTTTCCAGAGCTCTCTCTCAGTGGTTCCAGATAGTTCGAGTTGGGAAGAAAACGTTCTTGTTTGGTGAACAAGTGTTCGAAAAATTCCTTGTCAGGTAAGAGAGAAAGAGTGTTCATCCATTTGGAAGGTGTAGAAAAAATTGAGGAGCGAGCATTGTTCTTGAGTGGTGGTTGAGGATCAAGTAAATCTACAGCGTGGAGATCAAAACTGTCATTCATCAAGACATCAGAGTGATCTTGTTCGTTCCTGGATAATAACAACAACATGGATGGATCCAAGACTTGGTCTTCATCCATTTGTCCTTGTTGTTGTTGTTCGAATCTCTCTTGGGAAGAGCCGCGGCTAATAACTCTTTGGGTCGAACCATTTTTGGAAATTGAATTCAACTTGTTAGATTTTCTTTCTGGATCGATCGAGTACAAATCATTGTCGTGATCCATCAATAACGAGGAATACTCTTCATCAGAAGCCTGAGCATCAATCTCGATGCTTTCGAAGGAGGAAGACGAAGAGGCGGCACAGAAGGATTGGCCCGTACCTGCAACTGTCAGTTGTCGTTCTTCAAAATCTTGTCCATCCTTTCCCTTTCCTTCAACAATATTCTCTTCATCATTCATGATCGAGTCTTGAGTCAAGAAATCTTCTCCAAGTCTTCTTCTACTCTGTGAAAGTAATTTGGCTTTCATTTTGTGTGGATTTTTACAAAGTAAATTTCTTTTGACGCCTCTCTGAATGTTTTTTACAATTTTCGCAAGCTGCACATGAGGTTCCAAATTAGGGGTATGACAGTCGGCAGCTGAGTCTTGAGAGTGGATTGTTGGAGGATAGGTACTTGGTGGTATAACAAGATTGGAGTTAATAGAGTGAGCACTTTTGGAGGTACGTGTGGTAGAGAGTTTGTGGTTTGTGTTGGAATGTTGATCGAGAACGAAACCTTGGGCTGAGATGTTCTGATTTTGAGAATTTTCATGACTTTTGACAGCCATATATTTCTCATCAACAACAACAATTGGTTGGGATTGAACATCATGGTTCGATGAAGACACATCCATAGTGTTGTTTGGACTCAACATTTCAAGTGTTTGTAATATTTTTCAATACAAAGTATATTCAAAATTAATTTTGCATCAACACAATATAGAAATCAACACAAAATCTGAAAATAGTTGATAAACAATTATTCAACACTTGTTAATAGAGTTTCGAAGAGGATGGTGATGATGAGAATATTCTTCGAATAGTTGATAGAAATATATATATAATAAAGAATAATAATCGAAAATCGAGAAAATCAATTCTTCATGGAAACACTCCGCGGAGAGAATGAATTGGTGGACGGAAAGGATGACCAAGTGGTGTTGGAAGAGATGTTCCAAAGAATGTTGTGAACAATGTTTTCACGAGGAAAGACTCTTTGCGAATCGGAAATGTTTTTTTTCACAAAGAGAATATTTTGTTCCCAACAGGCGCTCACACTCGAGTGACAGCTGGCAGCTGACTGAACTCTCATGGTTCCATGTTGGGATGACATTTGAAACTTTGCTCGTGTGAAAGATGCTTACAAGGTCCTCTTTTTGATCAAAGGACAAGCACATGTGGGTTCAGATTGGAAGGGTATGAATGTATGAAGCAACCCACCCTTGACCTCTCTTTGCTCGTTTTCATATTCATGATAATTGTTTACAGGGAGGGTGAGCCAGATAGAAAAAGCTTCGTAGGCAACCAGCCTATACCCAACCATTCTTGGCGACGTTGACGAACTCAAGTGTCATCACGAAAATAAACATCTCCAACCAAAAAAAATGCCTACAGCAAACAAAACGTTCTGGCAGAAGCTGAGTGATCAACACAACCACAATGCTCCCGATATTCGTTCAACTGCTTCAATAATGCCGTCAGTAAAGAAAAGAGTTTATTTTGAAGATCAACCGTTCATGGTTGAAAATATTACACCAGCTACTAATGTTAGTTATGAAGAGTGCTATTCCGAACTGAAATACGTTTGCAGAGGTATAAATCGGAACAATTATTCTAAATTATTAACAGGAAAACAAATTTATAATTGCGATTATGACATAATTGGCGTTATTCGAGACGAACTCACCTTAGAATCAGCATGTTGTTCAAAATATTGTAGTATTTTTCAAAATCAGTGTCGTCAATGTAGTGAATTGGAAAAACACCTAGTTTCAATCATGGAAAATAGGCATGATATATTTGAAATGCTATTGAAAGGAATTTTACCACAACCCAAGCAATTAATATCATTTCCATTATTGATGTATGAGTTATTGTGTAAACTTGTGCCATTTATACCAGTCAGCCAAGATGAACACAAACTTTTAACAGTGTTTAGAAAAGCTCAAACTTCATACAATGAAGCATTGTCGACACAATACAACAACAAACAAATTACGAACAATGAACACCGTGATACACAAGCTTTGAAGGTTCCAAGGTCAAGCTTTACTCCATTCTTAGAGACATTTTTTGGATCCTTTATATTCAATCAGTTGCAAAATTATACAAAGAATCCATTTCATCACAAATATTCAGAGGTTGAAAGAAGATATTGGGTTGTGATGAAATATTATTGTGGAAAACAATTTTTCATCAGAATGGGAGGAGAGCGCAATCAAAATATTGAACGGAATAATTTTAATCATTTAAAATATAATCTAATTATACCAAGTTGGAATACTGTTAAACAATGGACACCTGCTGGTTGTTATGGTATGATTCCCGACATCACACTTACCCTAAAGAACATGTTACTGCCTGACTCTTGTAAAGATACATGTATCTCGTTTGATGGAATGAAAGTGTTTAAACATTTTGATGTTTTGGGAGATCAAATTGTTGGAAGTGAAAAATATTGTTACACTGTTGAAGACGTGAAACAATTTGGTGTTAAACATCTAATAGACCAAATGATTTTATTTTCTATTAATGCCATCGATAATTCATGGCATTTACCGCTGGGTTGGTTTGGAGTTAGTTCTGAAACAGACGTACTTGAATTTGTCACTAGCAAAATACTTTATTTCAAAGAGTTGCTCCAAGAATCTGTAACAATTGTGTGTGGATGTTCTGATGCAGAAATTGATGCACATGCTGTGCAAACAATTATTAGAAAAAAACACAAAGACTTCATTTTCGTCAATGATTACGTTCACAATTTCAAAAATCAACGAAATGTATTATTTAATGGAACAATATTGCACGAGAAAATCTCAATGCAGACCATAATTTATTACATGATACAACATAGGACATTGTATCGATTACTCGACAGAGAAGAAGTTGATCCTACGGATATTATGAATTTGAAATCATGTCTAAATTTAACAGAACGACCTGTATTGCAAGAATTACGTAAAATTGGCACTATAGAGGCAAATAGTGTTGCTGGTTACCTTGAATTAATTCGTGATATTTATGACTGCATTAATGATAACAGTCCGGATATAATTGATATTTTGAGTGAAAGCAAAACAATTTTCGAAAAATTACCCAATTATCCCAAAAAAACGAAGAAAATATGTGTTCACACACTTGAAGGATTTCTTGCATTAGCGTCTCGGTTTCCAAATTTCAAACCCAGTTGCATTACAACAAATTATGAAGAGCTACTCTTTTCAATAATTCGAGGAATGTTTCCCAAGCCAACAACCAAACAATTTTGCCAAAGCGCACTATTTTCATTCTATATATTTTTAATATTACATTCCACTGACGATGTTCGTGGGTTCTCACTCCCAGATATTCCATTAACTGATCATTATTTTGGTATGAAATTGGTTATCAAGATTTTACCAACTCTTCCTGGTCGAATTGTACTTGATAGAAATGTCAAGAAAAAAACTTGCAAAGAATTACAAATTATTAATCAAAACGTAGCCACTTACTCAAGAAAAACTACGTTGAGGGCTGAAGTGTGTGCTCCTAAATGTATATATTTATGCTGCCCTGTTTCTGGATGTAAAAAACAAAAACCATATATTATCAAAGGGTCTTTTACAAATCATTTGAAAGCTAAACATCAATTTTCAGACGAAGAAGCAGAAGCAACAGTTGCTCAATTAGAATGTTTGCAATTTTCTGCTCAATTAGAAAAAGATGTTGCTTTTAGGAAACAAAGTTGCAAAAACAATGAGAATATTATTGTACAACACAAACCACCTTACCTGATTTCAAAATTCAAAAACAGGTTGACTATTCAATATAATTTTGCACCTCTTAAATCAATTCCCACGCCTCACTGTATCAATCAAGAGACAAGACGACCATTGAACTTCTTTGTGCTAGATTTAGAAACAACAGGATTTTCTCCAAAATGCAACTCCATAATTCAATTTGCAATGTTATCATTATTTAGTAATGAATTACATTCCATATTTGTATCCCCTAGTGGTGTGTGGAGTTCTATTGCATTACAAATGCACGAAACTAAATTTCAGATTTTGGATGAAAGTGAAACATTGCAAAACATGATTCCTAAAATTTGTAATTATTTGACTAGGAATGACACTGCTGATGTGATGTTGTTGGTTCATTCAACTGGTTTGGACAAGGCTTTCTTTAGTGCTGCAATTGCACCACTTAAACTCCGATCAACAATTTACTATTGTTCTACTATGCAAAAAAACTTGCTTGGAAAAAAGGGATTAGAAAACCACTTTAGAGAAAAAGTATGTGACTCTCTTCCCGGAATAGCACATAATGCCGTTGTGGATGTGCTTATGTTGTATGATTTGCTGTTGTCGAAGTTTGGGAACGATCAAGAAATTGTGAAGGCCATCGGAAAAGCAGAATGTACAACAATAGACGACTAGGAATTCCACTGATGGTTTGTTCAGTTCGATGAATTGTTTTCTCTGTTTCCTACTCTGGTTTGCGTGTTGTTTTGTTGAAGTGAAGAAACTTGCTGATGTGGTTGTGTTGATCACTCAGCTTCTGCCAGAACGTTTTGTTTGCTGTAGGCATTTTTTTTGGTTGGAGATGTTTATTTTCGTGATGACACTTGAGTTCGTCAACGTCGCCAAGAATGGTTGGGTATAGGCTGGTTGCCTACGCTTTGGCTCACCCTCCCTGATTGTTTAAATACTTGATGGATTTAATGGATTATCATTTCGCAATAGTTGAGGCATTAGTAAATGCGAAAGAGTCTTGCAGAACCATTCTTGGACTCTTCGATGGAGTAAAATTCCAAGGAGAATATTTAATGAAATAATGCTGGAGCAATGACTTTTATTGATTGGACTGACACCTTTTGCATTCATGGGCGAAAAAAAATAATTGTAAAATAAGACATTTGGGTTGACTAGAATGTTGTAATGTGTGAAAAGATGAGGTTGCAGTTTTTGGCTGAAGAGCATACTTTTCGAAACACGATGTGTCCAAATAATCTTGATTTAATTCATCTTTTTGTCAATCATACATTCTTGTTCAATTTCTCAAAATGCATTCGTTCACACTCATGACAACAAGTGGTCTCTACAATTTTCAACATCATCTTTTCACCAATCAACAGGCACTCAGTACAGCACACCACCTCAAGTCAATTTAGTATCAACAGTTTACAGTAATATTCATTTAAGGTTCCTGCATCTGACAGACATCATTATGATAACATGAATTTTCTGTATTCAACCCTATGAGCAATGTCCATCGTTATAAGGTACGATGATGGTCCCTCAACATTTCAAAAGTCAGCACTATAAAAAATTAAAGCGTGTCTTTTTTAAGAAGAGTCACGGATTTCTCATTGCTACTAGTGCGAGTTGTGTGAAAAAGTAATGTAACATGGTGAAAAACTGTAGTTATGATTCGAGAAAATATACAGTAGAAGAGAGGAGGTTCGAGTAATGTCGAGCTGTCATCTGGATTTGATTTCGGACCCACCTTGTCATCTTTCGGTTCATTTTTGTAAGTGAAAATTGACAAATTTCGAAAAGGCAATCTGTCGCAATTATATTTTCTGAACTTTGAAAGATGATTCACAAATTTTCGTCTACCACAAGCAGCTACAATAATCGAATAACAACAATTAAACCTCCATTACAGTTAAAGTCTTCATCCTCTCCTTTCATTGTTCTCCTTCAAAATTGGATCTCCGGTTAAATGAAACAAAAGAATTTGATGACCAAGTTGCGTTTGACTCAAAACAGTCACGGTCCACAAAACAAGACCATCTCTTATTAGTAAAATGCCGATTTTTCACATTCTTTTTTCCTTGTAACAATTCTTGTGTCAACGACGATCAAGGCAAGCAATCGGAACAACCAGGTGGTTTTTATCCTAAATGCCAAACATGCACTCGCTCACAACCCGTTGTTCATGAAACTTTCAAAAGCAAAATTCGTGACAGACCAAATACAATGTAGTCTTCACGATGTATTAACTATTGAGAATGAATAGTAAATACAAGTCTCAGAATGGTCTTTGTATTCAATATTATTATAGTGACAGTATTGCACGAATAGGATTTCACATTATGAGATTGAACTTTCGATCAAAGAGCACACAAATTCCTTTTTCATTTTAACCGTTCCATTCTCGGTGTCGTTTTATCACGAGACGCCAAGATCGAGTCTTGTTATTGCAATCATGTCTCTTATTTAAATTGAATACAAACGAGAGAAAACAACAAGTTGTTTGAAAAAGTGTATTTGAAAACCAAATTCAATTTCTGAAGGAGTGTCTCTTTCAACCGGCACTTTAAATAAGAGAGCAAGACAGGTACATTCTTGCCATGTCATAATTGTTCGTTGACTTTACTTTCCTTCAAATCCAAACAAATCCCTTTCTATTTCCATTCGAGGTCAATTTGTTAAAAGTTATAAGGACATTTGATCTCCATTATCTTTTGATCTAATCTTGACCGAACACCAAGAAGGGACCACACTTCACACATCATCTTCGAAAATGCAAGTCGGAACCAATTCCAATGAAATGAAACAAGTCACAAGAAATTTTCAAGATACATTTTCAATATCACGATGGGTTGGAACAAAGGAAAATGAAGGAAAATTTCGAAGAGATGCAACCTCGTATTGTCTAATACACCAATATATCAACAGAGTATTAAACTTTGAGTTACCATTTCCAACAAGGAGAGTAGTTGTTTTGGATCTTGACAACATATTCACTACAGTCTTGGTCGCTCCAATCTTGGTGACAAGTGCAGGTACTACAACTGAGATTGGATGCTTGTGCTCTGTGAAATTCATTCTTGTCAAGAATGTGTATTGGACTCTCGTCGCAAAAGCGTCCATCAAATGACCATATTCGACCATGTGGAACGTGTGTGTGTGAGTGCAAAGCCAAGCATCGGTGGGTTAGCAAAAAAGCAACAAGAAAAAAAAGCACAACAACAACAATTCATAAATTCAGCAGATACCATTTTACGTACTTGGTGCTGAATCATCATAATCTTTGAGAAGAAGAGAGAACACACATCTCTGAGAACGTGTGCGTGCGTGTGTGGTATTAATACACACGAGAAGAGGTTTGCTGCTTGTTCGTACGGACAGACAACCCTCTTTCATTACTTCTTCTCCGATAAGCCTTTTCCAATATATATATTCCTACACGATGGCCAAACGAGAATTATATTACACGGAATCATCATCATCCAGACAAGTACACTTGTCCACAATGATGACAACCAAGAACTCGTACCACGGTTCGGATCTTTCATGCGATGATAATGGAGATTCTCTGATGTGTACCTCACCACCAACCTCTCCAAGCCTCCTCGTTGAACACTATGTAAATCATCAAAAGTTGATGATGAAGAACCAGAAGAATAATACCAACAAGGTGAATACTACTGGCTCTTTCCCAGTTCAGCCACGAGAAATCTTGGCTGATATTACTCCACAAGTGGTAGCTGCCAGTACTTCACGATTGAATGGACAAGGAGCCTCTCTTACAAGTACCACCACCATCAATACATGCTTGAAAGCAACAACCAATAAGAATTATCATGTATTACAACAAGGACAATCCATGCATATGACTAGTCGAACCGGCTCCTCTCACTACTACCACCATTCATTACCTTCTACCTCTACTTTTCCCCACAACGAAATGGCACTGAGCTATTCCAGTAATAATGCTACAAGCAATACCAACTACACCCACAACTACTCTGCCACTGGTAAGACAAACGCAGCAGTATACAATCATGTGGGACATTATTCAACATGCTGTCAAAAGACTGCTTCCAAAGAACCACAAGTTTTCTCTCCCTCAGTCGCTTCTCCTGTTCTTGACTTTGGTGAATTTCAAATGATGCAAGATGACGATGATGAACAAGACAATGAAGAACCACAACTCAATGACCAAGACGGAGACTATCTTTTTTGTAAAGATGTCGACGAACAAGTTGATACCAGCGATGATGATTATTCTCAACACTATTTCACCTCGAGTCAAGATAACTACCCAATTAAACGTGAAGCACAATCCACCTCCACAGCTTCTCACCATCACGTTACATTCAACAATAATACAATGAATTCGAGTTCGTCAACCAATTCCAATCAAACTCAACGCGATCCAGATCTCCTAGACGCTCACGATCGAATGAGATTGAAACAAGCCCTGGACAACAATGTTGACCATCCAGTGAATTTACTTCCCAAGTTCAACTCAAAGAATCAAGTTGACACTCTTGGTCGTATTCCTGTCGAGGTAGAACAAGATGTTCTCACCTATCTATTCGAGAATGAAAACAGAAAACAACCTTCCCTCGATGCTCTCAGATCCACACAAACCATCGTTACTCCTGATATGCTCTCCATGCTCATTGAATGGCTTGCTGGAATTTGTGTCGGCTTTAAGCTTCGACCAGAGACTTATTACAGCTCTGTGAACATTTTGGACCGGTTCCTTTGCCAGTACAGAGTGGAGAGCACCAAATTTTTACAGGGCATTGGTTTGGCAAGCTTACTCGTAGCTGCCAAGTTTTGCGAGATTACATGCCCTCCACTCAAACAATTACTCTTTGCAGCAGACAATTTTTACACTCGTCGTGCAATTTTGGATTGGGAGAGTGAAATTTGCAATATTCTCGACTTTGAATTTTGCACTGTCCATGCATTTGACTTTATTGAAAAGTTCTTGGAAATTTGTGGCTATGCCAAATGTGATCAGGTTCGAATGCTCGCCTATTTCATTTGTGAATTGCAACTCCAAAATTTCAACACTCTACAATTCCAGAGACACACTGTTGCCATATGCTCCATTATTATTGCTCTTCACATGTTCCAACAACCCTTTCTCACTCCCAATGTGTTATATTGTGTGAGATTATCTGAAAGCTTCTTTGCACACGCAAATGGTTCTCTAACAAGCGACGATTTGCAACTTTTGGAAACTACCAACAGGTGTCTCTTGACCATGTTCAACTTTTATATTGGCATGATATCAGGACATATCAAGTACCACTTTGTTGTCGATAAATACAGCAAAGATTCCTTCATGAACGTTGCCACATGGTTCTTAACCAATGATAATATCAACAACATTCCTCCACAAATTAATCTTCACTGCAGCAGTAATGTTACCACACGCAACTTGTAGTCATGAAGAGTACTCTCATTTGAAACAAGTTGCAATAAACGAAATCTGCTTGAAGTCAAATGAATTCAAAGTGTTGTTGGTGTGGGTTTAGTTTAATTAGTACTACAAGATGTCAATCGACTGAAAAGGAAAACTTGCACAACAGATTAAGTTTTTGCCTTAAATGATCTTTTTCCACTAAGGCGGGACAACTAAAAAAATGGGCAACAATTCTTCATCGGTTGGCCCGACCTTATCACCCACACCTTCAAAGAAGAGCCTTCTCAATTGTTCTTCTCAACCCTCAGGATTGGTCTCCAAGAAATCATCCTTCTCTTCACAATCAGTTTCATCCAACGGGGAGATCAAGAGTAGTAGTGGTAAGACGAATGATAACAAGTCTCAAAAAAGCAATACGAGCCTCGCCACTACTCGGAGCAATGAGCAAGCTAACAAGTCCTACAAGCAAACAACAAGTAGATTTACAGATAGAATTGCTCGGTTGTCAGCTTCAAAAAGCAAAGCCATCATGAACGATGAAAGAAATTCCTTCGAATTTAGCGATACAACTTCAGAAGACTCGGAGGAACACGATGAGCTCACCATGATACACAGAAATAATATTACACAAAGCCATGATGATTTCAGCAAAGATTTCAAAATGGCATCATTAAGGGAAACAATTGGCTTTCTGAAAAAGAAGCCCAAAAAACCTCGAAATAATTTATTAATCTCCACAGCATCCATACCCTCCCTCGATAACCCCCTTTCATCATCTACATCTTCACTGTCATCAGAAACAACATTACGAAAAAGTCGACTTCCTCCACAAGCTCCGAATTCGCCGAAACATTCTAACACTATCCATCCAATATCGTTCAATGACTCATTGATCGATGTTGTAGAAGATGATTTTGATCAGTCATGGTTAGACCAACCAAAATCTGCATTGTTTTTACGTCCTGCAACTGGGTCTTCACGAACTGGCCAAGTTCCCACTTCCTCCACGCTCTCCATTTCTTCACCTACCTCCAAAACCAGCCTCCTTAACACTACCACATCTAACACAGCAGCTGAATTGACTAGTGAGGATATTTCTTCTCTTTCTGATTCAATATCCTCATCACTGCCGTCTCTTCAATCCTCTTTGTTATCCAGTACAGGTCCAACTTCTCCTTCCTCAAATTTTACCAATAATTCCAGTACACTCTCTAAATATTCAACTTTTGCACAACAAGAAGAAACATTAAGAGTCAAAGAAAAAAAAGAAGTGTTATCTCAAAAACTGTCTCGTTCTAAAATTACACAAGTGTTCAAAAGCAAACGACTTATTCCTTCTACGGATCCCAACAACGATTTTGTCCTTTCTGGAAGCCTAGAGCTAGGGAAAATGTTTTCGAAAGCAAAAAGCAACATTTCTTTTATCAATAATTTAACTCAGTCTCTGGATTCGTTTTCCTTAAAAACAAAACTCACAGACGCGTTTAAAGAATTCACAGGCTCCTCACCCTCCAAAGATCTTGTCACAAATGATGGACTTTCATTTTCCGACTATTTCCCTGCGGATGACAGTGTTCTGATCCCATCTGTCGCCGATAAAGGACCAACTTCCTCCTCCATGAACGATAGATTATCTTCTGTAAACATTGACCGCCTTATAGATGTGGTCCAACCATCGTCAAAACCTACACCAACCGTTCCCAAAGCTCAACCAAATGCTATCCTTAACACTGCTGTACCTACCTCGCAAAACAAAACGCATCCTCGTGTTACAAAATCAAGCACATCCACGAATAAGGGTTACTACATGGATTTTTGTGGAATTACGAGCAACGTCATGGAGATTATTAAAGATTGTGAGGAATGGTCAGATTCTAGCCACATAAAATCTCCATTCCAGATTGAAATTTCTGAACCCATCAACAAGGCAGAAACCTTTCATTTACCTCCTCGACAAGATGATTTCGAGAATCGTTTTCTTACCATTCCTGATCTTAAGACATTGAAGACGAACCATCACTCACTGACCAAAGAGGAGAACCTGTTCGATAAACGTGTTGTGATGTCATCACCATAAATTAAAACATGACTGTGTGTGAATTGAACTCGATCAGAATTTAACAACACAAAAAATCTTTCTCGAGATGGACTCTCACTTTTATTGCGATCAACAATTTGTAACTCCACAAATACTCTTTCCTCATACTGTGATCAAGGAAGCACAACAACAACCACAGTATGAGAATGAACAAGAAGAGATTGATCAATTTTATGATGATTTTGATAATTCCGATGAAGAAGATTTATTTGCATCTCATACGAGTAAAGTGATGATAAGTACGACGAATGATAAAGACCATCACTCGGCTCCGAGCTCATCACTCTCAACATCTCATCATGAGAATGATGATAACAAAGAAGCTCCGAGCATGATCGGAACAGTTATTCCATCTCTGGAAAATTCATCTCAACATGATGATGATGGAATACATGTTCATGAAATATCAACCATTCAACAGCACATGTATTATTATTTATATTGTTATGAAGAGGATGAGAGTGATTTTGCAAGTACTTGTTCCTTAGATGATCAAGAGAATGATCATCTTCAAGCAACGACGTTTAAACAACATTTGGATTACTTTTCTCTGATCGATCAGGAGGAGAATGATGAGGATGAACAATACAATGATTCAAGTACGGAATTATCTTCTCGTCAGAAAAATCAAGAAGAAGAACAAGAAATTCTTGAAAATTCAAGTTTGAAATCAGGAAAACAGGTGAGCCTTTTAGATGACGATTGGACATTGATACAATATTATTTAAAATATACAGAAAAGTGTAGTGAATTTAATTATTTCAAAATTACTTTAACAAGCTCACGAACCATTTTACATGCCAATAGAAATCGAATGATACAACAAAGTACTATTTTAAAAACAATGATGCAGAGTGAAATGATAGAATCCAAGATGAATGAAATGACTATTAATGGATCCATTGAAGAAGAGAAGGATTTTATACGAGTCATGGATTTTATTCATGTTGGAGAATTGGGAATTCCAATTCTTGGAACAAGTTTTGCCAATTTGGAATGGTTTCCTGGTGATTCTTTAATTGGTATGAAAGATTTACTGCGATTGATCGATAAGGCAGATGAATATGGAGTTGCAAGCTTAATTCACTCAATTTCAAAAGTCATGAATGAGTACAATGTCATGATATTACTTGAAAAGGCTGTACAAATCTCTCCTGACCTCTCAGAAATTCTGGTGTTACAAGCTATTGACATCATTGCCTCGAACTTGTCATGTGTAATTGGTGGACAAATTTACAATAATCACTTGGATCGAGAAGCAATTCAAATTCAAGCCCAGTTGTGGGTGTGTGAGTTGAAAGATCAATTTGACTGTATTTCACAAGACGCATCCATAGCTCTATATTATTATAATTGAAAAGAAATACTATTGTGAATACTCTAATTGAGCTTCCTTCATTAACTCAAACAGATAGTGACTCTCCACAACAATTACCTCTCTTGTTACGAATTTTTCAGTCACGTCATTGTAGGGCGAGCGCAGAACAACTATTGGCAATCATTGTTGTTTGGATATTATCAAGTCCTTTTCAACAAGAAAAAGCAGACATGTCAGAATTGAGAGAGTTGAATGTTTTTCACAATTATGAAAATAGCAATGGAGAATTTTCAAAACGACTCGACGCGGGCATTTCATTCATTGCGAATCGATTAGACCTTTCAAGCATGTCATCCGAATGTACGGACATGTTTGTGGCCAAAGTTTTATTATCCATTGTTTCTTCATCAGCGCAATTCAAACCTTTACAACACAAGCTTAATAGATGCTTAGCGACGCAAATTGGTAAATCTTACTATGGTGCATTCCCTAATGACTCTGTGGAGATGTTTACAGATCGAATCACTGGCCCAATTTTCACACAATTACTTTTTCCAGAACATGCTGACATTGATCCACCACTGACAGAATCAAGCTCTATTGCAAGTAGTAGCAATGATCGATTCAACAACAACCATAGAAGCCACCACAACAGCAACATCAACAACTCCGCTTTAAGCATGGACAATCAGTTATTGCAAGATTTATTCTCTCTATACTTTACTGATAACAAAAAACAAACACAAAAATACCTTCAAGAACATTCTCTTCCATTACTTTTCACATTACTGAGAACAATCCATCGCTATGAGTCACATTCTTGGTATCAATTGTTATGCTTAACTTCGAATAGTATCATGACAAGTTTAGGAGAACAATTTTCCAAAGAAGCAGAAGATGTGTCACAAAAAGTCTACGAAAGGAAAGGTAATATGGAACCACCAAAAGTGTTTCAAGCATGTATGGTTGGATTGGATCGATCTGGGAAAACTTCCCTCCTCGAAAAGATGAAAGATCCTAACTTGAAACATTTGAAGGAAACAATACCAACTGTTGGATTTAATACTGAAACAATTTATCATGAAAATGTGGAAATATTAGTGGTAGGTTGTGATTGGATGTATTGAATTTTTTTTATTTATATGAAATATTACAAAATTGATTGTAAACATAATATGGTTGTATCTTGTCATTATTTGCAACAAAAAAAAACAAATAATACTTCACTACAATCATAGAGGGACATTGGAGGAATGACAAGGATTCGATCATTATGGTCACACTTTCTCTACTCGGCTGATTTAATTATTTACGTCATTGATGCATCTGACAAATCTCGATATGAAGAAGCCAAAGAATGTTTAGATCGATATATTGATATGAATTTAGCCAAGAAAGATTGTCGTGTGCTCATTCTCGCTAATAAGGTGGATTGTTTGTTAGAGGTATTTCCTCAAAATCAACATCAGCAACGAACCAAAATTATGAAAGAAACGTATGAGGAACTTGTGGAACTCTTTGAAAATTCTACATTGAATCAATGGCTAAAACAGCAACAAGTGAGCGTCTACTCACCATTGCTAAGTAAGCAGCACAAAAAGGTGAGTGATTCACGAATGAAAGAAGAACGACTGAAAATTCAATTATGTTCTGCCCGAACCGGAGAGGGAATTTATGAGGGATTTTCGTGGTTATTTTCAAGCTTGGTCATGAAAAACTTTTGGAACGTGGGGTCAATGAATTTCGGCCAGTTGATTAATGTCACTGATCTATTAAAGATGGAACGGAATGAACAGGTGTAGATTTGCATTGTATTGGGGACGGACAACTTTATTTACAAAGCAGAAGCCTTAATGACAGCGATAAAACAGGATTTGAAAAATCATCGAATTCATTGCAATTTTGGAGTTTTTATTAAAAACTGCTTAACAAATCAAAGGTAGATGCGTCAAATGCATTGGACTGAGAGTCAGAGCCTTCAGAGATGTCCGAGTCGAAAAAGTTAAGAGAGTCCAGTTCAGAGTATCGAGAGATATCAAAATCATCGAGTTCTTTCTTGAGAAAAGTCGAGTAAGGGTCTTCATACTGAGGACATGACAATACTTCTTCACACGAGTACATAGTAGAGGGAGAGGTAATAACGTTGCTACTTGAGAGCTCCTGGGCAGTATCACCTTGAACAGAGGGCAAGAAGCTTGGCTCGCACAGCCAAAATTCTTCTTGGAATGGATCTTCAGCAAGTGTTTCGCAAGGTTCCATAGCTTCAACCACTTCCTGGGTTGGAGAATTCGAGGTATTCATCTCCTCAAACTCAGTCGTGCTTTCCAAAGAGTCGCTAGTTGTATCGAAACGAACAGGTTGGTCACAGCCAGCAACCAAACGTCTGAATGCTAGCTCGTAGGCCAATGGTTGTTCTTCATTGGGCAGAGAGCGTATCGTTTCCATCAGCGATGCAAGTTGTTGCTCATAGAGTTGGAACTTCTCATCGTCGCTCATGGTTAACTTGAGTTTCTTGGCAAGGAAGGTTTCGTATGGGTCAACATCCTTGGCTTGTTCCATGTAGAGCCTCTTTTTGGTGACTTCCTCGTCTCTCTGTTCTGTTGTTCGTCTCCCATATATTTGGAATGGTGCACTTACCATAACAATAAGAGGGTTTTGCTTACCTTGAGAGTAAGCTTCAGGAGTGAACAAGCTAACTCTCATACAAATGTTTTCTTTTTGGTGATGATACGCAACATCACTGAATTGAAATTTAGTGTTACAAGTGAGCAAGCTTCGTGTTGAAGTGGTAGTATTCTTGTCAGTCGTTCGTTGTGAAGACGACTGGCCATGGTTGGAGTGGGTGCTGAGAGAGTCCTCAAGGCAGCAGCTGTGAGTACTGCTGCAATCATCATCCTCGTGAGTCATGTTGTCATTTCCCTTACCGTTATTGTGTTTTGAGGATGTTGTTGTGGATCGACGATGTTTCCTTTTGGCAATAATTGGTTTTCTTCCCTCGCAGGTTGGCTGCAGCGAAAGATGTGTTTCTCCTTTCAGAATTTCCTTCTTCTTACCTGTATGACTGTTGTCATTGAGAAGTGAAGCTCCATCGTGAGTGTTCACAATATCAATGTCTGCCAAAAGTTTTTGTGGTAGCGTTGTTTCTTTCGTGATGTTCTGACCGTTTGTATTCGTTCGTGTTGTTTGTTGTTCATCTTCATCAGAGAGCAGTGAGTTATTTGCTGTCTTGATGCTCTCCGTTTCAACTTCAATACAAAACTTGTATTTCAAGCTACTGTAAAGTTTGAATGGGACAAAGTCAACAACAGGGTCAGTACGACTCGAAATTAGAAACGTTACCTTTACAATATTGAACATCAAACTCTCTTGAGAGGCTTGATCGTAGTGAATCAAGCTCCATTCTCGGTCTACAAAGGACGAGAAAGAGGAAGAGAGGGGTAATACAATCTCCTCGCTCGCATGGTTTGATGTTGTTTGAGTGGTAGTAGTGGATTTCATTTCGTGCGTTATGGTGTGTTGGGACTGTGTCGGTTAAGAAATGTTCGTGTTGCCTCTGAATCGCTTTGTGGGCGGGTAACAAGCTGTTGGAGAGGGCAACAGGGTGTCGTTGATGTGTTATTTTTTTTTAAAAAAAAATTTAATAAATTATTTTAAAAATATCCAGACCAATTATTCTTCATTGAACGTGCAGCAACAACTGCCATTCCTTCTCAGAAGAAATTATTATTATTGAATTAGTCAACTAAGGTTTTGTAAATTGAGAACTCCAGTTCATGGTTCATGGACCTTAGGTTTTTAAAATAAAAAAATGAAATCATCACGCATTCGTTTTGCCACAGGTTCTCTTCCTTCTGTCCTCTCCTCGACACAAGGTTCATCATTGGATTCCGAGCGGATCAACTCTGAGAATTTTTCCAAGCGTGATCAAGAACATGATACACATCATTTTCAGGATTGGCTCCGATCATTGAACAAAGTTTAGCAAAGATCAAAATTGATGAATTATTTCATTATGGATCTCCGAAGGGAGAAGAGTCCTTGTGTCAAGCAATTGCAAATTTGTACAATAGAACAGTGAGAAGAGAGAATGTTGCAACAGAGAAGTCTACTCAACACAAAGATGATACCATGATCCATTCAGAACATGTCCATATTACTTCTTCTGCTCAACAAGCTCTCAATATTGTATTTTCGGCATTGTTTAACCATTCAATGTCCAGTGCTCACGAACAGTCAGCTGAAACCATTCTTTTTCTTCAGCAGCCATGCTTTTTTGGGACTGTTCGATTGGTGAAAAAGTTTTGTCTTTCTGGAAATCGAGTGAGCAACAATGAAAAACAAAAAGTCAATTCTGTGACGGTCGATAGCTTTGAAACTGTGGAAGAACTTATTCGAAAATTAACTAGAATTCCAATTGTCAATGTGACAACCAGTAGTCAGCAGTCATCCACGACAAACTCTGGCTTGTCACAAAAGCGCCCAAGAATTGTTATTTATTTATGTTCCAATTATCAAGCCTATAACGGTTCACGTATTTCTGATGCTGAAAAACAATTACTCTCGCTCCTTGTCAAGTCAAGAAGTGACGATTTTGAATTTATTGTCATTGAAGATAACCCCTATGACTTCTTATACCTGAACGGAAACGAAAGGCCACTAACCTTGTTTGAAATGATGCCAAATCACACCATATTGATTGGAGGGTTTTCAAAAATTCTTGCTCCAGGAATTCGCACTGGTTATATCATTATGAACGATCCATCACATCAACATGACAAGTCGAACGATCGACATTCTTTGAAAGGTCTCATTCACAGAGAGAAGCTGGATCAGGATTTATTTACTTCAACCTTATGTCAACAAGTATGTGCAGCAGCAATTTCAGAAGAGAGCAACACCTATCTACATTCATGGCGTAGAGTTGTGAAAGAGAGAAGAGACATTACACTGAAATATTTGAACGAAATTTTTAATGATGTAAAAGATCAAGTCGAATGGACTCAAGCAGATTGTGGAATTTTCATTTATGTGAGATTCAAGAATGCCTCAAAGAGCATACGGTCTGAAAACCAAACACTACCAGAGAATGAAAAAAGCAAAACAGAAGCTTCAGACGACATTTCTCAATTGCTAAAAATTGCCTCCTCCAAATACCAACTGGATTTAGAACCAAGTTGTTATACTTACCTAGATGGAAAATCTCGTTTGGAAACTCGTCTAAATTTTGTTCTACCAGAAACCATTGATGTATTGAGGGAGGGTATTTCACGATTGAGACAAGCCTACAATGACTGGATGAACAAATCGAGTAGCGCTCCATCGAAACACGCATTGAACAACAAGTCATTGAAAATTATTATTACATCTGGAGGAACAGCAGTGCCTATTGACACTGTTCGGTACATTAGTAATTGCTCCATGGGCACTACAGGTGCACAAATTGCGAACGAATGCCTCAACAGAGGTCATGTGGTTCATTTTCTACACAGGTAAGTTTTTCGAAAATCAAGTTTTTGAAAGATCTGCTCTTTCATGATACCCTTGACATTCCTGAACACGTATTCTAATTTATAGCAAAGCATCGCGTCTGCCAAATGAATTCGATTCAATGTACAAATCCAATCTTCACAAATATTCCTATTTCACCTTTGACGAATATCATGAACAATTGAAAAATCTTGTCACTACAACACAGCCTGATGTTGTCATTTTATCTGCAGCTGTGAGTGACTATGGAGTAGAGAACAAACACAATGACAAAATGAGCTCCGATCTCGACACTCAAACACTCACATTGATCAAGTTACCAAAAATAATTTCACTTGTTAAAAAGTGGAACCAAAAGTCTTTTTAGTGGGTTTCAAATTGCTGACAGGAGTTCCAACTGTGAAAGAGCTAATCAATACGGCCTACAGACATGGAATCAAAAATCATTCCAATCTTACTGTTGCCAATTCAACCCTCAAAAGTGATTCGTCCAATTTTGGTAACAGAATTATTACACTAATTACTCCAGAGAAGAGTGTCATTCCATGCTCTCTCACAACCTGCCAACATACTTGTCACAAACATTGAAAAACGAGTTTCTCATAGGCACTACAAAACCATTGTTCGCAAGAAGGAGATGGCAACTATGTTGATTATGTAAAAGAAATGCCACAGACACTTTGTAAAATGTTTGAAAATATGAAAAAAGCATATACACTAGGACTATTTGATAAGTATTTTGATGATGAGGATGATGAATTAACGTCTAAACACTGCAACACCTCCAACCATGGAAACATTGACGACGATGAAAATAGCTCTTCACATTTTGGATTTGTAGCAATGCGTGCTCCAAGCCCATATTCCGGATTTTTAATCACCTCTCGAGCTAGTAATAAGCAAAATCCAACCTTGAAAGACATTGTCTATGTGTCACATGTAGATTTCGAGAAACAAGAGTTACATGTGCATTCCCAGCAAGGACATAAATCATCTCTCAATGCAAATGTTGCTGCATGGCTGTTCGAGAATCGAAAAGAAGTGAAGCTCATCTTACACGCACATATTTTCCCAAGTTGTGATAATATGACTGATTTTGATTATTCACCTGGAACTCAGGAAGACGTTGACGCAGTGGCAGCAAAAATGTCACATGGAGAGAAAATTGTAGAAATTCCACAGCATGGAATCATTTCGGTAGCAGAGCAGAGTGATGAAGTGGAAGAGGCTATTCATGCACTCGGAGAAGGACATGCCTACTTTAAATTTGCTCATTTATATGACATGATTTATGCAAGATTTCAGAAGGTAAGTGTCTTAAAGTTGAACTCACACAAGACGGCTAGCATTAAATCCAGTCGACTGATTTAATTGATGTACTCGATCGAGAATTTCCTGACAACAAGAATTTCACAAATATTTGTGATCTATGTTGTGGAACTGGAGAAGTCACTCGATTACTCTATGAGAGAGGTTTTCGAACATTCACATTGGCCGATCAAAGCGACAAGATGTTGTCATATGCCATGAAAAAATTAACCACTTGTTATGGAGAAGAATTTACTCGCACCATTCCAACACATGTCACATCCATGCAAGAACTGAAAATTCCAGAAGCAGAATTTGATGTCATTGTCATGAGGCAAGCCATCAATTACGCAATGCATTTGGAAGGCTATCCAAGGTTTTTACCTCCTGTTTTGAACATCTTAAAAAAGGAGGTAAATTCATTTTCAATACAACTAATTTCCAAGTGGAACACGCTGAAAAGTTTTCCAAGATGCGTGAATTGAGATATGACTCTACCGATGGACATGTTGGTATTTCTGGAGACAATCACAAAGATTACGACAACAACAATCAACAACATTTGAAAATTCCTTTCAATGTATACATTAGAGAAGGAAATTTGTTGAAAATTGAGAATCATACAGCAAATCCTCGTAGAGAAATTCGCTTACTCAGTCACGCACAACATTGTGTCATGGAACGAGTGAGATTCGACCAACATTCGAAAGAAGTACCACTGTATGAAAGACATTGCTTATTCGATCTCAACACATTTGGAATGTTCACACGGAACGAATTTTATGACGAATTGAAAGGTGTGGGTTTTACTCAAGTGAAATGTTATGGAAAGGGACTTGCAGAAATCGATATTGAAAGAGCTCAAGATGAACAATCTCCATCGTTGTACTTTGTTGCTACCAAATAGATTGTCATCGATTTTCATCACATTTCAAATTCCAGGTTTTTCCGGAAAAAACAAGAAAAAAATGAAACGAATGAGTTCCGAGAGAGAAGATTCGCATCTTTCTGATAGCAGTGAAAAGCCTTTTGAAGGTGCAAAAACAACCACCGAACATCATCATACAGATTCTGAAATGACCAGTAACAAAAAAACAAAGATGAATGATCATTCATCCTCCTTTTTCCAATCCGAGCTTGAAAAGAATTTAGTAAAAATTCAATTAGTGGACTTGGGCCATGAAGTTGTCTCTTCCGAATTATTCACTAAATTTAAAAATCATATGAGAGATCCCGTGATTGCAAGATTTAAATTACTTCTTTTGGGTAGCCGACTGGTTGGAAAAACAACATTTATCAATTGTTTCAACATTGATCCAAACTCCGTTCAACAGCTTCCTGAAATCAATACAACCATCTATCCCATCACATTTGCAACTCCTAAAGGTAAAATTTGTTTTCAGGTTTGGGATTATCAAAACGATAATAGACATTTCGATGATGACGGCGAGAGTATTCCGAAAGAGTTTTATCAAAACGCTCATTGTGCCATCCTCATGTTTGACACGACTTTACGAATGTCATACAAAGTAATTCCTCAATATTATCGAAAGGTTCAAGCCTTTTCCAACCAGCAACAAACCATACCTATTGTATTGTGTGGAAATAAGGTTGATTTCATTGATCGAAAAGTGAAAAGGAGGCATATTTGGTTCCATCGAAAAAAGAATATCGCGTACTATGACGTGAGTGCGAAAGGAAATTATTGCATTCAAAATCCATTCTTGAGTTTGGCTCGACAATTGTTGAAGGATCGAGATTTCACATTTGACAGCAGTGCTTTCATCTCCTGTACCAACCTCAAACCGCCAAATGTGATCATTGATTCCACACGTATTGAAATAATGGAAAAGGATCACATGTATTATGATGGCTTTCCATTACCAGATGATGATGATGAGTTATAATTCAATTTGTACAATTTATATTGACAGTGTTTAACTATTCGATTTCAAACGAATTTTTACAACAACGCGACGTTGAGAAATTCGTCACTCAACAATTGTTGGAGAGAAATTCAAATTCACATCCTTGAGTATAAATATCAAAGGCAGGATACAAATCCAAATAATCTGGAGCAGTAAATGCTTTGCCACATTCCTTTCCATTGACAGTAAAAGATATAACACCATTCTGATGTTTCACAGTAACAACAGAGCCATCATTAATTCTTTGTGCATGGTAAACCTTATTCGAATCACCTGCCTGAGAATACAAATTTCCTGAAAGCGTGAACAAGTAAAATCCATTGACCTTGTAATTGGTTCCATTGACAGAAATATTTCGATCTGCTAATCCAATCATGACATTGGGGCACATGTTCAATAATTTCACGCTATACTGTTTGCAAGGAGTCTCTCCCAAAACAGCACAATTCCATCCATTGCCTCCTGAAGTTTTTGTCACTTTTTTGTTATCACACGATAACGTTGCATTGGTCGAAACGATGGTTGAATGGAACTTTGGTGCGGACACTTCTTGCTTGAGAGCTTGTCCTTGAGGAAGGGCTTGTTGTTGAAGTTTTCTCTCGTAGATGGCTTCCTTTTCTTCTAAAACTTGTTCTCTCTGCAAGAGACCTTGATTTTTCAGTTCCCAAAATTGCTTCAAATAGACCACGTATTCAATGTGCTGACGATATTCAGTCAAGAGTTGTTGTAGTTCCTTGATGGCGTTATCTGTTTTCTCCTTTGTCTTTTCAAACTGATCAAGAAGAGTGTTTAACATTTTTTGTTGTTGATTCAATGAGGATCCTGCTTCATGGTTGAGATTTAAAGAAAAATCCTATTTTCACGTTTTGTTTTTCGAATTACCAAATTAGTTCTTTTCAACGAGCATCCTGTTATTTAAGCCTTCTCTTGAGTTCTTCATTCGCTTTTCTCATGATCGTCATTCGACTCATGTAATTGTCTGATCATGTTCATGCTAATTTACAGCTTGTCAAGACATTCCAAGGGAAAGTTGTTCAGTTTGGATAGTTCTTGATCTTTTTGATCTCATTTTCATTGTTCATTTTCATACCCAGTTCAGTATTTTCTTCTAGCGCTTCTCGGCTTTGTACTTCAATGTAATCAAAAGGGAGCACAACTTGAAATGTATTGGGTCCTTTTGTATTTTCATCCAAAAGATATCCTTTGTTACTTCATTTTCGGTTGTCGAAAGCAATAAGCAATTTTTTTGGGAAATCGTTAGACCTTATTGCTACAAATTCCTTTGCGTTTCATTTTTTTTCTAAAAACATAATTTAATTCATTAAACATGATCATGATAAAAAGCTTTAAATTGAACCAACTTGCTAAATGAAAATACACAAAAGGTTGCCTTAAGACTTCCGAGATGAAATTTAATATTGAATTTCTTCTGTCATTTTTTAAAAAAAATGAAAAATTTTATTTCTCTTGTGAGAGGCTCTTCTCATTTTCATCATCATCAGCACCACCCATCACTCGTGAATAACATGTTTTCTACCAAGAGTACATGTTCAGCTCGAGGAACGCTCTCCGTGCTCTTCCAACAACAAGCATCATCTTCCACCAATAGTAAAATGTTTCATACGAGCGTTTTTTCATTCCAACAACAAGAACAAGTCTCGCTTCATTCCTATCCTTCATCAACCATTCAGGAAATTATGAATTCTCTTCCTGACCCATCAACATTGAACATTAAACCTAGAAACAAGAAGACTCCTGTTGAAAGACATAAAACAAGACAAACATGGAGGGACAGACCAAAAATCACAGCAAAATTCCTCGATACACTTCCCACAGTAACATTCAGACAAATTAATATTAAACAAGGCCCAAAGAAGGTGAATGAAGTTACCGAAATGTTACGTGGAATTAGTGCAAAGGAAGCTCTCATTCAATTACAAAGTTGCGAGAAGAAAATTGCTCCTAAAATGTATACATTCATTCGTAGCTGTATGCTCAATGCCGAAAACGTTCATGGTATGAACGCTGATCGTCTTCTCATCCGAGAATGTATCGTAAATAAGCAGCAATACAGAAAACAATTGAGATATCATGCCAAGGGTCGTTATGGTGTCGAGTTGAATAGACGAACAAGTATTGTGGTCAAGATGGTCGAGGTACCAGAGATTGAAGGTGAACACAGATTGGGTAGATATGGTTGGACAAATAAGACTTGGAGAGAGTATGAACAAGAAATGTTGAGCGAGAAGACTACTGAAACTGTGGACAATGCTGAAATTATTGAGCCAGAGGCAACCATGCAAGAAGAGGCTTCTGACAACTCTGCAGCAGAATCTGTAGAAACAGTCGAAGTGAATGAAACACCAAACGCTTCCGATAAGAATGCCAAGCAATAATTATTGGTAGTAGGTCTTTGCCCATTTGATCATGTTCATGCAAAATTGCAATAATAATAATAATGATAACCAATAACAATAACATTTGACGTTTTTATCACCTTAGAGAGCAAGCAATGTAAATTTGTTTCGAGAGCCCACACATTTGGAAAAGGCACAATGTTCTGAATTTATTTAAAATTTCATGGACCATGAAAAAATAGCCTTACGATGATGGTAAGTCAATTTTTCTAATCGTAAGGCTCATCCTGTTGTGGATACCATCGGGATTACATGGCCGTTGAAGAATGATCAAAAACTTTCCAACTCGGGCAGTACCACCAAACTCATCTACTCGGGAGAAATTGAGAACGGTTTAATGCATGGTAAGGGTGTGCTGCACTTCCCGAATCATGAAAAGTATGAGGTAATTAGGAGTAATTGAATATATTGAGATGATCAACGTTTCAAACTTTTTACCTATCCAATATGCTCCATTCAGGGAGATTTTGTGTTTGGAAAGCGAGAGGGGCATGGTATCTATTGGTTTGCCGATGGTTCCAAATGTGAGGGCCATTGGGAGAACGATGTCATGAACGGACATGGATCAATTCACTATGCCAATGGAAATGTATACACAGGGGAGATCAAAGAAGGTCACATCAATGGACATGGTACGCTCTCGTATTCCGATGGAGATCAATATGAAGGCGAGTTTGTGAGAGGACGAATGAATGGAGTGGTAAGTTTTAAGGGCTACAAAGATAGTCAAATTCAAGCATGATACTGTGTGCACTGATGATCATTGTTGGTGAACCTTAGGGAACTTACATGTATGCAGACGGAGACAAGTATACGGGTGAGTGGAAGGACGATTTAAGGCACGGACATGGCACCATGATATTTTGTTCAAACGGGAACGGAGCTACAGCAGTGACAGAAACGTATGAAGGTCAATGGTATGAAGGCAAAATGCATGGTCAAGGAAAATACATTTACAATGATGGCAGTGTGTACAGTGGCGAGTGGCTTGATAACAAAATGCATGGCCGAGGATTGTATCATTATGTCAACGGAAACAAGTATGAAGGAGAGTGGAAAGAAGATTTAAGGCATGGACATGGTTGTTTCACATCCATCGATGGGAGCTTCTATGAAGGTGCGTGGATAAATGACCGAAAAGATGGAGATGGTATTCTGACTCTTGCTGATGGGTCCATTTTCAAAGGCAGATGGAGACACGGTGTCATTGAAGGGAGTGGATTTTTTCAACCTGCTCCTAATTCCATTTGGAATAAACCAGACTTGTAGGTGGATCACCATTTACCAGAAGTACACCATTTTATTGTAAATATTTTTTGATAATAGATGTAAAGCAAAGTGGCGCAGGGGGAGCGCGGTGGGCTCATAACCCACAGGTCCTAGGATCGAAACCTAGCTTTGCTATCAGCTTTTTTCACTGCTTTTCATTTTTTCATTCAGGAATGCAGCTCTATTTTAAGCTCCCCAAATTTTCAAATTACACAAAAAAAATGTTCTTGATGCGATCCGAATATGACCGTGGTGTAAACACATTTAATCCACAAGGAAGACTTTTCCAGGTCGAGTATGCGATTGAAGCTATCAAGCTCGGCTCTACAGCAGTCGGTATTCAAACACCCGATGGCGTTGTATTAGCTGTTGAAAAACGTTTAACTTCATCACTTTTGGATCCATCATCAGTAGAAAAGATTATGGAAATTGATTCTCATATTGGTTGTGCCATGTCTGGATTAACGGCTGATGCTCGTACATTGGTGGAACATGCCCGTGTAGAAACTCAACATCATCGTTTTACTTACAATGAACCAATGGGAGTAGAGTCGTGTACACAAGCTGTTTGTGATCTTGCTCTTCGTTTTGGTGAAAATGCCGAAGATTCTGATGAGGAAGATTCGGGAAGTGCCATGAGTAGACCTTTTGGTGTGGCCTTGCTCATTGCAGGTGTGGATGAAAATGGACCAGCCTTGTATCATACAGATCCTTCTGGTACTTTTACAAAATATGAAGCCAAAGCAATCGGAGCTGGTTCGGAAGGAGCTCAAACAACACTTCAAGAAGAATATAACAAATCCATGTTCCTTACACAGGCTGAGGATTTGGCCATTTCTATTTTGAAACAAGCCATGGAGGAGAAAATCAATTCGACCAATGTTGAAATTGCAAGTATTACAGTGCAAAATCCAGTCTTTACCGTTTACTCGAAGGAGCAATTGGAACAAATTATCAATAGAGTTGCAAACAAGTAATTGAAGACTCGAAATGTTTCACAATTATTTGATTTTGTAATATTGTTATGATTGTTTCTTATTTTTCTACTGTGATAATAAAATGTATAAAATTCTGATTATGTCAGAGATTTCTCGAATATTTCATTACTGGCTAAAATTATCGATTAATGATATTATCCAGATCAGTATTTGCATGACATGTTGATTTATTGATCCAAATCTTGTAATGGTTGTTGCTGAAGCAAGGTCGAACCATCCCTATGAAATATTCTCGTCTTGTTTTCCAATGCTTCATCAATTCTTGTTTTTGTTTCAAATTCTTGATGGCATCATTGGGGTCAATAATTACCAAAAAGCCAAAATTATAGGGATGCGTTTGACACAAGGTTGGCTCTGTCAACAATCGTTCATTAATTTCCACTAATTTTCCTTTCACATTCGATCGTATTTGCAAAATTCCTTCTTCTTCTTCCTCGCCACCACCACCACCACCACTCTTCACGAATTGTTGATGATAATAAATTCTTGCAATAACGTATGAGGTTGCACTTTAATTTCCTTCTTTTTTTGCAATTGCTGAGAGGAAGCACTCGGATTTGTTTGTTTGTTAGAAGTTTCTACAAGATCATCACCTTCATTCATACCACTACTATTGACCAACACTGCTGGAGGAGTCGGTCGGAGTGGAAATTCTACTTGATGTACTTTCAATTCCGAGCAGCTGCCAGACAATGAATGTTTCGGAGAAAGGCTAATCACGAATAATCCATTTTTGTGTTCTTGAATGCATAAATCTTGACAATCTATAGGAGAAGTTGATGATTTTTGAGGTTCCGAAGATTCGGAGAGTGGAACAATGTCGTGCTGCTGTTGATTTGTGAGGTAAAAATCATCAATATTTTCATTTACGAGCTTGAAATTCATTTTTTTGTATTAATAATTAAAGTTTAAATAATTTACAATTCATTGAGAAAGTATTAAAGTTAACTCAAAGACTTTACATTTCATGAATGAATATTGAGAAAGTTTCCAATAAATTGGTTAATAGAAAGCATGTTTGACAAGACTAAGTTTATTTATCAAATCTGTGAATTGTATTAAATAAATTGAAAACATAATTCTGAATTAATTCCAATACGCCGACATCTTCTATTTGCATTTCTTCCTGTATGGAATACCATTCTTTCACGTTGTACAATATTGGTTTTATGGTAAATTCTTGTTTAGCTCTAATTTGACGTTCGATCAATTGTTTGTATTCGTTCAACATTGTTTCATTTAATTCCATTCCTTGAATCCAAGTCTCCCTCTGAGAAGGTATAGAACCACACCATGAGCATTGTTCATACCTATTGGTTAGTAGAACTCCTATCATGAGTTGGAGTAAACACAAAAATTCGTCAACTAAAAAGTGCTGTTTTCCTTTTCTAGTCAATAAAAATTGTACAAATTTGTAGAATGAAGTAATTTCAGAATAATCTCTCGAAACAGACAGAATACAGGGAAGACCATACTCATTCCCTTCATCTTGTCCATATAGCACATTACGAGCAAGTTTTTTCAATCTTTCCCTCCATGGCTGATGGTTTGATGTCATAGATTGAAATTCTAAAACATTCTGATCCGTTGTTGAAATCGTGAACGAAACCAAACGGTTCTCGTTCGCCACTGATGATGGTTTACAACCCTCGTTCATCTGCATGGATTCATCAAATTCCATTAAAGCTTTTTCCAAATCAATGATTAAAAACAAATCCAAAGGAATTGGAAAACGCAAAGGCAATTCTTTTCTTAATGCAACACATTCCAATAGAGTATCAAACAATTCATCCATAGGACCATCGGTACTCTTTGTTATGTCTTCCCCTTGATCTATCTTCATAAGGAACAATTGTTGTTGTAGGAATTGTATTTCATACATAAAGGACAATCCAAAATGTCCACTATTACATCTCCGTTCATCATATTCCATACTTGAATTCCATCGAGTACAAAAGGAACATATAGTATTGATCACTGTACGACTCGTTTCTGAATCTCTGGAAATCATCAAGGTTTTCCTTAACAAGATGCGCTCTGCCAAGTTCTCTGCACGGTTGAAACTATTCATATCATGACAATGAATGAAACCATCCCGATTCCATTCTAATAGAAATTTTGCATATTGAATATAAACTTTGAGAGGATAGAATGTATGATGAGAGCCTAACTGTTGTTTTGAATCTTTAAGGTTGTTGTTCTCATCGGATTCAACCAGAATCACCAATTGAATACGTAAATAGTCGGATTTTGTTGGAGAAACATGTCGTTTGGAAATATTAAAGTTACATTCCATAAATCCACTCTTACAAAGTGTTTGTTTCAAGAATGAAACCAACCACTGATGATTACTAATGAAAATGGAAGGGCGCTCAAAAGCACTCTGCTCCTTAACCCGAGATACTTGTTCCTCACACCACTCCTGCACACAACGATTCAAAGGAGTGTCGCTCATGAAATTTGGTTGAACATTCGAATCTCTCTTTTGAATGGTTTGAATTTTTCTTTCGAGTTTTGAACAAATCAAATGCAAGGCTTTGCAGGTTGGATCATTCCAATAATCATTGAGTGGCATCATGAAGGAGCTTTCTGGAGAAATGGAAGACAATTGATCTTGCATGTCAGGTAATGTTCTTCTATATAAACTCCTTTCGAGTATTTTCATCTTCCAAACATGTGCATGAGGTGAGTGAGAGGTCATGAGTCGTCCTCTCAACATGCTCAACAACACTTCTAGTTCATCCTCTGTTTGACCTTGAACAGAGCATGCAGAATGTTTGGAGTTTGGTAAAAAGTCCAATAGAGTAAGGACCACATTGGACGTTTCCTCTTCCATCATCATCATCATGGTTGTACTCGTTGGTGTTGAAGGGCTCATCCATGTTGGAGAGATGAGAGGTATCACACGCATGTTGGGATTGTTTTTCTTCTAAAAGCTTAAGAAGTTTAATTTTACAGGTGTGTTTAATAAACGGAAAAGCGTGATTGAACACGTTTTCAATTCGATTAATTGTTGATGAAAGGTTTCATGAGGGACTTGGTCGAATAAGTTCTAAAAAAACGTGAAGAGTTGTTACAGTGATGGTCAGTATTCCACTCTTGACACTTTTAAAATGAAAACGAATTTAATGTGCTACTTATTATTAATACATTGCTACTGCTCTTCTAATTTCAAATCTGTAACTGCATTTTCAGAAGAGGCAGGTTTTGTCTTCTTCTTTTTGTCACTCTTGGCTGAACTCTTCTTTGCTTGACTCGTAGCAATTCGGCAATTTCCAACAAGACATGATCCAATATCAGCTTCGTCCAAAGCTTTGATACATGCTTCAACCATGGGTGATGATTTGGCTTCTGATCGTAAAATGGCAACTGCTTCTTTTCCAACCTTTCCCTTCTTACTGCTACCTGCTGGTACCAGTTTGACTTTGTATGTGTAATTCTTGAGACAAGTGTATGGAGCACATACTGGAATGGCAAATAAGAAAATGTCATCGTCACGTGGTTGACCTGTCAAGCTGTCAATTTCGGTGAGTTTTTCTCGATCTTCTTCGTCCATGAAAGGAATATTTTCTTCTTCCAAAACCTTCTTGATTTCAGCTTGTTCTTGTTTCTTTTTACGAAATTCTTCTTCCTTCTTCTTTTGAAGTTGCTTGCTGTCAATTTCTTCCTTTGGCTTTTCTTTTGGTTTGTTTCCAATGAGTTCCATCATGATCTTTCGTTCTTCTTCGTCTTGATCTGCATACTTGGTTTTGAGCTTTTTCCATTTGCCACGTTTCATACCTTTTGGTTTATGAACTGGGAGAGATGAAGAAGAGGCCTCAGCTGTTGCAGTTTCCTCAGTTGTTGTATCTTCTTGTTGTTGTTCCTTTGTTTCTGATTTCTTTTGCATATCTTCAGGAATGTTACCAGAAAGAATGGCTTCTCTGGCCTCCTTGTCACTCATACCCTTCTTCTTGAGTCGTTGCAACAACTTCTTCTCTTTTGCAGAGAGATTTCTCCTTTTCGTCTCAGTGCCATTTTGTTGAGAATTCTCATCCTCTTCGTCATCCATTTCGTTTGTGGTTGGATGGTTGGCTTCGAGTTCGAGAATTTCCTCACTAGTGACATTGTCTCTATGGTGCACTCGATTGTCCTCTTCTTCTGTTGTCTCTGCCTTAGAAGTACTTGTCGTGGTGGTGACGGTACCATGTTTATCGTTACTGAGAATGTCGTTGGCGCTTGTGGTGGTTGTGTCTTCCTCAAACGTGCCTCCAGTAGTGGATGACTCTGCATCATCGTAATATTCGTTGGCAAATGCGTCAGAGACCTTGTTAAGATAATCGGATGCTTCAGCAGCGCTCATTCTTGGTTGTCTCTCCTGAAGGTGATTTGGAATACATGATTCATCGACTTTAAACATTACGGCAAATCCCATGACGAGTGGTGATGGTGGCAAGAAGTTCTTCTTTCCACGAATCATAAAACTTCCCAAAGTTAAATATTCACCAGAAGGAGCTGTTTTCGAGACTTGATGGTCATACACCCAGTAGGCACTGGACATGACCTTATTGTCCCAAGCCACACTTCTGCAAACACAAAACATGCCTGCTTCTTGAAGACTGAGTGGAGGAATAGGTTCTCCTGTTGGATTCTTAATAATACATGATGAAGCTCCGTGAACATCAGCATGAACATAAATATCACCCTTTCTCATATATCGCTTCACAAGAAGTTCATTCTGTTGCGCATCACGGCCACCCAATACAAGGTAATTCTCAGATGTAATAAACCAATAGAATTTCTCAAACCAGAATCTTTTTCTTCGAAGAGTAATTTCAGATTTGACTTGAGTTTTCTTTGCAGATTCGAGTGTTTTTTGTTCGGTTTTCTTGATGGCCTTCTTCGAGGCAAGAGTGGCTTTTTCCTTATTCTCTGCTGACTTTTTACGTAAGGCATAATATTTGGCTGCATTTGCATGGGCTGTCATGGAAATATCAATGTCAATTCGCATTGGTTCTTCCTTTGTTTTTTTAGATGATGAGGTGGTGTTGTCCTCGTCACTCTCATCGCTCTCGTCTTGTTCATTCTTTTCCTCTTCATCTTCTTCGTCTTCCTCATAGTCATCCTCTTGGTTTATATAAACTGATGGTGGTGGAAGCATCAATGTAATTTGGCTGGACTCCAATTTCAATTTATGAATCATGGCAGCAATTGGATCGATGTCTCGATGCTCCTTAATAACTTGTTTGATTGTTTCCCATGGCTGAGATTGAGCAAGTGCACCACAAACAACTTGAATTGCTTGATCAACCATTTCATAATATTGCTCAATCAAATTTGCAATAGTTTCATACTTGTCCATAGAAGCTTGCAACTCTTGCAATTTGAGTTCTTGTTCTTTTTTGACCTTATTCAACTTCTTTTCAACAACGTTCTCAACACTTGATTTTTGAGATTCAATTTTCTTAGCCTCAATAGCTGAGAAGAATTCGTCTGCACACTTGTCAAATGATTGGAAGGTAATAACTTTGATTTCATCAGGATTGGTTGGAATTTTTCTACGAACTTGCTCGAAAAGGAATGGAGTAAAATCATCGTATTGGTCTCTCTTAATGGACAAACGCTTCTCCTCTTTCAATAACTCTATTTGCTTCAATTGCAATTCGTTGAGAGGCATTGGCTCAGTTTGTTCTAAAGACGCCGATGCAGAGCCATTCTCCTCTTGCTGTTGTGGTGATGTCTGATCCGAAGATGTTGACTCTTAGTTGCAGGAGCGAATGGATTTTCAACAGTGACCTCATCCAGTTGTTTTTGATGTACAATATCTTTGAGAATAATATAACCCTTTTGTTTTTCGGTCTTAATTCTCATGATAAAGTCGTCCACTTCCTTAAATGATGCCACAAGTTTATCCAAAATTGGTGTCTCAACGAGTGGAGTAGAATTAAGGACGCTCTCAATTTCCACCAATAGTCGTTTAGTGAGATCTTGTGAGCTATCGAGAAGGTTAAGATTTTGTGGAAGAGTATCAGACGTGAGTAAAACATGCTCAACAAATCCTGTACCATAATCCAAATAATTGACAAGACAATTTTTGACAGTAAGTGTTGGAACAGTAGGAGCTTTTTTCGAGTGCTGTTTCTTCTTTTGATCTTGTGGTGTTTCTTCTTGAGTTGTTGCTTGCACAGCACTCGTTAATTCCTTGTCAATTGCATTGTGAAAAGTTTGAGCAAGACTTGTTTTTGAAATTCCCTCAAATTGCAAACGAGTTGACACTGGATAAGTCTCTCCGACAGCAAACAAGCCAGTCTCTGCTTCCTTACTGTGTGTACGTAACAAACTAATAATCTTGTATTGATGGTCCGTGAGAACAACGTTACCCTTGGCAAAGAACTCTACAATAAGGTGATAGGCTTTTTCTTCAACTCCGAAGGTGAAATCAACGACACGATCAACGCCCAATTGTGCTACATTTTCCAATCTTTTGGTTCTGATGTGTTTTCTCAACTACAGTGTTTGAGACAACAGTCATAAATTGTTAATAGATGGATTGAAAATGATGGTGTGAGAACAAAGCAAGTGGATGAAGTAATTAGAAAGTTGTTTGAATTTTTGTTGCATTGTCGTTCGGAATGCATGATGTTTCCGAATTTTAGCCATTCAATATTCAAATAATTATGTTTCCGATTTGTAAATTTACAATAATTACTCCCGACAGTATACTTACCTTCAATACGAATGCAGATGGCATTTTCGACTTGTCTCTCTCAAACGCTGTACTATGAATTCTAATTCCTGATTCAATGAGTACAACAATCTTCTCATCGGTCTTGGCAAATTTCAACAAGTAAGTCTTCTTGTTAATGTCATACAGATTGGCCAATCTCATGCCGATAATTTGTTCTCTCAATTCCGCAACAATGGCACGGATGTCCACAACAGACATACGATTTTTCATCTTGGTGATTTGGTTCTGTTGGTTGTTGAAATATTTCGGTTTTGATGAGGGTGTAGTGTGGTGAGGTGTAGTAAATTTCGCGAGTGATGATGATGATTTTAAAAAAGTTTAAAAATAAAAACGATCCTAGTGTTCTCTACGAATGGAAAATTTGATGATGTAAAATATTACTACAAATATAATGTAAATATAGATGATGTAAAGAAATATAGATATTATGATGAATACTAAATATATAAAATTCCTTCTTCAACGAGTACTACTACTAGTGTTCTGCTCCAAAGTTAAGGCCAAGTGCACTCTCCGATAGTTGTTGTTGTTTGTCAAAACACAGGGTGTCAAACGAGATGTAAACAATTTTTTTTAGATTTGTTGGTGAAAGTTTTCTTATTGTCGATTCATTCCTGACTTTGATCTTCAATCCGTTCGTGTCGTTGATTAGTATTGACAGGACCGTGGTTGAGATTTGAAGTTGAAGTGATGAATGTGGCATTTGAAAACTAGGTTCATTTGTTCGTTTGTTCGTGTGAATTCTTGGGAACAGTTTTCAAAGCTCAATATCACTCATATGGTGACGTGTACAGTTGTAAAATGCAGGTTCGTTGAATATTGGGATCAATGCAATTGCCTCAAAATTGTTGTCTTCGATTTATTCCAAGCATCATGCAAACTTGGGCAGTGCATAATCCAACTTTTTCAAAATACATTCAGTTTCTGTCAGTTCATAAACTGCTTTCAATTTGTAGGGATCATGCATCTCGTTAATAAGTGCCACCTTGAGAATAAATTGGTTTGATTTGTTTTGTTGTTGTTGAGGCTGTTGTGTTGAGGTGCCTGCTTGATTCTCGCGGTAATGACTCAGAGTCAACACAAGTGGACACCATCGTGCATAGAATGGATACGTCTCATCAATATCTGTGACCATAAAATTAGGAGAGGACTGAGGGAATTTCTGTGCGAGAAAGTAACAAGTATTTTGTAATAGTGCAAACACTCGAATGTGAAGAGCTTCTGCCACTGAATAAGAGGTGTTGGCTGCAGATGATGATTTTTGTCCTCCGAATCCCAATAATTGATTAGTATTGTGTGCATTATTTTCGGGTATCATTGCAAAGTTAAAGTCCTCTCCATCATCATCGTCCACATTCACAATCGACAAGTATGGATTTTCCTTCTGATGAGCTGCAAAAAACGTTGACAAATTATCTACAAATATATACCTAGGTAAGCTTTCATCGGGCAGCAATTGAATATTTGCCAAGAAAGCCACTAATAAATTATACGTATCAATGTATTTCACTTCAATTCGTTTCAAACATGAGGTGACTTGTGGATCATCTTCATCAAATATCGGAAGAGGTGGAGAAGCATTCCGATGAAGTAAAATCATGACACTACTCGTCGGATCATTCCGTATCAAGCTGTACGCATATTGAAACATGAGCGTGCTTCTTCCCGATCCATGAACTCCCAATAATGCAATTCCGAATTGTTGTTGTGGTGGTACAAATTGTGTGGAGTGAGCAGGAGCATTTTGCAATCTCTTTTCAAGAATTGGGTTCTCTTCCGTGTCTAGCCTAGATACCGAGAATAAATGTTGTACACGGAATGATGACGACATTTTTTTGATTTAAGGATGATTAAATTTCCACTTCCTGGTGGAAAATGAAAAGACAAGAAAATTTGCTCTGCAAGCTTCGTAGTTGAGGAGGCGCCTCAACACTTTGCAACTGGTTCAACTAGTGTCTTTTATGTTCAGTACATGAACGTGAAATCCCAAAAATAACTTGGTTGACTAGCCATTGTAAACAACAAAAATTGTCGCCCTTGGTTGGGTGAATAATTGGTGAAAAATTCAAAAAAAATAACCAAACCAGCCAAGCAGGCCTTTTTTTGAGTCCTTTTTTTTCGCTTCAACTTTTTTTTGCAAGCGCGCACAAATACGGACACAATCTTTCGAAATCCAAGTCGGCGACTGAAATATCCTTTCATTAAAATTTCAACAACATGACACAATCATCGATACACGATCATTTTCAAGTGCCCATTATTTCACTATTGCCACAACAACTTCTTTCAGCGTTGCAATCTGAGATTGATAATTCTACGAATAACAGCACGACCCAAGATGAAACTCTCACACAAGAACAAGTCACCACATTATTGGCCACTAAATTAAGCACTCTTTTTGGAATTCTCATTGGCAGTTTTTTAATCTCTTTGGTTCCTTTATGTTTCGGAAGAATTTCCTATTTAAGGAAACGTTTGAATCAAGGTTTGATTAGTATTGTGATTGATCAATGCAATGGTTTTGCAGGAGGTGTCTTGTTGAGTGTTGGTATTTTACACATGATGAGTGAAGGTAGTGAATTGTTGCATGACGGTCTGGAAGCATTGGGAGATTCCACGGCTGCAGAATATCCAATCGCTCCATTGGTCTTGTGTATGGGATTCTTGGTTTTGTATGGATTGGAGTTTGTGTTACTTGCATTCTTATCGAATTGGTTCAAATCAAAGGATTCTCATGACCATAGCCATGGCCACCATCATGGACACAGCTGTGATTCTCATGTCGTAACCATCGAAGAAAAGGCCTTAAAATCCCAAACCAATGACATGAATCATTCTCAAGAAATGCTCGAAGAATTGCCCACGAGCACCAGCGTTCAATTCAACAGTCAGGATGCTTTGGACACGAGCATGATGGACGAAACCTCAACCACCGCTGCCGATCAACCACCACAAGGAGCTCAATCTCCATCTCTTGTCGATATTGAAAATCAAGCCAAGACCACCTGCGAGCCAACAGTCTGTGCCCAACATCATGCTCATCACGATCATGGACACAATAGTGGAGATCACACGGCATGTGCACATCATGAAGCCACTCAAATGCTTTTCGAAACCAATCACAAACATGGAATTCCATTGGTTTTGACAGCCATTGTGTTATGGTTGGCACTTTCGACACATTCGATTTTTATTGGATTGGGATTTGGAGCTGAACTTGACATTGGAAATATGTGGAGTATTTTTGCAGCCATCATTGCGCATCAGTTTATTGAGGCATTTTCATTGGGATCGATTGTCGAGAAGGGTTGTAAAAGTTTGTGGATGGCCGTTGCATTGTTGTTTTTGTATTCCATTTCAGTGCCAGTAGGTATTGGAATTGGATTGGGAATTGTTTCGGCTGCTCAATCGAATGCACTTGAAAATGATAGTTGGAAAGTGACACAGGGAATACTCATGTCGATTGCTGCTGGAGCATTTGTATATGTTTCATTGATGGAGATTGCAATCCATCAGCCAAAGAATAAGTTTTTGAAATTGCTGCGATTTTGTTTAATGCTTGTTGGTTTTGCTGCCATGGCAATTTTGGCTATTTGGGCTTGAGTTCATTTTAATTGATGGTTGTTGTTAGTGAGATGAAGAATGTTGAAGGTGCATATAACAGGACTCATGAAATGTTAAGAACGTTGCAAACATAATGAGAGGAGTAACTCACGTGAGATTACCACAAGCAATTACAATTTTGAATAATTAATTATTATTAAAAACATAATTTAATTTCATACTTGACACATGTACTACAACTTTATTAATCAAGTTGACACAACAAGGCACATCCTCTCTTGATCCAATACTTTTCATTGGTGTCATCACTCATTGGTAACTTGATACTCATGACAAAGTTGGTCGAGTGACCTGTCGTCGAGAGAACACCTCTTCTTTCACTCGTCTTGTACAATGGACACACGTAATGAGAAGAATTGACATTGGTACCATTCTCTGATTGATTTTCACTTGCAGCCACATTCACAGGTTTGAACCAAATCAGTGGCATTTCATCAAAGAGTTGTTTAGGTCTTGGATCTGTCAGTGTTCCTTTTTGCATGTCCCATGCAGCTCCTTCCAAATACAATCCATAGACATAACATCCAGATTCTGGTTCTGATAATTCATGAGCAGTATTAGGGTCAAAATGCTTATTCAATACTTCAAATTCAAACTCAATTTGATCAATAGCAATCTTGTGTTTTCTTGCATAATTTTGTTTGATACCTGTCAAGAATGATTGAGTAAAGAAGAAACCACTCAACCAATACACATTTGGTTTTCCATGATCGAACCAATGTCTGAAAAATTCAATTCTCTTCAAAAGATCTTGAATATAGGTACGAAGAGGTTTTCTCGATGGATAACTGACTTTAGCCCATAATTTTGGTAATTTACCATTCGAAAGTGAAAAACTGAGTTGTTCCAAGTCACTACTCATCACAACGAGACCTTTCAATGCCAATTGTAACTGTTTGAGTGAATGTCGAATGACATTGAGCAATCGGTTAAATCGAATCAATTCTTGCACAAAGACAGTATTCATACTTTCATGATAATCGACTTTAAACTTGTTTTCAGCTCCTGATTCGCCTTCAATTTGGAAGTTTTCTGGTAACTTGGAAAGAATGTCTCCAGCCAATTCGTACAATGCATCAGCTTCATGCGATGTTTCTCTTCCATCTTCGTCTTCATTCTCTTCAGAGGCATTGTTTTGTTGAGTTGAGAGAAGAGCGTCGAACATGTTCATAGCTTCTGTTTGATCCTTACTAATGGTGGCATTGTCGTGCAAGCCAAATACTTCTGGATTTTCCCATGATGGCAACTTTTCAAGGAATTGAATATATTCATTATGCTTCTTATCTCCACTTGGAACTGTGTAAATTCCTGAAGGTGACAATTTGTAGCCGTCTTCTAAAATTTCTTCATTGTAAAAATCAGAGAGAATGGCCATCAAGGTTCTTCGATCGTGATCATCGGTGACTCTGCCTCCATAGTTGCATTCACCTGTGAGATAGGTGAGAGCTTTGAAAGGAATATTTGCATCCTTGCTGTTCAAAAACATTTGTAGTTGCCTCAATGAAATATTCAAATCAGAATCATTGAATTCGTAGCTAATATTCCATCCTAAAGCACCAAATTTTCTTCGTTCTTGAACTAGGGCATGGAAAAATGTCAAACCGAATAAAAGCTTTTTGAATTCTCGACTCTTCTTGGAAGTAGTAAAGAATTTAGCATCAGTAATTGGATCAGCATTCCATGATTGCAATAAATTGGCTTTCAAACCACGTGGTGGTTCGTTGGTAATTTTTACACCTCTTTGGAGAATGGTCACTGGGAATTTCTCGCTTGGCATACTTGTCAGCCATAACCTAAAAGTGGTTGCAATCTTGCTTTCATTTCTTGCCAATTCATCAATAATCTTTTCGAGTTTGGGCATCCATGAAAGAAGTACGTGACAGTTCTGTAATACAACCCAATTACCCTGGATAGTTCCTTGATTGATCATTTCAGTAGCAAAATCTTCTTGGCCTTGACCAAGAGACAAGCTCTTGAGAGTAACATTTTCTTGATCTGCAAATTTACGTAATTGTTCCATTGGGTCAACACCAGGAGAAAGAATAAACACGAGTGGCTTGGTTGGAGATGAATCTTGATAGGAGACTCGTAAATTAAATTGAACTGGTTCAATATAACGCTTATCCATATTCTTTTCAACAAATGATTCTACTGCTGGACTGAGCTTGTCAGGTCTCAAAACTCTCAACACCATCATTTTCTGGAATTGAGTCAATTTGTCCCACCGATCAGGATAAGGTTCTTCTTGTGGTTTTTGAGAGTCATAAATCTTCTTCCATTTAGGTAAATGATCAAAGAATTCTTTCTTAAAGTGTTGGAAGGGAGGAGACATGCCATCAATTTGACACAATTCATTGTACATGTTTTGAGTGATCCAATCAGGTAGTTTCTTGTTTTCATCTTCTTCATGGTTGACAACGGAGCTGGTACCAGTGAGGAGGAATTTCAACTCTTCGTTATCCATGTGTCCCTTCTTTTTCATTAATTGAATACACAATAGTAATGAGAATAACAGCTTATCCTTTTGGAATAAGGATCTGCAGACCTTGGTATACATTTGATAAGTAAAGTAATCCTTCAGTTGATCAATCTTTTGTGTGATGGATCTATTCTCTTCATGTGGAAGCTCATTAATGCATTGAGTAAAGAGTTCTTGATACCAACTCAAACTATATTGGTACATTGGATCAATGTTAGGAAGTTCGCAAATGGCAAAGAATAAAGTGCTTCCATTTTCTGCCACTGGTCTATAAAGATTTCTCTTAGTATCAATGTCTTTTTCTGTCTTTTTGGTTTCAATCTGCTTTTGTTCAATTTTTCTTGAAGTTTGTTTGGAAGACGAAAGAGCATTGATCACAGTGTCGTCATCAAGCATTTTCTCTTTTGTTGTTTCGACAAGTAGTTGCAAAATCTTATCTTGATAATGCTTGAGCTGTTCTTGATATTTGGCATTTTGAATAGCCAAGTTATTCTTTTCAGTTTCCAACTTCTTTTCTTCAATTCTGACAACAATTGCAAGCAACTGTTCTTCCAAACCATACGGAGTGATCATAAAGTTAATAATTTGTACCTTAGTAGATACTTCTGGAAGGTAGTGAGGATTAGAAAGACTTGTAACCAGATACAGTTTGAATGAATCGTTATAAATTGTGGGTGTGTCGCTCAAATTGATATACTTGACGCCTCCAATATAATATGTTCGAAGTGTCAGTAGCGGTTCAAGAGCTGGATCCAATTCTTCACTCACACCTTCAATAATGGTGGTAGTACCTTGCGTGATGGCCTTTTCTAAACTCTTAATAAGGGAAGGATTTGTCATTTGGATCACGAGTAGAGAGTCTGCATCCTTCTTTTGTTGTTTCTCCTTTTCTTTGATCCAATTCATGGCTTGTCCTTGAGGATCAATAAAGAGTGGCCATCTTCCAGTTGTTCTCTTGACAATGGTTGCGTTCTCTACAGAGAAGTCGTCAGAAGGAAGACCTTCCTTGATAATCCAATTTCTAACTTCCATTGATTCTGCCAATGTTGAAGGTAATGAAAAGTTTCAGAAAACTTGATACCATATTGTGTTAACTTTTGAGTCCATTTCTTAACAATTTTTCTTCTGTATTCAGATGTGAAAGCGCCCAGATATGAAAGAATTCCTGAAGCTAACAAAATGTCACCGTTCGTGCATGTTTGTTGTTCAATAATGTGTGCCAATGTTTCTTCCCATCTGATTTTTTCTCCTTCTAACAAACCAATCAACTTGGTTGCTCTCTCCAACTTGACACTGACCATTTGATATTCTGTTTCTAATTCATTTTTCTTTGCTTCACACTCTTTTCTTTCAACTTCTTTCTGACCGATCATTTCTTGAATCTCAGCAAGTTCCCGTTTCTTTTCTTGTAAATATCTAGCTGCTTCAGCACATTTTTCCTCTGCTTCTGCGAGAGCTTTTCGTTTTGGTTCAACGACGCTATTCACCTTATAGTACTTGACGAGAGCGTTTAAGAATTCATTCAAAGCAAAAGCAGCAGCACTTGATCTTTTGATTTTCTCAACATCCATTTCAGCTAAAATTGGTGAGAGCGTTTGCACAATTTCTGCAGTAAGAGAATTCATATCAAAGTTTTTGATATAATTCAAGAAACCCTTTTTGGCCATCATTTCTTTGGAAGCACCCCACCAGTCTTTAGTCTTATTACCAAGGCCATCATCAATGGTTTTGACCTTCTCTCCTCTCATGATGCAGATGGCTTTCAACACCATTTTTACACCTTCAGGTGGAGCTTGCATACCTCTTACTTCTGCAATTTGCTGTGTGGTAATTTCCTTAACTTTCTGTTGAGCTTCGATCCAAATTGGCTCAGCTTGAGCGAGCTCTTGTTGGCAGTACATTTTATCCTCTTCGTTCTTTGCCACTTGTTTGTTAATTTCTTCCTGCTCAATCTCAATCTTCTTTGCTTTTTCGTTTGCATTAATCGACTCAATCTCAATTTTCTTTGATAATTCTTCATTTTGTTTAGATAGCTCAATGAGATTGGGTTGTAAAATTTCCAATTCTTTTTGCATTTGGTTAACATCCTTATCCGTTTCTGCAATTCTTTGAAGACCTAGTTCGAACTTTCCTCTAAGAGTATGTAACTCTTTTCGTTTTTCTTTTACCAAGTCTTTAAAGTTTCTCAAAAGTTCCAAATATGTGGTTGGAGTTACATAGTTATGTCTCTTCATCTTCTCCAAGAAGGTCTTGGAAAGTTCAATTGCAGACGTATGGAAGTAGGCACACAAGTCAATGTACTTGTCAAAGTCCTTCTCGAATACCTCGTCTTTTGGAATAGAAATTCCCTTTTCTGTATCCTCTTCGCTGGTCTCACCAATACTTTTAATGAACTTTTCTGCAACAGCATGTAACGCTTGATCTGGCCAAGAACTGAACCAATCAATATTGCAACAATTGACGAGTGAAGGGAACATTCTTAGATAGTTTCTTAAACTATCTCCTACAGGACTCATACACAACACAATGTGCAGACACTCTTTACATCTGTCAACAAAATAATTGTAGAGTTCTTCAGGAGTTTGACCTCTGCCCTCATTTCTTGCATGAGTTCTCAAATTTTCACAGATATCCTTGTACTCATCCTTGTCAAACAAGTTAGGAATTTCACCAGTGTTCAAAATACTGCTAATGTCTTCCAAGAATTCTTGATACTTGATTTGATTATCATTGAACAAGAACACTGTTTGGTTTTTCTTAATACCCACACTGAGCAGTAATTCTTTCATTTGTCCTTCCATTCAGAGACTCCAAAAGATCTAGTTAATTGGATGCTAAATAGAGTATAGTCAGCTGCAAAGGCCGCAAGCTTTGTTAAACTTTGACGACCGCTGCCACCTACACCAATCAACAGTGCATTACCTCCAGGTTGAGTGATAATTCTAACTACTCTGGCAATATGTTCAATGGCAAAGTTGAACAAAACGAGGTCCATCTTGCTGTGAATTTCATTGTATGCTTCCAATTTTGATGCCAAAATGCTATGTAACTTGCCAATGTCTGTAATATTGGGGTCTGTTGATTTGTTGAGCGTTACTTCTTTAAACTTTTCACAAGTTTCATCTGTTAATGCAGTGTACAAGGTACTTCTATAGTCAAATGTTGTTTCTTCCATAATGTATTTAATCTCTCCAACTTGTAACTCCTTATCAAGAATTTGGAAGAAAGCTTCTCTATCTTGGTCATTAACTAGACGGTCATGGAAAACTCTGATGGCTTCGTGAGCCCAAATTTTAACGAGAGAAACCTTGTCAAGTTGAGATCCATCCAATTTGGTTCCAACTCCAACAATACCTTGGAAGACTTTTGACAAGTCTCTCAAGTTGAATGTATAGTGAGACTTTTCTGGAGTTGGTCTGAATTGTTCAATTACATTATTGTACAAACTTATAGAGCCAAGTACAATTTGTCTGGCAAGAATCTTGCTGATCACAGAAATGTTGTTCGAAGCAACGAACCAGTCCATGACCTCTGAGAAGATGGTTGTCAATGTTTGGTTATCAAAAGATGTCAATCCAATGACATTGAAATGTCTCAAGAATCGTGACGAAACTTCATTTCTACCACCGCCAGTTGGACCCATAGCACAAACGAATAACACATCCACTACATGAGTGAATGCTGCTGTTTTGCTTGATTTTTCATACCAACCACCTTGATCTTGCCATTGTCTAAGCAGTTCTATGGTTGGTTGAGCACCATATTCATCAAGAGTTGGCAAGTTCAAATCATCCACAAATATGACCATCTTTTTACCAATGGGTGGACCAATGTATCCTTGTTTTCTTCTACCAAGTTTTGATTCGACAATGTCTTGCGTGAGCCCTGGAGTTGTGGTGGCACTAAAGTTAATAAAAGCAGGAAGCATGTTAGACTTTTGATCTTCAGGATAATAATTATCAATATTGAGCAAAAATTGCTTAATGTAAGCGCTTTTTCCTGTTCCTGTTGGACCAACAAAGAGAGGTTGTTTTCCGTGATCAAGAAGAGTTTTAAGCATGAATTGGAATCTAATGGTATCCATTGTTGGAACAATGATATTTCTGAACTCTTCAGTTGGCTTGATTGTAGTCTTTGGAGCATAATCAGATGCTGTCCATTCAATCCATTTTCTGGTCTTCTTGTCGAAAACAAAATCGAAAATAAGAGTATTGGGCTTCTCTGGAATTGGAAGTTGGAATTTGAATGCCTTTGTTCTGGACTTTTCTTCAATAATATTTCTATAGTGCTGATCAAACTTCACTCGATCGTCACATACAACACCAACAGACCAAATTAAGGCAAATTGGAACAAACACTCCAAAATAAATATCTTATCCTTATTATTGATCGATGCAATTTGTTTTGGATCTGCAAATTCATCCATCAAGCTTTGCATGATGTTGATAAGAGAAACCACAAGCATTGAGTCGCTTCTCACTCTAATGTATGCAGATGAGCTGTGGTACATCTTAAACATTTTCATGATGGCTGGAATAAATGTTGAGAAGAGAGTACGCAGACATTCTTCCACTTCGTTAAAGTCTTTAGATTCTCTCAAAGGAGCAGGGAATTCTGCACTCGTTAGCCAACTTTGCAAGAAGGGTTCCCAAGATCCTATTTTTTCAGCTTCCATGTAAACCATACCGCATCTGGAAACTGTAGCAGGAGAGGCAGCAGCCAAGTCTTGCACTTCAAACATCATGTTCATATTTTCTCCCATCTTAATAATTTGTCCAGAAGTTAAACACAATTTCTTATTGTCGTCCAACACAGTGTTCATTGATTCAATCCAAATAGCATCTACTGGACCGTCACACATGAGCCATTTTCTGTCATTTTCGGCTAGTGAGCTCAAGTCTTCAAATTGGATAGCCAACACCCCATGCTTCCAGTCTTTAGTTTTGGTATCTCTGTACCCGTACAATTGACCAAGTGTTACAGCTTTTGGAGACAGTACTTTTACATGAATCTTTTCACCCATTTTTTCAAGGGCTGCCTTTAACACAATGTATGCCTTTGTCTTACCAGAGAGAGGTACGCCAACCAACATTAAACCGTGTCTCACAATAATCATTTCATAAAGTTGAATTATTTTCTCAATGAAATAAGGGACAGGTTGTAAATTCATTTCTGAACATGTAAGTTTGATATTCTTTTCCAGTTCAGAATAGTCAACCTTTTGGTGTTGAATGGATGGGAACAAGTCAGTAATGATACCATTGAATAGAGGAATATCCGCAGAAATAAACTTTGGAAGGTTAACATCGTTTAGGGCTCTCAACATGAGCTGCTCCTCATTAATATTAGGATACTGTCTCTTGAGAGAACCAGCTCGAACAAGTACAGCTTTAACAGCTCTCATACCATAATCATAGTGATCTTGTGATGAAAGTAATTCACTGCAAAGTTTGTAAGTAGTAACAATCTTTTTAGCAAGTTTACGGCCGTCCAAGAAACCATAAGAAAACAGGGAAATTTCAGCAATTAAGGCATAGTCAGGGACCATCATTGCTACAGGGCGGAATAATGCTTTCAAGTTGTCAGGTAGTTCAGATCTACCAGCATAACCAGGATTCATTGTGATAAAGATTGCACAGGTAGGATTCATATTAATCTCCATGTTCTCAAAGAAGAATCTGGTGGCTCTACTCGCAACAGCAATTTGAATTGTTTGAATTTGTTGAGCAACTACAGAAAGTACAGCCAATTCAATTCTGTTAAATTCGTCAAAACATGACCAAGCACCACTTGAGGCTAGACCTCTGAAGAATTGTGCCATTGATTCATAGGTCAATGTATCTGAACAATTGTATACAATACAGTGTTTGGCAATGGCCTTAGCAAGGTCTTTGGTAGTTTCTGTTTTACCTGTACCTGCAGGACCTTCTGGAGCACCTCCCTTGTATAGTTGTAGAGCACCAGTCAAAGTTCTGTAACATCTGTCTGTGAGAGGAGTAATCACAAGTCTTCCTTGATTACCCAAGTATTCATAGCCGTAATTTAGTACGGATGTAATTTGTCTGACAATAACTTGGAATTGATTTTTGCCATTGATATCTTTGGTGTCTTCCCAATAGTATCGTAGTTGACTTTGCCACTCAAAGTCAGAAATATCACTCACTTCTTCCTTTACAAGTCCAGCAACGACGTCTCTTGCATGAACGTCGATCACAACCATTGCACCCAATGTGATACTTTGCAAAAGCGACAAATTCTCGCCTCTCACTAATTCGATAAGAGCCTTTTGTTGCTTTGTCATTTTAGAGTAGTATCTTTGTACTCCCTTGACGCCTTGCACATTGATCGACTCTTCAACTTCTTTGTCCAGAATAATTGACTGACAGTTAATACAACTTGACCTGGCCAATTCAAAATCCATTGCCCTCTCTTATCAATATTACCAGCGATAGCGCTATAGGCATTGATGGATTGTTCAATGACATGTCTGAGAGCTACTTTCATTTCACTTTCAATTTCCAAAAGCCATAATTCCACTCTACCATTCTTCTCAGCTGGTATCACAGGTTTCGTGAAGGCAATTCTTTCTCCTTGTTTACTCAACATGGCAACAATTTTTCCTTCCTTATCAAACTCGAGCTTGTCAATGCCTTCAAAACATTTCTTCAAATGCGGTTGTACTCGAAGTGGGTCCTTTGTCTCTGAGAGAATTTCAAGAAGCTCATCATCGGACAGGAAATAAAATCTTGGAAATGCTCTTCTCTTGGTCTCCAAGTATTGCTTTAGACCAAAATGAATTTGGTCCAGTCTCTTGTTGGCAGTCTGAAAGTTATCGATCATATTTTCATCGGAAACAACCTGTGCAACAACCTTGGTTTTGTATGCATTGTCCATAACATTCTTCCACATCTTGTCGACCATGGCAAATTTGGTTGCTTCATCAGGAAGCTGGGCTGAAATGTCATGAGAACTGAAAATTGGTTCCAAATACAAGTAAGCAACTTGACATTTGATCCATTCTACCATAATGTCTTGTCTTTCAATGAGTTTGTTTTCCCATGCCATCACTTCAGCTTCAAGTTCTTTGACATAGGGTGAAGCACGCATGCTTTGAGTAATGGCAATTTGTTCGTCAAGCAGCACTTGTAGTTCATCTAATTCGACAAGCTTGTACGTAGCTCCATACTTTTCCAAATGGAAGTTGACATTTCTCCAAGCAGCATACATCTTTTCAAGATTACGAGAAATTACTGCTTCCTTACTGGCGATATCAGAAATCTCAATAATTCTTTCCAAAATGTTTCTCTCTTCAAAACCTAGTTTTGTGAAATCTCCCAAGTTCATAATGTTGATACTTTCAATATCGAGAGGAGCTGATGATTTACCGAATTCCACTGGTAACTTGGCAATCTTTTGCCAGTGTCTTTGTCTGAGTCCATCATTTCTTAATGCTTTAATCAAGGGCATGTGTTTCTTGAATTCGGACACCTCCTTCTTAACCTGCTTGGTAATTTCCTTGGCTGTCTCATCCTTTGGCAGTAATATCTTTTCTAAATTTCTTAAATTGGTTGTCCACATGTTCAAACATTCTTCAATATAATTAGCGTCCAAAAGCATAAACGTTCCTTCGTTCCACTTGGGGAAGTTTTGAGCTTTTTCAAAAGCAACTGTCCAAAGGTCAAAGTATGGTTTAAAGAGCTTTTCGATATCCTTTAGTTTGGTGAACTCGGTAGTATTCATGTTGAACATTCGCTCACGATTGTTATAGAGATCAGCATTTTTCTTGGCCTCCTCAAGTTTGGCTTCCATTTGCTTGATCTTTTCATGATATTCATCTGTCTTGTCCAAGTCGTTGAATGAAGCAAATGTTTCAATTTCTTTTTCGTAAATATCAAAGTTATGAATCAAAGTATTGATATCTCTTTGCAGTTCATCCATGAACTTTCTCTTGTCCTCTTCCAATCGAATAGTACTGTCTTCAAGTAGACTATAGACTTTCTTGGGCCAAGAATGAGTGTCTACATATGACGAAAAGTCTTCGCTTTCAAGGTTAAAAGTAAAATCTGATAAGAGCCCAAAACTGGATTTAACAGTGGCAAATTGGCTCTGCAGACGTTCAATTTCTTTTGTACAGTCAAGTAGGTACTTTTTAAGATCGTCCAACTCTTCTGCTGTTTGGGGAATCATTTGAACTTTTTCGTAGACAGCCTTAAACGCCAGAGATATTCTGTGACTTTCTTCAGTTCCCCATTTTGAAATTAGTTTCATCAATTCTTTTGCTGCTCCGTCAGTTCTATTAAATAGTGCTTCCTTAATTTCTGTACAATCAATTCGAAGTAAATTAAAGTTGACATAATCTGTTGAAATGTCGAAAACTTCTTGAGATGCTTGTTTGAGTCTATTCAATTCATCTCTAAACTGGGCTAACAGAGTAGGGATGTCCATCTTTCCAAACCTCTCATTAAAGAAGTTTTGTGCAAATATTACGGGATCAAGTGTTAAGCAGTATTCGTAATTCTTGTAGAGGTTGATCAACAGCTCTGGTTCAGTAAAGTTCGAAATAACCACTTCTTCAATGTCCTTCCATAAATTTTGAGTTTGCTCTTCTGACTTCAATTGAAGGTTATTGATAGAATATTGCTCAGAGCTGAGAGTAAGAAGAGGGAAAAGATTTTCACCAATTCCGTTTACAAAGTTGGTCTCTTCCAACACCCCAAAGAATACTTGTCGAACTCCTTCTAAAATCTGTTCCAGAGATGGGCTAAATGCAATGCTATAGCCACCATTGTGTTCTTGCTCAATTATCTTTATGGTGAAGAGTGGTTCAAAGCCAGTGACCTCATTCGCATCAAAATGTTTACATTCTCTTGCATGATAGGGATATATGAAATCATGTAATTTTTGAAGCTCGTCAAAAACATAATCTCTCAGCTGGACAGAGAGCACAATATTGGTCAATCTCAAAAATTTTTTCATACGAGAAGACTCAAAACGTTCCATGTCGTCCTCGAAGAAATGGAAAAAGCCATCTAAATCGTTCTGTACAATAGATGTTACTTTTTGACACCAATCCTCTCGAATTCTCTTCATTGAGTTAGAGAGCGTTTCGGTTTGAATAGTCAAAAAAGCGGTTAAATCAATTGGTGTTTCAAATTTTTCAGTCATGACTAAATCCATGGATTTTCCGTCTTCCTGCAAGCTGCTGATTAATAAATAAAGTTGTGTGTGAATGTTATGAAGAGCCTCAACCAGATCTGGATTGGTATAAAATATATTTTGCTCAATAATTGCATGAAGCTCATTGTAGTTATACTTTGGAACCTCAACAACTCCAAGATGTGGAGCTTTAGCATTATTCTTTTTGAGCTCATCCTTGCACCATAAATATTTCTGATATTTTTCATATTCTTCCTTGCTGTTGAGATAGTACAAAAAAATGCCTTCCTTGATTGAAGACTTGTAATGCTCTTTTGCTTCGTTGACATAGTTCTCAATCACGGGTACATGCCTAGTGAGAAATTGTGAATCGTTAGCGACCAATTTAAGCACTTTTTCATAGATTTGCTTTTCAAAGGGAGAAATATCTACTAAATCGTCGTCAATAGCCTTATCAATTTGCAAGTAGTAATACATCCGTTCTTCAAACTTTTTACGTCTCATTTGAGCACATCTGACTCGAAGCTCAAAAACATCATCAGATTCTACAAATAGATTGAGTCGAGTTACCCACTTGCGCTTCTTCTCTTCTTGACTTTTTACATTATTTGTTGAGTCCTCATCAGAAGAATTTTCTGAAATCCATTCAATGAGGAATTTGTTATCTTGTTCGTTAAATGCCACTATTCTACAAGGTGCCCACTGTGAGATTAATGATTTTGTGATAAATGGATTGGATACTGGCTTTTACTACTTACTCGATAGGCTTCATCTTTGGATCCTGTATAATATTTGGAAAATGTAGCGTGCTTGTTTGACAGTAGTTCCTCGTTTGAAAATCTTTCGAATGTGTCAAAATCGTCAAATACTTCTAGAGGTAAGAATTTACTTTTGCTTTCGATTGGTTGTCTTAAAGAAGCAATCCACGATTGAAAATCATCATCAAAAATTATTATTGATGACAACAAAAGAATACTCACCCGCTCATGATAATATCTTTTTCTTCGTCAGAAAACTCTTTTGTTACAAGTAATAGCCTAGGATAATGTTTGCGTGTGTCATCATCATGGTATGATACTTCGTCCTCCATTTGTATCGGTTTCAATGCTCCGATTCTAGCACTTGCACTTAACAACGTCAACTCGGATAACTTGTTTACATTGACAGAGTGCTTTGCTTGCTTTGGTGGTCTCTCAGCCTCCTGGACATTCTTTCGGAATGATTTTTCTTGATGACTGGAGGCTCTTTTGTTGATGGTTGTTGTGCTGGTTTCTCTGTGGTGTCAAAATTATGATCAATTCATCCGCATAAAATACGCTCAGGTCATTTTGTTGCTGGTGTTTTTTAAACGTACCTCTTCTTTGTGCTAGTATTTCGAGAAGGATCAAGATGATTAAATTGTTGAAGTTCTTTAGGTATTTTCAATTTCTTCGGTTGAATTGTTGATTTTACTTTGACGTTGTATGTGTTTTTAGGTTTATACTATATTTTCACCAGCCACAAAAATTTCAAACACATCGTTCCGCTCTTGTATTGAGTCTTTTTTCAACTACCTACCTCCATTCTGTCCAGTCCCAACGATTCCGGAGCACTGGCAGAGTGATACTTTCTGAAACGTTCAAACGTTCCCTGAACGGATTGGAATTTCCTCCATCCAACGATCCAGAGGGTGGTTGTTGATGATGTTGTTCAGACATTTTATTTTTTGAAAATGTAGATTTCTTTGGCGGGCACCTGTCAGTGTTGTTCCCGCCAAACTAACCGTTATATTTATATTCAGAAAAAAAAACAACTCAAATCGATGACGACCTTCAAGACTTCATAGATACACCAGGTGTTCCTAAATAGAACTGCTTGAGTATGGTCTTGTACCACTTCTGAAAATTTCGGGAGTTTGCTTGGATATGATGATTTGGTGTTCCCAGTGCTAGACACCTTGACCACTCGGCCAAACTGCCGTTGTACCAGAACCTAATTGTCAATATGTAACCTCAAGATGACTATATATACAGGTCTCACGACGATGACGTTCTTCATACCATATACACCACAGGGCTTATATTAGCTCCTCGGTCAAAAAAACGAGAGCAACAAATACTTTCACACTCTCGTACCATGATAAAACTCGAAAACACTATAAAATTCTAATGTATTATTCGTGTACTGTTCTTTAACAAATTTTAAAGCAATGGATGAAGTATCTATTAACCTCGTTGATGATTGAAAAGCGTTGATGATCTCACAACGAACAAAAAATGAAAAGAAAACGAACGGGCTCAACCAAAGCAAGTGGTACCATCGGAACGGAAACAGCAACAACAACCAATCAACCAACCACCACTTCATCAAAAAAGAAAACCAATAATAACAACAATATTCAACAAAGTAAAAGCCTGTTCAACTTTTCTCAAGCTCCCGGATGGAATGAAGAAGAAAATAGAATCCTCCGATTGGGAATTATGAAGTTTGGAGTGGGAAGTTGGAGTACCATTCATCGATCGGGAATATTACCTGGCAAGAATTATGCTCAACTTTATATTCAAACACAGAGAATGTTGGGTGTTCAAAGTTTGGCTCCTTTCAATGGAATTAGGCTTGACACTGACCGCGTTCGTAAAGATTTTGAAAAACTTGCAGAAGAAATTAGTAACAAAGGATCCTTATCATCCACAGAAAAAAAGTCATCATCGAGAAAGAGTAAGAAAGGACAAGCTGCAATTTATTCTGCAGAAGGAATGGACATTAAGAATGGATTGATTGTAAATGCCAATGGAGCGAATCCAACTAAAGATTCCATAAAAAAGAAACGAGAACAAAACATTGAACAGTATGAGCTGAGTGAAGAGCAAGTGGCCGAGATGGTGAATGAGGAGGAAATGTATGCCATAAAGAGAAAAACTCGCCTCGAATTTACACAAAATTTGATGAAATATTTGGAACAGACAGGACAATTGCAGGACGATAGTAAATCATCATCCTCGTCACATGGAGCAGTGGAAGAGGAAGAACATGATGGTTATGAAAACTCTACTGAAACCAATCTGGAAACGATCAATAATGAGCTGACCAAATGTAAAAACGAATTGAACAGTCTCATGAAACGATATTTAAAATCTACGTGTCAATAAGTAAGGTGGTTTACTTGACCAAATAGGACAAGAATTGGATGTCAGCACTTTAAAATGATCATGAGATTGGAACATAGTATTTCAGAAAGTGAGCACGTATCATACACCAATGATTACGCTCAAGAGTTGTTTATTTTGGACATCAGTATTTAACGTGATATTTTGCATCTTAATGCTTTTTAGTTGAAGTTTTTCTATTTTTCAATTTACCCAACAATTTTTGAGCAGCCAATACAGCTTCTACTGTAATCTTGAATTTACGTCTTGCATTGAACTTCCTCAATTCATCAATAATTTCTGGTCTGTGATTTTTGTTGGTAGACAATTTCTTAATCCATGGATGGCTCAAAGTTTGATCAGGAGTGAATCTCTTCTTTGGATTTACGACAAGCAAGTGTCGAATCAAATCCTTAGCACTATCGCTGACCTTATCCCAGTAAGGAGATGGGAAATCATAATCGCCGTTTATAATTTGCTCGAACAATTCTGGAGTATTTTCACTGTAGAATGGAGGGAAGCCGCACAATCTAATGATAATTTTGAACGTGTTGCAATAATTGGCACGTTATACATCGTGCATTATACATGGTGTTGACATTGTTAGACCTATTTGGTGAATCAAAGCCGTACTTACAAAATATACAGAATTACACCAATAGACCACATGTCCACGGATGCGTCGTAACCAGTATTTTGGAGAACTTCTGGAGCGACATAGTTTGGAGTACCACATGCGGTTTTCAATAAGAAATCACCATCAGCAATCTTTGCCAAACCAAAATCGGTAATCTTAATATCACTGTCATTGCTGTCAGAAGAATAGATCAAGTTTTCAGGCTGTTTTGATTAGAATGAAAGATACAAAATAATTACAGCATGACATTACATTTTTCCATTTAACATGCATTATTGTCATGATATGTTTTGGTGTTAGACACGACGACGTACCTTCAAATCTCTATGTACAATACCGCATGAGTGCAAGTACTTGATGGAGACACAATCTTTCTAATTAGTTCAGCAGCAACATCTTCAGAGTACCTTCTGGATATTTGTTCACGATTCTATCGAATAATTCTCCTCCGGTCAATCTATCATAAACACCATGAGCCAAATAGTGTGGATACACCATTTCCCAAGGCACACGTTGTTAGTTTCCATGTTGTTCAAAAACTTACAATTCCATGACAAGATAAACTTTTTGAGGAGTCTCGTACACGTCAATGAGCTCGACAATATTTTGATCATTGACACTTTTCAAGATGTTGACTTCAGTTTTCAACGAGTCCTTGTTCACTTCAAGGTTAGATTTATCAATAATCTTTACAGCTACTTTTCTGCCGTCGTGTTTTTGGGATGCTTCTCTCACGATAGAGAATGTACCGCTGAAAGAGAGTATTGAAACATTGTATGATTTCGGATGAGTCCACGCAAAACCATCGGATCAGATGACATTTCAACCCTATGATATATCCATCTCCCTACAACAACCTACCTTCCTAAAACTCGGCCAAACTCTAAATCCTTCTTAATATCATGAGTCTTGGCATCACTAAAGAAAAAGCTTTCGTCCGTCATTTGGTCCAAATAATCACTATTTTTAAATTATTGATGATGAATGAAAGAGACTGAGCAGATACGAGCGTTTCTTTGATAGGAACAACCTCTCTTGGGTTCAAGTATTTTTTTACTAGTGAGGGAGATCCACAAACAACGGACAAGATAAAGACCAAAAAAATCGTACATTTCAAAGAGCGGGAATACAATTAGCCTCTCTTGTGAACGGGTTGAGCCGGCAAGAAACAAAAAAAAATGTGAACGTGTTGTTTTCGACCCACTGATGTGTTGGATCAATGGAATGTTGTGAAGGGGTAGTACAAAACATTGCAAAAATGTTAACGAATCAGAAAACTATGGATCATGTGGGATGTACTATTCCGATCATCCACTATTACTTTCCGCAACACTTTAGGTTAATTCATAGTTTTGAAACTATTGGGATGAGTAGATTTGCAGGAGGCAATGCACCAGCTTTTTTTAAGAGATGCAGTTGCAATTCAATGAACATGGAACTTTGAGAAATTGTTGCGGTTCATGAACCACCCCATTAATTGAAAAACAACAAAAAACAATTGTTTTCGTTTTTCAACAACACCACGCTTTCTCCACTCAACACATCAATGGATCAAGGACAATCTATCGTCATCGATAACGGAAGCGGTGTATGCAAGGCTGGATTTGCTGGTGAGGACTCACCTCGTTGCGTCGTACCTTCCTTGGTGGGTCGACCAAAGCAAAAGATGGTCATGATTGGTATGGGTAACCGGGATTCCTACGTTGGAGATGAAGCTCTTCCCTATAAAGGTATTCTCGCATTGAAATATCCCATCGAGCATGGTATTGTCACAGATTGGGATGATATGGAAATGATTTGGCATCACACTTTTTATAATGAATTGAGAGTGGCTCCTGAGGAACATCCCGTGTTACTCACAGAAGCTCCAATGAATCCTAAAGTCAATCGTGAGAAGATGACTCAAATCATGTTTGAAATCTTCTCCGTACCATCTTTGTATGTGGCCATACAAGCTGTCTTATCCTTGTATGCTTCTGGTCGAACCACTGGTATTGTGTTGGACTCTGGTGATGGAGTTTCACACACGGTTCCAATCTATGAAGGTTATGCATTGCCACATGCTGTAATGAGATTAGATTTGGCCGGAAGAGATTTGACGGATTACATGATGAAAATTCTCAAAGAACGTGGTTATTCCTTTAATACGAGTGCTGAACGAGAAATTGTTCGAGATATTAAGGAAAAGTTGTGTTATGTAGCATTGGATTTTGAAGGTGAAATGAAGAAGAGCTCTGAATCTTCGAGTATTGACAAACAATATGAATTGCCAGATGGTAACGTGATTACTGTTGGTCATGAACGATTCAGATGTCCAGAAGCGTTGTTTCAACCCAACTTTTTAGGTATGGAATCCCCAGGAATTCATGAAACCACCTTCCACTCGATTGGCAAGTGTGACATCGATCTCAGAAAGGAATTGTACGGAAACATTATCTTGTCTGGTGGTACAACAATGTTTGACGGTATTTCCGAGAGAATGACCAAAGAATTGGTGACTATGGCTCCTCCCTCCATGGCCATTAAGGTCTCGGCTCCTCCCGAACGTAAATATTCTGTTTGGATTGGCGGTTCAATTTTTGCTTCTTCATGCACGTTCCAACCCTATTGGGCCACCAAGGAAGAATATGAAGAAGTTGGTCCACAAGTGATTATTAGAAAGTGCTTTTAAGGAGACATACGAATGTTCAACCAGCATAAGTTGAAAGGTCCTCACAACAAACAAGAGCTTTTCGATAAGTTTTCATTGAAATTCCATATTTCTATCCCTTCGTGTGCGGAGATGAGAACATCTTGTTTTGAAGAATTGAATGTGTATACAATTCCTTAGAACAGTCAAGTGAAAATAGAAACAGAGCAGATTAAACCTCCCCATGCTTGAGTTGATTTGTTTGACGATGAAACAGTTGTCTTCAAACAATTTAAATCCAACATGTGTCATCAATCATTAAATTTCAATCAAAAAAAATGTCGCAAGAAAGTAAGTAATTGCCACATCATTCTTTTCACACTCATTCCGATGATTACTCCTCTCCTCATAATCAGTCGATCTCGCTTTTGAATCTTTCACTGAAGGCACCACTCACTTGCAAAACAGTCAATATTCACAAGCCATTGATTGTTATTCGAAAACTTTGAAACATTTGAATGAAGAATTATCATCATCCTCGTCGTACGAATTGAATATTCGAACCAAGACTCACTTTTACAAGGGATTGGCTCATTTCCATCTTTTGTAAGTTTTTGATCCATTCATTCATGATCTGATGATGAATTATACCCGTGGTGTCACTTGTCATGTATGATGTTGTCTGTGTCCAAACATACACACAGACAATACACACAAGCCATTCAAGAATTTTCAACCGTCGACTCGATCATCCACCATTATGAATCATCCTCTTCATCATCAATTACAACCAGATCCGAAGAAGAAGAAGAACAAGATCACGAAGATCCAGCCACTGTCTTGTCTTCACTCTCACCCACACACATCAAATCTCTCGAATACTGGGCTCGTAGTTTACACAAAAACAGTAACAACAACCATTCACAACAAGAAGAAGAAGAAGCTTTACAATTATATTCTCGTGCCATTGACATGCTCTTGAAACAACAACAAAAATCCTCACAACCATTACCTTCCATTCATTCCTTATACATGTCCCGTGGTACTCTCCATAGTGATCTCAAACATTACAGAGAGGCCATTCAAGATTTTTCTCAATGTCTTGTCGTGTTAAGCGAACTCGGTGAAGAACAGAAATTTCCAAATATGCAAGTTCACTTGTTCTCGGCTCATCATAATCGAGCCATTGCATATGAAGCTTTAAAAAATTTTGAAAAAGCGTTGGAAGACTATTCGAGTGCCATTGAATGGTTGGAACGAGCTCCGAATGTAGAGGAATTACTCGGGCAGAATCCGAGTGAGGCCTTAAATACGTACTTGTATCGTGCCATGTTGGTGTTCAATGCTGGAGGAAAGAATGAACAAGTCCTTAATGATTTACAAGTGGTATTGAAATATAATCCTCATCATTTGGTGGCCAATCAAATTGTGGCTCAATGGTCGTATCAAGCCAAGGACTATGAGAAGGCACGTGAAAGTTATTTCCGATTAATTTCCATTTGTAAAAAGCAATCATCGGCTCATGATGAATTGTATTCGTATTATTTTAATCATGGAATGTGTTGTAAATTCTTGGGAGATGAATTGAGAGCTCTTGAAGACTTTGAACAAACCATTCAATTGAATGATGAGTACTTTAAAGGTTTTGTTGAATTGGCTCGTTTGAGAAAAATTTTGAAACGTGATGATGATGCCAACGACATGATTCAATTGTATGATCGAGCCATTTCCTTACTTGAGAAGAATAAGGTCAAGGAAGAAGATTTGCCAAATAACAAGTCCAAAGCGGCTCTCTATTTTGAGAGAGGTGTATTGAAGAGCAAAGTTGAGGAATACGAATCATCAGTAGAAGATTTTACCAAATGCTTGGAAATTGAGGATGAGCATGTAGATGCCTTGTTTAATAGAGCCAATATTTATCGAACACATTTGAAAGACTTTTCCAAAGCTCTCAAAGATGCTGAGACTGTTTGTAAATTGGATTCTAACGATCTGGAGGCCATGATGGAAGTTGGGTTGTGTTTGTTTGAACTCGACAAGATTGATCAAGCAAAGAAGCAATTTGAAAAGATTTTACAAAAAGACCCGCATCATGAAGGTGCCAAGAATTATTTGGATTATCTCAACAATGCTGATGACGAAAATGAATAAGTCGCACCATTCCAATGTTTTTTGTGTCAGATTGTGTCAACAAGCCACGATAATCCCATTCATGTTTCTTGTCACCTGTGTTTCAATTAGTAAATAAATAGATCACTTCTTTAAATTACACTTCTTTATTGTTTACACTCCAGATTGCATTGAGAAAAAGTAAAGATACAACAAGAGAATTGGAATGACCAATAATTTCCTCTTCTTGTTCAGGTAATAATTTTCTGCTGTAAATAAATAGAGACATGATACCGTCGACCATCCAAAGGATGCCAAATTCAACAACAAGGAGACATAATAAGACACAAGTGAATGTCTTTCAAAGATGAGTCTCCACACCAACAATACCAATAATGCCAATACATGAGGAATGAGAGAATAACCCACACAGGACATGACTTGACTATATCCAACCTCAATAATTTGCTCTTCCTCAGCTGTTAAATTTGAATCACCACTACTACTAGTGCTCTCCAAGTTGCCAGAAGGAAATTGTGCATGATCAGTTGTGGATGGTAATGGTTGAAAATCCGAGGAATGATCTTTTTTCACACTCTTCAAAGCTCTTGCTTCCTCGACCGTTGATGGTGTGAATAATCTTCCCAACATCCAAATCAGGCACGATCCAACCAACCAAATTAAATACATCCAGGTTATGGCACGAAGCTGTAAATATGTTATTTCCACAAGTAATGCATAGGCAAGTACAATGAAAAAAGGACCCCAAAAGTCTATTTCAATTGGAAATGATAGAAAAATCCACATTATGTTTCAATGATTTCAGATCATCCCGAGAATATGTCATCATCAATCAATATATTTTCATGCATAATCAAATAAATTCCAATATTCATGAATTAAAACAACATGGGAATGATGTATATAATTACAAATTAAATCATTATCTTCATCTTACCTGGCTCTCTCAATTTACTCAAATCATCGGCACTAAATTTTCCAAACGGAATCATCACCTTCTTCACTTTAAACAAGATATCTTCCAAATCAATATCCAACTCCTCCATAATCGATGGCTGTTCAACACTCTCTCCGCCCAATAAATTTTCTTTAGATTCCGTAGAAGCATCTACTTCCATCAACCAACCAAATCCTTTACTCTTTAAAAATTCTTGAGTTTTTCCAATTACAAATCCATGAGAAGAGTCGTGTGGTTGATCGGAACCTTCGGGTAAGATGGTCGTTGTACCCTGTGCTCGATTGGCGATCATTTTTTTTTGTGTTTTTATTTTGAATCTATTTAATATTAATTATAATATGAAGAAGAGTTTCCATTCAATTCAATGATGAAAAGAAATGAAATTTATTTATTCATTTTCAAGAGTCCAAGTATTTGATTCTTCTTGGTGGAATGAGTAGAATCAGAAAATTCACTTCTCTTGAAAAGTGTCGTGATTTGTTCGTGTAATTGTTGAATGACATGTTCCACCCTCTTTGGTCCAACATTGTTTGTGATGGTTTGTTCTTCGTTTCTGAAATTGGATTTGATTTCCTCCTCAAAATAATAAGGTAATGCCACTTTAAGGCATGAATGAATAATGTCCAAAATAAAGTCAATTTCGAGTTTTGATGATTGAGTTTGCAATTCATGAATGACTTTTCCAAATAAGGGATGATAATTAGTCAGTAAATCTTTTACAATCACTGATGAGGATCTTGTTCGTTTGTGAAGCAAGAGTGTATTCTTGAGGAAGGAAATTAGAATTTTAGGGAGAAGGACATTCAATAATTCTGAAAGCATGGTTGTAGATTGATCGTTGTGAGATGGAGAATCGTTCAATTTTGACCATTGCATGCATTTGGATGAAATTAACAACAATGCTCCTACAAGAGTCATATTCATTTTCTCTACCTTCAATTGCTTTTCAAGAGTTGATTTCAAGAAGGGAGCCATGATTTCAAAGCATGTGGAAGAGTAATCTTGCAAAGAGACAACAATTTCTTGAATGACATCTCCAATTCCTACAAGTCCAACGTGTGAAGTTGTTGACCCGTTGTTACCATGGTTCGAACAAACAAAGCACAACAATGTACATAAAAAGCTAATGTGAACCGATGGTTTGAGCTTGAACCGTTTTTCAGATTTGGTGGTGTGATGTCGAATGACCTCAATGACCTGTGTAATTAAATCAAAATCAAGTCGTTGTTCCACGTTACAGCATGCTTTGGAAATTTGCTTCATCAAATCTGCGCTCAATGACTCAAAATAATAAATCAATTGCAAAGAGAGAGATTGTAATCGCTTTGGTAATCGCACAAATGGTCCACAACGTTGCGTCTCTTCGTTATAAAAGAATGGAGCGATGGATTCAACGATGGTCTTTTGAATATACGATTGGAATTTTGGGTTCTTAGCCAATGCAAGGAGTACTTGTAAAATGTGTTGACTAATTTCATAATGTTGCTCATCGTCCAATTTGCATAACATGGGAATTAACACTGAGACCCATTGTTCAATGACCTCGGCTTGAGGTGTGATTGCTTCATCTTGCAACCCAACACTGGCAAAGAACTCTAAAATTAATTTTTGTTTCGAAGAGTAGGCTCCCTGTTTGATAAAGAGAGCAGTCAATGATTTCCATAATTGAGCTCCAATGGCAGGTGGTAAATATCTGTAAATTCGGTAGAAGGATCCTAAAAGTTTGGCAAAATCTTCATCTTCCAAATTCAAGTTTTCAGCGTTTGAAATAAAGTGAGTGATTTGTTTCACATAGACCAGCTCCCATTCCTTGTAGGAAATTTCAGTAGACCCTTTTTCAGAACTAAATCTACCAAAACAGAAAGAAAGCATGGCCAACAAACTGGCATTGGTACGATCAATGTTGTTAGAGCTCTGGCGAATCTTTGAGGACAATTGCAGTGGCATTTTAGTCACAAAATGTTGAATTGATTGTTTCAGAGCCTTATTGATCGTTTTGCGATGAATATTCTTGCTTTCTGGAGCACCTTGCTGAGTATGTTCAAAAGCATACAGTAATTGATAGGAAATGTCCAAAACTGACTTGATAATAGTGAGAACATATTCTGTTTGGATGTGATGACTTGCTGCGGATGCTCGTTGTTCTTCGAAAATTTCAATCCAAACTTCAACTAGAATTTTGAATATCAATTTGAAAAATTCAGCAATGGATTCCTCGTCTTCAAGATTGTATATTTTGATATCCATTTCTTCTTGTAAGAGCTTTTTCAAAGAAGGCTGTTCTGTTGGTTTGTTGTCATGTTGTTCTTCTTGATCCTTCGAATTATCATTTCCAAGCTCCAATAGTTGGTCTGCATCCAATTTCAATGATTTTTGCTCCATATTTTCAAGAGTAGCCATCTTTCGAGTGAGTAATTGAGTCATGAGTTGAATTTTGTTTTGAGCTATTAAATCAAAAGAAAACTGAGCCTTTTCAGAAGTGGAAGCATGCGCAAAGTAGAGGGAATTGGTCGATGAAGATGACGACGAGCCGTTGGCATTTACCAAATTCATTTTCATGTGATTATGAGTGTGCGTGTGTGAAACTCTCTTGCTTGATGGAATTCCAAGTTTGTTGTTCTCAAAAAGTATGCTCAAAAAATTATTTAAAACTGTCACGCATAACTGTTGAGTGGTTCTGTATCTTGCTCCCTTATAGGCAACACCCATTCGACTAAGCATGAAAATGTAGCAAATATTTGGCATGACTCGAACCGAATATTGTGCAATAGGAACCGGGAAATGTTCTAAAAATTTGGAAAGTATTTTGAGAGAGTATCTTCGAACAGTGCCAATTAGATGAGTCATTCCACTTGTAATATATGCCATCAATAGTGAAATGAAGGGAGTAATTGAGGCCTATATAATAATTTTTCACATCCAATACATTCAGCAACAAGGATTTGTGATTCCAGTTAATAATTCCAATTAATATACATTGTTATTTGCAAAATTCATGCCATCCAGTCATGCAAAAAGCAACAAATTGAACTGTCAACAATAACAACAACCACAAAGCTCTTAAACCTACCGATGAAATTCTTGATAAACTATAATTTAGGAAGTTAAATAATGCATTATGCACATCTTCATTTCCATCAAGCATCAGTGGTGTAACTTCATTCAAAATTTTTCCGAGATACACCTTCAAAACTACAGGATGCAATGTTACAAGCTCTAGTAAACTCTTCATTGCAGAAACTACAGTTTTTACGTTGTAATGTTTTAATTTAGGAAAAATATCATTCAAGCCTAGATTTCTACTGGTTACCCAATTACTTTCCAGAGTATCCACGCTTCTCAAATTTTGATGAGCCATGAAAATACCCTTTGTTTTAAATTCAATATTGGTTTGATTCACTGGTTTGAGTTTCTTTCCGAGCTTTTTCTTTTTCTGATGTACATTTTGTGATGAGCCATGTATATTTTGAATATTGGCCAATAGAAAGATAATCATACATTTTGCGATAGGTGTTATTGTTATTATTTACTCATGTTTAGCGGATCGGAATGATTGTGATTCCACACTGAACACTTACAGGGGCCTGTTTTTCATTCTTTCGTTTTTGTGTCATTTTTTTTTGAATTTTTTTTCGTTCTTTTCTTTTATTGAACATAATTTTATCATCATACCAATAAATTTAAAGAACACGCCCACGTTGTTGATAAACATCTAATATAACTTCATTGGAAGGTATCGTTTGTGGAGCCTCTGTTCCATTTATTGCTTTGTAGAGAGACCTGCTTTTAACAATTTAGGAAGTTTGACCTTGAGTATTTCTAGTTGTTCTTTTAAATCCTTGTTTTGAGCTTGAGACGTTTCGAGTTGGAGCTCCATGGACGAAATAATCTTTTGCTGATTGGTAAAATTTTCTTCCATCTTTTTGTTGGCATCTCGAAGAAGTTTGATCATTTCAAAGCTGGAGTGTAGCTCCTTTTTAAGCTTGGTCAGTTGTTGTGAGTGTTTCAGCTTGTTTTGAGCTGCCTCATTGTTATTTTCATTGATGGTTTGCTTAAGACTTTCAGTTTGCTCCTTCAACTGTTCTGTGAGCTGAGTGATACGTTGCTGCTGACTTTGTTGGGTAGCCTGATTCATTTTTTGCTCTTGTGACATCCTCAAAGTAAGATCCTCGAGCTCCCTTTTCAATCTTTGATTTTCTTCGAATAATTGAGTTTCCTTATTTTCAAATTGAGATAATAATTGATTTCGCTCCTCAATATTTTCAAGTTGTTTTTGCTTATAGTCTGATGACAGTTTATCCACTAGCAACTCAAGTCTCTCGTTCTCCTTTGCAAGCTTTTCTTTGGATTGTAAATCGCCAGAAGAGCTTTTTGTTAATTCAGCCACTTTTTTCTTTTCTTCAGCAATGGCTCGTAACAGTTCGTCTTGAACTTTGCTAATCTCTTCATATTCTTGAAGTTTAATTTTAAGTTGAGACTCACAGCTTTGTGCGTGTGTCGTTAAACGTTGATTTTCAGCCACCAACGTTTGATTTTGTCTCTGAAACGCCAGCATTTGTTTTAGCTGCGATTCTGTTGTCTCACATTTGTTTCGAAATGCGTCTCTTTCTTGTTGTAACTCTTCGATGGTGGTCTTGAGAGTGTTCAATTCGTTTTCAAGTTCATTGTTATCTTGTTGGATTTGTAAGTTCATCTCTTCGAGTTTGTTGATATTCTCTCCCTTTTCAAATTCCGAATTTTGCACTTTTTCCTTCTCCAGTGTCAACTTGTTAATTTGATTCAACGCTTGTTCGTACTGCTGAGAAATTTCTTCAATTCTGTTACTTAAATCTTCTCTCTCTTTCTCGATCATTTCTATTTTTTCATCTCTATTTGAAATTTCCTTCTTTAGTCTGGCGATAGTGTTTTTCCAGAAACTAAGTCCATCAGATTTTGACCTTGTTGCTCGTCCATTTTCAATTCGTGAGCCTTTTGATGCACAAGCTCAATAATAATCTTATTGGCGTTCTCTTGTTCCATACTCAATTGATGTTGCAGATTTTTCTTTCATTCTCCAATCTCTGAATTTTCTTTTCGAAAAGGGCACTAATTGTTTGAAATGTGTTTTGGTTTGGGTTCATAATTTGTGATGTGTTGACAGAAGCGTTTGGGGATTTTGGTACATTGATCGTTTTAGTTCTCATATAAGAGCTTGGATGTGATCTTTTAGCAGGAGAAGAAGGAGCTGAAGCGATCATACCTCCCCCTATTGATTTCTTTTGAGGGTTCAACGCCGTGGAGTTTGCTTCGTTTGCTGACTTGGCCATGCTTAAAAACTGGGCACTATTAAGCGAAGAAGAAACTGTTGCTTGTTGACCCTTTTTTGAATTTCCTGAATCCTTAATTTCCTTATTCAATAAGGTGTTGCCTTCAAACTTGTTACTATTGGAACGTACCACCCCACGGCTCGTTATGTTGTCATTAATATTCGTCCTATTCGATATTGATTCATTATACGAAGTCGGTAATTCATCATCGGAATTACTTAGAGAAGCCAACTCGAGTTGAGAAGCATCTCCAGCATGAGCTGCCTGTCCTATATTCAAATCCTCTACATCATCATCTCCATACAAATTTCCAAATCCACTCTTTTCTTTGCCTTGAAGCCTAGTTGATGAGGAGGCATTACGAGGACGACCTTTTGCAGTTTGTGGTCTTTTTAAAGTCGGTCGTTTCGTTAATGCCCTGTGTTGTTGTTTGTTTGGCTCTCCAAGATGCTCACGTTGGTAGAAGAGTGATTCAACTCTCCATAATATTGATCATCGACATCGTCCTCTTCTTCCATCCTGTTGTTTTGACATTAGTATTTTCAAAATCGTTGCTACGATTGTCATAATTCAACTGATCCGAAAACAACCGTTCCTTATGTCGGATCATGTTTTGAATTCGGGTCGCTGATGACGACGTCGCACGAGACATCGTTTGATGCGTTTTTTTATTAGTTTCGGTTTTCGTTGGACAGTAAAAGCCTCATGAAAAGAGAGGGAATGACAGAGGCGAAGTTTCAAAGAAAAAAATGCAAATTCAAGTATCTTCATCAATCACCTCAAATCAAGGTCAACACATTCATTCAACACAAAAACTTTCAACAACAGCAACATCCTCTCGGAAAGATAATTTATTGTTTTTGACACAATCACTTCATACGATCCGAGAATCCGATATTCAATTACTTACGGAAATGGGAAAAAAACAACAACAATCGGTAACTGGAAAACAAAATAGAAAAGAAGAGAATATGAGTGGTGATATGGAAGAAGATGAAAATTTAGATAATGATGATGATGGCATGAACGACGACGATGAAGAAGAGGCCGATGATAAAAATCAACCCACAAAGAAAATAAAAAATTAAATTGGGTTGTGATGTGTGCTCCTGTAACATTTCAAGCCACACACTGGAGAATTTTGTCAGGTTGAAGTCGAATTTGAACACTCAAGATGGTGGTTATAAGAAGCTTTCCTGTGTCAATTTCGACAAAAAAATGAAAAGACAGAATTCACTCTCCCGACAAGAAACTGCTTCGGAATCATTCAAGAAACTCACAGACACTGATGAGGCAGTGAGAATAATGTTAATTGATTTTCATCCACATGGTTTTCACACTCTTGAATTTCCCAACTTGTTTGAACTTTTGATAAGAAAATTTGACAATCAATCCAAAGGTTTTCGAAGATGGTTAAAGGCAAAAGAAGAATGGCTTGAACAAGATGGTGAAATGAAAATTGAATTCTTGAACGTTCCAGAGTGTGTGATGAAAAGCTGCCTTCACCACACCAATTTGCCTCTTTCAGTTAAACGGATGACACAACCTATTAAGATTGCCAAGTTGTGTGAAACTCATCGAGAATCGATTGAAAGTGTTGAATTTTGGCAACCTTTCAAAATTGGCATCTTGAGACTCATCAAGATGGAGCAATTTCAAATCTTAAAGTATGTCCCAAAAGAGATTTTATGGGAATGGCAAGAAGAGTTATCAGAAATATTGGAAGAAACATATGAATTAAGCTTCCTATTTGATCTCGATGATATTGATGAAGCAAAGAGATCACTTTCGGAATATTGTTGTTATTTATTCCAACTTTCAGAAAGATTACGAGATCATGAAGAAATTGTCAAACTTGCCATCCATCTCGACAATTCCAGCATGCAATATGCATCTGAACGATTGAAAAACGATAGAACATTCTGTATGGAAGTTGTTCGTTCCAATCCTCACGTATTTCCAGACCTAACGCAAGAGTTACAAAACGACAAGGAATTTATTCTTGAATTACTCAGCTCTTCTACTCACACTTTGAATGGTCATGTACAACAAGACATGATTCCAACACTAATTCCAGAAGTTTATCGTTGGATACCAGAGCATGTTCGTTATGAAATACCAATGACAGTCAAAATGAGAGTGTACGAACAATTATTTCTCAAAGATGAAGCTATTGATCAAGAAAATATAATGAAAGGAGTATTGAAATCCATACTTCAAATGCTTCATGACTTACCATACGAACACTTTCGAGTACACAAGAATTATCAGCATAGTCTACAAGAGCAAGGATGGTTTGCTCATTCATTGGCTGAGAAGTGTAAAACAATCGTTACATACGAATCAGAAGATTATGAATTTGTTATATTATTCGCACAAGTGATGACACGACTCTACATGCACTATGATTTACGAGACGTGGAGCATGATGAGGAATTTATTTCCAAGCGTGTGGACTTGCCACTCATGATGAAATATGCACAAGTTGGTTTACGACATGACAGAAATTTTGTGTTGAAAGCTGTGAAAGCAAATGGAAGCGTCTTCAAAGTAATTTCCAAATTTCGAGATGATAAGGAAGTGGTGTTGGCTGCCCTTAAAAGCAACGATATACGTTTCACTTCTGACATTCCACAACACTTTCATAATGACAAAGACTGCATGTTAGCAGCGATGGAACATGCAGACCATTCTGACTACCTATTTTTTAATTTAATACTACGATTTTTTGAAAGGAAAGATAGAGATGTGATCATTGCTGCTGTAAAGATATCTGGAAATTATTTGCAACACCTTTCTGATGATTTTAAAAACGATAGAGAGTTGTTATTGATAGCCATCAGCCACAACCATCTTTTACATGCATTAGATTTTGCTTCCTATGAATTGAAGCAAGATGCACACTTTATTTTGGATTGTGTGAAACAATGTTGTACTTTTATAGACTATTGCATTGAAAAAAAGACTATTTTAAATTCTGAAATCATTTCTGAGCATGTGAAGCGATGGGGAACAGTTACCGATAAGCTACTAATCTATTTTGGTATTCGAGACGTAAAAGGCACTACATTTGAAGAAGCAAAAAGAGTGTTTCAGTTTTTGAACCAGCACCGATTTGATTTTGAATATTTTGGATCTCACATTCCTGAATCTTATTTATTGAAAGAACCAATCCAATTGGTGCAGCTTGAAAGAACAGAGCCATATATATGGCAATTATGCGCCCATGACGCTTACAATATGTGGCACGAGTTCTTGTTTGAGAATGCAAGTTGGGAAATCTTTTTTCAATGAATCATTGAAGTGAATTTTTCATTGGTTTCGTTTGTTCACTCTTAGAATTTTATGATCGCTCGCATCCCAATCATCAGATTTATGTAGAATTTTTTGTTTTTTAAATTAAATAAAAATAGACTTGAACTTTAACACTGAGAGCCTTTACGAGGTTGAAGAGCTTACTTGGAGTAATAATTAGCAAACAGTAGTATCATCATCAGAGTCTCTCACTCATTCTCTCCGAGATTTAATCTCCATCACACCATTTGTAAATATTATTCGTGTTCAACATCTAGAAGTAGTGTGTGTTTGAAAATACGAGTAAATTTCGCACACGTAGACCCAAGAACAACAACATCTAGCAAACACAACGAAAATTAATCTGTCGTTGAATTTTACAATCCCACCTCTTCTCTTTCATTAGAAACTCTTTATTCGCATTTTCCATTTGTATATTTTCCAACATCATCATCACTGTATAGCACTTATCATTACCAATCAAATAACAACAACAACAAAGAAGAAAAACTCCTCAACAATAGACTACCATCATCATCATCATGGTTCATTTACATACATCTCCAAAGCCTCGTTCTCCATCATCGGCCTCTGCAACAACAAACAACACAACGACTGGCAACAACAATAATCAAATTCTTGAACAACAACGACAAGCCTACTATTCTGCCTATCATCAAGATAAAAGGATAATTCAAGAAAAACAAGAGGCCTATTATGATTATGAGGAAGCAGCAGAGGATGTTGATGAAGATGAATACTATCCGACCATGACCAGTTCTTATCAACAAAACAACCAATTGGTTGGAGCCAGTGGTTTTGAACAACAGCCAGACCTCATATCGAAACCAACTCTCAATCCCTCTTCATCATCGACCAGTGACTCTGTTCCATGTTATAGTAATAACGAGGAATATCATCACGACAACTCGGTCATGCGAGACGATGAAGAAGAAGATGAATATGTTGACGAGGGAGACGACAATGAAGCAAATGATTTGGAAAATCAATTTTCTGAGACTGGACTCAACACTAGTTATGACGACATGAACGAAAATCCATACGCCAAAGATTCACCTCAACACGAGCACTATATCGAAGGAGTTCAATTTTTACTACCACTCCGATATGAACCCATAGAATGTGTCGGAAAAGGAGCTTATGGAATTGTTATTAGCGCAAACGATAGGCTCATGAATCGAAAAGTAGCCATTAAAAAGATTGAAGCTGTTTTCAAGAAGGAAAAATTCTTTCAAAAGAGAATTATGAGAGAAATCAAAATTCTAATTCACTGCAAAGGGCATCCAAATATTGTGGAAATATTAGATTTAGTTCCTTCTGAATCATTTGATGAATTCGAAGACATTTATATCGTGACCGAATATATGGATTGTAATTTACAAGAATTACTGAAATCCGGACAAAAATTCAGCGAGCAAAACATTCAATACTTTTTATATCAAATGCTGAAAGCCCTAGACGTATTACATTCTTGTGATATTGTTCACCGTGACATTAAGAGTAGTAATATCTTGGTCAATAACGATTATGAAGTCAAGTTTTGTGATTTTGGATTGTCACGAGCCATGATGAACGAAAAGATGTCGACAGACAATGTTGCTACCAGATGGTATCGATCTCCAGAACTGTTACTCAAATATCACAAGGCAGGAAAACCAATCGATGTGTGGAGCTTGGGTTGTGTTTTCGCAGAGCTACTCTCAACACCAAAACAACACGTTCTCTTCCCTGGAGAAAGCCATCTCAATCAAATTGACAAGATTTTGGACATTTTAGGAACTCCACCACCTGAAGATATTTATGGATGTTTCAAAGCTCAAGTGTACATGAGTAATCAGCCATTCAGAAAGAAGAAGGATTTCAGTAAACTATTCCCAGAGGCAAATCCTGAAGCGTTGGACCTTTTGGAAAAGATGCTCTCGTTTTCTCCTGATAAGAGAATTACTGTGAAAGAAGCTCTAAAGCATCCATATTTGGAGAGCATGGCCAATCATATGGACGATGAAGAAGAAGGAATTTCTTCCGATGGAGGATTTGTGACCAGAGATTTCGAATATAGATTCGATGAGTCTTGGGAAGTACATCAAATTAAGAAAATGATGTATGACGAGTGTGTTAATTTTCATTATGCATGGTCGAGGAAGTAGAAGTTGTACAGTTGTAAATGTGTGTTTGTTTAGACTAGCTAGATTTTGTAATTTATTTAAACAAGGAATTGTAATTTATTGAGGTTTTTAAAGTAAATCATGAGCTAATAGCTTCAGAATACTCTCATGACAATATCATTTGTTAAAAGGTTTGCCATGGCATGCATCAACTGGTGTATCCCTTACACTTGCTCTTTGTTCTCAGGTACACTATGCTTCAACTTTTCCACTTCTTTTTCAAGAACTAATACCTTATTCTTTTCCTTTGCATAGAGTTTTGCTAAATGCTGATTCTCGTTTTGGCTGACTTCCAAATCGTGCCCAAGAGCCTCTGCTTGTTTGAGCTTGATTTGTGCTTGATAGAGAGCTTGTTGCAGTGATTGAAGGTCGTCAGCAACAGGTACACTTTAGGAAAATTCAGAATGGAGGATGTTTCACTTTTCGACAACACTCGTTGCAACACTTTCTCATGATTTTGTTTTTTCAATTCCACAAGTTCATGTGTAATTTCAATAAATTTCTTTTCCAAAGACTTCACTTGCTCTTCATACTTTCTTTCAATAAATACATTATGATGTTCCAATTTGGCAATTTCTATCGATTTTTCTTCTATCTGTTTCCTTAATTCAACAATCAATGAATTTTGATTTTGAATCTCTTGTAAAGCACTCTTACTCGAATGTAAATATTCAATATTAATTGCTAATTGATCATGTAGCTCTTTGATTGTCTTTTCATATTCATCAATTCTCTTCGTAAGAGCTAATCGCATCCCCTCTTTATCACTCTGACATGTCGCGAGTTGAATTTTAACCTGAGAAAGCACAGCATTCAGAGTTGCTTTCTCTTCCTTCAATACTCGCATTTGTTTGGCACTTTCTGTTGCCTCATTCACAAAACTTGCAAGATCCTTTTCTAGAGTGTTAATTTTCATTTCGAGACGATGATTATGGAGACGCAACTCTTCGGATAAGGTCATTTCCATTGAGGAAGTGATGGCTGCTGATTTCTTTTTCAGTGTCTGAATTTCTTTCTCCAATTGATCAATAGAATTGTCTTTTTCTTGAAGACGTTTCATAAAATCTTGCTGTTCACTTTCAATTTTTTCTTCTTGTCGTTTGGTAATTTCCTCGATCGAAACTAAATGAGCACTGACTTGAGAGAGTTTAGAACTCCATAATTCTTCCATTCGTTTGTGTTCTTGTCGTTGTGCATTTCGTTCCTTTTCGAGAGTGGAGTTTTGTATTTTCACTCGTTGCAATTCGTCTTTACATTCTTTGAGTTCGTTTTGTAACTGCTGTTCCTTGGACGTGGAATCCTTGAGAAGCTTTCTTGACTCTTCCAATTCTACTCTTGCTCGTTCTACTTGCTCTTCAAGTTTTTTAAAGTCATTCTCATGTTGTGACTTTAAATGGTTCAAACTTGCAAATAGTTTTTCATTCTCTGTTTGAAGTTGATGTACTTGATCCATCAATTTATCATTGGATTCTGAGAGTGAAGCTACGTTGGATCTCATGGCGTGTTCCACTTTTTCAACATAGGCAAGTTGAGATTTCTCTTTGCTTAACTCGAGTGAAGTATGTAAGAGCTCGCTTCGCATGGTTTCATTCTGTTTGTTCAGCATTTGGATTTGATTGTCCGTTGTTGCTTTGAGTCGTTTCAATTCTTCCTTCATTTTGGATCTTTGAGTTGATATTCTTCAATGTCTGCTTCCTTTCTCCTGACAAGATCAATCAAACGTTCATTCACTTGAACACATGCCATGTTTCGTTCTTGTAAATGCTCAATTTCTTTTTGGAGTAATTGCTTGACAGATTCTGATTCCAGAGATACATTTTCAATCTCACTGGTAAGACATGCCACATTACCTTGCATGCTGTCAAACTGCTTTCTGATGGATTTGAAATCTTCTTGTAAATGAAAGAATCGATGAGCTTGTCCTTTAACAATTTCTTCATGAGCTGGTCTTGTTTTTCAATTTTCATGTGTGATTGTTCAAGATTTGTCATCTTCTCAGTTTTAGATTCTAAGAGGTTTGAATACTTTTCTCGCAATTCTTTCAAGGCCTTCTCATGATGTTGTTTCATACTTGAGATTTGAGATTCATAATTCTCTCGTTGTACAGCAAAAGATTTTTCTCTCTTTTCGAATAGAGATTTCAAATTCTCATATTTCGATCGTAATACATTCAGTTCTTCCTCGAGAATGGACATCTTTTTGCTCACTTGCAATTTTTCTTCTTGTAGCTTTGATATCGTCTGTTCATGATCTCTGCTCGTCGCTTGAATACTGTTAAAATGTTCTTCATAGACTTTCTGTAAACTCTCATTTTCGAGTGCAGCAGTAGAAATGTCTTGTTGAAGGTGAGTGTTTGCAAGTTGAAGTCGCTTCGTTTCGCCTTCGAAGAACACATTGCTCAATTCAAGGTCATGAATTTTTCGTTCATACTTGACGACTAAACCGGAGAGAGTTGAGCTTCGTTGTTTAAGTAATTCTAACTCCATGGTGACATTTTCTAATTGATTATTTTGCTTCTGAATAGTTTCATTTTTGGCTTCCACTTCTTGAGAAAGTTTATCGATTTGTTGATGATGAGATGCAATCATAGATTCAACAGTGTTTTCTGATGACGAAGGGGCTTTTGAAATTGCTGATCCCAAGGTCTCTTGTAACTGCTGAATTGTGAGTTCTTTTTCATCAATGATTTTCCTCAGTGACAGTTCATTAACTCGAGATGATCGTTGTAATTCTTGAATCTGTAGAAGGTGCTCTTGTTTCACTATTTTTCATGACGCAAAATGAGCCAACAAAAGTTTTCTCAAGCTACTTACAGAAAGTTATTTTTCGAACGTATTCCTCTTCTTTTTCAAGAGCGCTCGACAAGTGTTCTTGGTCCTTATTCCCAGCGATCAAAACCTGTTCCTCTAGTTCCTTAATTTTTAGCTTGAGGAGTACATTTTCTTCTTCCATGTCATGCCGTTCCTTTTCAATTTGTGACAATTTCACTGTGTATTCTTTTCGAAGTTCAATCTCCCTTCTTTTGTTGGTTTCTTCATCCTTTCTTCTTGAGTCTTTAAACTTGACATTCAGACTTTCAATGACATCTTGTAGACTACGGATTTCAGTCTTTAGCTGCTCGATTTGGGATTGATTATTGGACTCATACAAAGAAGGGTCGAGAAGTTTTTGAAGTTGACTATTTTCTTGTTTGGCAATGCGAATTTCATCTTGTAACTCGCTGATTAATTTTTCTCTTTCATCAAGTGTTTGCTTTAAAAGAGTTTCCGATTCCAACTGAGGAGAGTTAGCGTGCGAGACAAGCTCCTCGTCTTTGGTCTTACTGAGCGACACTTGTTGAGTAAGGTCTTTGTTAATTTCTGACAATCGGTTCCTCTTTGTTTCCGATAGTAAGAGCGCCTTTCTCAACTCCTCATTTCGTTTCAGCACAGCCGATAGTTGCTGTACAAGTTCTTCGTTTTGTTCCACCAAAGAATTCATTCGTGAATATGTTTCAATAAGTTCCTTATCTCTATTGCTGCTGACATTAGAATCTTGTTGGTCTAACACGTTCTCTTTCTCGTCATTCAAAAATTTGTGCTGAGGTCTGAATTCCAAACGTTCTTCTTCTGCAAGTAACGAGTTGCGAATTTCTTCTTCGCTCACCAAGGTAGGAGAGGCAATAGAAGATTTGCTGTATGTGGACGATTGAGGAGGGCTTTCAAAATCGCCTATATACGAACTTTCAACGTTATTTTGTTGTGAAAAGTCCATTCCAGGTTCAGCTTCTTCGAGATGTATGTCTGTCTGAGTTGCTGGTTGCCTTTCACTTGGTATCGTGACTGACTCCTTATTCATTTGGGCGAGTACTTTCAACGGTAGTGATTGTGGAGATATAAATGTGTTCAGAACTATTGTGCCATTCGATGCGTCTTGCTGTGCATGTTCAGAGGTGGACATGTTTCGTTCATGTATTGGCGTGTTGGCACTCGAAAAATGTGGTGAAGACAATGAAATTTCACTTCCGTTCAACTTTTCAAAATCTAAAATTCTTGCAGTGCTACTTGCACTAAGCGTGCTCGAGACATTTCTATCCGAAGTGGATCCATCAGGAGTCGAAGATAAAATGGATCCTCCATAGTAAGGTGTAAAAGTTTCCTTAATAATTGAGTTGACTTGTTCCATATTTTCATTTTCCTGTGCGTATGAAGTCGACGATGGAGTTACAATTACTGTTGCATTTTGGTCAATATCTTCTTCATAATATCCTTCTTCATCATCCTCCTTTTCACTCTCGTCGACAGTGTCTGTATTGGTTGTTGGAGTGAGTTCGAGGTTGTCATTATCTCGAAGTGACATGGCAAATAAATCATCATCCGAAGTACCCACAATCTTATCGTCGAGTGAAGGTCGATAGACCTCTTTATGATCGGGGCTATAATACAGTGGTGTCATTGTTTGTTTGTGTTCCTTGCTGTTGGATTTAGAAGATGGAGACCTCTTCTCCTCTGAACTTTCTGGAAGGGTATCTTGTTGTTGTTCCTCAGAGATCATGGCTTGCAAAGATGACTCGGAAATGTTCTTTTCATTAGCACCATAGCTACTAGGTGATGTTGTTGTTGCGAGTAGATTTTTCCAATCCTCAATAATCGAATCTAAATAATTACTTTTTGCTTGAAAGAAGGTGTTCAACATTGAGAGATGGGATGTCGATGCTAGGGAACCATCTCCTGCTATATCGTGGTCCTGGTCATCCCGAATGGCTTCTTCTTCTTGTTGTTGATCTGTATGCAATGGTTTTGATGGTAGTATTGGAATTGCCTCAAGTCGGAGAACTGAATTCGGCCCAGTTAATCCTTCCTCATGGGTTTCCTCACTATTTCTTGTTGTATGAATTATAATATTACTAGTACTACTCGGACGGAGGAGGTCCTAAGGACAGGAATATGAGCCTGTACTTCCACCTGCTCACTTCCTCTCGAATCGATTTGATCTTTGAGATTGTCCATGATTTTCGTTATAAAAGCAAAAGTATTTTTTTCAATAAGGCTGTCACCATTTTGGCGCTGCCAATAAAACACCAATAGTGTTGATGACCATTGATTGGACAACATTCCGTACACAGAACTCGAACAATTCTTCTTCTTAATAATGGTGTGGAGCGTATGCATGGGTAGTTTATTTCTGACCGTCGCTCAATCTAAGTACTATCTATTGTTGTTGGAGATCTTTTTTCAGTCTCTGTTTGGCGTATTGTCGAGCTCGCCGATCCTTCTTTCGTTTGTTGAGGAGAAGAAGGATGAGTTCAGGCGATAGAAAATCATTCTTATTCTTGTTGTTGATTGTTTGCTGAAGTGACAACATGACCACAGAATCTGTAGAGCTGTTACTGCTCAAGCCAGAGTGGCCACTGGCGATAGAAATATTGTCACTCTCGTCATGAACGCCTCCATTCGAAGAAGGTAAATGATTTGAAAAACGTTCATACAAGTCAATGAGGGTCTTGTCATCATTTTCTCCGATAAGTGACTCATACAGATTAATCAATGATTCTGTGTCATCGGTGTAGATGAGTAACAAAATGTCCAACTCTTTCGATTGTTGCTCGAGAAAATCTAAAGGTAACCCTTCACCATTTGCATAAAACAAGTCTCTAAACCCATTGAGACATAATTGAATGCCAACATTTGGAGAGTTATATTGGAACATGGAAGTTCCAGGTGAAGAGGACAAAATATCCATGGAGGGTGGAACAGATGAGATGGGAGAGAGAAGTTCGGAGGCATTAAGGTGAGATTGTTGTTTACATCCCAATAGCTTGTTCCTCAATAATTTCTGAACATAAATCACAAACAAATGTTTCAATACTTCGTGCAACAATTCCAAATACAAGACATCGGATAAATGTATGAAAAATCGATCGAGAGAGCTCAATAACACCACCAAACTTTCCATCTCTTTCCCTGGTAACGAGGTAAATATTGCTTCAAATCGTTGTTCATTCATGGTATAAATCCAATCTGCAATGCAAAAGGCCATATCTGTAGTTATCATTTGAATTTCATTCATGATTGATTTCACAGTTGGAAAATCATACACTTCTATCAATTTATCATGGAGAAGATTATAGTTCACTTCATTGTCTTCGTCTTCTGGATCGATGTTTCTTTCATAATCTTCTAAAAGTTGTGTATAGATGGCGTTGTTAAAATGTTGCAAAATATCTTTTGCATACAGAAATAGACCATTGACATTATTGAAGGCAATACAGGCAAGTCTAATTCTATCGTGAACATTGCCTTGTTTTGAAAGCTCAAACTTGCATCTACTGAGCATGGTTTGAAGGTATTCGGAAATAGTCGGCCGAATTGCTTCAAAATGTAAAGTGAGAAAACTCAAGTACTTGTCATTCTGATTTCTGATAATTCCGTCCAAGTTGTAAATGGTATGAATAGGTTTCAAACTTGCATTTGCCATATCAATACAGGAAAAAGTGTACAGAACTGTCTTATCAATAGGCTTGTCAAGCGTATCCATGCTCATTACTTTTGCATAAAAGTCTTTTAGTCTGTTTGGAGTTGCGACGGTAATGCACAGACTCACAATTTCATAAAACATGGTAAAGTCGAAAGTTCCAACAAACGCAGACAATTCCTGCAACACTCTGTACTTGGTCGCCAAATGAGAGCATAGCTTGTTAATTACTCCTAGATTGAGCTCATTAAAGTAAACTCTAAGATATTTGTTTTTCCTTCCTTGTTCAATACAAGCATTTTGATATTTGAGAGCCTCTTGACAAAATGCGCTAACCTCTACTGTTAAATGCTTTGAAAATTCAGAGCATATAATGTCCGCAAAGCTGGTGTTCGATTCAACTAAATGCTTGTCAAGATAGGGAGCAAATCTGGCGATTAGTTGCTTGCTCTCATCCACAACAAATGTAGCCAAATTCATGTTAAAGGTTGCTTCTAAAAAGAATCCTTTCAGTCTGCCCGATTGTTTCAAGTTGTTCGAAATGATCTCTCTATTGAGGATATAAACTTTTCGAACAAAATGAGCCAGAGAGTCAGCAATGATATTCGATGTGGAAGAAGGATTATTTACACTGTAATCTCCCATCAATGATTTGACCTTTTGCCATCCAACTAAGCATGACAATAAAGTATCCAACGCTAGCAGAGCGTCTCCATCAAAATCATTTGTAACATAGGCAAATGTGTCAATTCCAAAGCACCATTTCAATTCCATAATTCTATTTCTCAAATGACCAAATACGAGTTCATCCACTTGACGATAAATTTGTCTCTTCTCCACCTGGTATTGATTTACAGAGTTGATGGTTTGAGAAAAGTTTTCAATACAGTTCAAAAGGTATGATAAACAAAAATAAGTATGGTCAAAACTTTCCGCAATTCCATAGATAATTAATAGCTGAAGGGTAAAATTATCGACTTCAAAAAATTGTTGTAAGTTCTCTTGAAGCGTGTTGACACTTTGTTCCTTCGAAATAAAGTGATTGACCATTTGTGCAGCAAAAGCAATCTTCAAAAATTTTTTAAGCATGTAAAGCTTCTTTGACTTCTCTTTTGTTGATTGATTGCTGAGCTCTTTGAGAATTTGCTTTTTAAAGGGAAGAATTCTTTCATGAATTTGGCCAAGAGCCTCAACTGCTTTGTAGTTTGAAGACGATCCCAAGGTTTTCAAATTTTCGTTCAATATCTTGATCATATTTTTGACATCTTGTGGAGAGATGTTGTCAGGAGTGAGATCTTTTCGACTGTCCATATAGTGAATAAAGGATTTCATTCTAGATGCGGATTGAGGACTCCTATTTTCATTTGGAGACACATCTAGGGATAATCGTGGAAGAACATTAGATGGTGGAGGTTGAGGTTGTTGAATGGTTGGTAATTGTTGTTGTGGCTGTGAAGGTTTTGTTCCTTTCATCACCGTTTGTAATCGCTGTTGCAAAGTTGACACAGATTCTCTTGATGTCGAAGAAGAAGAAGGAGTTGTCAACACAATTCCAGCGTTAGAAGTTGGTATTGTTTTTGGATGTTCGGAAATTGTCTTTGGATTGTTTTTGCTTTCCATAAATTCAATAAACACATATTGTTCCTGTACATATGACTCTGCCAAATTGGGTATGGGTGCATCTTCCTTTGGCTTTTTTAAAGCGCTTCCAACATTGTTGATGAAACGTAGCAAAGAAGATTCCGAACTGCTGTTGCTGGGATTGGAGCTACTACCAGACGAAGATGATAAGGTTGACGATGAGGAAGAAGAACCAGTTGCTATGGATGTAATTTTGGAGAAGATTCCACTTGAAATTCGTGAAAGAGTTTTTTGAGTGGATGAGGAGGAAGAATTTGTTGTGGAGGGTTGTTGTTGTTGGGATGGTGTGGGTGCTTTGGATTGTGAGCTTTGACGTTGTGGTTGTTTCAGCAAAAAATCGATATGTTCCACCAGTAGAATAATTTTGAATAGAAAATCCTTGCCGGCTGTCATAGTAGTACGGTATGTCATGAGAATGATTCAAATCAAAAGTATTTACCTTGTAATTGTTGCTGTTGTACAAGCATGCTATTCTTTTTTGAGCTGTCACCTTCATCATGGTGGTTAGGGGTTGTATTACTTCGTAATAGTTGGGTCAACTGGGAATTTATGGTAGAAATCAACTCTCCACATTTGATGAGAGCGTCTCTTGCTTTTACGAATTCTTTGTGTTGATAAAAGTAAATGGCCCAATTCAGTGTTCGTTTAGCGACTTGAGATTCGGTAGAATACTCAAAAAACAAGACGGAATTTGGATCTCTCATGACATCAAGAACATCTTGAAATTGCTTCGGCCGTAACGGAATTGATTTGTTGGTACTCGGAATAGAGGAGCCATTGGTGCCGTTACTTTGATTGTTCATCATGATGTTACCATTTGTTGCACTAGAGGACGGAGTGGATTGGCCATTATGATGATGACTCATTAATGATTATGTACAATTATTAAATAATTATTTGATCAAGAGGATGATGTGGTGATGATCACGTGATGCTTTTGCTCTGCGTTTTGAGCATGAACCACAAAATAATAACCTCTCCAATTAGAATTTGTGAAGATGCTTCTTCTATGATATGAAATGAATTCCAACAATAGGAATGCAGATAAAGCTCTGAAATGGAAAGATCTCACAAGATTTTATGGTGCTATTTTTTTTAAAAAAAACTTCATGAAATTCAAAAATCCAATTCTCAATTTGAATTTGAAATTAGAAGCTTCTGGATACAGTTTAAAAGGAAAGTATGCGGTGTGCTCTGGGACAGTTCTCCTTTACAAAGCCCTTGTTGACCATGCAGTCTTTGAAACATCTCAATAAAACTTGTTATTTTGATTGGGCAATGAAGGTTTTGGTGGTATGACCACTCTCTGAGGAAGGGGCTCTCCAGTAATAGGGTTGCATCCAGTGCTGGAACCCCTCTGATACAGAATATCAGCTCTCACAGCACCTCTATATTCTCGAACTTGATCTTGATACGTTTGTAACTTTCGTTGCTCAGGGTCTAAGGGTTGTTTGGTAATTATGTTATAACTTGCAAGTCCCTTATTTTTCTTCTCGGATCCTAACCGAGCCTCCTGTTTTTGTTTCTCTTTTTCATATTCCAATTCTCGTTGCTGATGAATGGATTGTTCTCGTTCTGTGTGATCTTTTCTCTTCTTTTCTGTAATCTGTTGTCTTCGTGCTATCTCTAAATCCCTCATTGCTCGTTCTTCACCTGCTGAGTCACCATGCAATCGTTTAGCATCGGGAATATATCCAACTGCAGTTTCAAGGATTTCCAAGGGATTAGTACTGGGAGTATGCCTCTGGAAGCCTTCTTTCCGATTGGCAAGCCGGGATCGTTCCAAAGCATGTCTGTCTTTTTCTGCTTGTCTTTTATCCCGATTATTCTGCAGTTGAAGTGTATTAAATTCCTTTTGACTCATGATCCAATATAACTAAATGATGTATATAAATAAATAATAGATGAACACGATGATCTGAGGTTTTAATTTTTTAATTAATTTGGTTCACGTTGTAAAAGATTAGCGGGAAAAACTTACATAATGATTTTAATGGAAACAAGTAATTTCAAAAGATTGTTATTATTTACACTCTAGTGTGGGAGGTATGTCAAGTGATTTGACCTGTAAATGCCAACTTGATATCAAGTCAGCTGGTTGGGTTTGAACGAGAATTAAAACTCATAAATTTGAAAACATCTTTTCCATGTTGGTTACAGATGACCCTCGTCGATCTGAAACGAATTTGAAAAGAGCTGATTCAAATTCTTTGGGAATCAATCCAATGCTTATCAAAAACTCTCGGTCCGATTGTATCTCACATTCGGTCGTTGAGGGTGAAATAATATTCATAGAGTGCTCCGCTCGATAGGAAATGGTTTTTCTCAAAAGTAAGATGGTGATTCCCTTTTCGAGATGTAATTCTTCGTCCATGTGATTCAATGCTTGACACGCTCTCTCAATATCAAAAAAAATCGTTCGTTACTGCTTTTTGGCGATAAATTGCCAGGAAATGAGGAGACACGTTTCGAATTGAATGAACCAAACTGCATTCACACACAGAGACATATAATTCAGACACAATTTCCTGCAGAGTTTCTGCTTGTCTCACACATTCAACACTGTTGAGCGAACTATTCGAATCCGTTCTCGTCGAATGCATTCCACCAATGTACAAGGACTGAGCCTGCAATGCCAATTTCTTAGCCTCACTGGCTGCAAACTCAATGTGTTGATACAAACATTCAGAGGCATCGTTGGAGAGAGGTCTTGTAAAATGCATGATCAAGTCTTTCATTTTACGACAGGCTCCAATAAGGAGAACCTTTCTTATTTCAAAGCTCGTTTGTAGATCGGCCGAAGAGATACCTTTCAAGTGGCTATCAATCACTGCTTGATTATAATTCAAATAAATGCTAAGGCCTTTCTTGGTATTTAGCACTGAAACCTTATTGTTGTTGTGATGATGATTCAGACTGGAATTTGAATGAGCACTTTGAGAAACATCACTGATAGCACTCGAGCAGCTACTGACACGAGTGGTAGCGGATGGAGCTTTACTTGAACATCGGTCCGAAGACGGAGAAGAGGAATATCGACTGGATGTAGAAACCACATCAAAATCATCGTCTTTGTTATGACTAATTAATAACATGTTGTTCTTATTGTATGTACCAGATCCCAAGATGGTATCAACAATTGTTATAAACCCTCGATGTAAGTGGTATCGTTGATCAACGACCGCGTTTTTTCAGTTATTGTAATTCGACCCAAAATTCAAATTAAAAAATTTACTGGTGAGAGGAACTGTGACTCTGTCGCACGTTGGTCTGTCATTGGGATCGATTCAAGAGTTGTTCTTCAATCACCCCTGTTCTTCACAACTTCTGGGTTACCAAACTCGATCAAGTTCAATCTTCAAAGGTTTGCTCTGAAATAACGTTATACTTCCAATGTATGAATGGTTCCGAGAGAGAGCTTTTTCTTTTTGCTAATCTGTTTATCCAATTCAACGCAAGCTCGGCACATATATGTTGAGTGATACATCCGATTGATGATTCTTCATAGTAATAAACTCATGATGATGTATCTCTAAGAACCAAAGATGAATCTCAACAGTGAGCTGGGGTTGATCATTGTTAATCATGGTGAAAGAGAGAAGTCTCCATAGAAACATGAGTATATTTTATCCTATATACGACAATGACATTGAAGGATGACACAATGACATTATCTCTGTGGTTTACTTGGAAAAGAAAGAGAGAGAAAATCGCAGCGTATGGGTTGTACTTAATCAGAGTGACTTAATTTTCAACTATCAAGTCAGTCATTACATGTAATAACAGTTAATGTTGATGTAACGTGTCACACACCATTTTATTCGATATATGAACTTGTGGATGCTTCATGTTGGGGAGATGAGGAATTTGTTTGTAAGCTCGTTATGGAATCTCCTTCCTGAGCAATTCTTTCGACAAAGTTTGACAATGGTCTCGAAAATTCGATATCACTGAATCCCATGTGATTTTCAAGGAATTTCTTCCAATATTCTTCACTCAGCAATTCTTTCTTGCTTGGCAATGGGTTGTAAATATCAATATCGAAAGGATTGGTATTGGCCAATTTTGTTTTCATTTCTTCGAATCGTTTTTGCAGTACCAACTCAATGCCATTATCCAAGTGAAGTTCTTTGGTCACTGTGCGGAATTGACAAATAGAAACACGCTCCTTCACTTTGTTCATAGTTTCCTGACCCAATTCTTCCATGGTTGGACTTCGATAGTAATCGAGAGAGTTTCTTCGTTGAGAGTATTTCTCCAAGACCATACTCGTAGGTCGTTCCAAAGCTGAATTGTTTCTTCGCCGACCAAAGATTCCATTCTTCTTTGGAGGTTGAGGTTGAGGAGTTTCTTGAGGTTTCTTCTTATTGGCTCTACATTTTCGATGCATACGTTCCAATTCTTTTTCCATTTCTGACAATTCTCTCAACAGTATTTTCAAAATGACTGATTCACAACCAAGATTTCCAATTTTTGGGTCATTGAGCAGTTCCTCTTCAGTAATGTACTCTCTTTTACAACTCTCTGACAGTAAGAGCGATAATCTAAATACTTCCAAATTAATCATGTTCAATTCTTGCTTGACAATTTTCAAATCCGTCTCTGTCGTTGGTGACAATCCTGTCGAGTTGACAATTGAGATTTGAGCCAACACATAGGAAACATTTTGAATTTGATGAGGACGAGCTCTCTCAATCAATACGTCCAACAATGCTCTCAATCTTTTACAATTCGAGTAAATGATGACCTTACGCATTTCAAAATCTTGCAAGAGTTCCTTCTTTCTCTCTTCATTGGTTTTCCTCAAATAATAATTTTGAGGTGAAGATGACACTTGATTTGCAGTGGAAGTAGGAGAAGAATTGACAGAAGAAGGAATAGCACTTCCTCCAACAACAACAACTCGATTGGCATTGGTTCGATGAGCATGTTCAGGAGCTGTAGCCACCGAATACGCTCGTTTGGTTCTTCTCGACATGACCGCTTGTCCAAAAGCAACCAATGGATTATTTCCATTTCGAGGAGAACAACTGACAGGATTGGAATTCGTCATGTTCGATGGACAATTGCTGCTTCGTGGCGAAGTAGGTGATGATGATTGTTGAGTGGTTTGAGTGGTCTGAACCGCTTGAGCTGCGACATGATCATTCTGTTCTTGAAAATCACGAGGAGAAAGAGGAATTGGAGGAACGAATGGAGTATTCGTATTATTATAATTTGGTTGTTGTTGAGATGTTGGAGTTGAATTCGGAGATGAATTGGTTTTGAGGAAGGGAAGAATGTTTTTCAAGACCATTCTCGAATTTGAAGAAGAGGTGGTTGTGAGAGAGTGTTTGGACGATGGGGGAGAATTGTTGTTCTTGTTGTTGTTTGTAGTTGTGGTCTAAATATTGTCCAAATGGTTGGAGATGATGATGAGTGGCAGTTGATGCTTAGAGGAAATGTTATTTACAGCTATACAGTATACAGGACAAAATACAAGCTAAAAGACCAACGCGAGGTACTTTTTTTAAAGTCTGCTCTCGAGCTGTAAACAAGCTTTGATGTCTCTGTCAGGTGTCATCTCGTGCATTCACAATGTATCTCGTGGTGGTCCATAATTTTTAAAACCTAATCCAGAGACGTATGAACATGAGTTTTTTAAGGAGATGATGCTATCTCTTCTGGTCAATGACAATTTGAAAGTTATGAGCGAAGGTACACTTGAGAAGTTGGACTTGTCAGAGATTTCCGAAAATGTATTTTTCAATCAGAGCTTAAGGATGATCTCGTTGTTGTGGATCCATCTTCATGACAAGCAGTAACTATTTTGATCTACCCATAGTGATCCTCGTTGAATATCAGAATGAATGTATGTTTTTCGGAAAGACCATGTATATATTGGACAAGCATTGAAAAAGACTCTTAAATGATATCATCTGGGTTGTCCATGTAAATAACAAAGAATTGAATGCCGATATTAAATTTCGAAAATCACAATAGTAACAACACTATTCGAATCAAGATGAAGAGCAGAAAGGTGAAAATGATAAATTTTTTTAATAAAAATTAAATCTTTAAAAATAATGAAAAATATCCTCACGTAAATGTTGAGTCCAAATCATTCCGATCTTCTCCAAGACTCATCCACAACAACAAGAACAAGCTCCTCCTCAGCATCCATAACATCAACCAATATTGGAAAAAGAACGAGAGAATGTCATCATCATTCTTTGGTCCATTCATTCTCGTTAGGGATTCAAAATTTCAACAACGATGAGCGAATAGAACAAGAAATTGAAGAATTTAAGGTTGATCATCGAACAAAGGCATTAAATCTGTTTCGGAAAAGTCTTTCCAAGCATCAAGCCTTGATACAGAAACAACAACGTTCTATGGAGGAATATTCGGAACACTTTTTAAATCATCAAAATAATTCTTTGACCAATACACCAACTCTAAAACAAGAACAAGTAACACTCTCTCAAAAACAAGAAGGAAAACTTCATGTAAAGAAAGAAATAGGAATTTCAAACGTTTCTCCATGCAAGAACATTCTAGCAGTCACTGTATTTTCATCGGATTTATTTAAATTAAATTATACACATTTTGAATATTTGAAGAGTAATAGAATGGCAACGGAACAAGCGGCTGTTACATTTCTGCCATATAAAGATGATGATTTTTCTGTGGATTATGGAAAATATGAACAGTTTTTTGATGATTTAAGTTTTATTGAGAATCAAAATAATTTAGATAAGAAGAGCGAATACAATCAATATTCGCGATATTATTTGGATCTCATGGCAGAAACCGTGTACAGAAGCATGGCCGATAAAATGTTTGACACTTTTGGAGATGATGAAACAGTGTGGTACAAAATGGTACAAGATTTTGTGAATGAATATGAAAATGAATATGGATCGTTATTTCGACACATGCATGAGGAACATGTCAATAGTGAAAGAAAACATTTGTCACTCCAAATGTTAATCATGCTTAATAATCATATTTCAAACTACAGTATATTCAAGCGTGAAAGAGAACAAAAAACGCAACAATGGTGAGTGTTTTATTTCAATTATTTTGATCTGTTGAAACATTGGAAACAATTACCTCAATAGCAATGGATCGTTGGAAGCCATGTGGACCGCTACAGCAAAATCACTCTGTTTCAAATGCATGAAATTCGATTGCCCCATTCACATCTTAGAATACAAGACATGTGCGAGAGATTCCAACGATGCGAGAGTTGTTTTGAAATTTAATGATGAAGAAATTATTGAACGAATTCTCGACAAGTTATTCAAAAAACAACAAGAACTGATTGAAGCTAAACAAATTCTTCTCACTCCATGCTGTGGCGAAAACAAGTGTCATGTCCATTATTATTACATGCAACAATCATCCATACAGGAAGCCAGCTACGACGATTGGACTGAAATCGATAAGGAACTCGCTCTCAATACCATCTACATTTACGGAGAGAAAATTTTGGAAATTTTAAAAGGCTCACAATTATCGTTACATAAGAATGTTCGTCAACAACCCATTCGAGATGTATTTTGCGAAATTGCTCGACATCATCGAAAGCCATGCTGTGAAATTGCACAATTTTTAAAAGATTGGTTTTACAAAAATTCACTCTTGAAGCGACACGTGTCTGAGCCCATCCATGGTGTTTCCCTTTCATTAGAAAAACTTCCAACACTCCGAAGATTGGCACCTTCATTTCTCACTTCACAAGAACAGACACTTCTCAAAACACCAATTCCAAAACGAGTCGATGAAAAGACTGTAAAAAACAATAGCAATCAGCCTGATATTTATAACCCATGTCAATGTGCATTGCTAAACAACGTGAGTGAATGCACATGTGTGAAAAATAGAACCTTTTGCACCGAATTATGCCATTGTTTCACAACAATCAACAGATTCGATCAAATTTACAAGAACAAGCCATGTCCTGGCGGAGACAAGTGTTTTTGTAAACTGTTTAGTCGAACGTGTAGTGACAGTTGTGGAAGCCAATGTCATCCATACAAGTTTACGAAAAAGTTTTTAAAGAAATGTGCGGTGGGCCTAAGTCAAATCGATGGCCTGGGAGTATTTGCTTTGGAAGGCATTGAAAAAGACTCTCTTATTATGGAATATGTAGGAGAGTTGGTATCATATGAAGAGTTACATCGAAGAGACATATTCTGTAAGGTATTTCAATCGTGTTATGTTTTTGACCTTAAAAAGGGTATAGGTGTGGACGCGTACAGAAAGGGAAATGAATCGAGATTTGTGAACGATGCCCAGGGCCCAGTGAAGGCCAAAACAGCAAAGAATAATTGTACCCCCAAAGTGGTATTTGATTCAGAAGTGCATGATTACAGAATTGGTATTTTTGCTCTTGAAACTATCAAGGCAGGATCAGAGCTGTTATTTTCGTACGGTGACAATTTCTGGGATCCCATGCTAAATTCGGATGACGAAGATGGAAGCTTCGAATAGTGAAACAGCTGTCATGCATTCAATAACAATAATTTATTCAGGATTGGTACATTTTTTACAGGCCTTATTACTTCTTTTCTTCATCTTTCTTTTTCAAAACTTCATCTGAATTTACGTTCTTTCCTAAGCCACCAACCAAATCTTGCATGAATTCTTGATCTTCAACAATGTCTTCAATATTTTCATCCTTCTTCTTATTTTGAGCTTCTTCCATAGACATCTTTAATGCTTGTTGCAATGCAGCTTCTTCGTCCAATTCTTCGTCCTCATCGACCATTCCTGCTTCTTGTTTCGAGAGAAGGAGAGCCTTTTCAAGAGCGTCATCGTCCTCCATATCTACATCTTCATCCTCTTGTTGTTGAGAGGTTGCTGTTGTTGGTACTGCAGCCGCTGTTGACGATGTAGTAGCAGTAGTACTGCTTGACGATGATTCAGTTGGTTGTTGAGTAGTTGTTGCTGATGATGATGCTCCAGTTGCTTGCTTTTCTCGTTCTTGTCTTCTTTTTTCTTCTTCCAAAGAGAGACGAATAGCCATAGCCAATTCAGGATCAAGGTTTGGATCAACACCAAAGTCAAATTCGCCACCTCCAGCACCTGCTTCTCCTGCTGTGGCTCCACCTGTTGTTGCAGCACTTACACCGGCACCTCCCATTCCAACAATTGGAGATGAGAATAACATATCGGAGAGAATGTGTGGTCCAGGAGGAATTGTCTCCATTCTAGAATTATCATCTCGATTGACTGCATTAATGAAAGCTTCTAATTTAGCTGTGTTTTCTTGAACTTCTCCAAAATTAACAACATCACAAGCAACATTATTCTTTTTCATACGTAAACCCAACTTGACCAAATCGTCCTTATTTTCCTCAATCGGACTACCCACAAAGATGACCAATCGTCTGTTTGGTGTTCCTTGATCAGGTGCTCTATTCTTCAATACCAAATATGCTATTTGAAGAGCTTTAGAAAATTGTAAGTTTCCTCCAATTTCTACGGATGATAAGCTTGAAAGGAGTTTGCCAAGATCTGTGGTTGGAGCAACTTTAACCGATGGGTTCGATTCGGCCATAGTAAGAACACCGATGGTGGTTTCGGGATTACTTTGTGTTTTACTTCCACAAATCAAGTTAGCGGCTTCTACTTGAGCACCCAATCTGGATGGAGCATAATCTCCATTTCTCATCCATTCAGAATTATCAATACAAATCATACACTGTTCTTTCATTTTACAAGTTGTATATAAATCTATTAGATTATTAATAGGTGGTTGTTTTTGTTGTAGATGTACAAAAATTAATGTTGATCAATCCGATGATGATGATGATTCAAGGTTAATGTTCAAACAACAAAAAGACAGCTGATCCAAAGCTGAGAGTTGGTCCAATTTTTTTTAAAAGTTTATTTTTATCGTCCTTTTCCTTCTCTCGTTTTTCCATCTACAACAACAAAAACTTGGTCTCAACTTAGTTGAACCATCCAAAAAATTATTTAAAAATTATTTGAAAAGTGTTTCTGTTGGCTCTTGAACACTACTGGCAAGCCTTTTCCGCCTTAACTAGCATACCAATTGTCGTAATATGGAGCAAATTATTCAGCAAATTCAATGTCTCGAACAAGCCACTCGTGAGGACGAAGAAAAGATTGAAAAGGAACGTTTCAATCATCAAGAAACTCAACGTCTAAGGGATAAGACTCTTAGGGAGATGGATGAAGTTGAGAAGAGAAATCAAGCCTTATCTGAATCCATACTCCAATTTGAAGTCAATAATGATGGTATTAAATTGGAGAATCAGAACCTTAAAGCATTATTGAAGGAATCAAAAAGTGTAAGTGGTTACAACTGATTTCGGAAATTTGATGATCAAATAATTGTTGTAATATTGATACTTTTGAACACTTGATCGTTACTATTTGTACAAAAAGAGGCTATGGGAATTACAAACTCAACTCGACGAAAGAAAGAAAGAGGTAGATAGCTACTCCTCTCAAGTCGCTCAAAGGCTTCATCAAATCAATGCAAGTCTTGCTGAAAAGGTCAAGAACAACTCCATCAACAATGTCATGAAACAAACGGAGGTCCTTAAAAGAAGACTCACCGAATTGAAGAGGCGAGATGATTTGAGAAGGAAATTGGAGCCATCCTTTGAGGCAAACAAGTTGGATGAAGCAGCCACTCGTTTGGAATCAGAAAGGGGTGAAATTCAGAGAGTATTGGCAGAACAGCAGCAAATTGTTGAAACGAGAAGGATGGAATTGGACAAACTATTGAATGAATTCAATGCCCACTCTGAGCGCTTTAGAAAACTCTCACAAAAAGACTCTAACGACCTGTTCCAACAAGCAAGTGATATCAGTAGTATCACTGCTGAAGATCTCGATGTTCAAGTGCCTGATAGCATCCGTGAGGCTTTGTTTCAATCCAAGTCCGAGCTATTGAGTATTAGAGAAAAGCACGCGGAGGAGGATGCCATGGCTACTACACTCGAACAGAAATTGGAGGAAATGGGTAAGAAAACTCAAGAATTGAACGAAATTCTCAACTCAATGTCATGTTCCAAATGTTCCGTGAATATGGCTCTTACTAACGAATAAAGAGAATCAAGTGAGAAGTGTGAATGAACAAACACAAGGCATGCCTGTCACGAGAGATTAAGAAAATAAATGTTTCATTTGGACAGCCTATTGCAACATGTCTCACCTTCGATTGAATCTCCTTCTCGAATTTCTTCCAGATCGTTGCTTGGCACTTGATTTGATGTTATTGAGCGCTTTCGCTTCATCATCTTCCTCTTCTTCGTCATTCATTTCATCATCGACTTCTTGTACTTCTTCTTCTTCTTCTTCTGGTTCTTCTTCTTTTGCTTGTTTTCGTTTCTTAGGTTTGGAGGGACTAGTCTTGCTCTGCTCTTCATCACTGTTCTCGTCATCTTGATTTTCTTGTTCTTCCTCTTCTTCTTCTTCTTCTTGCTGATCCTTCTTTCGTTTGGTGAACTTTCTTGGCTTTGATCGTTGTAGACGAGGTGGTTTTTTCTCGGTTTGTTCTTCTTCTTCCTCTTCTTCCTCTGCCTTTGATTCCTCGTCTTCAGGCTTTACATTGTTGACTTTTGATTCTTCAGAATCCTCCATGACAAAGTCTGAGGGGCCTTCATCTCCACCAACTTGTTCAAAATCTCCAATTAATTGTGTGAAAATAAATTTCAGTTTTGCATTATTTGGAGGGAGGTGAGCTTTCATCTTTCTAATTTGTTTCAAAAAGTTTTCACATTCGAAAAGAAGATAGTGGTTATTGCTTGGTGGGTCCTTTGTCGCCACCTGTTGAAGTGAATGATTGGTCAACAATTTCATGTAATAAAAGTGCATGAGGACATTTTGTGATTGTTCCACAGAAATTTTCTTGGTATTATCTGGCTTATCCAAACTTAATTCTTGTAAAATTGTAATAAAGTGCTTCTCTGTTGTTTCCAACAAAAAGCCATCGTTCTTCATGTATTGGCATTGTAGATAATTGTGAAGTAATGTGGAGGGGAAGGTTGAAAACTTTTCAAACGGTAAAGTAATAATATTCTGGATAAACTCATAACTGAATAGAGCCTCACCATCAGGATTCATGGATGTGACCCTTTGAACCAAGTTTAACAAAATATCAAAGTAAATCTCTTGTTGGGGTAAGGTGTTCAGAACGGAAGTAATGAAATTGGTAATGTTGAATTTGTAATAAAGCTCCGTGGTTGTCTTCTTTGCTTCTTGATCCTCCTCTGATTGACAATTATTCATGCAGTACAGAGTGTGATTGTAACAAATTTCATTTGTCAATAGAGTCCAAAACATTTGGTATTCATAATCGTCAGAGAAATGGTCGTTCAAATTTTGTATCATGACGATAGCCTGAGAGATGTAGTCCAAATTTGTAATACCTTGACTTGCTGGTGTTGTGGTGCTTGTGGTACCAGGAATAGGCTTCTTTTGTTTGCCTTGAGAGAATAAAATCTTGAGCCTGCCGTTCTGTACAAGAGTATTTACAAGTTGCAGCTCATGAGGATACAATCTGGTAATGATTAATTTGAATATCTCCTCCTTGTTCTTTTGGATCAGATGTGAGAAATCTCTCGATATTAGTGGAAGAAGAGTAGTAAATAATAGATGACTCTCATCCAAACATGCAACCATATCTTTCAAAAAAACCTGTTCAATAGATTGTCCTCCAGCAACGTCTTGTACTTGTTTACGAGCGCCTAAAGACCATTCATAAAATGTGAAGTATGCATTCTTGTACTTGTAGTTTTGACTGTAAATTAAAATGTTGAGAAGTGTATCAGTAGAATGTGGTTTAACGAGCTCCAATTCCTGAATCTTTTCGCTGTAAATTTTTGTGACGTAGAAGCACAGTATTCTATACCCAATAGAGACATCACTCTTACATGCAAATTTGATGAATTGAGAGAATTTTTCCTTCTTCAACTTTTTGGTTCTATCAGCCGAAGCCTCACGAGATTGGCCACCAGTTAATGTTGGTAACACTTGCGCACAAACCTTATCCAATAAATGGTAGAGTAGAGTGGTTTGATTTCTCAATAATGTTTTTTCTAAATGTTGTCGCTCTTCTTCAGCTCTTTCTTTCATGACTGTTTGAACAATGAGAGAAGCATGCTGATTTGTTTGGTTAGCAATAGTTTGTGAGGTGTATGGTTGAAATTCAAAGCTCAGAATTTTGATCAAAAAACTAGCAAAACCATTCGTATCACTAGGTTGGGCCAATACTGCGTTGGAAAAAGCGTCAATAAGATCGGAAATGGTTTGTTTGCATACATTTCTACTGTCTTCAACCTCTTTTGCATCAGGAGTAGAGGTGTGCAACAATTCAAAGTATTCACTGACTTGAGTCGTTAAATTTGTTAAAGCAGGTTCGAATTGATCGAGAGCTTTGGATTTGTTGAGAGCGTTCTTTAGATTTTCTTCAATTATGTCTCTAATATTTTTCATGTCAGAATCTTTTGAGGTTGGAGCAGAGAAAGGTAATGGCCTAGATGGTGACGTAGGAGACTTAGTTGTGGATGCTCCAAGAGGACGATTTGGAGATTTAACAGAAACTGCAAGCGAAGAAGTCGACTTTGGTTCTCCTGCATTGAATCCAGATGTTGGACCAGTTGTAGGTGATGGAATTGATGGAGGAACTGTGCTGCCTTTAGGAGATGTTGAGATAGGACCTTTAGAAGGGGAGAGTGTTGGAGATTTGTTCGTGCTTGAGTTAGTTGATGCAGCATCTGGAATAGTGAGAGGTGTGACAGAAATGGGAGGAACTGACGAAGTCTGTACAGTACTAGCATCTTTTTGTGGTAAAAGGTATCTTTTCACCTTTTCTTTCCTTTCATTGTCAATCTTTTCATGGACAACATTAATGGCATTATTTCCAACATCCATGAGTTTCTGTGTACATGTTTGGAGAGAATTAATTACATGCTGTCTCGAAACGTTCAAGTATGGCTCTTGTCTTTCTACAAAATTAAAAATAAAGTCCAAAATTGCATTGGTGACGTCAGTATATTTTCCAATACTGTTTGTCATTAAAAACACGACAGGAACAATACTGTTTCGCAACAAATCTTCGTTCGTTTCAGAAGAAATGGTAAAGAGCATATCGTACACGATACTAAGCTTTGCGTTCTCAAGAATTTGTGGATTCTTGATCGATTTAAACAGCCAGCCCAATATTGCCCATCTTGGGTTTGTTTCGTGTGGTGGATGATATACACAATTAATATAACGAATCAGGTCAGGTATGACAGCCTCACTTTCTGGTGTTGTAAAGAATTTTTGAGCAAACCATGTTTGATATCTTCGTTGATTTCCCATCTTGACATTACTGATTAAGAATGATATTTGTGTGAACATGTCATGGTTAATTCTGGAATCTAAAATACGAGAGGAAGAGGGAGTACCAAGAATCTTCTGGAAATAAACAACTTCTTGTTGAAATACTAACTTCTCTAACGTATCACTAATCTTGTACTTCTTTACAATATTGTAAAGAACTCTAACTAAATCTCTTCCCATAGATTGGATGGCGTCTTTCGAAATATTGTCTCTAATGATATCCTCTACAAGCTGCAATTGCTTTTTCATTAACATATCTAAACCTTGTCGATCCATGTTGAGAATTTTGATGTCCTCAATCATTCGTAAAAAACTGTACAGTACTCGAACTAGAACTTTAGGGTTTGAGTAAATCCACTCCTTATTTTGAAAACATATGTCAAGAATTTGTTCCACGAGAACCATATTTTTCTTACCAAAGTCACATGTTTTCATATTTTTGATGAGTGCAATAAAAGGTGCTTCAAATTGATCACTGAATTTGATAGACTCGGCCAAAAAAGTTCCAAGTTTTTCTGCTGCAGGTTCCTGAAGCTTTGAAAATTTTGTTTCCACAAACTTTTTCAATTCTTCGGTTATTCCCTTAAAATCGTTGACAATGTGGTTAAATATTTTGGTAAATATCATTAATTGTGTAGGATCTTCGCTTGTAAGAGCAGCATAAAACAATCCAAATGCTGGTACTCTGCTATTGGGTGGATAATTCTTCTCTTGGATTCTACTTATTATAATATTTTCCTCTTTTCGAATGCTCATCATTTGAATGTCTTCACACAAAATTGAGAAATTTTGATGTAAAGATTTATCCCATTCATCTTGCACATCGAGAGGAATGGTTGTCATAATCGCACTCGTAAACGACACTGGCTGAGGTTGGAGTATAACATTCTGCGAGCGGCTTGAGTTTTGGTGCGGAGAGAGTCTGGGTGAAACCATAGAACCTGGATTGTTCACCGGAGCACTCTTCTGAAAAGGATTGGGAGGTGTGTTCATTCGTTTGGTGATGAGAAAATTTGGGTGGTTGTGTCGGGTGGTGTTGTTCTTGTTGTTGCCAACAAATTTGATGTGTGTTGCCGATAGGGTGAAGACGGTGAAGATGGGTGCCGAAACGACAATCAGTAGGAATGATCCGAACTGATACTGAATAAAAAGAGCAATGTCGGTTGCTGTTGGTGGTAGAGAGGATCAAAACCGGTGATGATGGTGCTTTTGGATGAACACAATATTAAAGGGCACAGAAATGATCAACACACAATGGGTTGTTTGGACAATGTGGTCGTGATGATGTTTTTTTGTTGTAACAAAATTTGTCTTCAAACGAAAATTGTTTGGGTTGCTGGGATCCAAAACAAAGACCCAGCTGGAGTCACATTAAATCCCAGCTCTATCATCATTTGGAAAGTAGATGAATGGCTTATGGACCTCATCATCGTCATCATTGGTTTTACAGCTTGCTCAAGTGAGAGACATCGGAGCTAGTCTCTTTTCGATTCATTTACAACTATAACTGTTGTCTCTCAATGTTTAATTGATTCATTCTGAAAACTTGATATTTACAGAGAGTTGACTCTTGGGTTAAAAAGTTGATAATCTCCATGTTCGGGAGAGAAGCCAAGCATGAAATAATCGTTGTAGGCAAGATACCTTACAACAAAAACGCTTCTAGGAAATCATCTCCTTTCCCGTCAAATCTGTCAAGTACACACCAGCTTCCAATTTAAATAATAACCGCGATATGCCAGCAAAATCTCTCTCAAATTTTGTTATTAGCAATCAAAAAACCACAACAACGTTTCTCTTTGTACTGCACTATCATCATCGTGACTTGGTGTTCTTCTCCTTCGTTCGTGTCCACAAAGATAGCAGCCACCCACCCAGCACAAAGATGTCGTTGAGCAAATCACCTGTGAGTGGAACATTTCTTCATTCCAATCATCCTTCATCGATGATAACAACCACCAAAGATATTGATCTGATGCTGCAGGATCAACACACACCACCTACCATCTCCATTCCTCGTTCTCCTCCTTCATCTCCTAGCAGTAAACGTCCATTGAATCAATCTCTGAACGGATCCTTCTTCATGTCCTCCTCATCGAATCAGCAGCAACATGCAACCATAGAATCCTCCTCTTCTCCAAGAGCCAACCACAAGTACAGTCTAAGTGCCGTTGTTCCACCTCAATCATCGCCTCTCTTTGAACCCTCTGAATTTTCCAAGATGAGTCTCAAAGAACAAGCCTTGTATCGCAATGCTGCCAAACAACATCAACAATTGATACAGAATGGTTACATTTCCAGCAACAATAATCCTGTACCAAATGGTATTTCGGAAATGAGCAATCCAACAAGTCCAACGAATAGTCCCAACATGTCCAATCATCAGGGTGGTGGTGGAGGCTTTACAACTCCTGGAAGTCCCACACCACTTCTTCTCCTACACTCCAACACGACCACTACTACCGCTCCAAATCGTGTGCTTTCCTTTCCTCAGAAATTAGAGAGAAAACTCTTCCATTTTCAATCTTCGGGAGAGGATGATCAAGACGACGTCGTTGTTGGACCGAATTATTCCAGACACCCAAAGAACAATGGTGCAAGTTCGTCGAAAATTTTTTTCATTTCCAATTTCTGTTTCAACTTGAGTTTGCGAATACGTACCATGATGGCACTCTTCATTACCTCAGCCATTATTGTAGCATTGTGTGCATTGGGTCTCTCACTCTCGTTTGAATTTTCATTTAGTAATGTTGAGAAATTGAGTGCCATTGATGCGGTTCGAAAAACCTCAAAAGCTCTCCGTGACGATTATAAAATCATTCTTGGAAAATTGTATGAATATGCAGCATGGGACGATGTGTATGAGAGTGTGAAATCACAAACCACTGCTTCAGCGGATGATTTATTGAATACTTACTTTTCGTGTGATTATATGAATAAGATTAATTTGAATTATGTCATGATGTATTTCAAGAATGGAACTTTCTTTAGAGGAACATTGTGTTATTCTGGATATACATTGACAGCATTTCCTGAAGAATTGATTCATTTGGATCATTCCTTCTTTTTCAAAGGGGTGGATATTCCAGAAACGAGAATTAGCTCGTTTTTTGTGCCAAATGTCACCATTCAATCATTATTTGAACAAAGTGGTTTGATTGTAAATTCGAACACGTTCGACAATCATTCGAATGCATTGATGATCACTGCTCAACCCATTCAACCCACTGATAACTCGGAAACGAATGGACTTTTAATATTCGCTCGATATTTAACTCACACTGTTGTGAATGAAATTGCTCAACGCACTCAACTCTGCACTACCATTTTCGATTTGACCAATTCCAAAGATGTGAGTGAATTAATGTCCTATTTCAATGTGAAAAGTGGAACTACTTCTACTACTTGGTCTACTACTACAACAAATTCACAATTATTGAATGAATACCTCTCCACAAAATCCTATTCCAACATTTCCATCTCTGATTCATGGACATTGGATGATCCCTTTCAAATATCAGCACATCCCATACAAACATCGAGTCAACGATTATGTTACAAGGATGATGTTACGGCCACACATCTTTCATCGTATAAACTCTTTAAGGATTATAAGGGACAGTATTCCATGATTATTCGAACAGATTTTCAAAGAGATTTGTATCAATTAGGATGGAATTCTTTTGCGTATACAACCATTACTATTTTAGCACTCGTGGTGGTCATGACCGTTGTGGTACTTGTATTTGTGGAATTGGTTGTTTTACAACGAGTGTTAAAAATTGGAAATTTTGTAAATATTGTCACACGAGACAATGATACAAGTCGAAGAATTCCGCATCTAGGAAAAGACGAATTAGGAAAACTCTCAAAAGATATTAATCGCATGTTAGAGGCACTTGAAACGTCACATGCCACTCAACTCAAAGATTATGAATTGATGCAAACATTGTTGGAAAGAACAGCACTCGAGGAAGAACAAAATCGATGTATCATGAATAGCATTCAAGATTTTGTGGTCAATATTGAATGCACGACTGGAAAAGTCATCAATTTGAATGCTTCCTTTGAGAAGGCTCTCAATCGAAAATTTAAGAGAGAATCCACCCATGGAGGGATTTATGTCAATGAATTCATGACCGATTTTGGAGAATTACAACAAGCATTGGAAAAATTGGAATCTCTCTCCCTCACACAGGAACCATTTCAAACTGAATTTACAACAACTTTGGGAGCTAAATATCCAGTGAGTTTGACTGTGAAAAAAACGAAAATGACATTACGAGAAGGTGTGATTGGTTTTACGTACATTATGGTCATGAAGAATATGAAGGAGCAAGTGGAATTGCAAACCATGTTGTCACGACAACAGGAACAACTCGAGGAAATTCAAAAAATTCAACAATTTGATCAAGTCATGGCCGATGAAGAGTTACGAGCAAGATTTAAGGAATTTACCATTCAGGAAAGAAGTTCTGAAAACTTCCTCTTCTTGGAAGATGTTGAATATTACAAGTCACTTTCGAAATCTACAGAGAGAGCCAAATTGCAACAAGATATCATTCTCAAGTATTTATTGCCAGACTCGCCGCAACCACTTAATATTTCTCAAAAGATTCTTCATGCAGAATCCAAGAAGATTGTTTCAGGTTATGGTCAACTCGGTTTATTTGATCGTTTGGAGACCTTAGTGAAAGCCATGATCTTGGATGACACCTTCCGAAGATTTATGGATCAAGAGCAAAACAAATCACCCCGTACCGACAGTCAATAATCATAATAATAATTAAATTAAGTTTGTGTATTTGATAAGAATGAAGAATCTCTAATAGGACGCTCTATGGAGTGCCTCTTGCATGACATTCTATTGCCGCAAAATCAAAATTGAATGATGACTCGAAAAGTATTACGCGTGAGCATATCCTTTGCTCAAGGAAGTCGCGATACATCATTTAAAACTGAAACTTCTCTAACCTTTCTGAAATCTATATTGCTGGTATTGGAAAATGACAGAAACTAATTGCCAAAATGAAAATTCAGGCCAATAAAGACTTGAAATGTAAATCATGGACCGCTCGGATTGCCAAGTCAGAAAATCTGATAATCTCATCTCTCCACTGGTACGAATGACAATATCTGGTTCACTTTTCGTTAAGAAATACGTGTCTAGTAATTGGATATCCGATTGGATGTGATGAGAAGAGGTTTCCTTAGAGTCCTGAGTAGCTGCATTGTCACAATGACATTGTGTAGTATTCATGGTTGATGATTGTAGTGGCGTTGACACGGATTCAGAGAAGCATGACTCTAATTGTTGTTCCTGTTGCTGCTGATGTTTCACATGGTTTGAGCATGTTAATTTTTCTGTAATATATTTTGTCATTGCATTCTCAATTTCAAATGTTGAAGTGTATGGACAACATAAATTTAAAATCAATGCATCATCTCCATATTTGCTATTCACTTGATTGGAATAATCAATCGCTTTCTGAGCACTCTCCTGTACATATTTTGGAAATAATTTAAAATCTCCCAATACTCTCAAAATTACTCGATACCTATGAATAAATGATTTCTTTTTTGTGACCATGTCTTTAAACCTCCGATCCATTAAATCCATAATATTATCTACTTCATGTTTATCTCGTTTAAAATTATCAATTGAAAATGCATATACTGTGACCGTCTTGACTCCCAACATTTCACACCAATTCAAACACTGTTTCAGTTTCTTGTATCCGGACCGATGACCTTCTTTTATAGGAATATTCTTCTCTCGGGCCCATCGTCTATTTCCATCCATGATGAAAGCAATATGTTTGGGCAAAAGTCGGTTGGTTTTTGGATCCAATCGGAATATTCTTACAATGAGTGTAATGATACATTCATAAATCCAAGTAAGCCATGAAGATAGGATTCGGAATAAGCCTTTTTTCTTCTTCCGTGTTGATGACGAGTATGAATTTTCAGTTTTTTCATCATCAATGGTCGTTGTTGAAATTGTTTTCATTATATAGTTCAATAAAGATGATGATACTAATAATTGGTCGTGGGTGGTTGGGTGAAACAAAGAATTTATCGGAATGAAAAGATGATGAAAAGATCGGAATGAGAATGTGTGTTTGAATTTTTTCCGTTTCACAAATAAATTTCAAAGTTTTTAACAAATTTCCAAACCTCAAGAACACGTGTCGCGCCCGAGTGAGTCCACACAGCAATAAGAAGTCCGGAGAAAAGATTGAGATTCAAGCTCAGGTGATTTACTGAAGTTGAAAAACAGAATTTCTTAAAACCCTAGCAATTGTTTCGATTGTCTTGACCAGTGAATACCCAAGTAAAAATTTCTGATGATTAAAAGTATTTAGCGCAGAAGGGCATTCAGAAGCATTGTCTGTGTTTCTTTGTTGTAAAAATTTCATGATTTCATCGTCAAGTCAATGCGAACGATCGAGAAGCAAAGGAAAAAACCCAATGCCATGTCACCATGTCTCCTTTCTCCAAGTGTTGCATACATTTATAAGGTTGTTAAAATTTTCACGTTTTTACAGTTTTAAAACCGCAACGTTGGAGTGATAATTTCCTTTTTTACATAAAACGACTTGGGAATACTTCTCGCAAAAGTGTTGTTACAAAATTCTTTGTATGGACGAAACGTCTAACGGAATTCACGTTCCCACTGTAACATGAATTCACAATCACGTTCAACTAGAACAACGTAACCTGCTTCAAAAAAACGTGTTTTTGAAAACAAACATCCAGTTCGAATTGCCTTTTCTCGATTCGAAAGCACACAGCTCTTGTTCTCTCCATTTCATTTGAAACAAAAAAACATTTAACTTCCACCAACACCCTTTTACAATAATAATCCAAAAAGGAATTCCAACCTTTCCAACACACGTGAAATTTTGAAGAACCTGGACGTCCAAGTAACCTGCAGTGAGTGAAATCACCCAACACACTTGAGTATTCCCAAGTCATCATTTTCAAATTCTTAAAATAACACTTCCCAACCGAGACTTCCCAAGTATTTTTTAAAAAAATGCATCATCACTCTCTGCCATCTATTAATATCTCTCCGAAGAAGCTTTCTCAAACCCTCCTCCGCACTTCCCATCAACTATTGGTCCGAACAGCAACAACAACAGCCTCAACTATTTCTGCTTCGGACGGAACGTGTGAGGAATCAATAGGATTGGCACGACCACAAACAATGGTAGGAGGACAGGAAATGGAGGTGATGATTCAATCCTCGATCGATGATCATGCAGAGCCAATGTCGGCTTCGTCCTTAAATTGGCCCACTTATTTTGAAGACACGGAATCAAGTTATAAACGAAAGAGAGATTATGATCAGTTTGAGGATGAAAAGTATGGCCTCGCTGATCCGTGTGATTTAGATCAATGTGATTATTCATTGATCATAACAGATAAAGACTATGAAATATTTGAACATGACAATGACGAATATATGGAACAACAATCAAAAAAGATGAAATTGGAAAATACCTTGGTGCAATATGAAATTGCCGAAGACAATTGGATTTTTCATATTTTTGTTTTTCTGTCTTGGGAAGAGCTTTGGGCATTGAGAACTGTTTGTAAAAATTGGAATGACATGATCAAACACGTGCCGACATCATTGACAGCATGCATGCTCAATCCAAAGTATTTTCAAGGTTTTTTGGAAAAACTGAATCCATATTTTCTCAATTTGACAGAAATTACATTGATCAAGTATGACGTTTCAAAAATTCGATGCCCCAGATTAAGAAATGCTGCAAGAACGATATTTTTGAGTCATCCCAATCTTCGAAAATTAGAATTACAAGCAAGTTGTAAAATTGGGCACGAAGAAGCTCAAGCATTGACTCTTATTTCCAAACCTCATTTGAAGGAAATTTGCATGCCAAGTAATGGAGTAGATGACATCATGTGTGAATATCTATGTAATGGAAACATTCCATCCATTGAGTATGTTGACATGTCCATGAATTCCATATCCCATACGGGTTGTGAATTTATTTCGCGATGGAAACAATTGAAATTCTTGGATTTATCTTACAACTTACTTGATGGATTGGCCTGTAAATTTCTTTCAGAATTGACCGAGTTGAACGAATTGAAGCTTTCTGGTTGTGGCATTGGTGACAAGGGTTGTGAATATTTGAGCGTACTTTACAACATAAGCCCAGGTGAAAGTCAACCAAAACTTTCCAAATTAACCAAATTAGATGTATCATCCAACGAAATTACAGCAATAGGTTGTCAACACTTGAAACGACTCGATAGCATCACATGGCTCGACATTTCATTCAATCCCATCACTCACGAAGGAGTTGTTCATTTAGGAACCATGAAACAACTCACCTCTCTTCAGGCAACAGATGCTTCGCTGGGGGCAACTGGAGTCGCTGCTCTCTCTGAAAGCGTTGCCCTTCGCAATAGTTTAACAGAACTCAACTTGACCAAGAATAATATCTGCAACGAAGGTTGTGAATACTTCTCGAATAAGAACTTTTCCAAACTGAAAGTATTACGATTGGGCTTGAATAGAATTTCACAACTTGGATGCAAGTATTTATCAGAGAGCACTTTTCCAGATCTTCAAATTCTTGATTTGCATTACAATGCTATTGGAGTTAAGGGAACTTGTTTCTTGTCACGAAACACCTTCCCAAGTCTTAAAGAGTTGAATATTTGTAGCAATAGCATCCACAATCCTCAGTGTCCATGTCTCAAGAAAGCTCCTCTTCGAAATCTCAAAAAGTTGTACATTAATGGAAATAATGTTTCGGACAAGTATTTGATGGAGATTCAACAAACACATCCAGATCTCATTACTGACCTACAGCTATCCCAACAAGTATTTAATTTTGATCCTCGAGCATATAGTGCAAAGGGAAATAAGGTTACGAATGGCGTAAACAATCCAACCCATTGAGAGACGGCAACTATCATTAACTTTGTGATCTTTCTCAGGAAGGAGCTCCAACTGCACGTGGCAATCGAATGCTTCTGATCAATGCGTTGAGTTGAAAGTCAGTTGTTTGTGACAATGTTGTTGGAGCTTCTTGACTGAGGAGATTTACAAAATTCATAAATAGTTTTGATCTTCTTTCAAACTACTTTAGATTTTTATGCAATATATTTTACTTTTAATCCACATCTCGTTCAATAAGTCCATTTCCAACTTCAATAATTACATCCAGAGGGGAAGTCAAGAGCACCACCTCTTCAGTTTGCTCGTCACAACATGCCACTGACACCTTGAAGGTACCTCTTTCCAAAAAGAAAACTTTCAAAGTGACCCTAACCACGTTCGAGTGAACCAATTCGATACAAGAATTCAAGTTTCCAGAATAACAATACTGTCTATTGGTAGCAACAATTCTTGAACCATTTTCAGCATCTTGATAAATGTTAAATATCAAACTTGCAATCTTGTTAAAGGCCTCTTGATTTGGATTTGTAGAACTCAAAGAAATGGAGACAGTAAATTCAATTTCTTCCGCAATTGCTGCTTGCACAGGTTGTTGATCGATGGCAAGCTCCTTGTGAGAAATAGTATGTTGATTATTTACAATTGCTGTCAATTCCTGTTTCACGTTGATAAGATCGTTCATGGTTGACGGTATAGATGTTTCAGTGGTTTGCTTTCTCATTTGAGTTTTGTCTTTTGAAGATTGTTTGACTTCATCATTTTCCTTACATCCAACCACACCTTGTGTATTCACGTACTATTCACGATAATGTGTTGTGATCATTAATGTATCATAAAGGTCAGTGTGAAACTCATTCACACGAAAAATCAATTTCTCTTACTTACAGATTTCCATCTCATCGCTTGAGCAATAATTCCTTTGTACTGATTAATGTCAGCAGTGTATGGAATATTGAGCTGTTCAAAATTAATATTGTGCAAGATGGAGGGATCTACTAGAATCATCTTGGTAGATTGGGCTCCAAAAGGAATTCCAGTATCAAATTGTTCGTCCTTCAAATATTGTGTCAAACTTGAGAGAAGCATGAATGAGGAGTTGGAATAATTATGAATTTTGGCAACAATTTTCTTGTTGAAGGTTTCATTCACAGTGATGCAATCCTCAACGACTAGAGCTCGTAATACAGTTGTTTTGATAGATAGATCAATTTCTCTGTAGTACGCCTTCTCATATTGATCGCTTTCAATTCCATATTTAATATGGATGTTGATAATACCAATATCACTGGATCCTTTCCAATATCCAACAACCTCGATTGGTATTGTTACAACATCTCCATCAGGAAGTAGAGGTAAATATTTCTTCACTATTTCATCCTTAATAGAAACAGAATTAGAGGTTTGATTAATGAATGTAATTTCAAGGAACGTAATTTCACAATTTCCGGTATTGTGTAACTTGGCAAAGAGTGTCGTTGTTTCACCCTCTACAAGAGATAATTGTGGTGTCGAAAGAGTGACATTCAATAATGGAACTGTCTCAATCACATCGATTTCATAAGATCTCTTTTCTTTCTTCTCATTGACAAGATGTTGCAACGTAACTGGTATATAGATTGGAGATTTAAATCTTCCATCTTCGAATTCTATTCCTACAGCGTCCAAAAGTATTCTTCCAACGTGCCTTGGTTTGGTGGCAATTACTACTTTGTGAGTCATACCGCTCAAGACAAGACATGAGTGAACAAACACGTCACATATTGGTTCTGAATTATCTAAACCTCCAATAGGTTCAATTTCTGGTTTAAATCGGACCAATACGTTTTTCAACCGTAAATCAAACCTGAAAGGATTCATAAACTCTACAAGAATTTGTGCTGTCTCATTCTTGACCCAATTCAACTGTACTCTAGTCTCATCTTTCTTATCGAAAGGAGAATAAATAAATAATTGAGGTCTGTTTTGCTTGACCTCTAATACTTTTGGTTCTAAATGTGAAGATAATTTCATGGGGGCTACCATTTTGATAATAGGTAATGGTTTCAATAGTACATTAATATTCTTTGGAATTTGGTGTGAAATAGCCAACACACGTTTCAAATGTTCCTCCTGAAGTAATTTGGGCATTATTGGATAATACTCTGAAAGAAGGTAGAGCCGGTATTGAATTTCAGTCGAGTAGTCAGGAGGGCTCATAGACTGTGCAAAATCTATCATGCTTTTAATAATATCCATTTGAATAGTGTTCCAACCTTTCAGTTTGTAGTTCTTTTTTACTTTCCATTCTGTATAATTGTTCATACAATTGTTGTTGTTAGAATTTAAAACATGAATCATTGTTGTTTGCAATAAACTTACCGATATTTGGGGTCAACTCCAAAGGTAGATTATATGCGTCTAAAAACTGAGCCCCCAATCGTATAGACACCCCTTGATTACACAAATCGTGATGTAATTGAGCTACATGGCGAAGGAAAAATCCAAATTTTCTCTTGGATTTCATTTGCTTGCAAATTTTTGCAGCAAATCCAGAGACCACAATCTAGTTACATGTGATGGTTACAAAAACATTGATCATAACCCAATGAGAACCAATACTTACCCTTTCTTGAGTTGTGAGCGTGACAGCTGTTTGGACAGCTTTGGAAAGGCAATCTAAAGCCTCTTTTCTCTTCTTTTTGTCACAGTAGGTTGAAATGAATACAGCAGTTTTGATGTAGCACTCTACGAGAAGATCCTTTTTCTTTGATTTGTCGTAGAAATCAAGTGCTTCATGCATCAAGTCATAGATTTGTTGAATAATGGTGCTGTCAACTTCCTTAATTGCTACCTTATTTTTTACAAATGTTACAGTGGCAATACCTTCAGAGCTACCCGCTAGATATAACGCATAATTCATCGACCCAGCAGCTCCATAAGAGTTTGCCAGTTGTTGCTTGCAAATGTTGGATATTTCAGTATAGGTTGACAATGCATCTTCATAGTCAGATATCAGCAATGCACAGTCGGCAAAAAGTTTCATGTTTTGTAAGTTCTTTTCGTCGCTCTGTGGGGTTGTACTACTTGGAGGAACGGTAGGCTGAGTAGAGGAAGGTTGTGGAAAAGTTGCCAAATCATTTCTTGATTTCGAAGGAGTCATCTTTTTAGTATTGAGAGCTGATGATGATGGGAACATGCCTGTGGGAGAAGACATGAGAAACGAAGTTGACAATTCATTAAAGTACGCTGCTGGATTTGAAACAATTTTCTCAAATCTAATCAAAACTTGTCGTGCAAGATCAGAAAAGAGATAATCAATGTGAAATCCTACATGACTTTCATCTTGATTTGGAATAACAACCAATTCTTCGTCCTCGGGTGCTGTTGTTTCTGGATCTTGTTCAACTGCAAAACATCTTCCAACAATATTCTTTCCGTATACTTGTAACTTTTGTTTTTTGTATTTTGTAAAACCGCTTGCCACTGATTCTTCACTCAAGCAACTCATGATACCGATGACTCCATGAACGTTCCGATATTGATGAAAATCAGAATATCCAGTATTGATACTAGTTTCCTCTACAAACTGAAATTTGAGCACCGATCTAGCCCAATCTTGTTTTTGGAACGGACTCTTTAAATTATCATCTCGGAATCGAGTCAGACTCTTTATCGGTTTTGAATCACATGCCTGTATCATGGACACAAACTTTTTAAACGTGCTGGCATTGATTTTACCAATAGGAAAAATAGCAATTCGTATCAACGCATTGGTTGCAATTCCTAGCTGGCAACCCACCACATCAATCGAGGACATTTTTTAAATAATAAAAATTTTATTAGGACGATTAAATTTTAACAAGCATGAAAGTTTCAAATACAAAGATCCAATCACAAGCTAGTTCTTACGGGGCAACCCAAAATGCATTAGTATTTCTCTTAATTAATATGGACGGGAAGCCTGCCAGGAATATGGCGACACTCCCGCTACAGTCTTTGACTGTATGAACTGTGAGTGACAAAAGCAGAAGCCTTTGTTGTGTTCTTTAACAGAAGAATTGGTTGAAGAAACAAGTGAAGAAGAGGCGTGTTGTATTTATTGTCGGGATGGCATGAACACTTTTAGCCATTTAAATGTGGTTCAGCAAAATTAATTTGATAGATATTGATGTGAATTGAGTGTGCAGCATTCGTCAGAACTTGAACGATCAAAGAAAAGACATTAGATCTCGTCCGCCTAGGTATTAGGTTTGAATAATGAACAATTACTTTCTGAAAGTCTTATTTCTCATTTCCCAAGTATTGTGAGAGGGTCGAGAAGAGAAATAATTAATCACTTCTGATTCATCATGATCATCTCCATATTGATTCATGACTTTATAATTGAATTGTTTTCGTTGTCTTGTTCCTCCGATGATATTGTCCATTGAAATTTCAGAAGAGTAATTGGAATATCCCTTATTGCTTCTTGTGCAGACCATTGTTGTTGTGTTGTTTGATTGTTCAGATGTTTTCAATATTTGTTTTGTTGTTGATTTTCAAATTCTCACATTTTCATCATGAATTTATTTTTGAATTTGTTTCCAGTATTTTGTGAATTTCCATCACAAAGGTGATTCCAGCAAAAAATGGATGACATCAAGCTCAATAAATGCCCAAGCCGGCACATCTCGTAATTCAATTTAAAACAACAAACAAATTACTAATAATAACGACAATAACAATGGTCTCAAGAACATCACCAAACGATTCCTCATCATCCACTGATAAAATTCCAACAAAGACTGAATGGGTCCGATCCAAACCTATTGATATTACCAAACGATTACCAAATTTTGATATTGATCCAGGCAATGTTGTGAGTGGAACCCGAAGAAGAAATAATGTGGATTATCACGTTTCCAATTTAACTGGAATGCAAGTCTCAGTGAAACGATCATCGAAAAATACTTTGGAAAAGAGAGCTACTTCATTGTCGCCCTCGAAAATTACAAAATCAAGAAAGATGAAAAAGTGAATAAATACATAATATAATCTAGAAAATACATGCCGTTATTCATTCTTCAAAATGTTGTGGCTTCATAAAATTTAACTCAAAAAATGTGGTCATTGAGGATAGGGAAACGATTGGCAATTTTTGTTGCCATTCTTTGCTTTGCTTTTGTCGTTGAAGTAGTGAGCGGGCAACAACCATTGCAGTGGAGTTCTTGTGATCATTATTATGATTTTCAAATTCCAGAAAATACGCAATTCGTTCCGAGGTCATCACTCTCAAAGGAACAAGTGATGTATTTTCCAATTGTGGATGCTATTAATGACCTGAGTATGTGGTTTCAGCGTTAATTGAACAATATTATTCACAAACATGTTCCGAAATATTCTAAAAATTTGGTTTCAATCAATGAAATTATTGAACTCGAAATATATCAATTATTAATATTTATTGAAATGACACATGTGAACACTATTATGGACGGCTTTGATATCTCGTTTTTTGCTCCTCACATTACGTATTCATTGAACGATGATGGTCGACCAATAATTTCAAATTTGGAATTTCATACTAATGCGGAAAAGACTCTCAAAAAAATCAAACCTACCTCACCAAAGCCGAATGTTCACAATTTGAGGTTCCTCTCGACCACTCCTCCAACACTAGCAATGCACATGTTAAACTGTTCGTCAAGAGAATACGAGGTTCCAAAACACAAAATGCTCCTCGAGCTCTGTGGTTGCTATCTGGTGGTCCTGGTCTCGCCAGCAATATTTTCGACTTGATCATGGATCTCTTGTCTAAATTATTGGGAGATACATTCGACATATACACTACTGATCATCGAGGAGCTGGCCGCAGTACTCGTGTCACTTGTACCTTAACTCAGGCAGAGACTTTGGGAAGCGACGAAGGAATTACAATTTCTCAGAAAGAATGGACTAAACCAGGATGTGCTCAAGCATTTGTTGCTGAATGGAACGACGATAGGGCGCAACACTTTTCTTCAAAGGCTGCTGCTATCGATGTTGTGAAATTAATCGAGGCCATTAATCTCCCACAAAATCAAAAAACATTCATATATGGAGCTAGCTATGGAACGGTATGGATTTCTCGAATTATTCGATATCTCGAATTGAATCAAAAGGATATTGCACAAAATTTAATTTCTGGATTGATTATGGATGGAATTGTGAATGTGATTGGAAAACCAGCTCCAATGAATGATCAACCTGGACCTTCTGAAAATATCAAATCTGGGCGATTGGTGTTAAACTCTTGGGATGAAAATTTCAATGGTGTAGGCAATGCATTATTTCAACTCTGTGCTCGAAATTTGACAGCAATGGCCCTCGCTCAACAAATTTCACCACAGTCCGATACATCAATGTTCGCACACCCAAAAGCTTATGAAGATGTGGCGAATGATTGCCGAGAAAGGTTTGAAAAGCAGTTAATCGAACATGACAATGACATGACGTTATATGTGAGACGAGTATTGAATAATGTGTATCATCAAGAAACAGGTAGTTCATGTCGTCCTGTACGAGATTCTCTCTCAGAATTGCAATTGAAAACACTTTTTCAAATTTTATTAGCAGATTTATATGGAAGAGTGTTGATTCCTGCTATCATCTATCGATTGGATCGATGTGACGAATTTTTAGACATCCCTTTTCTGCTTCATGTGAACGATGTAGTAATGAACGCACCAGCTCCTTCTCCTCAATTAGTCCCATTACAATCTCCAGTATTGCAAGCTCATATAACTTACTCTGAGTTGTGGAATCCAAATTTCAGTATTCAACAAATGCTTTCAGAATATAACAGTACTAACACCACATTTGGTGGAGAGGTGATTCGCATGGCCTCTCTATTTCGAATCACAGAATGGCCTACTTATCAATTAGACTCTGATTATTTCGAAAAGTCCTTTTCTCTACCTAACAAGATTCCACTCCTCATGATGAATGGAAATTTGGATCCTCAAACACCCTTATGGTCAGCTCTTTCACAAAATGCATCCATTCAAAATGAGAATTCCAATTCTGACGATAATGGTCTGTATGATTTGGTCATTGTTCCATTTTCACCACATGGTGTCGTGGTTGGCCCTACCAGTCGAAATTCCTTAATACCTGTAGGCCTTCAATTATTAGTGAATTTCATTACCATGGAAGAGCCCAATCCATTTACATTGAATCGAACATGTTTGGATCAAGTTGAATTTAATTTTACAGGATCTCTCTATTACAATCAACGCATGTATGGAGTATATAATTTATATGAAGATTCGTATTATGCAGACAATGGAAGAAATGCCACTGTGAGCTTGTATTTGATGGTGGGATTACTGGTTGGAACATTGATTGTGGCCATTACTGTCATGAATGGCCTTATTTATTTTATTATTACTTTGAGAGATAAGAAAAAGATGAAGGTCTTAGAAGATGATATTGAATAACAGTTACTTGCTTGTGTCCCACAACAGTCAGCATTCCTTTGTTGTTTAAAATTTTAACTTAACAATAATAACGAAACAAGAATCCAATTCATCTTGTTGTTCGCCTGCCAGGTCATGGGTTTTCAAAAACGCTCATCCCGAAAAAAAATGAGTTCTTCACACAACAAAGACCCTCGCAGAGAGAAAATTAAATCTCTCATCCGAACCATCCCAGACTACCCAGCCAAAGGTATTCAATTTAGAGATATTAGTACCTTGTTGGCCGACAAGGAAGGTTTAGCTCTTGTTGCTGATTTATTTTATGAACAATACAAGGATGCCAAAATTGATTTGGTCGTTGGTATTGAAGCTCGTGGATTTATTCTCGGAGCTTTGTTAGCCTATCGTATTGGTGCTGGATTTGTGATGGTGAGAAAGGAAGGAAAGATGCCTGTTGGTAATGGTGTAGAGACCATCAAGGAGTCCTACCAAATGGAATACAGATCTGCAACAACTATTGAGATGCATACTGATTCTATTAAACCAGGCCAACGTGTGATTATCATTGATGACTTGTTGGCAACTGGTGGTACCTTGTTGGCAGCTGCCAAACTTGTTGAAAGACTCGGAGGAACTATTGTTGAGCTGTCGTGTATTGTGGAATTGCCAGACCTTGGAGGTCGATCCAAGCTTGCTGGTTATCCACTTTATCACATGGTTGAATTCGAAGGAGATTAATTTTCAAAGCATTGCTTCACATGAATGTTTAAAATTCATAATAATTTAAATTATTTCATTAACAGTGTTCTTTATTTTGTGAATCATTATGCGAATTACCAGCCATGAAGGAGCAGGAGAGAAGTCTCTTTTAGTTGAAACAGCCTTGTTTTCTGACTGTTGTTCAAAGTCTTCAAACAGCCACTGACTGGCAAATATGAAGAGAGAATCTTAATTCGAGCCACAAGTTTTTCTCCTTAATCTCAACAAGCACTTTCAAACTGTTGGTTGAGGTTTCAGCTCGATTTTTGAATTTGATTGGAACAAGGAACGAATACAAACTCAACAACTTTATGCATCGTTGTTGCTGAAACACTCCGAGTTGGCATTCCAATGAACTTATGGAAGACATAAATATCACTCCTGCTAATTCGGGGGTCTAGCATGTCGTGTCCTCATCATCATGACCCAAACGGCTTTTAAACGTTATTTGAAATCAAAAAAATTTCCTTCACAAGCCTTTAAAGATTTTTGAAAAGATTGCTCCAAAGCAACACTATCATCACCGAAAGCCTCACGATCATCATTAACCCACAACAAAATGAGTAAACAAGAAGACACTGAACCAGTTGAAAATGTTATGAATGAAGAAGAGGAAGAGGAAGAGGAGGAAGAAGAATTAACTGAAGAACAAAAGAGAGAAATAGAAAAGATGCAAGAGGCTAAACTGAAAGAAACGCACGGTACAGGTGTAAAGGTGAGTATCCCCGAGAGACTTTCTTGTTGTTGTTAAAATGTTTATTATCATCATCATATTGGCTCTTGATATCTCTCCACACTTGGTTCATTCCACTACTACACAACCCTCTCATTTATCATGATGTGCACAAAAACATGGTTGTTTTAAAATGATGATACGATGATTATCACATTTCATGCTGTGCCATTTGAATTACAAAACAACACGATCATCATGGCAAACAATTTATGACTCCTTTGGAATTTTCCTTTGGGTTTCACAATAACACAATTATCATCATCACGGATAACATCAAATTCCTCTGATTTGATTGACACTTTAGAACACAAAACATTCGTATTTAATCAAAAAGGATCGTAAAAAGTTTGACTCTGCTGACTATGCCATGAAAAAGAACTCGGCTGAAAACAAGGGAGAGCCAGTGCCAAAAGCCATCAAAAAGGGTGAAATTACCAACAGATTTGGAAGTCACTTGACTGAAAAGAAGTAAGACTTGAAGAATTTAAGTACACATTTTGCAATGCCAAACTTTCTAAACACATCTACCACTCAAAATCATTTTCCAAATCCCTACCCATCATTATCATTTAATGTATTATCACCCTGGTCAATGCTTTGGAGCACCTTGTGGCTCTAGTTTCTACTATTCAAATGTCACAGTTGGATAGTATTACTTTAAACCATTTTACTATGGATTGACATTTCCTCTTTCACTCTCTTTCAATAATAAACAGTTATGATAAAAGTTGCAAATTCTTTTCTTACACACAAAAAATCTTCCACACAAGAACGCTGACATGGTGGTACGTACTTGAAGAAGATTTAGTTCCTCTCAGACCTTTTCAAACTTGTGAATGTTAATCTCATGATCCGATATTATTTGATAAACATTGCTTCTTGATTATCTCAAACGATGGACACTGGTGTCAATATTGAATCCTTCGGATGATAAAATCATAACGATATGAATCATAACTTTCAATGATCATTCCGTATGATGTGGATTTATAAAAATTATATAATTTTGATTATTTCCAAATGATGATGATGAATATTCCAACAACAAACTCAACGGTTGACGATGATTATTATTTCCAAATGATTATTTCAACAACAAACCCAAATGGATGAATTTATTTTCCAATCATTGACATCATCACGACAACACAAATGAAAATTCTAACAACAACAACAACAACAACAGCTCGTCCTAGTCATTGGAGACCTCCACATTCCTCATCGGGCCAGTGATCTTCCCGAACAATTTAAAGCCCTACTCGTTCCTGGCAGAATTCAACACATTCTCTGCACTGGTAATTTATGTTCTAAAGAAACTTATGAATATTTGAAAACTATTGCTCCCGATGTTCATATTGTGAAGGGAGAGTTCGATGAAAAGATTAAGGGCGTTCCTCCAGCTAAGGAATTTGAGGTTGTGGAAATTGGACAAGTTAAGATTGGTCTCATTCATGGACATCAAGTTGTGCCTTGGAATGATAAAGAGTCATTGGCCATGTGGCAAAGAAAGTTGGACGTGCAACTCTTAGTGTCTGGACATACTCATGAGCATAAAACATTTGAATATCAAGGAAAGTATTTTGTAAACCCAGGAAGTGCAACTGGAGCTTTTTCTCCACTCACAGAGAATGTGATACCAACATTTGTATTGATGGATATTCAAGGATCGAATGTTGTGAATTATATTTATCAATTGGAAGATGACGAAGTCAGAGTGAAAAAGAAGGAATTCCAAATTCAATAATTATGTGTAGAAACAACAAAAAAGTTTTCTTGTCATGTTACATACTTGTTGGTTGTATCATTTCCTCAATCGTTCAATCTGCTCTGTGGTAAGAACATGGAATTGCATGTCACTTTTATTCATTCACGCCAGCAAGTGTTTAAGGATTATGAGATAATATATTTGAATGTTTGGGGTTTATTCCATCGTTATCTTAGTCCCAATTAGCCAAAATCAGTAATTTACTCCAAAACAACTGTTGCACCCATTTCTTCCAATGTCTTCTTGAGAGCTTCAGCCTCTTCCTTTGGAGCATCCTTTTGTATAACAACTGGTGCAGATTCAACCATTTCCTTGGCTGCCTTGAGGGTAAGGTTCTTGTCAATCTTTCTCAATTCCTTGATTACAGAGATTTTACCCTTTTCGTCAACCTTTTCAATTTTAACGTTGAATACAGACTTGACGTTTTCCTTCTTCTTTTCTTCTTCCTTTGGTTCCTCCTTTGCTTGGGTTGCGGCTGGAGCAGCTTGTGCTGAAGCCATAGCTTGCATCATGGCTGGATTCATTGCCATACCACCTCCCAATGGGCCGAAATTGAGACCCAATCCGACCTTGAGCATGGCTTCAACAGGGTTTGGAACATCAATATCAAAACCAGCTTGATTCTATTGTGATGATATGCGAGAGTAATAATTGATGATAGGTTTTGTTGTTGAGACGCCAAGATGAAAGTGATGAGCCAATAATAATGAAGAAGAAATGATGAAAACAATTGAAGAATTTTCATGTTGTTAATGTTGATATGGGAAGAAAGAAGTGGTTCATTTGGTGAATTCAATCATTTTGAATTGTGGGTTATTGGTTGTTGTTGTTTGTTAATATTAAAATTGAAGAAAACGGCATGATACCGATGAGGTTTGCCATAACAAAGAATACCATAACAATATTGGAATGATGGAATGGTAGTCATTGTTAGTCCATGATGTATTGTTATAATAATCATACAGAAGTACATCATCATCATTGCGGAAAGAAAAATGATGTAATTCGCATCACTACTATTTCACGTATGGTATTGAATACTTACTCTCAAATATTGTTGAAGCATTATACTTTCCAAAACATTGAGAGCCAAAACTTCATCGCCTATTTTCTTGATTTTATCTGGCAGAACAACCTCTCCTTTTTGAGGAAGAACAACTTTTGTTTCACATCTACTTTGTGTTGTATGATATGAACAAATTGTATTTACACTTGTAGCATTACGGGCAAGTTTAGAAGATGATGAAACAGCACAACATCTAGAGAGTTTAATTTTGCGGGAGGTAGTGGCAATTCTATTCAACATTTTTTTTTCAATTTTTTACAATTTTCAATTTGTGCTATTTCTTCTGAAATTCAGTCTGCAACCATTGAGTTTTTCAACCATTGTTGAAAGGGGAGCAGTCATGCATATTCATGTGGGTTTCTTGCAAGGGACTCTTTACTTGCAGAGCACAAAAAAAATATTGTCATAATGAACGCTGGCTGTTGCTCGGTGTTAATCCCGACAAGGCTTTCCGAGCAAGTCCTTTCATACTGGCATCGTCTTGGAAAAGAGAAGAATGCATGTGATGAAACATTTCTAGCGATGGGAGTAATCATTGATCATCCTTCAAGTCATGACAATTTTTTACAACAACCAAATACGACATCAGTGGATGTGGTGATCAAGAAAGTGGTTAGGCAATCAGATTTCAAACATGGAAAGCTTTCACAACAAGATACGCTTGTTGGAAAAATTAAATTTGAAATGGATAGTAATGACTCGGAATCTCAAAATTATTGCAATTTAACACGAAACAATTGTTTACAAGATGGACAGGAGAAAATATTTATTGTGTTACGAGTTGATACAAGGACGCATTCTCTTAAAATTTGTAATTTATTTTTAAATGGAATAGATATTTGTAGGACCAATAGCGTTGGTATTTATTGTATATATTACCAAGACGGAGTGAAATACAATTCTTATACCAAGGATGGAGAAATGAGTGAGAGTTGTACAACTTTTTTAGATTGTATCAATAATGAGTCAAACAATACAAAGATAGAAAAGACTCACTCCTATTTAGAAGAGGAGCATCAATCTCTTATCGGCAGTACATGGTGGAGATGCATTTCATCAAGAATTCATGACCCAATCACCTTAAATTCAATTGTGGACATTATTTTGGGTTTTTTATTTGCGTACTTTATTTATTCGCTTTATTATACAGACGCCTTTAGCAAAGCTAAGAATCAATTTCTAATCATTTACGAAGGATTTTTCAAAATGGTAGTAAATCATTTTGAGTGGCTAATTCGAGACAGCAATCCTGGAGGATTTAAGCTGAATCGACAACTCAACTTGTTATTGGGGAATATGGCTATTGGGGGAATCACATGGTGGAAATCACTTTTCGAATTATGTTATTCTCTCGTAGCTGACAATGAGACTGTTATATTGCTATCTAAAAATTTGACGCTAACTGTAGTTATTGCCTGTTGCATGACAGGCTTTTCCACGCTTATTGCAGCAGTATCTGACTGTTTCATGTTAGCCTCTGTAAATATTCTACTTTTCTACAGAATAACTAGGAGGCTCTATTCACAACTCATACAGATTACCCTTTCTCTTTGGAGATTATTTAGAGGAAAAAAGAATAACCCTCTCAGAAAACGATTAGACAATTGTGACGACTATAGCAATGAGCAGCTCGTGCTTGGTACAATACTTTTCACAATTTGCATTTTTCTATATTTTACTGTTGCGGTGTATTATTTTACCTTTGCATTTCTATTTTATATGTTGGTAATTATCAGAAAGACACTTTTTTCAGTCATAGTATTCATTCACAACTTCCCAATTGCCACACTGCTCAATATCAATGGACGAAGAAACAGAGGAGTGTACTATCAACACTTATTCACTGATCCCACCACAAACACGAGCTATTTGAAAATGACAAGCACGACCATGTCACTTTCAGAAACCATGCAACCTCTAAAGCAACAATTATTGACACAGGTCATTAATGCAAACACTTGTCCAGCACACCAAGATCATCTCGAAGAAACAAGTTCCAACGTTATTGTAAGGTTATTATTTGGTTATCCATTGTTTTACCACTAGATATTTTCAAAATTAAGATGTCACATGATGTTGAAGTAGTACATGTATTATCTAAAACGGAAACAAACTCGCTTGTAAATTTTGGCTCGAGTTAAACCACAGTGCGTCACTTTTTCATAAGGAACTGAAACGTTGTAATTCATTCCCAAAAATTAAAGAATTTCTACACAAAAATTTGCGATAATTTATTGGCAGGCCTCCACCGACTTTCAATTAAATCAGCATGGCAAGAACCAAGCAAACTGCAAGAAAATCCACAGGTGGACCTGCTCCGTACGGTAGACATTATCGTGGAGTATGGAATGTTACGCCACAGCATCATGTTCCTCGATCCAAAAAAGCGAAACAAGAAGTCAAATCTCTTCATCATGATGATGCAGAGAAACCAAAAGACATTTTGAAGACTCAGATGGAAAAGGCTATTGCCATAGCTACTCAAAATCTTGATCAGAATGGTGGTACCACTCATCACCAGGACATGATGATTCCTATTGAACAACAATATGAACATGTTTCCGATTTGACTAAATTATGGATTGTTCAAGATCAGAGAAGACTTTGGAAGAGTAGTAGCAGCTCATCATCATCACCATCGATGGATGATGATTTGGAAAACCTTTCCATCTTGTTACGAGATTTACCTTCTGATCTCAAGTATGACATTATTGATTTCATTCCGACCTATTCAAAGAGAATGGCTCTCATGGAACAGACTTTAACGAGAAATCTAAAAGTGGTTGAAATCAATGATCCCCGAACCGTGTTTTATCATGAATTCAATCCTTTAGACCCAGCTGAAATTGAAAAGAAGAGAGCTCATGGATGCATGTATGAGCATGACACCATTTTCTTCGCCAACCACAAGAAGAGGCTGATCAACAAAGAGTATGCCATTAGAATGAAACATTGTCTATTGAAACACACAACAACTCTTGACATGTCCACGGCTGTAGAGAAAAAGTCTTTCATATTCTTCCTTACTTTTATTAGAGCTCAGAGATTGTATATGGAGGGTCGTACTGATATGAATGATGTTTTAATGTATCAAGACAAAGCTGAAATTGAGGCCTTATTTTTGAAACCAAGACCTGTCAAAGATCCAAACAATGAAAACGATATGCAGGCATCTGACCATGAAGACTTCTTCTCAAAACCAATTTCCGCCAAAGTACCCAACCGTTTTAAAGTGAAAGACAGTTACCATGACGATGAAAACTTTGAAAGTGCCACGATGGATGAGGAGACTAAAAAGGAGGAGGAGACTGATGACAATACCAGTCTTGTGTTGAATAGCGTTCAAAGTATTTGGGGAACACTATCGAATCACCAACCTACTTGTGAAATTTCAGATGCTGATATTCAAATGACCATCAAACAAGTTATCAAGGACCAGGACCAAGACCTTTCTTCTTTCAGAAGAGGAGAAACTAAAAAATCGGAAAAGAAAGCGTTTGCATGGAAAACAGAGGATGATACTGAACTCTCCCTAAAGCCTACACATCTCATTTACGAGGATGTCATTCCATTTGAGATGTTGGCTACGTGCAGTCTTTTCAATCTACACACCACATCACCCAAGTACACTGACAATGTTGAGGAAGTATTGGAATTCGTCGGTCACAACACCACGCTGCAACACCTTTATTTAGGACAAGGAAGTGATTTAGACACAAAAATTGTCCTTTCATGTTGCAAGGGATTACGTAAACTTAGCCTTGTGGGTTGGTCTTCTTTGTACATACCCTTCTTTAAACACGCAAAAGATACCATTATCGAAACACCAACACTACCCAACCTTTCCATCATCGATTTATGTGGCTGCTACAAAGAATGTCTTTCCACTGGATCAACCTCCTTTTTGGACCAGTTACTTGAGAAAAATCCAACCATAGACACAATTTGTTTCAGTTTAATGCAATTGGAAGAGCCAGAACTCGAAGACTATGACATATTTACCAAGTATAAGAATGTATTTTTTGGAGAAAGAAGAATTGAATCGAGAGGAAATTCCCAAAATATTGCACTCTTTATTAACAATGCTTTGACTTATACGACAGACACATTTGTAGAGATTATATCAAGTGTTAGAGCATTCAGGCAAGATTTTAGCGCTCTTTTCCCCAGATGGATGGGAAATTATTACTATCATGAGAACGACGACCAAGGAATTGATTACCTTCTCAAAGTTAAGGATGCTGTGGATGTATTATTTAGAGATTATCTCTTTCCTTTAGAATGTATCACTCAAAAGTCGTTTTTAAAGCCCGAATTATTTGAATACGCTGTATATTTGGCTAATACTTATCAGAACGGGCGATTCTTTCCTAGTCCAATCGCAGGAACATATACTTGGTTTAGTGTTGACACAGAGTTCAGTAGGGCTGTCATTGCTGGGTTGAAAGTCGAGAACAGCATGGAGGAATTAGCGTTTGGCATGACCAAGGATTACTTGGAAGACATTCTCACCTTTTTACAAGCAAAATATTCCTCTGGAAAGAGTTTTGACTCGATTTTGAGATATTTATTTATTTATTCTCTTAGAATTAAGGCTGACATTGACTTATTCTCCAAGATCTTGAGATTTATCAAGAAAAAAGCAGACAAACTTGACACCAATCTCATATTCTCTCCTGTGAAGTGTGTTATTTCTCCACATCACTTGAAAACAGTCAAAGAAGAAATTGATCCCTCCTTTTCGTACATTTCTATTCCAAGCGCTGCTTTTGTATTTCAAACAACCTTCCAATGCTCGGCTCTTTTCCTAGATGTCGTACCAAATCATGATTTATTGTATCGCAATGAGCTCGGTGATACATTTTTACATATTCCTCTGGTCTTTAAAGAACAGCTTGCTGTTGAACTTGCACTTCAAAAAGAGCCAAAATTGGCTCATGTTTTGAATAATGAGTCAAGATCTATCCTCCACATTTTAGCACGAACAGTTACAAATATTCCAATTATTCACCGATTGGTGTCACACTACAAAGTTGATACCAACCTCAAAGATATTTATGGTATGACTCCATTTGATGACTTGAGCGAAGTTGAAATTGAGGTTGTAGGTGATTCTTTCAGTCTCAATCCAAAATCTGGAGCAACAGGCCAGTGGGATTATTATTAATAATGATGCATGAAATCCAAAAATAATAATAATTTAATTGAAATGAAACGTTTTGTTCTTTGAAGTCTGTATTCTGCCAGTAATTACACCGAGCGTAATTAGTTTGTAAAATCTCAAGATAATTGAAGTGTACGCTTTAATCCTCTTCTTGTTCAGCACTTGTATCGAAAGGTGCTGAAGAATATTGTTGTGAAAATAAATCTGGGTTTTGTTTATACTCTTTAGCTCTCTCATCCATAATGCTCACATGTTTAGAATATATTTGATTGATCAATGATTGCCTTTGTACAACTCCTAAATTCTTAACACCCTTTTCATACAATCGTTTAATCTTTTCGGAATCTTGTACAGATTTAAATTTTCTAAAATCTTCTCGCGTACATCTCAACACATATTCTCTATAGTTGTAATCCGAAAAAGCTTTTCCTCCTTTCAATAGTCCACGATACAATGCAAGAATTTGTTTCCGAGTGGGTTGCGAAGCAACAGCAGCAGTAGCGGAAGAAAGTGTCGAAGAAGACATTTTTTTTGATGGTGGATTCTCCATTCCATGCGCAGTCCATGAACGGAAATGGATTTCAAAAGATTCCACATGATCCTCCAAACTGTAGAGGACAACATCTGGTGAACCAGAAACAAGAGCGTGTTACTAATTACTCGTCGACTGTAGTCTTTGAGAATTCTCAAAGCTTGGGTATTTGGATACCTTACATAAAAACACAAATGTCTCATAACCCACCTCCTGCTCTTTCCATTCTCATTCCAAATACAAATCTTGCTAAAAGTTGCACAACGAACAGTCAGCTGAAACACTCCAACCAAGAAAAATGTCACATTCTTCTCGAAATTCCACCCTAATCTTTAGTGCAATTCTTCTCACATTCGGATGCCTCTTTCATTTGATTCATATAATCGCAGGAATTGCTTTGCAACATCAATTCGTCCTTCACTATTGGCATACGAAAGCATTCACAGCTCTCATGATACTTTCCATTGGTTCCATGTCACTCATTCTAGTGATTTGCTTTCTCACCACATTGCCACAACTTTCTCAACTTGCCATCATGAAAAAGCTCAAACGTTGGTTTTCAAAATGTGGTTGTTTCGTATCGGATAACACTCAAATGATCCTTCTCTTTGTGTCTCTTATTGTTTCTGTGTTATTTGGAGGGGCTCCACTGATTGGAGAATGTGTTCTTTTAGGAAAGTTGTTGAACGACCTTTTTGTTTCGGAATCTTTGGTAGTATTCATGATTGTGTTGTGTTGTTGTCAATGTTTGTTAGTTTTTTTAATCCCAATCGATGTGGGTTTGAAAATGAAGGAACTCTTTGAAAAACCGGATAGTGAACATGTGGAAAACAATGCTCACTATGAAGAAACATCGAATTTTAACACAACAGACTCACAAACCTTCACTGAGGTCCCTGATTCGATGAATGTTTGATCTCAATAACAAACAGTCATCACTGTTGAGCTCTGTCGACTGCATGCAGAATAAATAAGGAAACTAACTTTCGGTATTTGATTAGTAATTTTCCAATTGTCTCACAACAACTGAAAGCTTTAGAGCATCAACAAAAAATGTCCTTCTCCACTTCCACGCCTCTCGTTGTAGACACCAATTGGTGTCTTTTTCCTCACTGGTGCCATTCAATAATTTCCTTCACCTTCTACTCATCATTGTTTGGAATTGCATTTTACACGAGAGATTGTTTTTCAAGTGGAGTGGCAGTATCATGATGTGTGTTTCATAGAGTTTCATGTGTGTGGTCCTTTATTGTGGGTTCCAATTAATGCTCTTCCAAATGAAACGTCCATCCTGCATGAAAAGAAATGAACAGCAGAGAAAGAATTGGTCATGTATTTCACAAGTTCATTGATGAATGGAGTGGTTAAAATTGTTGAATGTTTGTTTCATTTTCGAGCATTGATTTGGAAATCTGTCCATGAAAATGTCATGGAATTGTTAATAGGTATCATAGTGTTATCTGTTGTCGTAGTGATTTGGTCATTGTTATGTGGTTTTCAAGCCAAATTTCAATTATATTTGTTTCATAACAAAGACAACAACCACCCTCGAAAACGAATGTGTCCATAAATGTTGATATGGATACTTGAGAGGATGCTTGTATGTTTGGAAACATGTTCAGTCACTAGTTGTTGGTTGGATCTGTTGCCAATTTTCAACAATGACAAGCTAGAACTTAAAAACAAATGAAAGGCCAACAATGAATTACTTCTGGACATGCCTTGAATCAAGTTGTTGAGGCGCTTGTGCAACAACTCTGTTCAACATGGTCATCATCACCAACAATGTGTAACACATTCGGATGATGGTGGTTTAATAAAATTCTCAATCGTCATCGTCATCGAATGTAAAAAGACCATATTTTAGAACACTTCTATACACCATTCTGATGTGATCAGTTGAATATTTGTCATCATCATCAAGGTCTTGATTTTTTCTCTTTCCATTCTCTGCTTTTCAGCTTCTGCAAGCTTTTTCCTTTTTTCAGCTTCTTCAGGTCCTGCTTCAAATTCAGCTAAGCTCATTGATACATAATCCATATCTTTGACATCACCGTTATCCTTCAAATGTCTATATAACTCTGGTTTAGTTCTAGAAATGAGTTCAATAACTTTGCTTTTGCAAGGATAAATATTCTCAATGTTATGGTCTTCGCTTTTATCACATTCAATAATAGAGAATACAACAAATGAACTATCATCTTGAAATGTTGCTCTGTCTAATATTCTCATTTTCCTTGCATACATATTTTGTTCTTTCTACATCAATCTCATAACATTCTTCTCTCATTAATTCAATGACACCTGTGATTTTCAAGGCTTCGTCTACGCTCATAATCTTTTCCTGGTATTTAATACCACTCTCTAAATGACTTGTTTGTTTAAAAGAAACAAAAGTTTCTCTTTTATGAGAGATTGATTGCACAATCTTGAACCAAATATTTCCTTTCATGATATCATTTTCTTTTGTATCGTAAAATCGTTCAACAAAGACGCGGCTTTCCTTTTCTATAAACATTGGCTTTAACAACCGTTCAAAGTCATTTAAAGACATGACAAAATTGTATTTCGAAGTGGTCTTTGAAGTCTTATTGATTGAGCTGCGCGGAGAGTCAAGTAAACCAGCGGGGAATCGGTATTGTTGGCAGATAGAAGGGCAATCATCAAAAAAATGTTTACCAATACTCAGCTTAACGGCCATTTTTTTTTAAATTAAGGACCTTAGAATTTGTTGTGGTTTTTGGTGTTCGGAAATTCGAACATCCGTTGATGATTGGGAGAAAATAAATTCGGATGATGTCATTTATCCACTCACGTGAATTATTCGAATGCATGCAAGTCACCAATCGTAATCAAATTTCGGATTATTTAACGTTGAGGTATTCCCAACCAAAACATCAAGCGTATTACATAATATCGAAGTGATAAGTAGTTCTAAGATTGATGGTTCAAACATTCCGTGTTGGACGCAACAACATTGTTATCGACATTGCCGCAATTCAATTGTTATATAGGTGGCCATCTTTTGCGTGTGTTTCAAGCAACAAATTACTGGATTAAAAAAACTTTGGGATTGTTGCTGGAGTTGCTGCAATAAAGCAGTATTTTAGCAATCATCCCCATCCTATCTTCAGCCCCACTGTGGTTGTGCATGACACTAAATGCCTCGTCCCTTACGTCAAAATGTTTTAAATTGTCTAAACATGAGGAGGAAGCTATAACTTTCTTCACCTCCTGCGTCGATGTTGCCAATATAGTTTCTCTGGCCTTAATATTGGCAACCTTATTAAAACTCCAATATTGTGTTTGTTGAGAGTCTCGATCCGAATCCAACAGTTGAATGAGATTCCAATGGGTTGTTATTATAATTATATATTGCTCAAAGAACCTCAGTTGATGAGAATGATAGTTCCAGTGTGAGTGGTAGTCTCATTTCCTTAAGTTACTTCTCAAACCCAATGAGTGCTCTTTGTTGTCAATGTGAATGACAAGTGAGAAAGAACTGCAATTCCAAGGACTTGAAAATAAATTTTCAAAGAGTTGCCCTTGTAAATGATGACAGAACGGTCGTGTTGAGAAAGGCAAAGACAATTCCATACTTCAAAACCACTCTCTAAATTTGTAAACACTCACAGCGTTTGTAACAAGGAACCATACTGGAATTGACCAAAAAAAAATCTCACAATTCCAACTCGATTCCAAAACGCACGATTAGGTGAGTTGCATTCAGGCAATAAACACCCCAAATACCTTCTTGCTAACAACAATGATTTATAAGACTTCAAAAAAAAAAACATGACAAGCTCTTCTTATCCATCCACAACCTCTACAACAACATTCTCTTCGTTTTGGCATTTAGTACATGGATGTACCTTTGTATTGGCCTTACTAGAGTCCTTGTTTCACATTGCTGCTGTGGTCATGATGGGTATTTTACAAGATTCCATTCAATTTGGAGCGTATGAATATTTCATTTCCATGATAGTGACAAGTATCTTGTTATTGGCACAAGCAGCCTTGTGTTTTCAAACCATGTTCGGCCTCTTGATGAAATTTTATCAAATTTTGCATGTAGCACCAAATGTCAAATTTTCTGACTCGACCAAATTTGGATTATTGTCTTCCTACGTTTCCGTTTCTGGAATTTCTTTGGGTCTTTGTTTGTATCAAACATTTCTCTTTGGAATGTTTGAAAGAATCACTCCCGTCGATGTGTACATTTATCAATGTGGATTGGCAGCCTCTGTGGTTGGATGTGTGAGTTCCTTGTTGTGTGTGATTGATTCATCGGTTCGATTGAAATTATTCTTTAAGGAAACGTTTGAATCGAGAGGAGGGAATGAGTTGGTGAGTTTAATGACAGAACCAAACCATTGAATTTAACACATAAATATTATTTAATATTTAAATAGTTCCTTTTAAAGTAACCACTCCTAAAAGTGATGAGTTCAATTCTGAACACCATACGGGTATTTGCATAACATCTCTGGCTTTGTCCCAAGCTAAAACCATCATTTCAAACCTCACAAAAAAACAATCTCCATTCATAACCTCAGCCATGCAAATAGTATCTCTCTGGTGGACATCTTTATCATCAGGGTTTAACGAAGTTCAGAAACAATCACACATTTCATCCATGTCGGAGTTGCAGTTTTTCTTCAACAACAACCACCAGAACTCACAGGTTCAATCGATATACTTTAATATCACTCAAGATGGTCTTGTAAATATTACAAATTTGAATTATGTCACTCCTGTCCTCAATTCAGCATTATCGATTGCAAACTCTGTATTGTTTTTAGTGGCTTTTGCTGTGTATTATATGTGCTTGATGGCGTTGTTGTTCAAGATATTCCAACAAGATAAAGAGATGGGAATTGTGACGAGTTGTTGTGGTTGTTTGGGTCATGGTGGTCATAGTGAAGGAGTAACGACGATGGCAAGTGACAGGACGCTAAAAACTGCCAAAAATTCTCAGCAAAAGCCGATGAAGAAAAATCCCAAGATTCTCATCCTATTAGCAGTTATCTTTGTTGCCATTCAGTCCATGAATTTGCTCGTTCGATTAGTAATGGATGTATTGTTTATCTTCGCTCGCCAGACCATTGAAAATGGGCAAATGATTACTTGGAGTTTGTTGTCATGCTTGCATGTACTTATTGGCATATCTACCTTGTTCATGTTTTCAAATTTCATGTTCTTGTTTGTAATTTTATATCACGTACAAATGATTTTGTAGGTATTGTACTTTTATTCATAGGTCACCTTAATATGACTTTTTGACATTTAACAAAAAACATTTTCATGGATTTAACTAGTTGGAAGACAGCAAGATTAATGAGAGCCATTACTCAAAAGACCTTCAAAGTAATATGTTGGTTGACCAATATCTCTATCGTAGTGTTTCTAATCATTGGATGGACCGTCGTGCTTCTAGTGTCAATTTTTTTGACCTTGGGTCGTTTCGAAATTGTGGACAAGACCACCAATACCATTGTTAATATTTGTTGTCTCCTCATTGTCACCATTCTCTTCGTCATTGATACCATTTCTGTGACTACTTCAGGAATTTTAGTGATGCGTACCATTCGACGAACGGCAAGCAAAGTCAAAGACACAGTAGCTCAACAAAAAGCTAAAAATCCGTTTGTCATTACCATTGCCTTAATGATTGGTCTTATTGCTTGTGTCTTGTTGCAAATTATTGCAGCGGTCATTGCTTCAGCCATTGTCTTGGTCGATGAACGTTTCAAAGTGTTGTGGCATTTTGTCAATTGTTTAGGAATATTAATTTTCGCCACATTGACCTTATTGTTATTTTACCCAATGTTTGTTCAGACAGACAAAGTCATGAAAGAGTTACATTTGGATGATACCAAATCGAATATTTCGAATTATTCTGGAACTGCGCATGGTGAGATTCCTAACTCTCCAATCAAAACAAGTCCTTATCATAAATCCATGCCTAGATTTTCTGGCTTGGCTGATAATCAACAAGAGGGATTGTCACTTGTCATTTCAACGGAGGTTGCAAGATTGACACCCATGCCACACCCACTATCTGTTCCCACGAGCGTAGTAGTTGTGGAAGATTCGAATACAAAGGCAAGTGTCGAGTCCTCATCATTTGCTGCTCATTCCACAACTGTGACTGCTGTAAGCACTACTGGTACAGATGAAAGAACCTTAATGACATCGTCTCCAATGGAAGCAAGTAGTGGTAACAATCTCTCTTCAGAAATGACTATTATTTAAATTATGAGAAATCAAATTGGTATCAAATTGCGTTTGGAACAGCAGAATCAGCGAATGCACTTGCTTTCGAAGAAAATTTTAGCTCATCTTGAGGTTACCTAATTGGTATTTCTATGTCTTCTTGAATTTCATGAACTATCCTCGAATTCAATTAAATTATATCCTCAAGATATCGTTCTTATCCCTTTACACAAACAATTTGTTTCAATACATGCACAACATCTACCAAATCCTTTTGACTGTCCATAACAGCGTCAATGTCTTTATACGCAGAAGGAATCTCATCCAGTACTCCAGAATCTTTTCGACATTCCACACCTAGAGTTTCCTTCTCCATGTCTTGAACGGTAAACCTTTTTCTGGCGTCCCTTCGTGCTACTGTTCTTCCAGCGCCGTGTGAACAAGAATGATAACTATGTTCATTTCCTTTCCCAATGACTATATAAGATTTCGCTCCCATACTTCCTGGAATGATACCATATTCACCCTTTCTAGCTGAAACAGCTCCTTTTCGAGTAACATAAACTTCTTCTCCAAAGTGAGTTTCTAGTTGAGCATAATTATGGTGACAATTGATGGCCATAAGATCGGCCTTAAAATTGGGATCTGAAACTTGGCCACATTTCCTTAAACTATCAATGACTCGATTCATCATGACTTGCCGATTTCGTTTTGCAAATTCACTGGCCCAATTTAGTGCAAACCAATATTCGTCAAAATAACGAGTTCCTTCTCTCAAATAGGCCAAATTCTTGTCGACATTATGCATTTGAGAACCATGGCTTTTCATCATATCTTCTCGAGCAATATCAATAAATACACGTCCAATGGCATTTCCAACACCTCTTGACCCAGAATGTAACATGATCCAAACTGTATTTGTCTCGTCTAAACAAATCTCTATGAAATGGTTTCCACTTCCTAAAGTACCTAATTGTGTCACATTATTCATTTTCTCAATTTCTTGTAAATATTCCTTTTTAATGTGGCGAGATGAAATTATCTTTGAGTATCCACTCTTTAAATATGCGTTCCAAATGTCTATACTTTCTTGCGGCAATTCAATTTTACATTCTGAATCTTTTTTCTGAGATCCAACGTTTCCAGATAATTCATACGATGTCATTCCCAATGGAATGACCTTTTCAATGCTTTCTCTGATCACCTTCAATGATTTTAAATCACTTGCAGCAAGAGAAGTTTTCACGGCACACATACCACATCCAATATCCACTCCAACAGCAGCAGGAATAATTGCCTTCTTCATGGGAATTACAGTTCCAACCGTAGCTCCTTTTCCTAAATGGACATCTGGCATGACTGCAATTGGTAATGGAGAATGATGAGACCATGTTTTGGAATATTCGGAAAGTACACGTTGAACACTTTCAATTTGAGTCAATGCCTCGGGTTCGATCGGCTCTACATATTTGGTCCAATATTTGGCACCATTGGATGATCTTTCTGTGGTTGAGGTTGTGGTGCCTGATGGGTATGTATAATCATGTTTGACGAATTGTAAGAGCCTTGATGTGAATTGAAAGAGTAATCGTGTGTGGGTAGGTTGAAATTTGAGCATTTTCTTTTGAAATTGATTGGCTGACTGGAATGAAAAGGAACTAGCTTGGGTTTGACCAGGAATTCTGATTGAGTCGTCTTTATAATTTCTGTTACTAATGAGTCACAAAGAGGCTTACTTTTCAGAATGGAAGATGAGAAGTGTTCTTTGGTTCATATACATGTTGTGAATTAATAGTTAGAGAAATTGGTTGAGAGTGTAGAGAATTTCCAAAATTCGATTGAAACCAGGTCTTTGAAGAGGATCTTCATTCCAACATTCTTCCATCAATGAAATGTATCCTTTCATGAATGATAGAAATGGAGGAGATGAATTTTGAAGGAATTTCTCACACCAAATTTTCATTTCCGTTTCATCCTCCATTTGCCAAGTGATATTATTGTTGTTGTTGTCGTTTACAGATGAATTCATAGCAGTATTTTCATCGTGATGATGATGAAAATGATTGTTTGAATTTGATTTGAAAGGAATGATTGGTCTATTGCCTTCTTTCAAAATGAGTGACAAGAAATTGAGTGAATTCACATGTTTTCTTGAATTGTTGGATCCATTCTTGTTCCTGTCATGTTGTTGATTTGAAAAGAAATGAATCTTTTGTGAATCATCATTGTGATAAGGGTTTTCTTCAAACAACAATTCCCACATGATGATTGAGAAACTGAAAACATCTGTTTTTGTGGCATATTCTTGAACATTTTCACTTGAAATATCTGTTCCTAAAAGTAATTCAGGAGCCCTGTGAAGTCAATTCAAATAATTTGTTCATGAAAAGGCAAATATACAAATAATTTGTTCATGCAAAAACGAATATACAAATCAGAAAATATGATGATCACAATCGTACGTACATGTAAAATAGAGTTCCAATATTGGTCGTCAATGAATTACAAGTATTCATTGAAATAGTTTTTGAAAGACCAAAATCTGCAATTTTTGCTGTGTAATCCGATGTCAATAAAATATTTCCTGGTTTCAAATCTCGATGAATGATGGCAGGTTGTAAATTATGTAAATATTTCATTCCAGAGGCAATTCCAATCAATATTTTCATTTTCTCTTTCATGGAAATGATTACATTTTGATTCTTCATTTTCTTGATCAAATTATCCAAACTTCCACCTTGTAAATATTCAACAACCATATATTTCTTGAATTCTGAAATGAAAATTCCATAAAAATTAATGATATTTGGATGTCTCAACTGGATGAGAACTGTAATTTCTTTTTCAAATTCATCCATACTTGAATAGTCATCATCTCGAGATAATGTTTTCACTGCCACTCGATTTGAATTCCATTGAGCCAAATAAACTATTTTCACAAAGTTTTTGAAATTACATAAAATCATTATGGCAACAAACAATAGAGAATAATATCAACATGACGAACAACAAGTCACACTCATACAAAACACACATACCTGATCCAGATGCTCCTTCACCAATTTTTTTTTCAAATTTCAATTCACTTGATGGAATGATCAATGAGAGCGTATTTGAAGAATTATTCTTTGAAAATGATGATAACAATGGCAAGTGTTTCTTCTTGTTGCTGAGTGAGTGAATATCAGAACAAGTTTCAAGTTCATAATAATCACCTTGTTGATGTTGTGAAGAGTCATGGTCATGATGAAGAGAATGGTTTGTTGTCAATATTCCTTCATTTGTTAAATTTCCAAAATCATAATCTAACAATTTCTTTTCAATATCTTTCTCAACTCGTTCTCTTTTGTAAATTTTTCTCAACCAAATCAATAATTTCACAAAATGAAAAGACATGAAAATTCCAAGCACAAAACTCAACAACATGGCTGAAATTCCTCCAAAAATTACAAGTGGAATAATCAATGAAAATCGAATTCCTTGAGTGCATATTCCATTTTCAATGATCCAATCTGTCGGACAATCTCGAATGGTCAATGAAAATTCTGTTGAAACAAGATATGTCTCCACTCTGAATCGTTGAATAGAGTAGTATTTGCTATTTTGCGCAAGTTTTAACATAACTTTGGCCATATTCTCCTTGGGATTCACAGAAAGAAGTACGGGAGTTACTGGACTACCACCTGTCATAGAATGTATGTCTACCGTTTCAAAAACTTCCGATACTGAGTTATGGTATGCGTCTTGAGCGCCATAAAATCGAATGCAAAACTCTTCCCCAAAATATAATGTTAAATTTTTTGTTGCTTCCATGCTTGAGAGTGAATGATCATCAGTCTGTTGACAATCGTCATTAATGCTGACGTTATAATCCGTAATGGGAGAAGCCATGTTGGGTCCATATGACAGAGCCATGTTATTTCTAAATGCTTTTCCTAGAGTGGGGCGAGTAAAAGAGTAACGTGAAGTGAAAGGAATTGCAAAAATTGCGCCGCCTGCATAGTGAGCTAAATTGTGATCAAACATGCTATCGTATAAATCAGGTGTACTTTCACATGCAATTGCTCCTCCAAACAGAGCTACATTGTGCAAAAAATTGCTGTAGTGTACGATTGTGTTGGATCTTGTGGCTGCGAGAGCACCACCAATCCCATCTTGTAAACTTCCTGTCACATTTCTAGTGACTACTTGATTATATAAAAGATCGCAATAATAAATATCACATCTATGAGAATTCTCGATTGCAATTGCTCCTCCACTAAGTTGTGCTTGATTGTTCATTAAAGTGGAATCCTTCAACAAAAAATCCAAGTTATAAAGATACAAAGCCCCACCTCTACCATTCATGGCTAAATTATTCCTGAAAATAGAACTAGTAATTTTTGTCTCTGTGAACATGGAAACTAGGGCGCCTCCATTCTCAATCGATGTGTTGTTTTCAAAGATACATTTTTCAATTTCCAAACTGCCATAGGATGCATATATGGCTCCTGTCTGCAGTGCTCTATTATTTGAAAATGTACTATTGAAGATGAATATTTTGGTGCAATCTTCGAAAGCGACCACCGCGTGTGTGGAACTGCCACACTTATTATTGGAAATTTCAGTCTCGTTCATGAATAATCGTCCAATAAATTGAAACCTTAGAGTTCCAATATTGTGAACATTGTTGATAAATCGTGTTCTAGAAATGAATAATTTTAACAATAGAGAAAATGTAAAAATGCTCTTTCCAAGTCCTAAATTTGTTGATGGAGATCGAGCTTGGCTCAAATCAACATTACAATCCACAATTTCCACTTGCATTGCTTTTTCCATACTCACAGCCATGAGTAAGGATGATTGGCTGATGAATATAGTCTTAGCATTAAATACTCGAAGCGGAGATTTCAATGTAATTCCAACAATCTTCGATTTAACAATATTAAGTTGATTACTATCGATTAATTGAACATCATCAATTTGTAAAATGTTGGTGTCATCGAATGAGATATTCGTGCATTGTAAACAACCCAGTCTACCTCTCTCAATGGTACTATTTCTAATAATGACCTGCTCTGCCTCCTTCATTTGAACCAAAACATCCGTGAGATGAGAGTCTACAATTTTAAATGCTCGTGCTTGCTCAGATGATAGGGAATAAATAGCAGCTCCATTTACGATACAGTTATGTATCTCGGAAAGAAATAAATGTCGAGATCGAATATGTATATTGGAATAGGTTACTTTTTTTAAGAACGGAATGTGTACAGTAATTCCCGAATCACACTTCAGTAATGTCTTTCTCGGTGGGTCAACTCCATAAAAATGTACTTCTACATTAAAAGGAATAGCTATGGACCTGGAAATACATGAAATCGCAGAATAATCTTTCAGAAGCCACACATTAAATTTGAAATAATATTCTCCATCAAAATTTGGAGATGCAATCATGTCATAGATGGTTTGATTGATGGTTAGGATTGTGTTTTTCAGGTCCGAGCATGGTTGTGATGAATTTTGACCACAAGGAAATCCCGAATTGAAGTCGTCTGCTGGTTGTGAGAGATAAAGATCTTGTACTGGAGAATCGCTCATCACAAAGGAAGATAACGTTGATAATATTATCATTGTGATGAAGATGATGACAAGATGGAGTCTGCATTCAACTCGAGTTGCTTGTTGCGGCAGAGAAGTCATCTGTAGGCCCTCGCTCATTTTGTTTTGTTGAAAGCTGACGTCTGAAATTTGGGGGAACGTTGATTTGGCACTACTTACAATGCAATAATGTACAGTGTTTATTCCTCATAAAATTCCTCGGGAGTGGTGATGAATTTTCGGGTTTCTTCAATTTCTTCTTTAACTCGTTCCACAAAGGTCCAAATTTCTGAAATTCGAGCTCTGTTTCTTTCATGTTCGTCTCTCTTGGTCTTTTCAACAGTGTACAACATTCTGTCTTTTTCGTTTTGAATCAATTTAAGCTCCTTTTGCCCAATAATTTCTTTGTGTGCTTCTTTTGAACGTTGAACCATGGTGAAGAGTTGATCCTTGTCCTCTAAAATCTGTTAGCAATAGGTGACACAAGATTAGAATTACAAGCTTTAAAACCACTTACATCCTTGACTTTTTCGTTGGGTTCCTCAGAAATGCTATTCACTTGATCCATTAATCGATCCTTCAACTCGATACTGTATTTTTCTTCCATCTTTTTCAGCTTTTTGAAAAAGTTCTGGATTTTGCTGGTGCAATCCATTTCCTTGTAGTTGGGAATGAACTCGCTAATGACTTCCCAAAATGCTTCTGACTGGTTCACCTCTATTTCAATGAGTTTCTCTGCTAATATTTCTAGCTCTCGCTCAAGTAAGTCAAGTTGATGTAAATCTTCTTCTTCGCTTTCTGCCGTCATCTCCTTTACAGCATTTATAATTTCTTTCTTTTGTTTCTCAAATTCCTTGATCATTGCTGTTGAAATATTGTTAGTTTCATATTGGCTCTGTTGAAGCGTTGAGTTGAGCTCCTCCAGTTCATTTTCCTTATTTCTCATGATTGTAAGCATTTCCATTTTAAACGCGTCCTTTCTGTCTGTGAATTTAGTTCTATATTTTTCAATGATATCAGAAGTACAATAGAGAAAAATCTTGATGGTTTCATCGGCTTCACATTCAAACATTTCGTTAAACAAGTCATCTATTCCAGTTAAATTGGCTTTCTAAACTACAGTAATCTTTTGGGAAATTCGTGTCATACTTACCTCTAGCATTTGCATCTCAAGCAACTTCTTTTCGTCTTGTTCTTGATTTTTTTCGAACTGCTCTTCGTTGTCACTCACTTTCAACAGCTCGTTATGGAATCTCTCTTTAGCTGTTTGTACCTCTTCCTCCTCAATTTGTCGGTAATCTAAGAATTTCAAGCTTCGTAAAAACGCAAGTACCATGTTTCTGAAATCTCTTTCTTCACAAACTGGATTATCGTAGAGCGTGACCATTCCAAGACGTGGAAACATTCTTAAATATTGTATCTTTTCATGGTGGTGTGGATGTTGTTTTAGTAATTATAAATGTGTATTTACTTACACTTGATTTATCCTTAATCTTGTTCTTTGCGATCGATAAGCTTTCTAGTGCCATCAAGTCCTCCATTCCCTCAATTTTCTCGATTTCATTGCTAAATAACTTCAAATATTTTAAATTACGGAGTCCTTTTAACCCTTCAATTTTTGTGATCTTATTAAATGAAAGATCTAAATATTCAAGTAAAACAAGATGTGAGAGATTTTCAATTTGGCTAACATTATTGTTGTCAAGTTGCAGCTTTTTCAACTTGTCAAACCCTTCAAGATTTGAAATCCGAAATATATCTGAATGGCAAAATTATTTCGTGTGATGGTGAAATACATCATTTTAATTTTAATATATTCGCTTGGACTGAGAAACGTACTTTTAAATGAAAAGCTCAAGTGTTCAATTTCGTTGAAATCCATATTTTCACGTTTGATCTTCATAGCTCGGGTTGTCTTACTCTCTTGATCCACTCCATCTTCTTGTTCAATTTGTTTGAGTTGGATACACTCTCGGATCAATTGGTCATTGATGACCGTGTACTTGGAATGAAATTCGTTGAGTTCTTCTGCAGCGAGAGAAGCCATTTTTTTACGATTTTTGTTTGTCAAACTTGTCTGGCGGGAATCGGTTTTTCATTCAAACTGAACGCTTTATTTTTCTGCTACAGGCACTGATCCTCCTCCGATTAACCTGCAGAGAACGTCCTTGGTATACTTGAGCCTCTTGGAGATTTCCTGTGATGGATTTTTGATCACCTTATTCAATGCATAACATGTTCTTACACCATCGGATGTCGTAAAGGCCACATTGTTGGCCTCTCCACAAAGAATAATTTCGGTTTGATCAAAGAAACAGACCTGAACTGCCTTATTACTCAATCGGAAAATGATTGCATGTTGTGTTCTGAGCCATCGCTTAACAAAGATAGGTTCTGTTGCTCTTGTGAAAGGCAAGGCAGGTTCTTTTGGAATGTAGCTCGACTTGCCACTGTCTGAGTTGAGGACAATGGTGGCAGTTCAGATTCATTCTGTTTCAACTTTTCTAAATAACTAGTAAAATACTTGATGAGAGTAATCTTCTTTTGCAATGCTTGTGGAAAGTTGGTGATAGAAAACGTGGTCTTTTCCTCGTATACGGTTTCTCCACTGATTTTTCTCTCATAATAATTTACCTCTTCGGTAGCTGGTGTGAAAAGAATTTTGGTTGAGTCGTTGAATAAAGCACCAACGCTTCCAGTATTAAGCATGTAAGCAAGTCCGTATTTTGAAGAGAAATCGGCCCAATAAGCAATCCATACCGATGGTAACTCTAAAGCAACAGGGCTAGATAAGTCGTCCTCAGCTGTTGCATCACCAAGAATTGGATCCAAGGCGAGACCTGTTGGAGAAAATCCAGAAGAAGGAGAAATTGGAGCGTTGGATGGAGTTCTCGATTTCTTCACGGGTGGATCAAGAGCAGCCTCTGTATTGGTTGTTGGAGTTCTAGGCTTGCTCTTATTCTCGTCTTCGCTTGGCGATCTTCTCTTTGGTGTTGGCAAACGGGAGGTTTGACTTGTAGTTTGTACAGGTTGACGATATTCAGGGATGGCAAATGCTGGCTGAGTTGGTTGAGCAGAGTTGGATCTATCACTCGTTGGATATCTTGTTGTTGAAGAAGGTACTTCTGAAGCATGAGTTGTGGTTGTTGGCTTTGTCAAAGTATGATGAGAATTGAGGTGAAGATGTGAGGAAGGTGGTTTCGAAAAGGTGGAGGTGGGTTGAGAAGGAAGAGGATTAACATTTTCATTGTTGACAGCAACCGTGGCTAAAGGAGGTCTAAAGCTGGAACCAAGGGGTAAGGCATGTTGTTGCTTTGAAACCCCAGTTGTGGTCATGTGGTCACTAGTTGAAGGTCTTTGGTGGAGCATGTTGTCTATTTGTCTGAAAGGAACACGCTCTTGTTGCCTTAACTTTTGCAACTGTTGTTGAAGTTCAGGGTTCTTTGAACTGTAAGCTGGAATGGTGTTGTCTTCCAAGTCTCCAATTTTAAGGGCATGAGACCTAGCATATTCTACTAGAGATGGAGGGCACTGATCAACTGATACGCCCACAAAGAATGGATCCAGAAGGATTTCTTTCACGGTTGGTCTATCGTCTGGGTTGCGTCTCAAAATTTTCCGTACGAGATTTTTGGCCTTGTTACTGATGTCAAGACCCTCTGGAAAGCCATAGTCGTTATGCTTAATCTTTTTGTATGTTTCTTTGACATCTTTTGTTTCAAAAGGAGGCGTTCCAACAAGCATTGTATACAGTATAACACCAATAGACCAAATATCCACTTCATAACTGTGTCCCTTATTCATAAGAACCTCAGGAGCAATATAGTTTGGGGTACCACAAATTGTCTTCTTTCTTTCTCCATCATATTCTACAGTTGTTGCAAGTCCAAAATCTCCAATCTTGATTTCCATCTTGTCGGTAAGAAACAAGTTTCCCAGTTTCAAATCTCGATGGATTACTTGATGTTCGCCCATATACAAACATGCCATCAATAATTGGTGAAGAAAAAATCTTGCCTCTTGCTCAGTTAATCGTTGTCTTTGTTTCATAAGCTCCATCATAGAACCACAGTTACATAGTTCGAGAAGAATATATACATTTGTTTCATCTTCAAAGTACCTTACAAATTTGACGATATGGCGATGAGAAAGAGAGTTATGTATCTTAATTTCAGAATAAAGCTTTTGTTTGACGTTTTCCTTTTGTAGTGATTGCTTGTCAATAATTTTGGCGGCATATATCTTGTTATTGCCTACTTGTCTGAAAAGAAAGCATTGTGCAAAGCCACCTTTACCTAGAAATCTTTCTTGATAATACTTCCGTATTGAAACTTGTCGTTCTCCTCTCTCATTCTTTTTATAACATCTCTCCTCAACTATAACCTTGTTCATGGCTGATGTAGGTTGCAATTTGTTGTGAGATACTGTTGGAGTAGGATTTCTTCGTGTTGCTGTGATGCCAGCTCCGTTGTTATTATTGTTGTTGGTGTTTGTGTTGAGAGCGGAGAGCGGTCTTTGGATCTTATGAACACCCACAGACAATCCATGATGATGGTGATTGTTTGATGATGATGTACCGCTTCCAGGCACAGGTTGTAATGGACGATACGAAGCAGAGGCGGAAGCTGGGGTTATGGATCGTGTCTGGGAGTACATTTTTTTTTGGCGCTGATGTGTTATAAAATGAGAAATTTGTAACGTTTGTTTGTTGGCGGGAGATGGTTTGTAAGACTCCCGCCAAAAGGTCTAACACTTTCTTAAATCAAGATGTTGCTCATCCTCATTAAAGATAACAAGAAAAGAACCACAATAACGGACGTCCAAAAAGTTAACAAATGCCTTTATACAGCAGTAAAAAAGTACGTATTTTCTAAGGAATTGTTTATTTCTTTATGAACCTTAACAACTACTTTTGGAAAATTGTAATAATTTAGCCACCAGCATCGCCTTTATTTAAATCAACAATTTGAACAAAACAATCGAACAAAATGTTGATCTTGCAAGCAAACACTCAATGAGTGAAAGCCAGGGGAAAGGACCCAACGCACACAAGTTGCTCAAAAACTAATTCTATGAGTAGTAAGGAATCGAAGAAGAATATTTCTTGCTCCATTGATATCTCTGTCAAAAATTGAGCCACATTATGGACAACGAAACACTTCGGATGATCCAACCGTATAAATATGTCCACAACATGAACAAGTTTTGGATGTAACTTGTCATACGCTCAACATAATCTACCAATTCTTTCGGCATCTCCTGAGCCCCATTTGGTTGAATAACCATTCAAATCACCCCCAAAAGAAAACTTTTGATTCAAAGAATGAATAAAAGGTTCGTCAGGAACTGACTGTTGATGATATTGACTTGTTGAGTTTGTAGTAAATTGTGGCTTTTTTTCTTTTATTTTAGTGCTGAGCAGTTTAAAACCTTTTATTATAACAAAACCTCCAAAACAAACAATATAAAGCCGAGTCATCAGGACTGTGTTTTAGTGATGGTTTTTGAAAGAATTTGCTGTATTTGTTCTTTTGGCTTCAACGGCGAAGAACCTCCTGTTGACCACTGCAATCCATAAGCAATAAATCAGAGCTTTGAAGTTCTTCACTAGTTATGAGTAAACTCATTAAGCTCCGTTAAGGAATCTTTTTCGACAGCGCGTTCGGTGAAAGAACTTGGAGAGAAATTGAAGGTTGCTCTTGTTTTCACACTTCCAGCATCCACTCAACCTGCAGGAATTTCCAACTTCACTACCAGCCAGAAACAGCCAAAATTAAGACCCAAAAAATTATTGTCAGTTTGATCACCGTCATCAAAGCAATAATTTTGACTCGAAACATTCGTTCATTCACAACCACAACCACCGAACGAGACTCAATCACATCCGGACGTTATCATCTTGCCTTTGTTGTGTTCGCATGCTGATCAATAGCGATTAACTCTCTCTTCTGATTCTTACGTGTACAGGAACATCGGACTTGTTGTTGTTGTTGATTCAAACATCATCACCGCTTTTATCATTCCAACGAACATCATAGATATTATTAATATTACGCATAATATATATTACAACTTCATTTCGTTCCAATATCATCATCAGCATGTTCTTTGATAGTCCTCCTCGTGATAACACCAACGACAGCAATAACAAACACCCACATCATCAACTCAAAAGTTCAAATACCTTCTTTGATGAAAAATTCTCGAAAGACTTGTTTGCTTCCTTCGCCGATATGAAAACACCAGCCTCTGCCAACATGAGTGATGAGAAATTTGATAATTTCAATGATCCCATGATGATGTGTTCAACTCCAACTCCGACTTCTACGTCATCGTCCAATTCCAATTCTTCGAGTACCTTCTTTAGTGCCATTCTTGATCAACATGAAACGACATTGGATACCAATCCTTTCACGGCAGACCATGATATGAATCCTTTCCACACTTTTTCTAATCATGCACAAGCAAATAACAACACCACGACACAAAATAATTCGAAAACCTCTGATGAGCCTTCATTTGCGACAAGAATGAGAGAAAGCATGGGAAAAAAACAAATCACAGAACAGCTGGAAAAGAAAATCATTCATGATGTGGAAAAACCAAAGAATAAGGTTGAAAAGAAAAAACGACCAAAGAAATTTAAACCAACAAATTTGCTGTTACAGCAAAAAGAAACAGATTCGCAAACGATGAAACCCCCAGCAACTAGACAAGCAGACGATTCTGGAACATACTCACAAGTGAATTATGAAATTACTTCATCAGGAGCTTTCATGATCGATGACGTTCGTATTACAGAGGAAGGTATCACTAATATGCCACCTTCTCTTTGTACACAAACTCAATCACCCTTCAAACCTCAATTACTTCACGTAGCATCTCCTACACGAACTAAAACTCGATTCATGAATGATCCAGGTTCTGAAAATATTATCACCTTCAAGAAAAAGAAACAAGAAAAGAAGGTGGCTCCAGTCTCCTTCCAAAATCTACAATCTCTTAAAAAACTAGGAGAAGGAGCTAGCGGAGTTGTAGACCTTGTTGTTGACACTACTACTGGAAAACAATATGCAAGAAAAATTGTAAAATTAGCAAAAGATATTCAACCAAAATTAATTTTATCAGAAATAACAGCTCTGTATAACTGTGTAGAATGTCCTAATATCCTTAGATTCTACAATGCCTACTTTGTAGATAGTAAGATTCACATGTTATTAGAATATATGGACGGAAATTCTTTAGAGTCTCTGGCAACTGTGAAAGTACCAGAAAATATTTTAGAATTGATTACATGCCAAATTTTGAAAGGTTTATATTTTCTTCATTTCAAGAGAAGAATTGTACATAGAGATTTGGTAAGTGGTTCATCATTTGATTGAAATATTTTTTCTGACACGCCAATTTAGAAACCTGCTAATATTCTTTTTAAATTAAACGGAGAAGTGAAAATAAGTGACATGGGCTTGACAGGAATTTTCTCCAAATCACAAACTCAAAAAACAGCTGCAGGAAAATATGGAATTAGTAACAACCACGTTTTCAATACATGCCAAGGTACAATTGTTTACATGTCACCAGAAAGAATTGAAGAAAAAGAACACTCATACAATAGTGATATTTGGTCATTAGGTATCACTTTGGTTGAACTGGCTCTAGGATATTTTCCTTTCAAAGTGGGCACCTATTTTGATGCTTTAGAGGACATCAAAAATGTAGAAAATCAAAACCCGCTTGCTGGCAAGGGATTTTCTGAAGTATTTCAAGATTTTATCTATCACTGTTTACGAGTGAACCCAGATGAGAGATATTCCAGTAGAGATTTGTTGTGTCATCAATTTGTTTATCGCCATTTGAAAGAGACAGAAGAGGAAATTTGTGCACAAATTGCCAAGTATATTCAACAAGTACAAACCCAGAAATTGAGCATGAGTTCAAACGAAGAAAAGTAAATTATTAGAATTTTACTTTTACCCGTCCTAATAGCTCACAATCTTTTTAATTTTTGCTTCTGAAATATTCCTTCCACACAACACTGCAATGCGAATGGTTTGATCTGTAACATCATTCATGGAATCTTTCTTCACACCTGCCAACGCACAAGCAGCTGCTCCCTCCACCAACAATCTTTCACTCATTAGTAAATATTTCAACATTTCATAAATTTCGTGCTCGCTCAATAACACATAACGATCCACAAGTGCTTGACAAATTTCAAAAGTAAGAGAATTTTCCTCAATACCACCGGCAGTTCCATCACTGATGGTATCAAATTCTTCGACATTGTCCAAAATTTTGTTGGCTAGAGATGAATAATACATGACAGCACTATTCGATGGCTGACATGCAATAATTTTGCATTTTGGATAAACATGTTTCATGTAGGTGGCAATACCTGCAATTAACCCTCCTCCTCCAACGCTCACATACACATAAATATTCGATCCATCCTGCATCATTGGAATTCCATTCACACTTCCTTTCTGTTGCAACATTTCATTCAATTGTTCATAAATTTCCACTCCAATACTTCCCTGTCCAATTACAACATCGACGTCATTATATGGTGAAATATATGGAATATTCCTCTCCCGTGCATATTCTTTTGCATACATTTCTGCTTTTAAACAATTATCTCCGTGTAGAATCACTTGAGCTCCCATGACTTTTTGAATATTTTCAATTTTTGAAGGATCCGCATTCTCGGGAACTACAACTGTTGCTGAGAATATTCCGAGAGCCTTGGCAGCATAGCTTACTGCAAATCCGTGATTACCCGTGGAGGCCGTACAGACTTCCGTCATGTTGTTGGACTCGGATTTTTTAACCTCATGATTTAAATTATTATTTTGAACTGGATGATGATGATGATGATTGGATAAATTTAGGTCCTCCTGATCATCGGAATGAATATCATCACTATAATTATTACCCTCCATGGATTTCAAATATTTCATCAATTTATGTGTCGCTCCTCTCAATTTAAATGATCCCGTATATTGTTCATTTTCACATTTAAGTAAAAGTGTTCCCTTGAAATTGGGAACATGTTTTTGAAAACTCAAACACGAGTCGAGAGAGGTTTTCTTTACAACATGACGAATTCGTCGTTCACCTTCTTGGATGGCTTGAGGTGTTACCATCACTCTGAGCATGTTATGATTTGACATTTTTTTTTGTAAACCCATGATAACAGTCTTTCAATAAACCCATGATAACAGTCTTTCAATAAACCCATCCATGAGTTTTTTTGTAAACCCAAGATAACAGTCTTTGTGCGAATTGAGTTTGGTCAATCAACCAAGAAGTCCAAACAGCGCCCAATTACAAAAAAAAAATGTTCAAACCTGAACCACCACACGGAAACATGATCTCGGATCTACCTGATGAACTTGTCCAACTCATTCTTCATTTCCTACCACATTCCTTTATCATACAACATGCCGTGCTCATTTCCAAACAATTTCTCCAAGCTGCTCTTTCCAATGGTCTGTTTGTTCATATTCGCCAAGGCCGTGAATTACCTCATCGTTTGCTTCAAAAACTTTACAAAGCGACCGTGCTCAATAATGTGATCAGTCTAGAAATTTATCATCAAGATCGGAAAAAAGTTTCGTTCGCTGGATTTTCGAGTCCAAATTTCAAACATTTGACTCGATTGCGTTTGAAGAGTGTATATTTGTCATTGGATCATGTGAAATGCATCATGCAGAGTGGAAATGTTCAAAAATTGAGAGAATTGGATTTGAGTGAAAATTATGAAATTGGTGCAAATAGTATGCAATATATTTATGAGGCAAAATTGGATGAATTGGAGAGCTTGGATTTGAATGGTTGCAGAATTGGAAAGGAAGGTTTGAAATTATTATTGCTCGGAAGAAATAGATCTTTGGAACAAGATCATCAGGTTCTTCATTCTTCTTCGAGTAGTTCATCAAACACAAGTTCGCAATGGTTTTTGAAAAATTTAACACATTTAAATTTGGCGGATAATGAACTATACGACGAAGGTGCAACATTAATTGCTAATAGATGCTTTCCACACTTGACTCATTTGAACCTAGCTCAAAATTATATTTCACATGATGGAGTGGATGCTATTACCATGAACGCTGCTGCAAATTTCAAGAGTTTGCGAAAATTGACGCTAGATCGATATAACGATAACCATGTGTTAAGTCCTATTTCTGTGAATTGGGTAAGATTGAACCGCGTTTTTGATGGAACAGAAAGCAAGCGTGTGGAAACATCTGTTCGATATTTGACGTCTATGCCATGCTTTGAAAATGCTCAAATCATTTCTTTGAATGAAAACTCAATTACTGATGAAGGATTACTCGAAATATTAGATCGCTCTAAAAATGTTACTGACCTCTCATTGGCTAAAAATCTATTCACAATCCAAGGAGCTAAATCTATTGGATCTGCAACGAATCTTAACAAATTGACGCGACTGGATCTTTCCAGAAATTCCATGATGTCCAATGAAGGAATTCGATCGATTTTGAAAAACCCAAGCTTACGAAATTTAACCACTCTTATTCTCAATGAATCACGCAGTTCTCAAGAGGATTACATGCTTCTATTCAATTGTCCGTACCTGTCCAATTTGACACAATTAGATATTTGTTTTGTAACAAGATTCTCCAAAGCAGGAGTTAAGGCTCTCGGTTCTAGTCCTTACTTGACAAAACTCACAGCATTACACATGGATGGAACAATTACCTGTGACGAAGCCTCGTGTTTTGCTCACCATTGTAAATCCTTACAGAATTTGAAACTGTTATCACTTGGATCGTGCTTTTTGGGAGAGCAAGAAGAATCCATTTTGAAAAACTCTCTATACCTTCAAAATGTGACATCTTTGAACACCTTTACTTATATTGAGCGTGATTAAGAAGAAGTTGCAATTTGACTTGGTCTCTTTTTATTTGAGGCTTTTTATTATAATAATTCAGAAATAAGGAAAAGACAATGTTTTGATTGATGGTGAAAATATCATGTAGTATGAATCACATTTTCTCATTCGAATTGAAACGATTGATCAATGGAGATTGAAATTTACAGAAAGGACACTCCATAAGGCAAGTAAAAAGCTTCGTAGTTTTCCACTATCGGCCTATCACATTCGTTGCAAATAACAAGAGAGGTGGATAGAAATCGTCCATCAACAATTTTGATGAAAGTGATGGCTTCCAGTTTGCTTTACAAAGAAACCCGTGGACATGAACCTCTTTCTTGCATCCCACAGTTGCCAAAAAATTCTTCGCGTTTAGGGTAAATCAAGTATCTCGTGGCTTTTTCGAGAAGATATTCCGCTTCCTCAATAAAAGTCAATTGTCATTTGACATTTTCATTATTAAAAAAAATGTCATCACCTCCTGTACGTTTCCTCTCCAATTTTCTCTCAAAATCCCCACAAGGTCTCTCTCCTCTCGCCACAAGTCCTACTCATCGAACGAACAATACCATCACTCCATTTGTATCTTCCTCCAACTCATCCTCTGCACTCACTTCAAGTACTACTTATTCGCATCATCTCATACTTTCAAGTACCCCTCTCTATACATTGAACGACCTTCCCGATGATGTCTATTTTCTCATTGCTTCCTTTCTCATCCCACGAGTTCCACAATTATGTGATTCCAACGTTCGTCTCAATATTGGCATCATGATCAACCTCTCAAGTATTAGTATGCATTGGAGAGAGTGGGCAGAGACCATCACGGTACAACAAAACTTTTGGAGAGATTTTCTCTTTCAAGAAATGATTCGTAGAAATATTCGTTTGAGTTTGGTTCATGCTTCGACGTTTTTCCAAAATTCTTCTTCTGCAAATAATACAACAAGTTCGAATAGTAACAGCAGCAGCAATAGCGGAGTGAAGAGAAAGAATTCAGTGTTGGAGGATGTGATTCGTCGTGAGAAGGAACTCCGATTGGATTACATGATGAATGGTGGATTGAAGAATGGATCGTATTATGAGGCGGAGGTTTTGAATGATGATGTTGGCGATGACGATGATGATGATTATTTTGCAGATGATGTGGGAGGTGTGGTGGGTGGATTTAATGATATGAATTCCTTGTTGCGAAGAGGTAAGTGGTAGTTGTTGTAGTGGTTGTTCTGGAATGAGAGCTCATGATGATGTGTCTGGAATGTGAACAAACACGAACGGATTTTTCTATATTTGGATTGTTAATTGAAAATTGGGCACTTTCTGTTGTAAAAATCTAAAGGTGATTATTTGTCTTACACAAGTGGGGACCTGCAACCACACAAAGAATTCTTCTTAAAATTGCCATGTATCCTGAACAGATCAAACACATGCTTTTCAATATTTCCACGTATTTCCATCATGAAATTAATATTAACGTAAAAAAGGGTTCACATGGAAAGCTTGATCATGACTCGAGAAGAAACGATATGTTTTTATTGTAACCAAATGATGAGAGCACGCAATATGGTTGTTTCTTATTGTAACCGTGGCCAGGTAGTTTCTTATCGGATGGTTTACTGGTGTTTTGTTCGATCTAGATCATTTTCTGTTATGTTAAATATTTCACTGTCCCTTTCTCTCCATTCCATAACAATTCATCTTGTATTACTTTTGTATTATCAATTTTAATATATGAAATCTTGGTTTCAAAAATTGTTGTTGCGCCAAAAAATAAGCTCGCTATCAAATTAAGGCTCATGTTGTTTCATTACGAAAAGGAAGAACACCTTTCACCCGAGAAGGGCATTGGAGAGGTAGTAGCCACAATGATTCAAAAAAGAACAGCAATCATTGAGGAAATTAGGCGCTTGGGTGATATTTCGGAAGATGAACAACTCGCAGTATTTGGTGATGAAACGAAAGTACCGTGGTCATTTTTGGGTTGATCACCTTTCAAACTTCACCTTCCAGTTCCTAAAACAATGCTACAGCATGTCATTGGTTCTCATTCTACCTTGCCGATGACTACCACATCATCACCGTCATCATTTTGGATGACTTTGACTATCGTGTTGGCCACAACACTTCTAATACAACTATTCGTGCAGATTGGAAAAGCTTCCTCTGCAATCTCTAACACTCACAACTCAACAAATGTACAAACATTATTTCTCGATCCGTCGAAACTAATCAATTCATCATCAACCACGCCATGTGGGTTTTCCGAGGACGACCCATGTAACAATTTTCGTGACCTCTTCCAAACCATGAATTACTTCATTCATCAAACGATCTCATCACCCGATTTTAATGGTGAATATTATTTCAAATTTAATATTTTACTTATGCATAATATAGACAATACCAATTGTGTTACGTGGGGAGCGTCGACCGATTATGATTCAGAAATCATCATATCAAGTCCAATAGGCTACAACAGAGAAATGAACTGCCACTTTGGATTAGTATTTGGCCGTACTGTCAAACGAGTTACATTTCAGAATTTGAAAATAGAAGGAGCACGGATATACGGCAGCAGTTTCATAAATAGTACTGTAAAAGTCAAATTAATTAATGGTGTGGGTTCATCTATTGAAATTTTTGATAGCTTGGTGACAACATCAGGCATGTCTTTCGAGGAGATAGAACAATTCTCCATTCGAAATACAAAGTTTATAGATTCTTGGCTTGCATGTGAAAATTGTGAAAGTGTTGAAATAGACAATGTACAAGTCTCAGGAATGAATAACGAAGCAGGAATATCTTTTATTACCAATGCAAATACTATTCAAGTTTTTAACTCAATATTTTCCTCCCCACTTTCTGTAGATACTGTAAATACCATGCATGTTTCAGACTCTATTTTTGAGTTTAGCCCTTTCTTGGATAGAATTGACGACAAGAGGCCTGATAGTAATCTGTGGATTAGTTTGGTTTTTAATTGTACAATTACACGATCGAAAATTCGAAATAGTCATGATTTTCCAGCTGTAAGATTCCAGCTCATTGGAGAACTTCATTTATATGACATAGAAGTCACGAACAACAGCTGTGTGAATTGCATGCAACGTCAGGAAATAATTTTTTTAAAGTCATGCAGTGAGGCAAGAATAACGAATAGCTTATTCACAAACAATGCAGCTGGAAAGACAGGAGTTCTTTCGGCTGAACATAGCAGAGTGTACTTTTCTTCATGTTTATTCGAAAACAACACCTCTCTGCAAGATGGAGCAGCTATTGTCGCTACTTATACGACTGTAAAAATTGAAGACAGCGTTTTTCGAAATAATGTTGCCATGACTGGGAACGGAGGCGCTATTTATTTGCATGACCGTATTATTCAATCAAGCTCAATACCTACGTCATTGCAGATACTCAATACAATTTTATCAAAGAACCATGCTCTCAATGGAAAAGGTGGAGCTGTATACTCGAATGGAGCTACTATCTACATGTTCGACACGCTTTTCTCAAACAATTCTGCATTAATTTCAGGAGGTGCTGTCTCTTCTGACTTGTCACCTCGCTCCATCATATTTTCTTGCCAATTTCTACATAATACAGTGTTGACTTCAATTGCTGCTCAAAATGTGTCAGATGGTTGGGGAGGAGCACTGATTTCCATGAATGTTGTGGAACCTCTCAGTGTGGAACGGAGCGTTTTTGAGAACAATGTTGCTTTGTTTGGTGGAGCCATTTCTTGTGAGGCCTCAACTTCTATTATTGAGACAAAAATCCAAAATAATATTGCACATTTCGGGGGTGGAGGAATTTTTTTAACCTCTCGTGGTGATCTCAGGTTCTTTGAAAGAGAAATAGGGAAGAGCTACAAAAACAATAGCGCTTTGTTATACGGTCACAACGTTGGAAGCCCAGTAACCCAATTTAGTATACAGACTGAAGAATGTGGAAGCTCTAGCGATGCACCTTCCAAGTCAGCTGTTTATTTTGGAGAAGATTTTTGTATTCGATTCTATGGTCTGAAAGATGTGTGGGGAAATTCTGTTCCAATGCTAATGGAGAATGTTAAAGTCCTTTCACTTGAGCAGCAAGTATTACTAGTGACGCCACTTACGAGCAGCGGTAATGTTCTCAGTTCAAAGCTGAAACTTGTGCAAAATAGCAAATTCGATTCCATTCAACGATTCAGAGTGGAGACATATCTTGTTTCAACAGAATTTTCATTGACCATTCGAGATTGTCCAACAGATTGGATCATTGAAAATGGAATATGTACTCAAGGAATTCGATTTTCATTGATTATTCCACTTGTAATTTTTGGAGGAATTTCAGCCATGTTGTTGAGTTTTGTGCTTGGAATTTTCATGTCTTTTCATTTTGTGAAATTATTGATTTGGTTGAGAAAAATTTACAAAAGAGAACGAGTTGAGAAAGATATTGAAAAGAAATTGTTGGATTATGATTTTGGAAATTTAACAAATGAAGGAATATTGACAACAAACCATTCTCTTCATCATGACCATGACTCTTCACAACATCAACAAGGTGATTATTATGAACTTGAAACTTGTTCTGATATTCACTCACTCAGCAACAAGAAGAAGAAACACTTGCCATTGTTATCATCATTTTCAAAGAATAGTTCATCAAATGCACTCTCATTGATCATTCCATCAAGTGAATTGAAATTTGAAAAAAAAATTGGTGAAGGAGCCTCTGGATCAGGTATGTATGTTGTGTGTATATGAGACGTTTTATATCATGTTGAAATCATTTTTTATTGTTTGCCATAATGATTTTATGAAATTTCAACAACTTTGTGACAATAGTTTATTTGGCTCAATGGAATTCAAATCGAGTTGCAGTGAAAACATTATCACGAGATGATGACTATTCAAGTATGGATGAATTTGAAAAAGAAATTACAGTTCTCATCCAGTTGAGACATCCAAATATCATTAATTTTTATGGAATTTTCATTTCAGAATTCAAGAAATATATGGTTGTTGAATATTTACAAGGTGGAAGTTTGGATAATTTGATCAAGAAAATGAAGAATCAAAATGTTATCATTTCAATGAAAGAGAAAATGAAAATATTGATTGGAATTGCCTCTGGAATGAAATATTTACACAATTTACAACCTGCCATCATTCATCGAGATTTGAAACCAGGAAATATTTTATTGACATCGGATTACACAGCAAAAATTGCAGATTTTGGTCTCTCAAAAACTATTTCAATGAATACTTGTAATTCATTGACGACCAACATTGGAACTCTATTTTACATGTATGTACGATTGTGATCATCATATTTTCTGATTTGTATATTCGTTTTTACATGAACAAATTATTTGTATATTTGTTTTTGCATGAACAAATTATTTGAATTGACTTCACAGGGCTCCTGAATTACTTTTAGGAACAGATATTTCAAGTGAAAATGTTCAAGAATATGCCACAAAAACAGATGTTTTCAGTTTCTCAATCATCATGTGGGAATTATTGTTTGAAGAAAATCCTTATCACAATGATGATTCACAAAAGATTCATTTCTTTTCAAATCAACATGACAGGAACAAGAATGGATCCAACAATTCAAGAAAACATGTGAATTCACTCAATTTCTTGTCACTCATTTTGAAAGAAGGCAATAGACCAATCATTCCTTTCAAATCAAATTCAAACAATCATTCTCATCATCATCACGATGAAAATACTGCTATGAATTCATCTGTAAACGACAACAACAACAATAATATCACTTGGCAAATGGAGGATGAAACGGAAATGAAAATTTGGTGTGAGAAATTCCTTCAAAATTCATCTCCTCCATTTTTATCATTCATGAAAGGATACATTTCATTGATGGAAGAATGTTGGAATGAAGATCCTCTTCAAAGACCTGGTTTCAATCGAATTTTGGAAATTCTCTACACTCTCAACAATTTCTCTAACTATTAATTCACACATGTCAAAAGAAATTAAAAGAACATCCTCGTCAAAATTGATTTTGCTTAAATGCCTCTCGACCAAAGCCTTCTCGTTGGAAGAGTTTTTGGATACCAAGAGAAGATTGAACACAACAAGAAGAAGAGACCGATGAACCCAAACCGAGTTCAGAAACGGTCTCGTCATCGTCGAAATACCACTGTCAGAAACAATCTTTAATGATTAGTGTCATGATCAGTTGACAAGTCTAAGACTTAAAGTGTTTATTTTCAACCATACTATCCATAAATCTAGATGCAACACGTGTTCAGTATTTGTGAGCGCACACATCCACTTTCCGATACCAAGCAAAAAAAATGTTGTTGCTCTCGCTCCGGCCCTCACACCCTCACGACCGGGTCAATATTTCGAGTCATACTCTCTATTCAGTAAAGAGGAAGAGGCCTCTGTTTGGATCTTCTATTATTTTAGTCTTGATGATCATGTTCGGAATGATTGGATGGATGTTTGTGGGAGGAGTTTGTATTCATGGATTGCAACTGGAGGATTTGTTGAATATTCGGCCTTCGTCGGCTATTGGTGATTCAAGTCAGATTTTGGAGGATGCTAATTGTACAATTGCAACGATAGAGAAAAATAATAATGAGTTTATCTATCCAGTGTTAAAGGAAATAGTTGTATGTGGTTTTATTTCGGAATTGTTCAGGCCAACGTTGTATTAATTTTTGTATTATTATATTAATTCTTAATAATTATGATAATATTTCTTCCAAATCATGACAGTCAAAACAATTTTTCAAAATATTTAAAGTTGATCTTTCGAGTCCATGTCCATTCTGGGCTATGAAAAAAGTTTGTACTGGAAAGGGAGGATGCTCTGTTTGTGAGTGTGATGAAAATGAGATTCCAATTTCATGGAAAAAAACTGCTCCTGTTGTCACAGACAAGGTCAACAAATTTCTAGGATTAAGCTCTCAAGGAAAAAAAGTTCAGAAATGGCAAGATGATGATTCAAATTGTTGGACAAAGCAAGAAGGTGACAGTTCAAGACTGACATATGTCAATTTATTGAGAAATCCTGAGACTAGAACTGGTTACAGCGGAGAAGAGGCCTCTAGAGTTTGGAAGGCCATTTACAGTGTTAATTGCTTCCATAACAGAAGTGTGAAAGATATGTGCTTTGAGGAACGAGTGTTCTACAAGCTAATTTCAGGTCTCCATGTTTCGATAACTATGAAAATTGCTCGATATTTTACTCTTAAATTTGGCCATGACGAAAATCCAACGTACGATTCATACACACCAAATTATGAAATGTTTGAAAAGGCCATCTTACCGTTTCCTGAAAGAGTGAAGAACTTGTATTTCCTTTACACATTTATGCTGAGAGCCATTGAAAAGGCTGCTCCTTTCCTCAAGTCGTATAATTTTAATACTGGAAATGAATTGAGGACAGAGAAACATCAATACTGGTTAACCATCTATTTAACAACAGCAACTTGTGTGGGAAAACATTTGACGAGAAATTAATGTTTAGAACAGAAGACATGAATAATTTGAGAACGCAAATGAAAGCGTCATTTAGGAATATAAGCTCAATCATGGATTGCGTGGCTTGTGAAAAATGTAAAATGTGGGCTAAATTGGATATTTTAGGATTAGCAACGGCTCTCAAAATTAATCTGGATGGAGACAATGTATTTTCATCACTACAACGAAATGAGATTATTGCACTTGTCAATGCCTTTAAACAACACTCTCAGTCAATTTATAATTTCCATGAAATGTTGGCCTATCACCAACGAAAATCCATTGCACCAAAAATTGCAATTGGTTTTGGTGTCTTGGTTGGGTCTCTTATCTTGGCATTCGTTCTGAAAAATCTCTTCCCCAAGCAGGAAAAAGGAAAGAAAGAATAAATACTTGAAAATTGAAAAGGGTATGGTGTGTTATTTTCGAAATGTTGATTTTGTCACTCGTTCCTTGTACTTATCAATAAGGAATCTGAATGGCTCTACAAATTTGTTCAATCGTTTGTGCGGAATGATAAACTCTTCTAATAAATTGCTCATCTCAGCTCGGGCCATTAACTTTGATTTATAGGTCTCAATTTCTGGACCTGTCAAGAATGTAAAAGAAGTACCTTCTTTTCCAGCTCTAGCAGTTCTACCAATTCTGTGCACGTACGTCTTTAAAGTAAGGGGAGCGTCATAATTGATCACAAAATCGACCTCAATATCAAAACCTCTTCCAATAACATCTGTACAGATCATGACATTAAATGCTCCTTTCTTAAATTGGGAAAGAATGCTTGCTGACTTTTTATCTTTTGGATTATAATATCTGGAAAACCTTGTGTTAAGTTCAGGGGCAATACCAAAAGCATCTTTCGAATTAAATGCTCCCTCGCTAACTGCAGTCTCTAACAACATGTTTAATCGCATTGCAGTTGGAGCGTCATTGCAAAAAACTAGCGTCTTTTTACTTCGACACTTGTTGTCCAGTAGAAGAGCAATTAAATACAGTGGCTTAGTAACAGCTTCATATTTCACAATAAATTGCTAAAATGGATTTTAAATTAGAACCTTGTTATAGTGTGTTTGAAAACTTACAGCTAGGGTATCTGGAATATAATATTTCTTTCCCACCAAAGGATCTTCAAGAGAACTAGAAATGTCTAATGACGCCCGCAATTTGGCAGGTGCAAGATATGTGAAAAATTGAGGTCTAAATAATTTGATGATATCCAGTTTACCAGCATGAGGTGTAATAGTTGCAGAACAACAAATGGTTCTTGCAAAAGAATAAGCTACCGGGAGTGGTATGTTTGGAATAATTTGAGTTTTTGCTCGTCGATTGATTACAGTATCGCTAAAATAGTGAAATTTTCAGGAAAATTATTGTCAATAAAACAGTAATCACATTATGAAATATTGATACATACCAATTATGATAAGCGTCAGAAATTCCTTTTACAAATGAGGAGTGCTCATCGGAAAGTAGTGCATCAACTTCGTCATATACAATGAATCTCAAATTTTCCAAGCTAAATCCTTTCGTCTTTTTGATATGTTCATAAATAAGATAAGGTTGTCCCACAACAATATCTACTTTTGCATCGCCTGTGTTAGGATCGATTAATTCCCCTTGTTCAAGCTCGAATCTATTGTGTGGATTGAGAGTTTTCACTTTCAGAGAGGTACAACCTTCAAATGACCTAAACACTGCAGCAACTTGATTAACTAATTGATGTGTTGGTGTCACAACAATGGCTCTCAGTTTTGTAAACTTGAGTGAGGACAAAACCTCAACAATGGGCAAAACATATGCAAGTGTTTTACCACTACCAGTTGGTGAGCCAATACAAATATCACCAGGAGTTCCACTCTTGCTCATAGCTATTAGAACTGGAACCACTGCTCTCTGGACAGCAAATAATTCATGAATTGGATTTGGTCTATTCTGCAATGCATCAGTAATATTTTTCGAAAGTGATGCCTTATCGACAGAAACTCGAGCATTGCTCATGACCCAAACGTTTCCCAATCTGACATCCTTATACTCGTTAATTTTTTGCTTCTTGGCCCAAATGTTAATGACTGCAGCTGTGGTGGCATCATTTGTTCGTTCCGAAATGTCGAGTTCTTCATCCCCGTGTTCAGATTCTTCATCATCCTCGAATAATTGTTGAGGAGGAGTATCCTCTTGTTCAGATTCTTCATCTTCCTCGCTGCTATATTTTCGTTTTTTTCCATTTTCTTGCTCATCGTCTTGAGTGATAATTTGTTCATCATCATCATTGTCTTCCAAAAATTGCAAAGCTAAATCTCTGGATTGGTTCGTTCTAAATCGTTCATCCACCTTATTCACTCGAGTGAGTCCGAGCCAAGATGATGATGCACTACTCTTGATAGGCTCCGAAAATTGAGGCTTGTTAAAATTCTGTTTGGATGGATCGGAATAATTTTCTTCTTGATATTCTTGTTCATCATTGTTATATCTGTTGTTATTTCCATAGGTATTGTTGTTGGAATATTTTCGGAATGGTAGTTGAAATGATGAATTTTCATCAAACGAATGTTTCTTCATTTTTTTTGAACAAGTGAAAAGAACAACAATTCATGGCAACGAAACCGTTGGACAAAGTGTTAGAATTATCCCTATTCAGATAAATTGGCTCAAAGGTCTATAACAATCAATTCATTGCCACGAGATGAATTATGACAGTTTAACATTTAGGACTTTTGATATGATGATAGAAGAACGTATTATACAATTTTAAATATTAAATGTATCAATACGATCATCGTGTTCCCACAAGTTAATGATCTTGTTGACTCTTAGAAAGGACCAATTGTCTCAAAATGTTGTTTTTGCAATTTGCAATTTTAACCTGTTTGAGTGTTGACAACGATTGCCAAAATAATTTGTTGCGATTCACGCAACAAAAAAAAACAATAATCCTCTTTCTTGCCTGGTGGCCTTTTCTAATCACATCCCAATGTACCCCCAACACCGTCTCACAAACACATTATCACATCTGCCAAATGTCAACGGCAGCAACGATCATCAAACACAACCACATAAAATTGAAATTACATGGGAACACATCGAACCAGGAATCAACCATGAATTCTTCTTTCAAGACCTGCATGTATCATCCACTCTTCACAATGAGCCATATGCTCTTTTAGATTGCAAAATTCATGGAAGAAATATACCAATGGAATTACGACATCATTCAGATGAATTTATAATCACATGTTACGTCAGCAGATGTTTGCTTCCCTCTACCAGTTGTTCACACTCTCAACAACGAAACCAATCAGCCACTCAACACAATTTTCATCACACTGAAATTATTCAATTCAAAATTCATCTTCAAAGGACACATGAACATTCACTTTTATTGCAAATACCATACAATTGGTTACTGAAACAAACACATCAACATGTGAACGTACATGGTGCTTGCATAACGAGTGGAGAGGAGTTTGTTGGGAGTTTGAATTTACCCAAGCTTGATATCGTGGACCATGTATTGCAAGCTCATGAACGAGCATTGCACGAGGACTGGACCTCTTACCAAAGTACGAAACATTGATATTTTTGGTTGCGAACCTTAAGCTACTATCGCGCAATTGCACATTTTGAAAAATTTGTCAAAAATCGAATCCTACTTCCTAAAACAAGCCAGAATTATGAGAGCCCAACACACAGCGTTCGTGCCACTAGTATTCATGAATATCGAACATAATTAAACGTTCAAACATTTTAATTGTAACACTTTCGTCGTTGCCTTTTCATAATCCAAGGACATTGGTTTCAAAGAAGAAACATCGTTCACGACTCTCTTGATTACTTTCGACACTTGTTCATTGCCAAACATGGAACTTTGAGTTTCAACAAATACCGTGATTTTCATCATTTTTCCGGCATCCAAACTCTTAGCATCTTTGTAATCAACCATATTTTTCACATAATATTTATCTCCTCGATTTCTATTGAGCAAATATGTTTTCAATTTTCGAGTATTGTATCTCTGAGTGATGGCCTCATCAATAAGCGAACGAAGTTTATCATCAATGCCTTCTTCCTTATTCTTGCTGCTCGATGATTTGATAATCTTTGCCCGACTTGCATATCGAAGTGTGGATAACGTTTCTGGACAATTCTTTTCAGTTGGAGAAGCTGTTGCAATCTATTTTACATAGAGTTCATAGCGTAAGGAATCAAAGAGTTCAACATGAAATACATTTCATACGTACCATTATAGTTTTTGCCGTTCCTCCCAAAGTTCCCTGCAACATACTCGTCAATACCGAGTCTCGGTAAGGGATGTGATACGACTTGATGGTTTCTTCAATGTCCTTCTTGTCTGTCATTTTGGAAACACGCTCCGAGAGGTCTGCCAACTTGTTGATGACTCTTCCTAAATGCAGCAAACTCTTATTAATAGAAGTACCTTCCTTTCGTTCTTCCAACGATGTAGCAACTATTAAATTGTTCAATTTCATCAATATCAAATTTAAGGTTTTCTCAATTGGAAGATTAGAAACTTACTTTTTCCTGTTTGTTCTGAACCTGCCAAATCGACGAGATTAATTGTTGCACTAATTGAACTAGCTGATGAGGTGTCTGGTTGAAATTTGACATTAATAGTGAAAACAGCATGGGATCGAGATGAAACATCATTCATTACTGTAGCTCTTGTAGCACGGTTCGACAAACCAATAGTTACTAACTCTCTTGCTTCCTCCCAATTATGTATTGTATACATTCCTCCATATAATGTTCCATACTTCTTTTTTGAACCCTTCTTTTCCAATAGGTTTGTAATTTTCTCATTATAAATTTCTACAAAGGAACAAGTCACGGAATAGTAGTGGTATTTTCGAATAGCAGAAAATAATTCCTTAACCACTCTTGGAACGATTCCTATATTTCATAAACAAGTTCAATGAATATATAACTACTTTCATTCTAATACTTACCATGATTTGAAATGTCCATACCAGTCATTTCATAAATGGAATAGATAACGTCATAGGGTAGAATAAAGAACAATGGTTTGAAACAATCAAAGATGAGTGGTTTCAGTGCATCGTATTTGTTTTTGCAAGTTTCAATGGTGGAGAATAAATCTTGACCTAACATGGTATGTGTTTTTCCACTAAATCAAGGTTCAGAACATTTTTCTTATTTGTGAGCGTTTCAAAACTCATCAAAGACTACCTTACCTGGATGTTTGTCCATATGCAAATAAACAACAATTCACTCCGCACACAGCATTCTCAACAATAACCTTTCCTAAATCTTCATAGATTTGTGTTTGTGGAGTGTTTCCTTCATAGACATAATCAAATTTAAATTTATCCTTAGTGGTTCGCTTACAACCGGTGAGCGAGGTGGTGGCTCTTTTCACTTCAACAAGATCCGAATCCTTCTTTGAGGTAACTAGGCGTTGTTTGTCGGATCCGACCATTTCTGAGAATTTAGGAGGTCGAATTCGGACTGCAACAGTAATGGATTCCATGGTCAAGATCAAGTTTTCAAACGGTTGTGTGGAGTTTTTTTTTGTGGAATCAGAATTGTGGATTGAGGCGAGAGATTTTTAAAAGTAGAACTCTGTCGGTTAGTGACGGTTTTCAAGTTCGAATTTCAAGTGTAACATCACCAACTCGACTGCAGTTCCAATCTTCAAGAGGAATTGAAATTCAGCTCTTTATTGGAACCAACATGATGTTGTTCGATGAATGTACGTGGTTATTTTCTCTTCTTCTTGCACTTCTCAATGTGGAAGACATCTACCATTCCATCCATCATGTGGCCATCAATGTGACTTTATATATTTCAAGCATGAAAGATTAGATTCAACAAGTATATTAATCGTGTGACAAATGTAATCATCATCAGTATACTTACCAGTGGAAAAGCCATGTACCTGGGTTATCTGCCTCACTATCCAGTACTCTAGCAATTCCAGGTGCTACGAATACAGTGTCAACTATACAAATATAGTTTCATTCATGAAATTTAATTCAAAATCATCATCCATAATTTAAATTCAACCGCACATACCTCTTCGAACTCCATCCTCCAATCCCACAATACCATGCCAGTGAATGGGGTGAAGGTCAAAGTTTCCAATTGTACCCACATACCATCTTATTTCAAAAAAGTATTAGAAATTGAGTGAATTACTCTTCTATGAAACAAATCCCTTACCTGACTCGTTCTCCTTCACACATACGAATACCAGGATTATTAATGAAAATGTATCCATTAATACTATCCTTTAGATTACTGGCTCTAATAGCACCGTTTTTGAAGGCTTGGAATTGAGCTTGAGTCAACGTGCCAGTTTCATTGAGATACTTTAAAATATTTTGTTCTGAGAGAGGAGGGAGATACTCATTTCTCAACTCGAAACAAACTTACCTAAAAATCCAGAAGTCTGCTCATCGAAAATTTTAGGCATGACGAAAAACTCCTTGTCTACATCTTTTGGAGCACCATTCTTCTTTGCTTTACCTTTTCTGGTAATCACAATAAAACCAATCAAACCAGCTTGAGTCTCCTTAGGCTCGTCCATGGCATGCGAGTGATACATCCATGCAATGGAACTCAAAGGATTTCCAGGAAGAGGTCCAGCTCTTTCAGGTACATTGAAAACATATTCAAATTCAGCTCCAGGTTCAACAGCATCACCTGAATTTGGAGAAACAAAAGGACCACCTGGTTTCTCAACATAGGCAGCACCTTCACTTGCCTTATCATAGAGAACACCATGAGGATGGATGCTCGCAGCGAATGGAAGTTTGTTTCTGAAGAGAACTCTCAATTGTTCTCCCACAACACCTCGAATGACTGGACCAATAATTCCCATATCAGCAGGTTGAAACTTTCTCTCTGTAAAGGTTTCATCTGTGTATTCAATATATCTTGCCTTGAGGTATTTGGTTCCAATTTGATTGAAAGCTTTCTTGTGGATGGCTGGAAGGTCACCAATAATTATTACTGCTATTTGTTTTCAATGATGAATGCCACGTGAAAACAATTATATTTCGGCCGAAGTTTAAACGAAATAAATTTCATAGATGGTGAGACAGGAGAGAAGAAGAGCATGGAAAGGTTGTGCGTATCACATATCAAGCTAGTTGTTCGAAGAGAGACTGAAAAGAGTGAAGGAATGGTTAGCACCAAATAATAATAAAGAAAATTGTTGTTTTCAGAATGACTATTTTAATATTTTAATTTTTAAAAGAATATTTTAACGGCTAGTTTTAGTGCAGCTTGTTTTTAAATTGATGTGCTTTTCTCCTAATGTCCTTTGTTGTTGAACCTGTTTGTTCAGAGAAGGATGTGTGCGGAATCACCCTGTCATCGCATATTAAAAAAAAAGCACCATCACTTTCCTCTCCCGATTTCATCCTTCTTGTCTCATTATCAAATTGTTTTATGATCATCATTGTGTAAAACTTTCACAAAAAATTAGAACCAATTCTTTGATCACTCAAATACTACAGTACAACAAAAATGTTCGGAGTCAAAGATCCCAGAGTACAAGAAGCCAAGCGAATGTTTCGCTTCACGATGGAAAAGATTTCCCCCACTTCCGATGCTCATGGATTAAAAGAAATTAGTCTCATCAAGCAAATGAAAGCTGATCCCGAAAGATATCATCGATTGAGCTGGGAGTTCAATTTCCCTAAATTAGTTGATGTGAATATTCAGAAAAGCTTGGGACGAAAGGGAGGAGCTTTTGCAGTGTATAGTATTCAACGTTTAATGTTTTGGGATAAACAAGAAAATAAGATTGTAGGAGCTGTTGCTTTCGGAATTGATTGTGAAGGCCCACCTGGATGTGTTCATGGTGAGTAGCCAATGATTAATTTGTTTTTCAAACATGATTGTGACAACTTATTGTTCATGTAAAATTTATCACACGCATAGGTGGTGCCATTGCTACCGCTTTGGATGAAGCATTCGGATGGTGTTGCATTCGAAATATTGGATTTAGTGGAGTAACACTGAATTTAAGTGTGAATTATTTCAAATTTATACCACTCAAACGAGCTGTTGTTGGATTAGAAATTGAGACTGAGCGTGTAGAGGGAAAGAAAGTATTTATGAAAGGAAAATTGTATAATTTAGACAATCCACAAGAAGTTCACAACACAGCTAGTGCATTATTTTACAAGGCCAATGAACACATGCCCACATGGGACGAAGCTGTGAAATTATTTGGTGAAGACTCCAAGCTTGCCAAGGACGAAATTTTATCATATTTTAAAAAGAGAATTAAGAAGAAGATTCAGGAAAATCAACAAAAGGAAGCAAAGAATCTTGACGTTCAACCACAGCCTGGAACAGAGCCATCCCATAGACTATCGAAACTTTGAAAAAATGTTGAAAATTAATTTATTATTATTCAGACCATGTCCAATTACTCGCACCCTTTGTGTATTTACTTCAATTAAATTAAGGTCTCAAGATCAAACATAACGTTCATGAAATCCACTTCCTTAACCAATTGCATGACTTAAAAAAGACGTCTTGCCTTATAAACTGTTTGAACCAGCCATGAATTATTCAGCAGGTTCTCCTCTTTATTAATTATAATCGAAAATCCTGAGAACCAGACGTGATATATAACGAGTAATATCAGATCCTCAACTCAAGTTTCGTTTCATCACAATTTGAAATGTCTCAATTTGTAACAATTTGTTTTCCGATATTTGTTCAAACGCAAAAAAATCACTCCAATCCTCTCTGCATACCGTTACCCTTCTTCCCATCTTCACCCGATTCTCTCTCCCTAATACCGTATTCAAATAATAACAGCTTGTGCGTGATTGTTGTTGAGGAGTGTTGGCCAACACTTTTACTTTCATCACCTTCACTTATCAATTTCTTTTATTTCAAACAACACATCCCGATTTATTTTGTAATGATTGAGAAGAAGAAATGACTCCTCCTTCATCCTCTTCATCATCATCGTCATCTTCCAATAACGGAAACTCGACGAACGAGCTATTGTTGGGAATGTTGATGAATATCAATCAACAACAGCAACAACAGGCAGCACGGAACACCTCCTCGTTATCCCACAACACCCCTTTCCTTATCCAAACCAGCGTTAATGGTAATGTCATGAACAATAATAATTTTATGCCACAACAAGAATCACTTGTCAGCCATGCATTTACACCATCAACTATTTTCAATAACAGTCAGCAATTGCTTGCAAATTCTCCGGCTTCCAATAATTTCAGCATGCTGAATTTACAAAACAATCCAAACAACAACAATCCAACATGCCAAATTTAATGAACAATATCGGACAAAAACATTGATTTGAATCAACTTTTGCAACAAAACAATGTAAATTATAATGGATCTTCACCACAATCTGACACCACACCCCAGTTGTTGTTGAGTGATGCTCACAATTTTATGAACAACCAGAATACCTCATCAGCAATGCAAGGATTAAATCCACAACATCAAGAATTACTTCATCAAATCATTTCTACTACCATGCATCATCAGCCACCAGGAGATTCCACGCCACAGATATCCCAGCAAAAACCACAGCAACAGAAACAGTCACCTCCTCAACCATCAAGTCAACAGCAAGACGCACCACAGAAAGAGGCAAGTATTGCCACAAAAAGAAGTGCTAAAAAATCGGCAAGCAATGCAACTGATACACCAGAAGAGCACGTGCCCCACCTTGGAAGTGTGGAGCTTAACCAAGACCCAACTCAGATGTACTTCCCAATAGCTTGCGTGAACTGTAGAGGTAGACACAAGAAATGTGAAAAGAATTATCCTTCTTGCGCCCAATGTATTAAGCGTGGTGTGGAATGCTCGTATCGATCTCCAAAGAAGAAGGGCCGACACAATCAATCATCAAGCTCAAAGCAAGAGCAAGTCACAACGGTTCAGACCACTTCTGGCTCCTCGTCATCGAGATTCACACCCTATCCAACATCTACTAATGCAAGTACCAACAATAACCTCAGAAATATAGAGTTATCCGAAGAACTTTCGAAATATCTTTCAAGTCAACTAGGCCCTAATTTTACCCAACAATATTCAAATGTTTCAGAATTACTCTCTAATATTCAATTATCAATGATGAATAATAAGGTGAATGAGCAATTGGTAATATCTGCTCAACGGAAGAAGACCATTGATCTCTATGAAGGTGTAATCTCTTTAGGATACTCTTTGGTAGATATTAACGTAATCGAACAAGCTCTTTTCGAAACAGATAACTTAGAATCATTCAACTACTCGCCCGAGTTTTTATCATTACTATACGCTATTCATGCTGTCACCTGTCAAGCTTTGGGCCAAGACCAACAAGCCTTTTTATCATTTCAAAAAACAAAGAACTGCCTTGCGAACTGCTTTGATTCATGGAATAATGTTCTAGTTGCAAATACGTACAGTCATTTGGCCCTTTATTGTGCAAGCTCTGGAGACACAGAAACTGCACGATTTTATTTGAATTTTGTGGACTTTTATTTTGGGAATAGGCACAAAATTGATTTTGATCGTCTTGATGAATATGTCATTGATGCTAGCGAAACAAATTCTTTGAGAGAATTTCTGTTGAAAAACGCTGACAATCCTAACGTGAAACAGGCCATGTCGAACCTCGGTATTAACTCGGCTGAGTTTTTAAAAAATACTTTACGTGAGATCAAACAAAAGTAGTTGCAACAAGACATATTTTCGAAAAGATGCCAAAGGAGGCAGACTTCAAACTTTTGAAATTCAGAATTCTGTGTGGAGTTACGATTGATGCATGTGGAAAGGATCAGTATCCTGTGATGATTAAGGCCGATCCGCCTGCCTATTTACAAAAACAAACATCTCAATATACTGTAGAAAGCGGAAATGATCTATCGATTCTGGGATCTGTCAGTCCTGAGGGCACTTTCCACTTGTCAACCAACACACAAAACAAAGGACAGGCTGAATCATCAAACTTTAAAGGGTACACATTCAGTTCCTACTTTTGTAGAATATTAGCAGATATTAACTTGTATATTACCGGAAGAATTCCAAAACATGTACTTTATATGCTTACACAAATGTCTCCCTCTTTAGAGAATATGAATGAATACATGCAAATAATCGACAGCGTTGGAAAAGTGTATCGAGAGCATGAAAAGCGAAGAGCATTTAATGAGGTTCAGCTTCCTCTAGCGTTATGCATTTTCAACTTGTTTTTGTTTGGAGATAAGCTATTTCTTCTCAAAGAGGTGTACCGAAAGACGAATGGTGGGCTGATTTTGTCTAGAAATATCGCTAATACTCATATTCCAGAAAATAAGAGCGTTCTAGACTTTTTACATTCAGAAATACTCAAATTAGCACAGGTTGTTACAAAATGCACCACCATTGAAAACTTTGATTTATTGAAACCTAACCTCTGGAATTGTGTTGCTGCTGGTGCTGAGGTAGTATTGGAGGTGTTGGAATCCCTTTCAGAATGTTCACATATGCCTTTCTCAGCCATGATTGATGCTTTGGAACTGAATCATTATTTCTCCACCACTTATCCTGCTCATGACTTGCAAAATCCTGTGTCCCAAAAACAGATATTGGACCAATTCGAGCAGCAACTTTTGGAGATGCTTGATCACAACATTAAGGCTCTCAACACTTGGACCATGAGGTACCATAATGACAAGTATGCTTACTTGATTGAGAGAATGCAACAATTTAAACAGATGAAATCAAATCAAGCATTCCAAAATATCCACAATTTACACCTTCCTCAGTTTCTTGATGGTTCTAATATTAACAAGACCTATGATAACAATTACCCACCTATTGCAGTGCCTTCCGAGTTGCAATCCAACACTAATTTGCAAAATGCAGATTTATTCAAGCTTGCAACCTATTTATTTGGTGAAATTGGAAGAAATAACGCTTCTCAACAACACTAAACAATCATTATTTACAATAACATGTTCAGAAGTAACCCTGTTTGCTGGAATCTATCCCTCATCTTCGTGGATGGATCAATTATTTTAAAGATTTTGCGAAACATTTCGCGAGTAGCATTCCCTTCTTCACAATGTTAAATGTTGTTGGGTTGATAATGTTGGGCACGTCCACATACGTTCGTTGAGATTTGATGCCATGATTCAGTAAAACCATTCTTGCAGCCATTGCACAAACACTTCCCCCAAGAATAACGTCACTAGCGAGTTGAGGCCATGTGGTAATGGATTTTCCAATTTCCAAAAACGATTCGAGTCCTCTCTCACTTGCTTCTAATGGGTCTAAAAAGGAGAATAACAATTTCTTTGCTTGCTCTGGCGTGAATTCTTTCAAATCGAGAAATTCTTCTTTCACTCTTCCGTGAAGAATTGGATAATTTCGATCGAGGTCAAATCTCTCAACGTCCAAGAGACCTCTGTCACTAGCCTCCATTACTACAGGAATGCCTAACTGTCTGCATTCTTTTCTGAGAAGAACTTTGACTGGAAAATTGTCACATTCATCCACAATCAAGTCCAATTGATTCTCTCCACTTCCAATGAACTTGGCAATATTTTCATGGGAAAGAGGTTCATTGAAAAACGTGACTTTCAAATAGGGATCAATTTCTGCAATTTCTCTCTTTGTAATGACAGCCTGTTGTTGTTTTTCAAGTGAATACAATGAGTTTCACTGAACTAACAAGATACATACCTTTGAAAGTCCAATTTCATGCACGCTCGCTCTTAATCGATTCATATTCGTCAATTCCAAATGATCAAAATCCACAAGCCTCAACTCTCCACAACCTCTCTCCATAGCTAGCGTGAGAGTCACTGCATGGCCAGCACTCAATCCAACAATACCAATTTTCTTGGTTTGCAACAATTCTTGCTCTTCTTTTGTAATCTTGTATAAATTTCGAATGGTCCTTACTTGTATGAATTCTTTTTCATCCAACAAGTGGCACAACATATTCTTCCATGGATAGTACACCCAAACACCATATTCTTCCATAGTTCTTCCATTTAACTTGTCATTGATTTTTTGCTGATATTCTTCTTCCGTGAGTTTTTGAGTAGGATTCTCTAATTTCACTAAATCTCGTAGCTGGGATTGCATACTATCCAGCACGAGGCAATCACCACGTAAAGACAACAATTGTGTCAGTGTTGTTCGATCCTTATCATTCTCCAATCGAAAGAAAATTGGATCCGCACAAGTGGTATGCACTGGATTCAATGCTGTGGTGCAAACACGTTGTTTGAGCGTCTCTGTTACCTCTGGAGAAGTGGACAATGATACAGAGATTGAGGGCGATACATGCTCATACGAGGCTTGAGGGGAAGTTTGCATCATGTTGTTTGTTTTTTGTTATTGAAAGTGCGGAAGCGATGATGTGTTTGTTCAGTAATAACTATTCTTTTGTAGAACAGATCAGTTGAGAGAAATTGATCAAACTGTACTAGATCTCGTTGATCAATTGGAAAGTCGCAACGATTAGCGAGCAGAACCGAGTCGCTCATTTTTTTTTAATCAACCCTTTCGTAGATTTTACAACCACCTTTGAGGAGAATAGAGAACATTTGTAAAATCAACAATGGTGCAATGTTGGAATGAATATTAGAATTTAATTGTTTGAGTTTTTTGAAAAAGACCTTGTGGTAATCGACTCATGAGATCGGTCAGGTCATGAATGCAATGGAGTTCAATTTCGTGAAATAAGAATCGATCGGATTGGATCACTTGTTGCTGCTGCTGATGCTCGTTCGATGAGTCATTCGATCGAGAATCACTGTCATTCGACGAAAATATTGTCTCCATGCGCTGTAACAAATCTAGTTTTCGTTTCTCAAGTAAGGAAATGTTAATCTCTAAGGGAGCTCCAACTGTCAAGAATGTGTCAATCAAATACATGGCCATCTTCTTACGTTCTGACCATTTCTTTGCTTTTTTGTAGCGTTGAATTTCATGGTAACATAATACAGCTTCTGGACAATAACTTCGACGTGCATGATCCAAAACCATTTTAAAAGTTTTTGGATTTTGCAATAACTGTTCGACATGACTTTCTTTCTTGTCGTCCACATTCACTTCTTCCTTATTGGAATTTTCAAAATTTTGTTTGTTTCTTCTAGCTTGCATCCAATCATTCTTAATTTCATAAATGACAGGCATCAAGACACTAATGATACTCTCCACAGAAAATGAAAAGAAGAGAAAAAGACCATAAGGTATTAAAAAATCAACCAAATTCTGAACTTGAGGAATCAAACCCAAAATAATAAACAATGCTAAACCCAGGACTTCGACCAGAAGAACGATAAAATTTTCTTTCTTGATGTGCCAAGTGTCTCGATCTGCTCGAATACTCAAAATGACAGCCACTGCTTCAAAGATACAATACACAACAGCCAATGACAATATTAATATTAAACAATTGGTGGTGAGTGTACATCCTATTTGAAATTCTAAAAATCCGGCGAATGTGAAAATTTTCTTTTTCGTTCGATTTTGAGAAATGTAAATTCCTTCTTCAATTCCACCCATTAAAAGCCATAAACAAGTAGAAAAGATGAGACTAGTGATATAGATTAATACTATTAATTTGTAACTGGTGAGAAATTGATAAATTTTGATGAGTCTTTTTTCACTCTCTGTAATTGAAACACAGGAAGTGTCAGGTGTCACTTCTTCTTTGAACTGAGATGATAGAGAAGGATCTTCAGTGCTTGTTGAAGGTATTGATTGAAGAGTAGTGTTCGATGGTACAGAGCTATGATTGTCACTATTGGAATTTCCATCCTCAACAATTATTCTTCTTCCCACTTCACCATTAAGTTCTTCCTGAAATTGAATCATTGATTTTCTCTTCATTCCCAATTTCATTTTGATTAAATTCAACTTGTAACTGAAATACAATAATAAACTTCGACACGTGGTTGGCAAGGTCGCCAATGGAGCCAAACAAAAACACCAACTATATAAACCACATGGAAAGGATTTCCTTCCAATAATTATTCTTAAACAAAAAATGGTAATAAAGAAGAAACTTGAAGCGAGAGTGAGAAACATGTGAGTGAGATTACGTGCTTGGATGTGTTTGGAATTTCGTTTCCAAATGATACCTAAAGAGGTAATGATGAGAAGAAGGAGGTAATAGATGAGAAAGAGGAGTGTGATGGTGAAGGAGACTAATTGAATGTGGAAGGATGAACGTGATCACGCCAAAGGTCAGTATGAACATGGATGGTCAAATTGTATTTTTCAAACTCACCGTAAGTATCAGGACAGATCGAGTTTTCGATCGTGGGAGTTGATTCTCGGCTTAGTCCTGTTGTGAACAAGAAAGGATGACAGCTGGCAGTCGAGTTTAATGTGTCGTTGTTGATTGTGGAAAAAACAGAAAAGAACGACCATGAACCTTTGTACGAAGGGAAGGATTGTGGAGTCATTGTTTTTCGGTCAAAAAACCTGTGGTGTGGATCATTTCCTCACGAGCCCAAAATGTACATTTTTGACACTTGACAGAACCAACGAAAATGTAAGGATAATAATTTCTTGCTGACCAACCAAGGCTTACAACCTTATTACGACATGAAAAACTTACATAATTGTAGATTTCAACACCGGATGTTACAAGATCTTCAAATTATAATAAAAATTATTCCATCAGTCACTTGTCGTACTCCAACAGAAAAAATCTTTCAACATTGCAAATCAAACAATCGCTCTGACGAGCAAGTTATTGAATGTCAACCCCACCAACAATGAATGTGGACGTGTTGTTGTCTTGCTCTGCGAATGACCACAGGCTCAACCATCAACGCCAAATGTCATCCATAGAAAACACTCTTCCGATCGAAGCCAATCACACTTTACCTTCCGAGTATTATGAATCTCTACATTCTTTGAATAGACCATTTCATTGGCTCCAAGTGGTTGAAAATGGGCATCAATTATATTCCCACCTCCGAACGTTGTGGAGAAAGACCATGAACGACACACACGATTCTCATACGGATCATACTTCTAACAACAATTTATATTCCATACCGATGAGTAACGATGATTCATTATCAACAGACACAACAATGGAAACACAAAACAACAAATTTTCACAAAGGACATGTCACTCTCTCTTAACCGGCATGTCAGCACTATACATTCTATTTGTATTGATTGGCATGATATTATTGCCTTCCTTGATTTATTTCAATGAAATACCTCTCGTGATGATCAAGGATAAAAATTAGAAAAAACGGAACGTTCACAACTTCAGTTCATTGATTCATCATCATTGAAATATTTACTCCGTTCGAATGGAAATTTTCAGAATTTTCACAACATTGAGACAGCATCGCTCATGATGAATACGGATCATGAACGGAGTAGGAGGCAAGAGGAATCAGAGATGGAATCTTTTTTCATATTGCCGAGTACTACTTCTCTTCAAAATTCAACATTTAATTCAACAAATTCGACATTTGATATTTTATTTTATAGAACCAAGACAGTGACTGAAGTGAGCTCTTATTTTCAATTGATCTTTGCTTCATTGAGCTTTTTTTCGTGTGGCGTGACATTGGTGGTCTATTGTGGATTTTCTGAATTGAGAGGAAGAAAAAACTTTCCAATTTTGGTTGCGTTTATTATTACCGAAGGATTAAGTTTTGTGAAACATTTCTTAATTTTATTTGGATACTTTTTTGGAATTGGTTACGTTGAACATAATCCAACAAGAACGGACAAGAATCTCTGCTTGGCTATTGGCATTTTCGAATATGTCTTTAATTTTGTTTCCTACTGTTTTGGTTTTTGCATTGTCTTGGACTTGTTAAGAGTGGTCTCTAATCCAATTAAGGGAAATAGAAATTTCCTTATCTATCATTTCATCATGTTGTCGCTAGCTCTATTTTCACTTGTTGGAGTTGTGACAGAAAGCGTTGTTAAAGAAGACAGTAACAACTCTTGTATTATTCTTCCAGATAACTTAATTCTGGGTTATGTTATTTATTCTATTAATTTATTGATGGCTTTTATTGGATTAATTATTTGTGCCTATGTTTGGACAAGTTTAAGAAATGGTCTTCCTGGTACTCAACAACTTCGAAATGGAATTATTATTAGACAAATATTATTTAGTATTGTTATCACTATTTCATTAATTGGAACTTTGGTTTCAAGTGTCATCCTCAAAAGTAGAATTAGTGACATTATGAGCAGTATGGATAATGACAAGATTGAAGACATTGCCATTGTCTATTTTGTACTATTTGCTCGTTACATGTCCTTACTCGTTTCAAGTATTGAAGGTTTTATTCTTTCCCTCATTCTCTTATCAGATCCAATTGTTTTGAGACATTTGAAACGATTTAGAAGCTTCTTATGCATGCTCACAGAAAATGACAAGGGTGTGAATCTTTGGGATAGAATCAAAAAAAAGACAACAAAAAGTACAACCATTCGATCTCTCTATGCTCACATGTTGGATGGATTGGACGATGATTATGAACTCGCCTCTCGAAGAAAATCTCAAATTCAAAAAGCAAAAGATTCATTGTATCATCAAAGATTACTCTTTGAAGGAATTATGGACGAAGAAGGTTCTGAAGCTGATCGTGAGTTGTTTTTGAAATATTTGGCACGAGAAGATGAACGATTTTTTCAAGACTCTCTTTCCAATGTGGCGATTGATTATTTAGTGAGACGAGATTTGATTTTTTGTGTCTTGTTAGGAACACAATATTGCATGAAACAATCTGCACATCATGATCAAATTGTGAAACAGTTCAGTAACTTGGAAATTACTTCACATAGAAATACGTTGTATGGTTCACCAATTATGAAGAAACTTTTCCATCCATCCTATCGATCTATTACTCACAAAGGTTTATTTAATTGTGTCACGAAACACAAAATTAGTATTACAGAGTATTATCCAATGGCTTTCCATCATTTGAGAGCTTACTATTGGGTGGATAACTTAACTGGAACGATGAACATGGGAGATATTATTGAAATGTACAAACGCCCATTCGAACCCACATCAGTCATTCTCGAATCAGTCAGAAATAATTTTAGTGAAGGAAAATCAGGTAGTTTCTTCTTGTTCACCTATGATTCTCAATTTATAATCAAAACCATCACCGATGAGGAATTGAAACTCTTATTGGAAAATATTCAATTCTTTTACAAGCACTATACAACATTTAGAGATACCTTAATTGTGAAAATATTTGGAATTTATGAACTGAGAATGACTGCAAACTTTAAAGTCAAGTTCATTGTGGTCAATAATGCACTACATAGTCGATTAGCAAAAGATCGTGGTTCACATTATGACACACTTTCCATCGATACCAAATTTGATTTGAAAGGAAGTTGGATCAATCGAACCAATCTTCCAGAGCTTGATCATTATTCACAAACCCTTAAAAAACGAACAGGATTCAAGTTAAAAATCTCATCCGCAACATCCGAAGGCATTCAAGAAATTTCAGCCTCTTCTCAAAGTCCCAATACCTTGCTCTTAGATAATGATTTTCACAAGAAACGAAAACTTGTGTTGGAGAGCAAACAAATTTATACTCGTCTCATACAACAATTAGTGATCGATTCAAACTTTTTAAAGAGTGTGAATATTATGGATTATTCTTTACTTGTTGGAATTGCAGAAGATGATCCAACTGTATTTGCCGTAGAACCTCTTCCCAATGAAATTCAATTCTATGAACCCTTTCACAAGGTCTATAAGGGAGGAATTGAAGCCGTGGACTTGGACACTACTTTCAATCGCTCGGTCGTTCTCTTTGTTTCCATCATTGACATTTTACAATTATTTAATATTGAAAAGAAAGTTGAAACTCTATTCAAAACCAAAATATTACGAAAAGATCCATATGGAATTAGTAGTATCGAGCCAGTTCAATACGCAGAACGATTTCAAACCAATGTACTCTCAAAATTCACATGTCGAGAAGATTTCTATCTCCACAAATTGAATTCCAATTCGAGTGTCTCTCCATTGAGCTCATCCACACCTTCATACATTTCGAGTGGAATTTCAATTGCTAGTCATGATCCAATGGGAACAAGAAATTATAGAACAGGAAGTGAAATGGCCTTTTCGGCAACACCTGTCGTTTCTTCGTTTGCAAGTGTGGATCGATTTAATCATTTACATTCACAACAACAACCATTCATGAGACAAGAGCAAGAGGAAGGAAATTCTCGAGATGATAGTAATGAGATTCTTTTGACCAATGAATATAAGAACATTAAACTTTGAATCTT